TTTTCTTCCCTTTTTCCCCTGCATTTTTTCTTCACACTTTTTTCAAATCTATGAAAAAACCATTTTTCAGCTGTTCCCCCCAAATGCGAACCGTTTTATGACACTTGCAGCTGGCGATTTCGAAAAAAATGAGCGCCGTCGATAAATTGGGTCAGTTTTACCTTTACATTTATATTTTTTTGAAAAAAATCTCTTAATAACTCACTTTCCCGTGGTAATCGGAGAATATAAACTATGATATTAAAATTTTTATATTGATCTCAAAGTGATAAAAAAATTTTCAATAATTGATCGGAAAAAAATTATTTGAATTTTTGTGAAAAAAATCTTGAAGAAGCTTCACTACAATCTCTCTCTCGAATAAGCTGAAAAAAATTTATTTTTTTGAATACCTCATTTTTTTCCAAAAAAATTCATTAAAGCTTTAAAATTCGTCTTTTTTTCGCCCTCCGCGAAAGAACATCTGATCAATATTCACTAAGGTATAAATAAGTATTTCAAAACAGAAAAGACATTTGCTTCGAAAATCTCAATTCTACTTTTTTTTTTTCTTAGGATTTTTTGAGCAGACCACTTTTATTGTTCGCCTTTATGACGCGTTCAAATTGGTTCCGTTTATTTAGAAAAATTGATTAAGTGATCACTAACTAGGGAACGTTTTATACATCCCCCCGCACCCCCGTTGAAATTTTGATGAAAATCCAGGGAAGTGTACTTTAGGACCTCCTAGCGCTTTTTGTCATAATCTGCGTATTTTGCGGACTAGAAGCTCAATAACTCGTAAACAAGATCTACTGCGAAAATTTGAAAAACGTTCCCTAGTGTCTTTTAAATCTATTTTGATATCAGTACTGCTTTTCCTCGAAATCCCTCTGAAAACTCTTCAACTTCAATTTTCGTGTCCGAACAGGAAACTGAACCATTAGAAGAGCCAAAATCAGACGCAAAACTCAAAAAAATGGCAAGCGTCGCCGAAGTTTAGTCTCTTTATACTTCTCAAACAGCCCCGGTTGTTTTACCCGCGGGCGATTCCATGAAGAAGAAGAAAAGAAAGATATTTCCCTCCTCCTCCAACCAACAACAGCTGTGTGTGTGTGTGTGTCTTTGTTGCCAGCCTCGCTCTCACTCAACACTTTTTCTCGGTTTTCCGAGCCTCTTTTCAATCTTATCCGCCGCCCACTCTTGATCTTATCAATTATTCGATTAGGCTCATCATTTGGATACTTTAGGAATCGATTTATGTAGGTTTCGTTATAGACTTGGCCTATGAACACTCCAAAATCTCAAAAAAGCAGTATTTTCTTGATTTTGTTTTCAGTTTGATCACTTTGGTCTAGCTTTTTCCTCAAATACCCAAAAAATCGAACTTTGAAGGCTCCTTATTTAGAATCTCTTGAGAGAACAGATCAAACCTTTTTTTTTTTCAAATTTGTATAATAAATAGAGCCATACTACGAGAATTTGGTCTTTTTTCTTCCAATTTCGACTTTTTCTTCAATTTTTCTTCAAAAAGTGCATCACACGATTCAAATTTTCCAAGATTTCCCTTTCCCATCTCTACTAGAAATATTATAAACCAAGAAATCGTACAGTTTCAACCTTGATTCCCTCGGTTTTTAGTGATTTTCTCACGCTCTACTTATTCCATTTGCATTGGGCCAGCCGTAACGAAATTCACAACTTTGGTTTTTTTTTTCAAGACTAAAACAGTATTTTAAATAGCTAAACTGTAAACTTGAATAGATGTATGAAAAACTTTAATCAGCACAAATTGCCGTGATACTTTCTAATATGTTCATTTCCGCCGTTTGAAACCGTTCGAAAATTCTCAAAACCTTAATCTATTTATATCAGCCATCTTGAACCCTCTGGAATCTCTAAATCCTTAGAAACTGCAGAGTGGTTACCTTAGGAACCCTTGGAGGGTCCCCTCTAGCGACCACTTTACCAACCCCTATAGGGGTCACTTAAGCTTGTTGAAGTGGTCCCTATAGGGGTTTCAGTTAGTGGCCCGTATAGGGACATGCTAGTCGATAGCTTTTGTGAATTTTTTGATGAGGGGTCAGACCCTAAACCCCTATATATATCATCTTGATTTTACCCCTATAGTGGCTGTTTTTCCCCTTCACCACTATAGGGATCACTCTAAAATCCTTAAGTCCCATAATTTTCAACAAAAAGAGGTCATGAAGATCAAAATCAACTGATTTTGGCAGTTTTGAACTTTAGGAAGCTCTTCAAAAAACCAAACAATTTTACAACGCAAAAAGGCCGTAAAATGTGAATTTCTCCACACACACACAGATGTTGTTCAAAGTGCGTGTGTGTTCAAACTTGTGCCAACCCGTCGGTTGATCCTCCTCAGGCCATCTCTTCCGTTTCACCCCTCTTCTTTTTTTTGTTTCTTAGCTGTCTGCGAAAGAATTCGAAAAAAAGAGGCGCGCAAAACCGACACGCGCCAATCTTTTCGGTTCGAAATTGCGGTTTCAAATCAAATCAAAAAATGTTTTATTTTCAGTTTTAGTTTCGTTTTATTTATTTTATTTTTTTTTCAGATCAAAACTTAGCTTTACTTTCTTCACAGTTGGCTTGAAAGGGCAGAGAATATGAATATCTTATTTTCTATATTTTTAAAACTATCTCAAGCCAGCGGTTCATTCCAGATATCACTTTACTTTTTTGGAGCTTTCATTTATATATTTTATATTCTCAATTTTTAATTTTGTCAATAATTCTGAGGAAATGGAAGTTTTTTTGAACTATCAGTTTCAAAATTTAGATCTTATGATTTTTCTTTTTCCAAATGGGTTAAGCTTCTAATTCCGTTGAATCCTGTTCGAACAGTATATTTATTTGAAAATCAAGTTCATCTTGAGTAATGGAAGTCATTCTATGAACTCGAAAATCCCTACCAAAAACCATTATTTTTGAGAAATAAAATTCCCCTGGAAAATATGATAAAACTAGAATTTCTGACAATTTTTATCTGTTGTTTGAGAACAAAATCAGCTGGATTCCTCAATTGTCCTTGGGGAATTGGATTTGTGACCGAATAAGGAAGGGTGGATGATGGGGCCGATAAATCTTCTTCCCTTTCTCTTTTTTTGTCTTTTTTTCAGTGGCTGTCTGAGAAACTTACAAAATGAAGTAAAAAAATCTTTTTTTCATCAATTGAGTCTTGTAAAAAAATTAAATTAGGACAAAAGTAGGTATATTTAGACTTTTTGTGTTGTTGTTCTATAAGAGGGTTTTTTTGAAGTTTTTGAAGCTTTGGAGGAGTTAGAAGTTCCCAAATCCTCAAAATCAGTATCATACTTCTTGAAACTTCTATGTTAGCCAATGTTTTCTGATTTCCCTTCTGAAAAAAAATCAATAATATAACCTTTTTTGCTTTATTTTGTAGGTCTGAAAGCCTTCTAACTATTGGAAAAGCCTTTTTGGGACAAAAATCTTACCAAAATTTCCATCCATGCTCCTTTGAACAAGCTTTTTCATTCAAAACACTTCTATTTTTATTTTTATTTTTGCTTTTATTGTTTTTCCTATTTCTGTCCCTTGAAATCGGCTCATCCTTCCTGGCAAAACAACAACTATACAGCAACTTTCTTCTCTTCCCAATAAAAGCCGGATGGATGGCTTTCATTTGATTCCCACCCACACTTTCATGGGCCTTCATTGCGATGGTGGTTGGTGGTTACTGGATTTTTATGGGCCCCATTTCTTCGTCTCATTAATTGTACGATCCTCATATGGAGCCTTATCCCACACTATTATTTAGAACTATTTTTCGAAATTTAGCGGCTTTTCGGTAACTTATTCATCTTGGTATACAAATTTTAACCACTTTTTCTAGTCCGAATTTTCAAACTTTCAAGTTCAAATATTCGTTCGATCGCTTCTACTTTCGTAAAAAATGAATTTCTTATTACTTTAGAACCTTATAAATTCTGCTCACTTGTTTATTTTTTCTTATATCAATAGAAAAAACGGTCAACTTTTCAAATTTACTTATTCTTCACCTGCAAATTGTTCAAATCTTCTTCATATTTTTTTAAGATTCTAAATTTTTTTAGAATTTTTTTTCCCCATACTCAACAATCTACCAATAATCTCAATCCCCTTCTCCAAAAAACCTCGATTTTCAACATGATAATCTGATCTCCCTCAAACCCGACACCTCAAAGAGTACCGACATTTATTTGTAAGAAGGAAGGCACAAAAAAATCTCCTCCAAGTAGCGGAAAACAAACAAAAAGATGGCACAGAAGAAGCCAGGCAGTTCAAGTGTTCTTCAGCTTCTGCTTCTCTCTACACTTTTCTCCTCTCCTCTGAACTTCCGCATACTTTTTTTTATTCTTTAGTTCTTGCAAAATTCCAATTTAGAAGCTAATTTTTTTAGATCCGTTTTTTTTGATAGCTGTTTGCCATGGATTATAAGCTTGGTTGAAAAAGCACGGACCCCAAACAGACGTGATTATCGTGGCGGAAAGATTTTTTTGAAGATTATGAGTTCATTTCTTGGCCTATGAGTACTACAATGAAGTTTGATGAATGGAAAATTTTAATTTTTATCTTTTTATGCGGAAATTTTGAAAAATGAAGATTTGATGGAAGATTAAGAAAGTATGAGTAACAACTATGGGCACTTTAAATCTTATGAATCCACAAAAAATCGAAAAAATTCCCCAAAAAAACTCATCCTACAGTACAAAACAACCATTAAAGATCTAAAATGATCGATTTTTGTTGATTTTTTTCAAATTTAAAACTGTACTCTCAGAAATTTTTCCTATCCAAAAAAATATTCTATGCAGAAACTTCAATATTCCAAGCTTTTCATTGCATCCCGCGTCACTTTTTTTGCACATTTTACTCCCTCATTTTCAAATTTTTCCTTTACAATTTTTTTCTATTTTTACTTTTTCCTGAATCTTCTTCTTACTTTTTTTCCACTTCGAAGTATCGGAAAATATTTTTAAGTTTAAAAAAACTTCAAGGGAATGCCGAGCGACGATCGGTTCGCCGACGCTGTCAAACCGGCGCTGGGTAAAACTTTAAAACTATCTTTGTTTGGAAATATAATTTTCAAAAAAACTCATTTTTTTGCAATGGGAATGGCTCTAAACGCGTGACAGCTGGTTTCAAGAAGCGTCCGACCTAAAACGACTTACGCGCCTTGCTATAGAATAGTATTAGAAAGACCTTCTAAATACCTATTCCATTTACAACCGCGACGCTCAGATCTATTCCAGTGCAACCCTGGTGTTTGAATTCGAAGCTAATAATCTATAAAAAGTCCGGTATTGAAAGAAATTGACCGATTTGAGGCCATTTGCACTTTTTTTAAAACTATAGAGGATGTATTAATAAATTAAATAAAAAAATTTTTTTATAAAAAAATTTTTGAAACGGGAAGGTGAGATAGAGAAAAAAAGCTGACATTATCCAATTCCTTAATAAACTGTTTTTTTAGTATTGAAAACTTTTCAGAAGCCCTTCTGTCGGACCTGCAGCACACGACAGAAGTCCTACGGAGGGCTAATATTTCTGACAGGTAATTTTTTTGATTTAATTTTTGAATTTGAGAGAATCGAAACTGTTTTTTTAAGATATTCCGCCTCGCGAGAAGATCTCGAGCCTATCTACCAAGAACAAACAAGGCGTGCGGATAGCAGGTTTTTTTTTTTGATGATTTACATCATTTGAATAAAATTTCAATCTACAGACCAAAATTTCACTTTCAAAAAAAAATTGAGTGAAAATTTGGAATCTTTACAATAAAAAAAGTAGTCAGTAGAAATTTCAGAAAACTTCCAAGATTTTCAAAAAATCAAAAAATCGATGAAAACTCCTTTTAAAACCGCCATTGTCCATCACCTTTGTATTAATTGTTGCATCCTTCTTATATTGTATAATCTTTATCATCCTCCACTAACAACTGTCGATTTGCCGTTTTGAACGCGAGTTTCAGAACAGCTTCACATTCTCACGATCTAGACAATGTCGAAAAATTGGTGAATCGATATTCAGAAGAGCGAGAACGGTTACGAAGTCATGAGAACCTCCACAATACAGGTAATTCTTTGAAATTCGAAAAATGTCACTTTAGGATTGAAAATTCGAAAAAAAAAACCAAAAGAGTCGGAAAGTGACCAAAAAGTGACCAAAAGAGTCGGAATCAAACGTATAATCAAACTATTCTCCAGTGGCCAGCCAAATAGCATGCAAAAATTAGAAAATTCAGACGTCTATGTTCCTTTTTTCAATGTTAAGCTAGTGAATGGAGTATGAGCCTTTCTATTTCATACATTTTTTTTTTCAGAAAATGGCCGAAGATCAATGGAACGGCCTAGTGTACATAGTTTATTCACACAGTTGGAGGCGCCGGCTCCAATTAACGGGTATATTCAGTTTTCTTTCAAATTATAGAGCCTGGTGTGAAAATTCCCTTTTTTTTGTGTTCTAACATTTGTGAGGAGTCAAGTTTGTTCCGTGAGGTCTCTGTTATTGGCGGTGAAAAACAGAGAGATCCAGTTATTTTCGACTGACTTTGGCTTAAATTATTTGTATTTCGAATAAGTATCAGAGGAGAATAACAAAATAATTGAAAAAAAGAAAAGTACAAAAATCAACAAATTATTTCGTCAGAACTTTTGAAAAAAAAAACGAATTGATCAACTAGTCGTTTAAAAAAATTTAAAAGCCTGGAATCGTATTTTTGGAGTTTAAAAGTAAATGATACAATCCATTTGCCATAATTTGGACAAATCAGATACTTTTTAAGCTTGGGACTGCCAATTTCAAACTCAAAAAAATTTGGGACTGCCACTTTAAAACTCAAAAAGTTTGGGACTGCCAATTTCAAACTCAAAAAAATTTGGGACTGCCAAATTTAAGCACAAAAAAATTTGGGACTGCCAAGTTTTAAACTCAAAAAAATTTGGGACTGCCAAATTTAAGCACAAAAAAATTTGGGACTGCCAAATTTAAGCACAAAAGTTGGGACTGCCAAATTTTAAACTCAAAAAAATTTGGGACTGCCAATTTCAAGCATCCAATTCAAATCAAAATATTTCAAATTTGCTCGAATTTTTGAACTCTCTCAGCTTTTTGACGAAGCTGTCTTATTTAAACGCTATTTCCACGTAATTATGGCCTCAAAGGTGAGGGAAAAGAGACGAAGACAGGTCAGACTATTCAAAATTATGGCGAATAGACTGTTTCACGAAGAGTAAACCAAATAATGTCTAGGTGAAATTTGAACAAGGAATCTAGAAATATTCCCTGCTAAAAAAAAACACCTTAAAAATCCTAAAACGCAACACGCTTCGTTGCAATTTTTTGCTTTTCCGTCACTCAAGCTGCCCTCTTAACTTGCCAGGAGTACGAGGAAAAAAACGCAAAAGAGTGAGAGAGCCAGGAAAATAAAGAGTTCTGAGTCTTTAGTGGTTGGTTTGTCTTTGGGTGGAGCTTCTCCCTCACTTGCCAACTTGCAAGCCCAGGCGGCAGTCGTCACTGTACTACACTGTTAATTATCAACTGATTTATTGATCTGAAAGAAATCGATAAAATCAATAAAAATGATGCGAGAACTGCAGCAACGCTTCGATTCCTACAATCAAAGTGCTTACAGCTCGCGGAAATCGCTCGGACCCCCAAGCCAGGCTCAATCCTACAATGATATCGTGAGTTTTTTTTTCGAACTTTCAAGGTTTGTACCTTCGGGTTTTTGTGATTCAAACCCAGTCAACCGTCTTATTTTTGTACAATATTCCTTGTTAATGTTTTTCATCTTGTTTCGAGACTTTTTACATGAAAATAGCGCGTAAACACGAGAGAGTGCAAAGAAATGAGAGGTTTCCAAGTCGTGGATGACTAATTTTATTTGATGCTCAAAACTGGAGGTCCCAAAAATAATTTCTTATTTTGAAATATTTAAGTTTTTTGAATTTTTCTTAACGCTGAAAATCACTGAAAATTAAAAATGAAAGGCGATTTTTCAAATATTTTCTACCCACATTTCTAAAATAAAATTTATCGATTTTTGGATTCTAACTTTTTGCAACAACTGAATGTCAAAAAAACTCATAGAAAAAAACGTTCAGTCCCTGAATAATTCTACATTCTCTGTTCATTGACAAAACTATTATTATTGCTTGAACTGTGAGAGATCTCATAAATTTATCCTATCCATTGAAATAAAAATTCGATATTTTCCGGTTCTATTATCAATCGTTTCCTTTGTTTTGTTCAATGTATAAAAAAATAGATCTGTTGAATTTCTTTAATTTTTTTGATTCATTGAACCTGGGAAAATTTACCTTTTTAAAAATTTAGGATTTTTTTCTAGATTCACTGCTATATTTTTTTAATTCGCTTCGTTTTTCAAAAAAATTTAAGAAAAAAACATTTCTTTCTTAAAGGCATAGGGGCAGTAAAAAAACGGTGTTTCAGTTCAAAGCAGTACTTTGTAGAGCTTTCCATTGCGAATCGAACGGTAAACTTGGGAACGTACTGAACTTCCTAGTTTTGAAGAAAAAATAATTCAAAATCGGAGAAAGAAAAGCTTGAGTTCCCGCGAAAAGGCGCTTTGCAGTAAACACTAAGAATAACTGACGAGATAAACGCGAGCTCGGTGGCGGTACATTGACTAACTCGCAAAAATGTCGCTTTTTTCTAGGCGCGATCCAGCATTTCTCTCGGCGCGACCTCGCATTTTTCTCGGCGCCATCTCGCATTTATCTTGCATTTCGGAAATTTTCAAATTGCGAGAGAAATGCGAGCTCGCGCCTAGAAAAGTGCGAGCTGGCGCCCAGAAAAATGCGAGACCGGCGCGAGAAAAAAAGCGAGATGTTTGCGAGCTCGTCAATGTACCGCCAGTGTCTCGCGTTTATCTCGGCAGTTATTCTTAGTGAAGTTGCTCTATGGACAACAGGCTTCCCCGTTTTTCGGATTTTCGCTCTTTTCTTCGTTTCTTTCAATTTTAAATTTTTTCTGTTGTCATCAAAGTTCTTTCCGTCACAAAAGCTTTCTATTCATGTATAATTTGCAAACTTTGATTGCAAAAATGCTTCTTTGGTGAAAAATGATGATTTTACGCAGGTTTCAATTGGGATAGCGTTGTTTTTGTGTTTTTCTTTATTATCATTGTGTTTTTTCTGTTTTCTTAATCGATTTTTCAGAAACGAAACCCTTAATTTGAAGCAGAAAGCCGGTTATTTCTCACAAAATGCGAGTCTAATGAGACGTCCGCAACATCGCGTGCACAGCTACTGTAATCAGTTGTCTGAGCACCGATCCAAAGCTTTTTTCAAAATAAAAGGCGGGAAAGTGAAATCGCGTTTTTCTTCTAGAGTTGTCACATCTGTAATTTTTTTGAGTACACTGTTGGATTCGCAAAGAAAAACTGTATAAGATACTGCTTTCACCTGAAACCCCATTTTTTACTGCCCCTATGCCTTTAAGTAAATCAATTAATCATTCATTGATTAATCAATTATTAAACTTGCTGAAACGAACTTCCACACATTTCTTAAATATTAAGCTCGTTTAGAAACCGCAGAGCTGACTTCCAAAACCAATTGTCATCAAAATCCAGGGGTCTTCTAAATATAAATTAGAGCTAACAACTATTTTTCCTTAAAAAAAAGCCATTTGTCATCAAAAATCATCATTTCTCTGCTTATTTCAAAATCTCAAAGTCAACTTTTCGCGGATAAATAGTCGAAGACTGCTTGAAAACACGGTTTTGTTCGTTATTCCAAGGAGAGTTTTATTAAAATTCATTGATTTTTTGAATTCTCAGAATCGGCTACGAATGAACAGTAGTTCAAAAAAGCTCCTTCTTGAAATTCCTCAACCTTTTTTTTTATTTCTTGCTCTAATATTCGATCATTGATATACAAAAAATTCATTTTACAGAAATTGTCTTGTAAAATCAAAGAAGCTAATGGGGGATCTACGATTTTTCAAAGCAAAAAATCCTCCTTTTGGTTTTTTTAATATTTTTGGATCCTTGCTTTAGAAACATTATTTGTTATATCGAATCGAGATAATTGTCCTCAAGACATACTTTGATATAGCTAAACACCGCCTTAAATGAAATAATTTTCGAAAAAGCTTCTCTCAACCAAAATCAGTGTTTTCTTCAAGTTTAACAATTCCTTCATCGAACACCACTCTCCAATCAATAAATAGTCCAAGACCAAGAAATCTTTTGCCAATTTTTTTGCGCGGAAGCTGAAGGAGAAGAGAGATTTCGCTTCAAGTGCCGCTCCCTTCGTTTGCGCAAACTGTAGTAGTAGAACGCCCACACATACGCGTCGCCTTTTTTTTCTTCATGTTAGCTTTTACCGACCCACGGGGGAAGACGCTTTTTCTCCGTCATCATTGCTCTCTTCTGCATCAAGAAGCAGAAAGATACAGTGTAGTTTGGAAGAGCATTAAAAAAAAGGAATTATTGCAAAATAGATGCTATATCGATAAACAGCCGTTCAAAAATTTTCCATTATACGCTTAAAAAAGTTTTTTTTAATTGTAGATCTGCTTTGATTTGAAATTTTTCTCAAACTTTGTTTTCATAAATTTTAAAAGTTTTAAAAACTTGATTTTTTCCTATATTCTATGTAGCTTGTAAAGATAAAGAATAAAAAAAAATATTCTCCCATCGACTTTCAGAAGATTCGATTCTCACTGATAAACCCAAACTTTTCCTCCCAAAAAAACACCCCAAAAGCCCAAAAAACCCGTCAAACGGCGAGTTGTTTGACCGACACGAATAAGAAGCAGAAAATTGTTTGCCAATGGCATTTATTTTCTTCGGTCGGCACGCCCGGAAGAAAAAAAACGACATGAATTTGTTTCCATTTGTCTATCTTTTCGTCAAAATGTCAATTTCGGAAGTAGATAGGGACATATAACAGGAAGGAAAGGTTGCGTGTGACTGGAAAAACCATTCCAAATTCATGGAATTCATTCGGCTTTCCCTTCCCCCACAGAGCCTGTAAACATCTTTTCCTTCCTTCTGAGCAAAGCTTTTCTCTGTTTTCGGCCTTTTACTGAACTTTCTTTCATAAAAATGTTTCTTTATCAAATAAAGTACTAAAAACTTGAACCCCAATTTTTTTCGATATGATGGTCCAAAAAAAACGTATAGAAGGATCTGTACTATTTTTCTGAAGCAAAATATGAAATTTTTGCGATTTTTTTATCAAAAAAAGTGCCGCATTCAAATGGGCCTATTCTTTAAATCTAGATCTGAAAAACCCTCTTTTTTTGATTATTTCTTCTACGAAAAAAACTTAATTTATGTGGTTAGACTATTTTGGAAAAGAAACGCCAAAGATGTATAAGATTCTGATTTTACGACTAATTCCAAAAAAAAGTTGCATTAGGAGGACTAACTCTTCGATTTCTGAAGAATCTAAAAATAGAAAGTAAAAAATTATTTCTTTTCCCTTATAAAGAAAAATGAATAACCTTTCGGCAGCCTCAAAAAGTCTCAAAATTCCAAAAGCTTAATTTTTGCTCTATAAAGTCCAAATTAGGTGAAAACCAAGCTACAAAAGTGCGCTTTTCAGCGTTCCGGAGGCCGATCTCCTTCACGCGACCCCCTGCACAACGACTCGATGATCGGCACGTTGAACAGCGAGTACAGCAGCAAACATGGCGTCAATACCATCCCGAAGGGAGATTGCGCCCATTGCGGCAAGCCCATCATTGGACAGGTTCGCCTATTCTTTTCAATACGTTAAAAAGTTGAAAAGATAGGAAATATATGTAGTGAAAGGTGGAAAAAAATAGCTTACATATTTTTAAGAAGCCCAAGATAGAACTGTTCACTAGGGATTTTTAAAGAAGATCGCCAAAATTCAAAAAAGAGCTGGAAAAATGGCCGTTCCAAGTTCACCTTTTCCGCCTTAGAAGAGTCAAAAAGATCCAATTTTCAAGAAAACATTATATGTTTTGTTCCAAAGAGTCCAAGTTAGGCAAGCAAGACAAGAATAAACAGTTTTCCATTTTCAGGTTGTGATAGCCCTGGGAAAAATGTGGCATCCTGAGCACTACACGTGCTGCGAATGCGGCGCTGAGCTTGGCCATCGGAACTTCTTTGAGAGGTATTTTTTTCTAATAGTTATCCAATTTCATCAGATTCATGTCTGACAAGTAGTTACCCTTTTCTGAGATTTCGACTAATCAAGACTTTAGAAACAACTTTACAAAACTCTAAATATTTCTTCGATATTTCCGGCTTCATTTTCGTCTCATAGTTCATCTCATACACTAACTAGGGAATGTTATCAGTTCACAGTGGGACTTCGAAATGAGACTAGGCTTACTAGATGTAGTTTTTTACGCTGATATCGAATCTGTGTTCAAAAAACTGCTCTCGAGGCCTGGAAAATAAGAAAAACTGCCGAGATGGAAGCGAGGTCGCTGGCGGTACATTAAATACCCTGCTTTAGAGCCGCTCCGGTCTTGCCTTTCACTTGACAACTTTTTTTGAGTGCATGATGAAAACCAAGACACCCCTAAAAAAAAATGCGGAAATGTCCGCAAGCTCAGGAATGTGCCACCACTGAACTCGCATTTCTCTCGCAAATGATTAGGAAGTTATCTTCAGGGTAGTTTAAGAGCTTTTTCTTCAAAAACCTTAAGAAATAACTAAACGAATTTCCAGAAACGGCCGAGCCTACTGCGAAGAAGACTACCACAACCAGTTCAGCCCCAGATGCGCAGGTTGCAGTGGACCCATCAAGGATGTTAGTTTATAACTAGAATTTATATATTTGTTGCTCCATCGTCTCATACTTACCAAACTACCACATATTTTGAAAATTCCTCCAGCTCTCCTCAAACAGTCAAAACATAAAGCTTGAATTATGTATATTTATTGAAGAATAATTATTTTGAAAAGAAGCCTTTTTTCATGTGAAGCGATCTAGAGGTTTTCCTTGCCTTTTACTCGAAGATTGTATTTTTCTGAACTCCCCGCTTTTTTCTAAACTTTTTCGTTTTCCGTTAAATTTCATGCTTTTATAGCTGAAATTTCTTAGATATCAGTATCAGATTACAGCTTATTAAGACTTTATGCTTTCCTTCTTTGTTTAAAAAATAAAATATCACATGTTGCAGCGTTGCGTGACGGCGCTCAACAAGAACTTCCACCTCCAGTGCTTCACTTGCTCAGAATGCGGTCGCGAATTCGGCGAGGACGGCTTCCACGAGAAGGTTTGTTCTCCTACAATCAATATACTTGATTGAAAAACTTTGACTCTTTTCAAATAAATCAAACTTTTATCAACCTTTATCTCACTCACACGAAAATCAACTTCAAAACGACTAGAACCCCTCAAAATATTTCTTATCCTGATAAAGTTTCAATTCCAGAACGGCCAGACCTACTGCAAACGCGACTTCTTCCGACTTTTCGCGCCGAAGTGTAACGGCTGCAGTCAACCCATCACGCAGAACTTTATCACCGCCTTGGGAACCCATTGGCATCCGGATTGCTTCGTTTGTCAGGTACCCATTCTATTTGATAGGAAACTCAAGAACCATGTTCAAGAAAGTTTACAGCTCGAAATTTTCAATTATCTGTTCAAATTTCATTTCAAAGCTGTAAATTTTAAAAGTTCATGACATAAAATTTCAACAAGAAAATTAGTTTCATTTTCTTTGACATCAAAAAAAAAATTAAAGAAACCATCAAGCGACGAGTGTGCGGTACGTTGTTTCCCGTCAAAGTTTTTATATTTTTCAAAGTGTTGTGCTTGTATTTCGTACCAAAAAATTGACCCGATATCGTGTCCCATTTGTCCAAAAATCTTGAAAAGCTTGTGTTTTTTGTGGTTTTTTCGATGGCCGATTTGCCGTGCAACCAATTTTTAATATTAGTCGTTTTTTTTTTGTCATAATAGAAGCCCCATAGATAGATTGGAAGGAGAACTCATCCGAGAATCAATCGATGAAAATATTTTTGAAAGGTTCTTGAAACTTTCCAAATGTCTTGGATGAGATCTCAATTCCTTTTAACAGGGTATATGTCACAATGGGATGAAGAAAAATAGCCTGAATTGAGTGAAGACATATAAAATAAAACATTTATTCTGAGTTTTTTTCGATTTAAAAAAAATTTTAAGCGAGCCATTAAATTGAATGTCTGCTCCAGTACGTCTATGATCAGTTTTTCGATCTAATTTTTAGATTTTTTTAAACTAATAATCTTAAAAAAACTGGATCCGTTCCAAAATTACTTTTTCACTTAAAAAAATATGTTTGCTCGCCAAACGCTGTCAAATTTATCCCTAATTTAAGTCACCTAAAACACTTTTCTTGTGAACCTATTTGAATTTGATTTGAATCAAAAAGTATTTCCAATCGCTGGTTCGGATACCGGTTAGGAAGTAAAGGCAAATCCAAAAAAAAAACAGTCTAAAAGTTCTCAATCACGGCTATTCCCCTCCCACCATCGTGTCATATTACCGTCTAACCATCGCCAAAAGCGGCAAGACCAGGCTCCCCACCCAAAAAGTTGCAGTCTTGCGGCGTTCCGTTCAACGGCGGCAGCTTTTTCGAGCACAACGGCGTGCCCTTGTGCGAGAAGCACTACCACGAGTCGCGCGGAAGCCTCTGCGCCCAGTGTCGCGCGCCGATCAACGGTCGCTGCGTCGCTGCGATGGGTCGCAAGTTCCATCCGGAGCACTTCCGCTGCTCCTACTGCAATCATCAGCTCACCAAGGGCACCTTCAAGGAGGTCGACCGTCGGCCCTTCTGCCACAAGTGCTACAACAACACCTACGCTCTGACGCCTGCCTAAGTGTTCATTTTTTTCCCGTGTCTTTCTGTTTTTCTTTTTTTACTCTAAGTGGTCACTTAAGATGTCTTTTTTGAATTTTTCGTTGAGCCCAAACGCATCGAAGCATCCCTCAAGTGACCACTTCCTATTCTCATTCAAAGAAATGACACAAAATGCGACGAACTCTTGTGATTTCCTTTTTAGTAACCATCGCAGCATTTTGTGTGATAACTTTGAACGCAAAATAAATTTTTTCGATGTTGTTTGAATTTATTTTTTTTTTGTACTGACCGAATAACTTTTGTTTAGAACGTCTAGGCCTGATTATATATAGTTCATTCAATGATTTTCAAGAAGCTTGAAATTTTCTCCAAGGAATAAAAAAAAATTCAAAAAATACCGAATGAACAATATATACTTGCATACACGGTCAATTATATCCCGAATTGTAAAATCCTTGTTGATGAGCGATATTAGTTGATTTTTTATGTAAAGAATTTAACTTTACCCCTTTTTATGATAATAGAGAGCTTATTTCGGGAACTTTAATAATTCTTAAATCTATTTTTTTCGTAAAGATATTAGTAAGAATCCTATCTTCGAAAAATTTCGAGTTTCAAACAAGTCCTGAAATTTAGTTTCAAAATCAACCTAGAATCTCATCTCATCAACACTTTTCTCGTTTTTCAATGTTTTTCATTACATTTTGTGCAATTTTTTCGTGTTTTTTTCATAACCAAAGAATGAATTTCTAAAAATGTCGCATTTCCTATTTGTAGTTTGATCAAATATAACGTTGTGTGCCTTTTATTCAACATATCAACGCAATTTTTCACTTTTTACTTCGTCGACCTCAAGTTCTCCATTTCTGATTCACTTATCCCTGTTAAAAATTGAATTTTACATAAATAGGAGCCAAATCTGTTTTTTTTTTCAAGGGAAACGATCACTTTTCGGCGCAATGCCCCTTGGATGTCACCTATTTCGAAGAAGAAGAAGTTTATTAATAAGTGTTTTTTCTTGAATCACAATAAAAACGAACTAACTTCCTGCTCAATTGTCCGTAGTTTTTTTGTCGAACGTTGTAAATTTTATTTTCCCCTTTTGATCAGCTGCAATAAATTGATTTCCATGAAAACAAGAAATGAAGTGAAGACTGCGCATAAAAAAAGAGAATTGGGGATAAAAAAGAAAATATTTATTCATAGATGGCAGTTTCTGCAACAAAAAAAAAAACGAAAACTTGCATTGAAAACTATAACCAATAATCTTCAGAAGATTAAGGTGAAAAATCGACCAAAAAACTACGAATCGGGGCCCATTATTCAATTTTTCATGGCAAAACAAATTTCAAGATTTTTGGTCAATTAAAAATTTCAATTTTGATGAATCTATTTGGAACTGATAAAAACCGAAAAATTCGCAAAAAGTCGAACAAAAACTGTTTTTCACATGACTCAGAGCAAAACTGATTGAATTTTTGCTGAAAATCAAGATTGAGAATCCCTTGGAGCTCTCTTCGACGGCAATCTGTACGACCTTCCGAAGAAGTCTCGTTCTTGAAGGCTTGTGTAGATGCAAATGAGCTTCCCACGGCCTGGCTGTTCGGTCGCTTCATTCGACAAGAGTCGGCACGCGCTAAAAATTTTTAAATCAATTTCACATAATTGGTTGGAATCCAAATTTTTCAGCTCGTTAAAAATCCTTTAAACCTATGGTATTCAAAGTTTGAAACACTTCAACTTGATTTTTTTCAATTTAAAAAAATTTTTCAGTTTCAAAACGTTTACGCATCCAAATACTCTCGATTTTTTTGTACAAATGTACAAATATTGTAACCTGGGTAATACATAGAATTTTTCAAAACTTTAAATTTAAAAAAATTCCTAACTTTACTCCTTCAGAATGAGTCAGTAAAAACTCAACCGTGACCGCCCAAACTTCCCAGCTAAAATTTTTAAAATTGGGACTCGAAATCTATTTTTCAAAATTTTTTTTCCTTTCAAAAAAATAAATCATTTTTTTCTATGAACAAAGTTTATTTTTTTATGATCAACCTCGACACGTGAAGCTTGTACTTTGGACTGGCAAAACTCCAGATGCAATAATTTCCGAACTCGAGCTTTTGTTGCACTTTTTCGAGACGTTTTCCGGTGTAATACTTCTGAAAAATCATTTTTTCCAACAGTTCTATGAGTCATTGTCAAAAAAAATGTTTAAAGGCATAGGGGCAGTGAAAAACGGTGTTTCAGTTCGAATCACTACTTTGTAGAGTTTTTTTCATTATAATTATAATTATAATGAAAAAAACTCTACAAAAAAATAATAATTCAAAGTCGGAGAAAGGAAAGCTTGAGTTTCCGCCAAAAAGGCGTTTCGCAGTAAAGTTGCTCCATGGACAACACGCTTCGCCATCATCCGGATTTTTGCTTTTTTCTTCGTTTCTTTCAAATTTCAATTTTTTGTGTTGTCACCAAAGTTCTTTTCGTCACAAAAGCTTTCTATTCATGTATAATTTGCAAACTTTGATCGCAAAAATGCTTCTCTGGTGAAAAATGATGATTTTACACAGGTTTCGATTGGGATAGCGATTATTTGTGTTTTTTTTATTATCGGTGTGTGTTTTCTGTTTTCTTAATCGATTTTTCAGAGTAGAAACCCTTGATTTGAAACATATAGCCGGTTTTTTCTGCCAAAATGCGAGTCTAATGAGACGTCCGCAACATCGCGTGCACGGCTACTGTAAACAGTTGTCTGCATACCGATCCAAAGCTTTTTTCAAAATTAAAGGCGGGAAAGTAAAGTCGCGTTTTTCTTCTAAAGTTGTCACATCTGTAATTTTTTTGAGAACACCATTCGATTCGCAAAGAAAAACTGTATAAGATACTGCTTTCACCTGAAAACCCATTTTTTACTGCCCCTATGCCTTTAAGATCTACCTCAGGTTGAAAATCGACTTGAACCTCCATCAACGCACGATGAATACTCTCAGAACATGTACTTGTAAAAAAATTTTGATTTGAAAGAAACCTTCAATTCTGTGTCGTTTCTATATAATTCCAGTTCTCGTTCCTCTTCTGTCCACCCTTCTGAGACCGTTTTGTAACCGCGTAGGAAACCACTATTCTTAAATGGACGAATTTTTGGATTTCAAGCCGGAAAACGAACAGCGTGCCCAACTTTGACGATGGGCGACCCTGAATGCGAAGCGTATTCGAAAATGGAGACATACGGAAGTCCGGCTGTTGAATGACACAATAAAGCTGCAAAAACATTCAAAATATATTAAGAAACTGTGTTAAATCAAATTTAATTCAAAAAAATGTCGATAACTCACTTTAAAGTTAAAATTTTTGATAAAAATCTACATACATTGACTTTTCACTATTTCTCGATCAAAACGTCAGCCCCAAAGTTTCAATAATGAATTATCAAATCCAGGAATTTGAAGATAAAATGTATTTGCAATATTCGAAACATAAAAAAAGTCAATACCTTTGAATTAGTTATGAAATATGAATTTTTCAAACGTGACGCAATTTTTCAGAAAACCACATTTTTTTCAGTTACAAAACAGATTCAAAAAATCGACAAAAACCTTCATGAATGGCTTTGGCCAACGCCAATGCGATGAGCCTCGAAAAATCAAAGTTTTCAGCAGCATCCTGCAAAAATTGAAATACGTCTTGTTACACACTATCCACTAACAGATGTATTAAGGGGTGGTGGGTCCAAAGTGTTGCTGGGCCTTCGGTTCGGCTTATTTGGGAGAAGGTCGTAGCTGGGTCGCAAGATGATGTTGCCTCCGAGTATTTCGTAACATTCTGCTAAGTTGTACAGTGTTTGGGCACTCACGTTTCCATCCCTCTAAAATTTATGAGTTGCTTTTATTGGGTAAAAATATAGCCAAGTTGTAGAATTTTGTTACTTTTTTCCAAATTTAGAAAATTCACGGCGTATATCAAGTGACATTCCTAAACTTCCTAAAACCAAAAATTTAATGAACTTAGGAAGTCAATCATTCAAAAAAAAGAAGAGGAAGACAATTTTTAAATGGCAGTCCTAAAGCTGAATCTCCAAAATGGCAGTCCCAAATTTGAATCTCCAGAATGGCAGTCCCAAAGCTGAATCTCCAAAATGGCAGTCCCAAATTTGAATCTCCAGAATGGCAGTCCCAAAGCTGAATCTCCAAAATGGCAGTCCCAAATTTGAATCTCCAAAATGGCAGTCCCAAATTTGAAACTCCAAAATGGCAGTCCCGAAGTTGAATCTCCAAAATGGCAGTCCCAAAGTTGAAATTCCAAAATGGCAGTCCCAAAGTTGAAGTTCCAAAATGGCAGTCCCAAAGTTGAAGTTCCAAAATGGCAGTCCCAAAGTTGAAATTCCAAAATGGCAGTCCCAAAGTTACTTACTTACTTACTTTGATGGTCCATCTTCGCTGGCGATGTTCTCAGCGTGGACCACACGTTCTCCAGGCGGCCCGGTCTTGCGCAACGGTCATCCAGTGGCGGCCTGGTTGACTGATGTTCTTGCGAAAGTAGTCCGTCCATCTGGTCGGTGGGCGCTTGATGTTTCTCGGGATCCAGTGGGTCGTTCTCGTCGACCAGCGGTCATCTTGTCTGCGAATGACGTGGCCTCCCCAGCGATGCTTCCCGCGTTGAATGTGCTCTTCGAGGTCCTGGATTTGGGACCGCTGACGGAGGTCTGTGCTCGTCTGTTCTTTTTTCCACTGTTCGAGGCGAGTGGTACCGAGGAGTGCACGTTCCAATGCGCGGTAAGATGTTCGTAGGGCGGTCGTGGTGTTCTTCGTGTCAGGCCAAACTTCAGTCGCGTAGGAGATGGCGGGGATGACGGATGCTTCGAAGATATGCGCTCGCAGTTTTTGGGTCTTTCAGCTGGTTGGTAACTTCTTTTTATGGAGTTAAACGCGGCCCATCCAGCTCGTCGGCGTCTTGCTATCTCTGGTTTTTAAATCGTTCGTCATGTTGACTTCTCGGCCGAGATATACGTAGGAGTTGACTTCAAGCAGGTCTCGTCCTTCGAGGGTGACGTTGCCTTGGTCGCAGAAGCGGTTCCTCATCCACTGCGTTTTTCTTCTCGTTCATCTGGAGTCCGATCTTCTTTCCGACGGCGTCTAGATCGTTGAGCATGGATGACAGGTCGGAGGTGTTGTTGGCGAAGAGGACAATGTCGTCGGCGAAGCGAAGATTTGTTAAGATCTTGCCGTCGATGTTGATGCCTTTGATAACGTTTCCATCTTCCCAGTCTCGGTTGGTGTCCCAGCCGAGTTGCCGCATTGCATCTTCTAGGGCTGTGGAGAAGAGCTTCGGAGAGATTGTGTCTCCTTGTCGAACGCCTTTCCCGATGGGGATCGTGAGTTTTTTATTGAACAGTTGGATTGTAGTCGACGTTCCCTCGTTGCACTTTTTCGATGAGGTCGATATACTTCGTGGGGATTCCTGCGGCGACGAGCGAGTTCAGGATGGCGTTGATCTCGACGCTGTCAAAGGCTTTCCGGTAGTCTACAAAAGCCAATGCCAGGGGGAGGTGGTATTCTCGATGACGCTCCACAACCTGAGTCAAGGTGTGGATGTGGTCTAGGCAGCAGAAGTTCCGCCGGAACCCGGCTTGTGACGGTGGTTGGAAGTCGTCGAGCTTCTTCTCTAGGCGGTTGACGATGATCTTGGTAAACAACTTGTAGACGACCGATAATAGTGATATTGGTCGGAAGTTGTTCAGGTCGGTTAGGTCGCCTTTTTTGGGGATCAAGATGGTTTTTGAGACCTTCCATTGCTCCGGGATCTCGTTGTTTTTCAGATAGGTGGAGAAGCGGTCCCAAAGTTGAAATTCCAAAATGGCAGTCCCAAATTTGAAACTCCAAAATGGCAGTCCCAAATTTGAAACTCCAAAATGGCAGTCCCAAAGTTGAAATTCCAAAATGGCAGTCCCAAATTTGAAGCTTTAAAATGGCAGTCCCAAAGTTGAATCTCCAAAATGGCAGTCCCAAAGCTGAATCTCCGAAATGGCAGTCCCAAATTTGAAGCTTCAAAAGGGCAGTTCCAACTTTTTTCAATAACTTTCTAATGATGCGCAGATTGACCGGCGGGTACCGACATATTTTCAATTTTATTTTTTAAATCTTGAAACTTCACTCGAAACAAATTTTTCGCCTCGCCTATTACCCGTTTTATCCGAGCGGCTCAACCCGAATGAGGTTCTACGCGCATAATACAAAAAAAAAATTGCCGTCAAGTTTAGCCGCTGTTGATAAACAATTAATATTTCTACGAACGTTACTTGTTTTGTGGAAAAATGCAGACCTTAAAAATCTCGTCGTACTCAATCTTGCAATTCTTATTGGCGATTTGATCCTTCAAAATCGATTGGGCGAATAACTTCATATTTTTATGTTCTTCAATTGTCATTGAACTATCCGGAATGGAGGAGCCACTGAAAAAATTTCTTTCAATCAAAATTTTCCTCTCAAAACCTCCTGCAATATATTCCTCCAACGCCTTCGCTCGAGTGTTGATCCTTGAGGTAAGTTCTCACGATATGTGGCTGAATTATCATACAAAAACTTTACAAAAAAAGAAAAACCTGGAAAGTATCGAAGAGAAAAGATTTTCCCCCTTTCGGATACAAGTCCACTTTTGAAATTAGCCGCTGTACATATAAAAACTTCCATTCGACGTTATTAATAGTCTTCAGGACGAGATAGAATCTTTCCAATCCAGGAGACTAGCTTAATTCCTTTTGAATTTAGAGAGTAACTTTCTGGAAACCTGTGAAGGATCAAAAATACTCGGTGCCAACTTGTAAATAAGTTCTCGACTCAGACAAGTATAAAAATCCAAGGTGAACAAGATATTTCCTCCCTCGATGGGTTCCTGCCGGATCTCGATCAAAGACATTTGCTTTCTGTAAATGAAAGTTAACAAAATAGGAACAAACGCCTTTCTTTCTAATTTTTAAGGCGCTCGTTATATAGGGTTGAAAGTGAAATGTCGTAAAAATGGAACATTTCCTATAAAAGAAACGATTTGAAAAAAAATTTTACAGTCGCATCTGATCTCCAAACCCGTTCCTGTTGAAAATGAAGCTGGGATTTCGAAGAAAAAAAGTTTTTTTCAATTCTCCATAGCCAAAAAATTCAATCGAAACACAACCTCGCGTATAGTCTGTTCAGATTTTGAATGTCAAGTCATCGCTCAAGCTCCGCCCATAATGGTGCGATAAACCAATCAGAGAGCGAGCCATCCACAGAGCGTTTTCGAATGACGTCATTCTACTTGACATTCAGAATCTGAACAGACTATAGATCTTTTTCGAAAAAAATAGACTCTTTTTATTCACATTCCTTCCTTCATTTTCATTTTCTTTTTCAAGTATTTTTAAAAAAATAAAGTTGTAACATTAACTACTCCATCTCAGGTTTTTTTCTAAAGAAATAAAGACCTGGAAAATTTATGAATAGAAAAAAACGTACAAAAAGAACTGTACAAGAACATGGAATCATTCCAAGAAATAGAGAAAAAATCTTCAAAAGTCTTTGAAAATAAATTTATACATCAAAGAACGAAACATGGGCAATACAATTTCAGAAAATTTGTAATAAATACATTTCAAAGTGTCAAGTTTGGGCCAGAAGCAGCTTCAAAATCTCTCGCGATCCCATATATACATGAAAAAAAAGAAAAAAAGAATAATAATAGAGGTACCACTTCAATGTAACTGAAAAGTAATATTCACAATAAGAACGATTCCCGGTTCAAAATCAAGCCACAATCACCAAGCACCTCAGATTTTAAAATTTCTGTTATTCAACACGTCTCCCAGGACTAACGGCAGGCGGATTTTGTACTTTTCCACGTATGCTCCAGAATTGGTTTTAAGGACCGCCTGAAAAAAAACAAATTTCATCAAAGGGGAAAAAAGGGGAAATTTTTTGTTCTTAAAACGTATTTCGTGACGTTTTACTGTCTATGAGATCTTGAATCTCGAAATTCGATCGTGAAAATAATTCAACTAATGTAAAACCAAAAAATCAATTTTTTTCAAGTTCCAGAAAAGTGGCAGTCCCAAATTTTCCGCTTTAAATATTTTTCAAAAAAACTCGCATCGCTTGCCGTTTCCCTGGACTCCTTGGAGTTGCAGCTCCTCAACTGGCTGTTCAAGGCGTCCAGCTTCTCCTCGAGCTCCCTGTTTTGAGCAGCCCGCAGTTTCAGCTCCGACCGAAGTACCATCAAATCCTGGTTCAACTCGTACTTCTCGCCTTCCAACCGCATAATGTTGAGTCTTTTGGCGAGCTTTTCGCGTCTTTTCTGGTCTTCTAGGGCGCTAATCGTTCTCTCCTGCTCGTAGAAAGTAGCGAGAGTTCCCTTCAAGTCGTCGATGAGTTTTACCAACTCCTGTTCGTCCTGTTGCAGCTCTAAGAAGGTGTTATGCAGTGTTTGAAGGATCGCCGATGCAGGAGAGACGTCGTCGAAATGGCCAAAGATGTGGCCCAGGAGAGATTCGCTTTTGGCCAGAAGACGTGTCGTGTTTGTGACAGTGGCGAAGATCCCCGTGTAGATCATCATCGGGTTTGATCCATAGACAGAAGGAGGCAAGAAGACGTCTCCGGGCTCCTGAAAAAAAAACAGCTGGACAAGTTTTTCCTATAGCTCCATAGTTTAAAAATACCATTTTTGAACATTGGACTCAAAATCAGAAAAGGTGAGTTTAATCACTGCCACGAAGGAAATATTCAATCTAGATATTTTTTTCATTCTTTAAATTCTACCAGTTTTTTTGGTTTTTTTAATAAATAATGATGGAAACGAGTAAACAGGATTCTTTTTTTAACTACTTTTTAAGGAAATCTGCAAGAAAAAAAGTCATGTTGATCTTGACAAAATATATAGAGGCAAACATACGATTTACAGTCAAAAAAATGCAGTACTGTATGTTTAAACAATATAGAAATACTATGGATAAAAAACTTGGACTTCTGAGATTTTCGAAGCGGTTCAACTCGACTAACAGGCAAAGTCAAACTTTATCAGTTTAACAGCCCGATTTTCAGCCATTTTCACTTTCAAAAACTAACGTTTGCTCCGCAAAAAGAAGAAGAAGACGTTTCAGTGAGCTCCAGCTTGTTGCAGAAGGCCGTCTGAGTGCTGCAAACGGCTTCTTCCGCAGGCGCCATCGACAAATCATCAAAAACGGAGTCATCCGTCTGTCGAGGTTGTCTCATGGTGCAACCCGTGTAAGTTTCCGCCCATCTGCGAATTTTTTCCCGGGTAGCATCTGACAGTTTCGAGCAACTAAAAAAATAATGATCTTTCTTTTTTCTTCTTCGTAAGCTTCTCAAACAATTTTCCGGCTGGCATCTCGGTGTCCAATGTTGAAGTGACCGTTTCACTCTTATGTATGCGTAGTTTTGCCACTTGTATACGATCAAAAATGGGAGCCATCCTGAATATTTCTATTCGTTAAAACAGTCAAAGCGAAGAATATCAAAAAACCAGAAAAATGGCAAAAAAGGGTATCAATCAACTTGAATTGTCGAAAATATGAACATTAGCATGAAATTTTATCGCTGATTCTTTTTTTTTTTTGAATTTCATTGAAAGGCTTATTAAATGAAAAAGTTCTAGAGACGAAAAAGGCAATTCTTCTTTTTTTTTTCAACTGGAACAAGTCACAAGAGAAAAAAAGTCCCTATAAAAACATCAGAACGCTTCAAAAACAGCATTCAAAAAAAAAGTTAGTCGATACTTGAACAGGTGAACAAAAAATTGGAAGCTCGGATGGTGTTTCTTTTAGGGAAACTGATAAAAGTATCGAAAAACCGACGGTTTTGCGCAAAAATGGGTCAAGCCTACAAAAAAAAGTCTTTTCCTGTCAAGAAGAAAAGAAAACGACGGGTCTATTACACTGAGTTCAGATCTGAGAAAACTGTCGAATTCTCCGAACTTCAAGCCACAAAATCAGTTTGAAAGTTTAATCAAAAAAAAATTAACCATTTGAGCTTATGAAATGCGAAAAGGAAAAGGCGTTTTGAATTTGTTTTTTATCCTCATAATAGCTCGAAAAGGTGTGAATATATTGAAACATCATCAAATAGTTTGAAAAAAACTTACTGGGGTATTTGAAGACGGCCCCGAACAGTACATTTTAAAACTGTAACGAACTTTTAATCAAAATTTTCGAGACGTGTTCAAAAGTATCTCCCTTTCAAAATGAAAATTGGTCACAAAAATGATATCAACGAAAAAAAAAACATTTATTACAGAGTAAAAACAGAAGCAATATGAACATAACTCCTTTTTTGAAGAAAGGAGCTTGAAGTCAGGATTGAGAATCATCAGAAAAGCGCGTTGAGAATTTTTCATTATCCTGAAAATTAATTTAATAAATTCCACTGAAACTATCTTTATCCTTACCACTCTCTTATGAAACTCGGAAGACGTCGACGAGTCCGAAGATTCTGGAGACTCGTCGCGAAGTTTTTTGAGCCTGCCCTTGCAACGAGCCAATTGTCGGCCAATTTTCGTGTTGTCCCGATTCGTGACTTCTAATTTCTCGCGAAGAGTTTCGATTTGACGGTCTCTCTGTTGAAGCTGCTTGGTCAATCTCCTATATTTTTCGCGCAATTCGTCGTAGTCGCCACGGAGACCTCGAATTCTGGATCTCTCGGATTGAAGCGCGTGGTGAGCGTTGTCCAAAGCCTCAGAAGTTCCTTCAAGTTCCTCGTGAAGATCGTCAATCTTGCGGGCGCGCAGGTCCATCACTGATCTGTACATTGCCACCTGAAAGAGTTCAATTCAATGACTTTAGGGAACGAAAAAAGCAATTTTTTTTTTCAAACGAGTGTTACTAGGGTGCTTCAAGTTTCGGGATCCTAGCGAATCAGGCCAGGGGAAATTTTTCCTACATTTATCATTTTTTTAAAACGAAAAAATCCTGCAATTTTTTCGGGATATTGTAATGTTCAAACAACCTTTTTTTGAACTGAAAAACTCATTTTTCGTTTTTCATTTCTCATAGTTCTAACTAAAACATTTTTTCAGATGGTGGGTCATTACTTGAGTAAAAGTCGCTTTTCATTTAACTTATTTATGTCACGAAAAATTCTGAAAATCTTATCAAAAACCTATGCATAGCTATGACTTATAACAAAAAACTATTTCAATTGGAATGAAAATCATTAGACTAAAATTTAGCTTAAAAAGGTTCAAAAGGTCAAGGCGAAAAAAAAAACGATCATAAAGAACTTTCTCAAACTTGCGAACGGTCGCGATGCGTTGTACCTTGCACGGATTTAGGTGTTGAGATATTACATCCGAAAAATTCCACTGATGCGATAATTTTTAAATTGGCTCTCAAAACGAGTCACGACCGCTTCGCAAACACTCGAATTCCGCTCCAAGTGATGAAAAGATAGTTATTTTGAAAGAAAAAAGACGCTACCTCGTTGTTCAGTCGCTCGTTATTCTTGTGAATCATCTTGGTCCATGGTCTGACCTGTAGTCGTTCAATCAAAGCTTCCTTCTCGTCAAGAAGTTGCTCGAATTTCCTCTCCAGTTCAGAAATTCCAGCTTGATTCTCTTGTTTCAAGACGCCGAGAAGCTTGGTCAACTCCTGGGCGTCGCTTTTGAAAGCCAGGAAGGAGTTGCGCAACGCCTTTAAAGTTGTCGATTCTGGAGTTTCTTTGAGAAAAACCCCATCGGCTTGTTCAAAGAGGTTTTCGGTTTGTTTCAGAAGGTGCGAAGTATTTCGGACCCTGGAGTAGACGTCCGCATACAGGAAACGAACATTCGACTGGTGGATTGTAGAACAAGTGGAATATTGGAAGATTTTAGAGAAACACGGCTTTTCCGGTAGAACATCTTCTTGGCTCTCCGGTAGCTCAGACGTGAGCTGAGCCGATTCGTCTTCATTCGTGTCGAATTGTATGGTGCCAACAGATGAATTCGCGGCTTTCAAAAGGTTGGCCCGGTTTCTCGCATTTCTTAGGTTCGCCAGGCGTTTATAATGCAACTTTTTTCGAGCACCCATACTGTAACAATTCATTTAATAAAAATGGTTCTAAAATAGGCGCAAAAACCGACAAAAATACTACAAACCGACATAAGAACGTGTACTTGAACGACGAGAAATAAAAACATGATATCTATTTTATAAGTTTCAGTACTTTCAAAAAGAAAACTGGAGAAATGTATTAATAATTACATCCGTTGAATTAAATGTCGATGATAATTTGAAAACGGTGCGAAAAGAGTATCATTTTGCCTATATAAACTTATAATAAACACAAACATCGATCTAAAAAAACAGCATAGAAAAAGAAACTTTTACCAACTCTACATATATATGCGATAAAAATCTTGGAACTTTAAGTCTAAGTAGCATTCTAGATGATAAAAAAAGCCCACTGAAAATTAAAAAAATGCGACTCCTTTTTTTGCATTGATTCTACCTAAAATGGATTGAAACGAAAAAAAAAAAATTAAAGTAAGTTCAAAAAAAAAAACTTTAGAGTACATGATCATAAGATCCGCAGCCAAGGAATTCTCTTCTGTCTCTTCTGGGCAAATTTGCAACACAGGGCACGGTTCCATTTTCCGTCTTAAAAAACTCAACGTTTTTCAAATATGATATGATTAATCAAGTATCGAAACGGAGTCCGGCCAATAGAAAAAAATTGGTCCTAAAATTTCACGGAATATTCTAAGAATAATAAATACGAGTTTATCAAAAAAAAACAGTATAACAACAAAAATGACAAAATGGCACAAAATTATTTTTTTATGTTTGGCTGCTCCGCCGCTTGACAATCGCTCGATGTGGCTTCCCATTGAGGTGTTTTTGCCTGAATTTAAAATTTAGATAGAAAGAATGAAGTTTTTCCAAAAAAAAAATGTATGAACTCACCAATTATTTTTCCCGGCTATCAACTTATCACAAACTTCACATCGAATGAGCTGATTCGCATCGTGACCGTCTTCGCCTTGCGATGGGGGCTAGAAAAATGGTGTGAGCGCCATAATTTATTGAATATTTTAAAAAGTTTTTTTGAAAGTTAATTTTTTTATCATGTTTCAAAAAAAAATCTCCCACTTCTTCTCGAAAATCGGTACCGCTTAGCCAACTTTCGACAACATCGAGGCCAGTAGAAATAATCGTCTCCTTGTCAGAAGTGTCGACCATTTTGGTGCTTTCCATCTTCGATTTTTGTTTCTTTTAGAGTCGATTTTTACCAGATTTACCCGATTTTCACCGCGCCTTCTCAATAACCTTGAAACGAACCACCGGCGTTGCCTGACTGAATACTGCCGTGTGTGTAGTTTGACGTCTTCACATCTATATTCGTCAAAGTTTTGAAAACTTGAGATAATTATTGATGGGAATTGATTCAGTGGATTTATTTATCACTTCGCGCGACTTATTTAACCTCTCAGAAGAGATTTATCATTAATAGGCATTCATAAACACCATTTTTGCTTTTTCGAGCCTCTCCCTTTTAGCGGCCATTATCCACCATTCCGACTTTGTTCGAGTTCCAAAACTTTTTTCAAGTTATCCATCAAAAAGCTCAAAAAGTAAGGAAGAGTTTTTGGAAAAAGTTTGGAGTTTGCGTAGATCCTCTGGACTTGAACGGGATTTATTGCTAAAAATTGCGTTTAGAGTGATCGGCGGTAGCATCACGGGTGCTACCGGCCAACATTAAAAAACTGGGGAAAAATTTCCAAGCGAACCCCTGATCAAATAGTTTCATTCCTTCTGGCGATTCTCGTTTTTCTGGTTCCAGCCGCAACCAAGGAATAAACTCTTTGAGTCCGATACACTGCATGACGCCGTGAGCTCCACAATCAGATAGCTTCAATTCGTTCTGGAAAATATAATTTTATTCAGAAACAAAACATGAATTTTGATTCGAAGTCCAACACAAACTTCTTTATAGAAGTCGATCAATTCGTCCTTCAAGCCCATTTTCTTCATTTTTTCCACCCGACTATCCAACCGCTCGTTCAAAACTTTTGGGGCGGCGTCAAGGTAAAGAACCTGAAAATTAGAATTTTTCAAAATCCGATAAGTTTTCAAAAACCAAACCAAAGAATTCGGAAACCGCAATCGTGTACTCAAATCAACATCGCCGTTGTTTTTCTTCTGTTCCCGGACGTGTTCACTTTTCGTCTTTCCTGGAAAATATTTTTCTCCACGAATTAAGAAATTTAATAGAAATTACCTGTAGATCTGTAAATTTCAACGGCGCGACGGACCCGAAATCGATTATTGGGATGGACGAGACTAGCTGATTTGGGATCACACTAAAAAAACCTTCAAAGATTTTCATCTTAACTAAAATTACTTCATTTAAAAGCTCCCAGAGTTGCTCATCCCTCAGAGAATCCAGCTCTTCATTTTCTCCGCCTTCTGAAATATAAAAAAAGTTATGTTTTTCCATAAATTTTTTTTATTCACACCAGCTTCAATCAAATTGTCCTGGAAAAAGCAGACTTTCTGCATAGTATGTCGTACCGCCGACAATAACCGGAATTCGTTGCCGATGCCGGATTTCCTGAATCGAAAAAAATAAATTTTTAAATAAATGGGAAGATTTAGGTAAAAAATTTTTTCAACCAGTAGTGACAATTGATTTAAAAGCGATCAAGAAAAGATAAAAAAAAACTTTTTCATTTGATCACCAACATCAATGAGTTTCAAGGCTTGGTTGCGAAACTCGTGGACATGAAATCGGTCTGAATCCGCGTCGAGAAACGACATCAAATGGTGAGGAATTCCTTGAGCTTCTTCTGTCGTTATTTTATTCGTTGCGATGTCGAGACCTTAAAAATTAACACTCAAATATTTCAAAAGTATCGAAAAAAAAAAAAACAAAAAAGATTTTTTTGAACTCTAAAATCGCGAAGTGAACGCCAAAACAGCTTCAAAATTTGGCTAAAAAGTTCAATTTTTTTCCCAAATGTACCTTTTATACAACTGCATAGAATCGGAACTTATCACTTCTCCTTGGTATTTCTTGGCTATCGCTACGCCTAAATCGCTTTTGCCCGTTCCAGTGCATCCGATTACGAATATAACCTGCAATAAAGTTTAAAAATGTGCGCACAAAAAAAAGTTGAGGACATTTCATAGGATGAAAATAGTTGAAATCTGAGAAGTACTACACTTTAAAGCAAAATGTTGAAAATGACATGCTATAAACATTTCACAATACAAAAGTCTTCATGGCGAAGCAAGTTTTCTCTTGAAAACAGTAAAAATAGCCTATAAGTCGAAATAAATGAGCTGAAGGTTGTCGCGCAGTTCAAGGGCATATAGATTGAACTTGGAAAAAGGTTCCGTAACGGAATCAATATTTATGATACAAAATTGTTTTAAACGCCTCAAAACAGAAAGAAAAAAACTAAGAAATTTTGAAATTTCGAAAAAAACAGACTAACATTTTCAACCACTCACCGGATTGGGCCGCATTTCTCCGAACAAATTTAACCGTACCGTATTTCCCAGTAGCTTACTTATCATAACAAAATGATCAACCTGAAATTTTTTTAATAATCAGCGGAAACTCGATTTTTCAAACATTGATGGTCGCTGAGCCAATAATTTGAACAAAAACACCAAAATACTTTGAAAAAAATTAAAACTTTATCAATTTCCAACAAAAAAATAATCAACAGGAATGTCTCAAAAAAAAAGCTATGAACATGCGAATTTCATTCTTAATTCAGGAGTTAGCGAAGAACTTCTGGAGCTCAGCGAGCGCTTTCGAACGATGCGAAATGCCGTTTTTTATGCCCGAGTCCATTTCGGCAAAAGTTTCATTGAAGCCATCGGGCTGAAAAAGAACTTTGTGTAGAAATGAATGATTTAGGGCAATCGTAAAGGTCAATTTTCGGAGTTCTTTGGAGATTTTTCGCTCTTGAACGCTTGAAATAGTAATATAATCTCACAACAAAAAAAACACTATAGAGGGTCTTTTGAAGTAACTTTTTTAACTTTTTCAGATTCTTTTCTTTTTCAGAACCCTACACCTCCAATTTTTACAAAGAAAGTACCTGAAAACAAGGATCCCATCCGAAGTTAGCCGGTCCACGCGGTTCTACAATTTTCCCCGCGCATTTACCTGAACAATTATTCCAGAATTGGATCGAAACAAAAATTAACAGACCAGAAAATACATGAACCGGCTCATCGACGCCTTCTGTATAGGCAAACACGCACTGGGCATAAGCCGTCTTGTCCTCAAAACCGGCTGTAAAGTTATTTTTTGAACTTTGTTTCATTTGAAGTGAAGTGAGACCAATTGAAACTTATCAATACGAAGAAAGGCATTTTCCAGGAAGTCGGTTTAGTTTAATTTACAAAAGTAAGCTTCTTTTTATAATTCTTTAATATTATACAAAAACTAACATTTGAAGAAGAAAAAATTAGATGACAATTGAGCAGAACAACCGGCAAAAATTAAACACGTATTTTTTGAAGTGGTAAAAATTACCCACAGGACGGTTCAGAAAAAAAGGAAACCATTCAAAATATTCAGAAAATCTGTTAATTTTGTCTAATATACGGAATCAAACGTTTAAAATTATTAGTATTTTTCATGCAAAAAAAGCCTGAAAAGCCCATATGGTTTTCTGGATATTCTCAAAATTTTTTTCTTGAAGAAGCTTTTAGGAAAATTCAAGAAAAAAACCTTCTTCAAAGGCTCAAAGACAGAAAGAGTTTTCTGGGAGCTTGTCATTATGGCTTCTCTGTTTGAAGGCACGTAATAGGTGGAATAGAAAGCGGAAAAAAAAGAAGATTGAAGTAGGACAGAAAAAAAATTTGATTAGGAGCAGATAAAAATGATCTTTCAAGAAAAAAAAAAGAAAAAAAGACATAAAGTTGACAAATGCAAAAAAAAAAATGACAAAGACTTACAAAAAAGCTCTACATGGGTAAGTCAAACCCTTTTAAATATTTGTAGTTTTCCTCTAGTTTCTTGGCGTCGTATCCGTGAGCCGCAATGACTTCTCCACTTTTCCACTCTTCGATATTCATTTCGCGAGTCCAGAAGACGAACGCCGGATTGTGAATCACTGGGACTTCAGCCTTTTTCGCCAGAATTCCAGCGTAGACGTCATCAAAAGAATATTCCTCGACGTAGGGGATCAAATGGAAAAAAGTTTCGACGGTGGCCTGCGAGAGAAGAACAGCACCAGCGGAGATATACGGTGGATACCTGTGAAAATATGAAAGAATAGCCTGCGTGGAAAAATGGTAAAAAAAAAATAGCTTCGCTCCAAGAATGATCGAAAATTGTTAATAATTACAAAAAAATTCTAATTTTATTTTTTTCATTCTTTTTTTCTCTGTACACGAAGATTGACCCCATTCACCAAGACTCGCAACTTCAAATTCAAAATTTGGCAGTCCCACATTTTCAAGCTCAAATTTGGCAGTCCCACATTTTTCGAGCCTAAATTTGGCCGTCCTAATTTTCAAGCCTAAAATTGGCAGTCCTACTTTTTCAAAGCTAAAAATTGGCAGTCCCACTTTTTCAAGTCTAAATTTGGCAGTCCCACTTTTTCAAGTCTAAATTTGGCAGTCCCACATTTTTCAAGTCTAAATTTGGCAGTCCCACTTTTTCAAGCATAAATTTGGCAGTCCCACATTTTTCAAGTCTAAATTTGGCAGTCCCACTTTTTCGAGCCTAAATTTGGCCGTCCTAATTTTCAAGCCTAAAATTGGCAGTCCTACTTTTTCAAAGCTAAAAATTGGCAGTCCCACTTTTTCAAGTCTAAATTTGGCAGTCCCACTTTTTCAAGCATAAATTTGGCAGTCCCACATTTTTCAAGTCTAAATTTGGCAGTCCCACTTTTTCGAGCCTAAATTTGGCCGTCCTAATTTTCAAGCCTAAAATTGGCAGTCCCAAAAAACAATGTCACACATAAAGAAGTCAAGCGCCTGTTACGACTTTCCCAAAGCAAGCTATTATTCCTGGACTATTTTTTCAGCCTTATCAAAACGCAGCTATTCTTTCAAACCAAACCTGCTGAACGGATAGTCCTCGATCGACACAAAATGCTTGTGGAGCGGCATTCGGAAAGGAGACGTGTCGAAGGCCCAGCCTTCATAATTCTCAAAGCTCGAATTCTTCTTCTTAACGTAGCCGACCAGGCTTTTCACGTTCAGGATGTAGTCGTCATCGATGAGAAGGGCGAAAAAAGGAGCCATTTCTTGAGCGTAGCTGATAGCAGCCATGAGCTTCTTGGTGTTGTTGCGGTAGGTATCGAGAAAATCAACAGCCAAAATGTCGTTGTTCTGATGATGCTCCAGCTCAATCAGATGCCAGTTTTCGTTTCGCCTTCCCACCACGAAGACCGGAACGACCTCGAAGTCTTCTACGACACGACGCTTCCCCCAAGTTTTTCTCACAGCTTCCCGTTGTTCGAGATTCCCGACAAACGACTTGATCATGATGTAGAGGCTCAAGGGACGAGTTTTTCTAAATTCAGGAGCCAAAAGTCGCGTGTAGGTGTTGGGGTTGAGAATTTGAGACCCGTGACGATCTTTGTTGATTTTTGTGTCCATCGCGTATTTTGTTGCATTAATATCTGGCCAGCTGAATCGATCGTATGGAGTCTCCCTGAGCAAGCTCGGAACTCCCAGCAAATACAGAATAATCAGCGCGAATGATCCCAAAAATGCCATGCAGAGTCGCCGACGTCTGAAGCAGAACCGACGGCGAGGCACTTTCTCTGAAATTATCTAACTGCTGGCTGGAGAGGAATCAGCGAATAACTGCATTCGGAAAATAACAGAAAAATTAAAAGAAAAAAACAGTTGAGACGGAAAAAATCACATGATTGGAGGGAATTTAAAGTTGATCTTTTTTTTTTTTCAAAGTGCACTAGATTTTTAGAACAATACAACACATTCACCATTGACTGGGCCCAAAATTTCACGAAATATTGGGCACAAGTTAGGAAAAAAGTTACTCCCAACTGGAAGTAACGGTCTAGAAATTATTACAAATGGGGCAGAAAAAAAAAACGAAAAAAGGCTTCAAAATAAATGAAAAGTGCGTCAAGTAAAAAAAAAAATGGCAAGCCATTCAATTTCTGAAATTAAAATAAAAACCCACCCAACATTTTGTACAATCCTCCGGGGCCCAAACTTTTCAGAAACCATTTGATATAAGGTCCAGGCATTCCACCAAAGGCGTTGAAACAGAGACTCGTGTCCTCCACCTGAAAAATGAAAATTAAAGCTTATTTTACTGAAAAAATTCTACAATAACAGGTCCTTGTACAACGGCGACCGCTTCTCTGCACTTTTTCTCCGAAATGAATTCGGGCTCGCCTTGATATTCGTTCAGATCGACGTCGTAGCTACGGATCTAGAAAAAAAGATTATAAAGTTGATCTTAGCCCGAAATAAATTGATTACAAAAATATAGTTTTCTCAGATTTCAAATGTCAAGTGCTCGCTCAAGCTCCGCCCCCTAAAGGTGCGATAAACCATTCAGAGATTGAGCCATCCACAGAGCATCTTCGAATGACTTCATCCTACTTGAAATTAAAAATCTGAACGGAGCAGAAAGTTGTTCAAGCGGAAAAAATCTTTAATGGTAGTAAAATTATCTGAAAACGGCTCTCACCATCGAGACTTTCACGCAAATTTATACGCGCTCCTTTAAAAAAAACCGGAAAATTTTTGCGCAAAATTTTATTTATGAACCATGTCGTTATTAAACAGAAAAACTAACTCTAAAATTGATTAAAAAAATTCTCACATCTTTTTTTAACTTGAAATTCCCACCTTTTTTTCGAAAAAAATTCAAACTTGCTATTTTTCTATTTTTCAAACACTTTAAATCAATAAAAAGGTACCGTAAAAAAACTTCAAAAGCATGAGCCTTTTTTCAGATTCTTAACTCACCTCCATATTTGATAGAATAGCCTTGACTTCGGCCAATTTTCCAGGATTTCCTGTGACAAAACTCAAAACGCGGTCGCCTCCTGACGCCATCCTCGTTTGCTGGATTATTCTTGGGAGAATCTGAAGAAAGTTTTGAGGAAAACGGAAAATAGACCCTCCAAGGAAAGATTTTTAAACAACTTTCACGTTTCCTAACACACTGCCTTCAAAGTTTCAATGGGGAAGTCATTTCTCAAGACAATCTTTTTTTTGAAAACGAAGTATTCGCGAAAATTTCACGTACTTTTTTCGAGCTTGAAATCAAATAAAAAACGAATAAATTTTATATTCCACCGTCGATCGAATTGATAATGATAATAATACATAAAAGCACACAAAAAAAAACAAACCTAAAAACAAAATTTAATGAAAAGGCTAGGCTACACGTCTATAATCAAAGAAAAAAAAAAGAAAAAATGGGCGAAAACTGAGCAAATTCAGGGGGAAATATAGCTTTTTCTGGGGGTAAAATTTACACCTACACTCTTTGAAAACGGTGAACTGAAGTTATTATAATTTATTTTTTTGTGAGAAAAAAAGGTGATAAACTATCCGAGAATATTCTAAGAATCACATAAAAATCTCCTACAAAAAATTGATTGGATTATAAGAAATTGATGCCGGCACCAATGTGGAAGCCGCGGAATATCGAATCGCCGACGACGTACTTCATCGGGTGAGTATAATTCAATTCCAGTCGGAAAATGTTCTTGAAAATGAAGGTTAGACCTGCAAAGAAAATGTTTGATTATCGAAAGTGGTATCTCGAAATTGAAGTTCATTCAATCTCCTGAAAGAAAAAAATCAAGAAAAAAAGCGATTATAACGGACTTGGCAAGTTTTCAAAATATTTAAATTTGTAACTAATTTTTTTCTGGATTTATTCGCGTCAGGACCTTTCAGAGAATCTCGTAAGCGCCTTTAAAATTCTCGAGTTACAGGCTTCTTGTAATTTCGATCATTCCCTGTGACCAATACCCCCTCTCCAAGGAACGTTTTCAATTAAATCGCATTTTTTTCAAAAAAAAAACCGACCAAGACCGGCAGATACACGCTGAGTATCCTGAAGCTGCTGAATCGGGTCCCGGGATCTGACTGAAGCGACGCTTCCGCTGGCCAAGAAAGCATGGGCGAAGAGCATTTGTGGCGGATACAGGGGCCGGTACAAATGGACTACCGCCGCCAACGAGGCTCCTCCGCCGATACAACTGTTGTCGGCTCGGACCTCAAAATTATCCATAACAGTATAAGTTTTAAAATCATTTGACGCGTCATTCATCCAAAAAAAAAATTTTATAAACTAGATGGACCATATTAACTATAAACTCCTAGAGTGCTTTTTAACGAGTTTTTAAAAAGTACACTAAGAATAACTGCCGAGATAAACGCGAGACACTGGCGGTACATTGACGAGCTCGCAAACATCTCGCTTTTTTTCTCGCGCCGGTCTCGCATTTTTCTGGGCGCGAGCTCGCATTTTTCTAGGCGCGAGCTCGCATTTCTCTCGCAATTTGAAAATTTCCGAAATGCGAGATAAATGCGAGATGGCGCCAAGAAAAATGCGAGGTCGCGCAGAGAGAAATGCGAGATCGCGCCTAGAAAAAAGCGAGATGTTTGCGAGCTCGTCAATGTACCGCCACCGACCTCGCGTTTATCTCGTCAGTTATTCTTAGTGTAATAGAATGAAAGCATATTTCTTAATTATTCTCACCCCAATCGTGTTCAAACCGAATCCTCGGATGTCCTGCTGGCCACCAAGATAACATCTATCCAGAATGTGAACCTGAAAATTATCGCATTTCATCAAAATTTCTTCTGCAAGAAGTTAGGAACCTCATTTTCACCAAGAGCTTTTAGCGACTTCGCCTGAACTGAAGCGGCAAGGATAAAATTGAACGGAAGAGGAGCGGCGGCCTGAAATCACTATTATTTTTTTATACTATTTTTCGTAAATTCATAGCTGTTCTTCACTGAACTACCTGCAGATCAATTTGATGTTTCAAAAACGACGCGTCGCCAAAAATTCCAGCATATTCTTGTGATACTCGAGCTGGAATCAAAATGTTCATGAATCAATATTACTCATGCTTTTTGATACCTAAAATGCCCTTTGAAGCCAAAATAGGCCTGTCTCTGGTATCGGCGGCTACAGAATTCTCCACGGAGAACTTGAGAGTGTGGCCGGCGTGTTCACGAACAGCGAAAGCCGAGTCGTCGGTCGCTCTCAGGGTCCGCCAAATCTAAAAGTAAAATATTTGCTTTTCATCCTTCTATATGAAAATTGCTATAACGAAGTTCGACAATCTTGAATCTAAGCTGGCGTCGATTTCGTGAGTTTTTTGTATTTTTAGACTATCTACTTTGAGCTCGAATTAATTGGGTCTGCCTATTTCTCGCTTGAAAACTTTGGGACTGCCGACTTTAATTTCGAAAAATGTGTGATTGCCAATTTTTAGATCGGAAAATTTGGGACTGCCAATTTTTATATCGGAAAATTTGGGACTGCCAATTTTGAGCTCGAATAAATTGGGACTGCCAATTTTGATTTCGAAAAATGTGGGACTGCCATTTTCCAGCTTGAAAATTTTGGGACTGCCAATTTTCGGCTTGAAAGTTTTGGGACTGCCAATTTTCGGCTTGAAAGTTTTGGGACTGCCAATTTCTCGCTAGAAAATTTTGGGGCTGCCAATTTTAATTTCGAAAAACGTGGGACTGCCAATTTTGAGGACCATAAGTCAGTTCGCCACAACTTTGAATAGTTTAATTTTGCTACTTCCTTCTTTTTCTTGGCAGCCCTCTCGTGTTTGCATGCTTTTCGTTCCTTTGACTTTGCTGGCGATAGAAAAGAGGGCGCAGAGAGGTCAGAATGCTTAAAGTCGTGGCGAATGGATTAAATCATTCCCCATCACACTGAAAAAACGCCAGGTGTCAAACAGGCTTTTGGAAAAGTCGAAGCCAACAAGTTATCAATCAAAGAGTCAGAACATCTCTCTAGTGCCTACTTGAGGAAATACTCTTAATTTTTGAGGTTTACCATGAATTTATTAAATTTCCGACGCCGATCTTTTCTGATTACAATTTTTATGTAATTTCATTATTCATTTTGCCAATTTGAACCTGATAAAAAAAATCTCACCGTATTGAGCTTAACAGAGTGCAAAAGCCTCTGACGCCAGAGCTGTCCATTGTACTGCAAGACTAGGGCGTTCTCATCAACGTTCGCTTGATTCCAAGGCAGGTAGGCCATTGACCTGGGAAAAAAATTTTCTAGAAAGACATCAGAATATTTCTCACCTATAGAGGGTCGATGAGACGTTGGAGTACTTCTGCCAGCCGAGGAAGGGCTTGGCGAGTGAAATGTTGAAGGAATGATCGCCCTATTAATCAAAAATCGTTGACTGGTAGGAGAATCGTTGGGAACCTTGACGGTATACGTGTAGGAGGTGTTGATAGACTCGCCACGACCGGCGAAACTTTGTTTTCCGGCGTTGATCGACATATCGGCGTCGCCATTCGTACTGACGCCCGCTTTGACGCCGGCGGTAAACGACTGGAATCGGTTACTTTTCTTGTCCGTTTTTCGCGACTTGAAAGGGCTGGATTTCTCTGCGCCCTCCGAGTCTCCCGAAGACCCTCTTTTGTTTACGTGCTATTTCCATATATCTCTGACCTCGCCGTTGAGAGAACAGAGAGACGCAGACACATGGCAAGTCGCATAGGACTATACTTTCTAACAAAATTAAAAAAAGAAATTCCCAATACTGCTTTTCTTAGTTATTAGTTCTAATCATTTGAATTTGCCTTCTAAAGTAAAAATCCTCGAGAGTTTACTACCAATTATTACATTCTCAAGACTCTTCAAAACATGAATCAAATAAATAAAAAGCCCTGTTTTTAAATCCTCTTCCATTCAACTTTTTATGTACCTTGGGCTCCTTGACAACAAAATTGACGACATATCCTTCCTTGGACTTCGGAGAAGTGTCAATAAGCGCCACGGCGTTGTCCATCAGACCAACTTCCTAAAAATAAAATTCTTTTTCGATCATTTTTCTTTCAAATTCACCTGCAAATGCCTAGCCGCCAGGTGAGATTTCTGTACAAGCTCGTCAAGTGTGGCGCTTTTGTACAGTTCGGAGATCTGTATGAGAATAATCAGAGAGGAACTTGATATCGGGAGTGATTTTAAATTTGATGTATCGAAATTTTAAATTCTAAAATTTCATAAAAATCCTCATAAGCTTGAGTCATAAGGGCTAGTTGTCTTTTATCACCTCTTTGAGCAGAGCATCGTTCTTCGTTACTCGAACTCCATGAAATTGAACGGCTTCAACCAAAGAAGGCACATATCCAGCCTTGTCGCGGATCAAAGACGCCTGAAAAATTATTTTACAGGAAATTTCAATAAAAGCGAAACGAAATGAGTATTTTTCTTAGCAACAAGTTATTTCTAGCATGGACAAAAGTCGGAGAAATTCTCGAAAATGTCAAATTCACCTTGTGAAACGTCTTCTCACCCATCTTCTACGTCGAATCGGATGATCCAATGGGGGAAAAGCAGGTGTTTTGAACACCCGCAGTTATTCCGCGATCACCCAGATCTGTAATTCATTTTAAAAACGTATGAATTTAATTGAAATGAAATAACGAGAAGTAGTGGATTAGAAATGATGAGAATACGTTTATAAAATTAACTGTCCAAAAAGTTCAAAATATTCTTTTTCTCTGATTTTTTTGTTATATCATCTGTAAAAAATGATTCCTGGGATTTTTGAAGACGCATGACCTTGAATATTTTGAGAACATTTTCATAACTCGAGTTATTTTTTGTATTTGTCTACAAGTTATCAAAAGCACGCTGAATTTTCAAGAGAAATATTGAATAAGCTCAAAAATTTGAGCTTCTTTTACTACTGTAAAGATCTTTTTTTAAATATAAACTGTCTGTAACATTTTTTTCGAAAAAGAGAAAACAAGAAACCCAATAAAAAAATACACAAAAAAATGGTCACAAAACCATCATTTTTTTAAATAAATAAAAAAATAATAAACAAGGTAAATTTTTTTATTCCATTAGTGGAAAAATCAACAAAATTTGATGACAAAATGAGAAAATAACAATAAATGAACAACTTCTTCAGAAAATCATCTCTGAAGGTTTTCGGCGTCTTCAGCGTTTTCCTCATCGACGCCGCCCAAATGGATCTGTTCAATGTTCGGCGCCAAATGCTCTTCGATGTCTTTGCTCAGGGAAACCAGCGGCTTTTCTGCCTAAAAAAACGATTCATAGGTAAAACTGAGAAAATTTTTTTGAAGATCCCAAGAGGGAGCTAAAAAAAGCTCCTAAAATGATGTAAAAAAGCTTTTGAGCCCTTTTGCCCGAGTTATGTACAATCAAAACAGTGGATATTAATAGAAAAATCATGTAAAAAGTAAAGAAAAAAGTTTGAATGAAAAGTAGAATGTTTGAACTTCTAGTAAAACAGAGCAAAAACGTTCGAAAATTTCCACCATAGATTTTTCCAGTTTTGATTTTCTTTTTATTCTTCAGTTTCTTCAGACGACATTAATGCTTAATTTTTCAATATCCCTCCAAACTTACGGTTCCACGACGTCGTTTCTTCTCCTCCTCATCAATTTTCAGTTTTCCTTCTAAGACCTTCTCATACATCGGAACGTATTCTTTTTTGTAGATTTCCACAGATTCTTCGACCGCCTTCATGACGTCATCGAAGCCTTCTCCAGTTAGTGAGGAAACACAAACTAAACCGAATTTTCTTATTACCGAAAATGTTCTCATTTCGTCTTTCAAATAATTATCGAAAAACCTTCCCGGTAACTACTCGGACATTTTTAACGCGGAACGAACGTGCTCCGGTCGTTTCAGGGTATTTCTAGGGATCACTCAAGAGTACTGAATCTACTAAAGTGGCCCAGGGGCGTCCGGAGCAAGTCTGTTTCGTGTTATAATGTTGTTTTTTTCTTAAAAATAACCAAGAAAACCCCTTCTTTTTACCGAAAAAAGCAAAAACTATCATTTTTGACTAGAAAAAACGTTCAATTTTCCCGACCTACCAGTTTTCAAGCCACAATAAAATTCATCGAGTACAAGGGACAAAGAGCGACTCAAATCGTTCATATAAGAGCTTCGTGAATCTTCCAAAGCTTCATCGAACCTGAAAAAAAATATTATTTTAACTATAAATTTTTTTAAATCGAAAAAACCTCTCAAAATCTGTCATCCATCTTAACGCAAACGTTGGCCGCACAATGTCAGCCTGGAATTTTGATGAAAAATTATTTTTTTCAAATTTCGAGGTACCTTATTAAAAAAACAACGATAAATGGGAGCTTGGTCCTGTAGAGAATTGAACAGGCGTAGAGCATATTCGACATGAAAGTCGTGGGATTTGTGGCCCTAGCTGAGTCGACGACGTAAATTACGACCTAGGAATCGAAAAATTTTCCAGGTTTAACAAAAAAAAATTTTCTCACAAAATTTGAAGTTCAATCTTATATAAGTGACATGACACATTTTGAACCATCCATTTTCTTGGCTAGAAAAAATTCCTCAATTTGAATTGGACAAGGTCAATTCGATTCAGTTGAAGAAGTTATGCTTTAGAAAAAATTTTGTGCGTTTGAATTTCACTTCAAAATGAATAAACTTGAGGAGAACCCAGATACACGGGAGAAAAAATGTAGAGAGCCTCGCTTGGGATTAATTTCATTTTTCAATAAAAAAAATGTATTTGGAAAGACGCTAATTTTGTTCTTTTCCAAGGGCAAAGTTCAAAGGTTCTTAAAAAAAGCTTCTAAAGAAAAAAAGCCTCTAAAAGGCTTCCAAGGCGCCTTCATTTCTAGACCTTTTGAGAAGGTTGAAAAGCGGAAAAAAGTGAGAAAAAAAAAGGAGAATTTTAGAAATTGTTGATGCCTTTTCAAGAGCTCAAAAAGGAGCTTCAGGCTCTTCTTTATGAATTCGTTTTGGACTTTGCCCGTGCCTCTGCTTTTTCAGAGTTTACTTGTTATTTTTTCAGCTTTTCCTCTTTTAACTGTCATTTTTTAATATTGAGACCGAACCGTCGGATGGCTGCTGGCCAAGGAATCCGTGATAATCGATCCACTGGCGCTCCAGGTGAAAGCCTCAATTTGTCCAGGGGTGTCTATTAAACAAACTGGAAACTGGTCGGAACGCTTCTTAATCATCGAAATGACCTAAAAATATATTAAAATACTCTTTTTCAAATTCTAAAAGTTTACCTGGTCGAATCGAGTACACATCAAGTTCAGGCAGGTGATGATGGCGCCGTTTGGCCCCAAGCCGTACTCTTTCATAACCTATGATAGAAATATGATGCTCTGCTTAATTTTCAGAGCATGAAAAGATCAGAAAAAAATGTAAGCCTATAAGTATGGACCGCCAACCCAAAACCTGTGTGTACTAAAAATGAAAATTAATACTTTCGAAAGAGTCTCAAAACAATATTAGATGCGCTAAGTCATGAGGATAAAAAAAAACCTTTTCAGATAAATAAAAGGTTATATAATTCAATGTTCTCATTAAAAAATTTAAAAAAGCCTTCTTCCGTTTCAAAAACTTCAAACTGATTTCGCCTAATTTTTTTCGGAATTTTTCACAATGGATACCTCCTTGTACTTGACGGTGTCGCGAATGTCAATATTAACTGGATATGGAACTTGGGCGACAGCTGGATCCAAATTAATCACATAAGGTGGGGTGTTACGGGCGTGTAGGTAAGCGGTTAGTCGCTGAAAAATGATCAATTTGAAAATTAAATGATAGTTCTTGATGGAATTCGGTTCAATGGTGCACTTTAAAACTCATAAGAGCTCTTTTCTAGGTTCAAATCGACTCTAAAAGCAACAAAGTGCTGAAAATCTTTAAGTTTGAACACCTTTTAAAGATTTCTCAAAATTTCCTTGATCTTCAGTTGGTATCCTCTTCAAATCACCTGCACAAAAGTAGTTTTGCCGGACCCAGCCATCCCTAGTACCAGAACTGAAGGCGGCTGATTGACATCAGGACCACGTGGTTGCGTCGTCGAAGCTCCAGACGAACCAGCTTCTTCCGATTCCATCGTCCTTTCTTTGAAAATTTACTTAGGAAAAAGTTATTCGTTAAAAGTATTTTTTTCAAAATTACTTTAAAAAAACGGTATACAGCGATAGCAACGCGAAAAAAAGAAGAAAAAAATCACAAAATAAGAAAAAAAATCTTTACTCGACACACTATTCAAAATAGTTCTGAACTAAACTAACAAGTAAAAATAAATAATAAAAAATTGAAATTGAATCTTTAGACCCTGGCACAAAGTACAACACACGCAAATAACGACACAACCTCAATCTCTTCACAAAGAAAAAAAATATGAATATTTCACTCAAAGAAACTTTCTGGGTGTTTTGAAGGCCTACTATAGGTCTTTCTATAACACTCAAAAAGGCGGTCAATCATGTGCCTTTGCTTTGAAAAAAAGTGAGTATTGGGGAAAAAATACTTATTGTTATGGAAAATCCTGATGAGAGCGACAAGAAATCAAAAAAAAAGACTAGAAATGATAAAAATTTTCATGAAGATGGCCAAGAATAAGAGATTCAAAAAAAAATATACTTTGATTGAAAGGGGCGATGCGTTAAGTGAATTATGCTATACATATTGATCACTCTATGCTAAACGGAACTAAACATTAAAAAAAATGAGAAAAATGTACTGGTAACGTCCTGGGAATGGCTCGACGCGACGCGGTCGCGAAACGGCACCTCCTACCGAATTCAAGCTTGAAAACATTTGGGACTGCCAATTTCAAGCTCAAAGAATTCAGGACTGCCAATTCTTAGCTAGGAAGAATTTGGGACTGCCAATTCTTTGCTAGGAAGAATTTGGGACTGCCAATTTCCAGCTCAAAGAATTCGGGACTGCCAATTTTTAGCTCAACAATTTTGGGACTCCAATTTCAAGGTCAAAGAATTTGGGACTGCCAATTTTTAGCTCAAATAATTTGGGACTGCCAATTTCAAGGTCAAAGAATTCGGGACTGCCAATTTTAAGCTAGGAAAAGTTTGGGACTGCCAATTTGGCAAAATTAAAGCGTAGCTCAAATTAAAAATACATATTTTTACGTAATAAGGTAAATCGACTGCGACGGTTCGAGCCATTCAATAAGGTTTCAAGACGTCACGATTCATGAAAAATGAAGCATTACTGTATGAATAATGTACAAGAAAAGCCATTAAACGTGTCTTATGGAGCCTGGCGCTGGAGATGGATCTTCTGGAATGGCAGAAGGCGTCGAACCTGGATCCCTGCTCGGCGTTGAGGATCGCAGAGGAGCAAAACGACCATAAGAAGACGTGGAAGAACTTGTTGATTGCTTCAAAATAATAATATGAAATTTTTAAGAAAGGCTTGACATTTTTTTTTCCAAAACCATTATTTCAATCTAGCTCTTCCTGTTCACATAGCTTACTTTCAAAACTTAATTTTGGTGCCAGCAAATTTTTTCTTGAGAATTTCCAAGTCCTTCAATTTCTTAATGACAAGAATATTAACTTTCTCATTTCTACGAAAAATTTGATATTTTTGAACTTTGGCAGAAATTTTCTTTCTTTCTTTTATTATTTACCGTCTTCCTAACGCTTCCAGGCGCACAACCCTTGGAAATCTTGAAAGGGTTGACTCTTGGCGAAGCCACATCAATTTTGGGAACTCCCAAAAGATCGCAAATCGCATGAAGCTTCAATCCTCGCGCTATTTGACGTCCCTGAAAATTTTCTAGTCAATGATTTTGTTTGATAGTGAAGCAAATCACCTTTGTCAATCTTTGTTTGGCCGCCATACATCGGATATGATCGTCAAAAATGAATTTTGCCTTGAGGACAGCTTGTCTTTTTCTAGAAAAAAAATTTTTTTAAGAAATTGAAAGATTCAGAAAAAAATCCACAGGGCTCAGAAAAAAAATTGAGGCGCCCGATTATTTGCATGCTTTGAAAATATTCATTATTAATTTTTTTATATTCAACTCCGGGATACCCAAATTTTTGTCTGAATAGAAGATGAATGAAACTCTTGAAACAGCTGAAAATTCGAGTTTTTCCCAGCTTTTTTTCCGTACCCTCATACTAGGGCTGAAAAAAACTGCAGATTCCCCAAATTGCGACATATCTCCCCAAATGTAAGGCCAAATTAGTACATTTTCGAGTTTTTTCTGTACTAAAAAGGGAAATGTTCCCTCACGTATGTTCCCTTCTATTTTTCCTAGTTTTTCTCTTTTTCTGTTTTAAATCAAGAAAAAACCAACTTTCAACCGCGACGGTTGGCCCTCGACAACGACATGCAACGCGCGGCTGTCCGATGAATCACCCGTTATTTGCGTATCCTTGAAAACGATCCGTGTGTTCAAATAAAAAAACTCAGAAAAATTTTTTCTACCTTAGAAATTTAAGTTTATAAGGTTATTGGTAAACGTATTAAAAATAAACATTCAAAAGATTAGATTTATTGAGAAACGACGAAACTTTTTGGACAAACTCGGTAAGGTTCTAGATCCGTGTGTACAAGTATAAGCCAAAAAAACTCAGAAAAAAATGTTCCTACTAAGAAATTTAAAAGTATAAGAATATTGAAAGGTTATTAATAGTTTTCTTAAAATAAACTTTTTTGAAAAATGCGATAAATTTTTGAAAAAATTCTAACTATGAACCTGCAACAATCCAGCGAATCGGACGATCGCCCAGCCGGCTTTTCTGGAGTCCGGCTCGACGAGGATCAACTGCAACCTATCGGTAACCAGAAAACGGGCCTGTCGGTCGCTCGACTTCCCCGTAGGGTTCACCATCACCACCGTACAGGCCAACAAATCGGAGTTTGCTGAACGACGGAGAAATGAAAATAGGAAGACAAAACCAAATTTTGCGCTACTACGTCACAAGTTTTGAAAATGTGGTATATAACTTCATTTCAGAAAATGTCATTTCAACCCTGCGTAGACACTGATTTTCGAGATCCTTTTTTGGGACATTTATTATTCATATTGAAACATATTGGAACCCTTTTTTTATAGATATTTCTCGATTTCTTCAACTGACTCAGACAATCATCACTTCATTATTATTATTATTTTTAGCTTACCAAGTGTCTGAAATGTTTCCTAATACTTCTCAATGTATTTCATTCATCCTAAGTGCCCAGCTCTCGACAGAAAGTTAGTGAGATAGTCATTTTCCAAAAACAGCTGAAATAACTAATATTTGTTCTTCATTCATTTTTTCTATATTTTACCAAGGCTCTCCTGGAATTGATACAAAAAGACTGACACTTTTCGTTTTTTCCTCACCAAGATTGATACAATCTCCAATCGTAACGGGTTCCTGTTCACTGACGGCCCGAACGGGCAGTTCTCCGTCCATCTCTCCGGTCATATCTCGTTCAAGTTTCCTCACATGGAAGTAGAAGAGCATTGTCTGGAAGTTTTAAATTTAACATTCGAAAAAAATACTCTAGAAAAAAATTGATCTTCAATTTTTTTCAAACAGCTGTTTTATATTCAGAACCAACTTGGCGGCTCAAGGGTCATACACAGATTCAATTTTTGATTTTTCGATTCAGATTTTAAACTTAATTGATCATAATTTTCTGTGATCCTTGATTCGAAGTCTTTGAGAAACACTTTGAAAGAGAAAAGTTCAAGCTCTGTTTTATAGTTTCCTTAAAATCTCTTGTTTCTTCAAAACTCATAGCTTTCCATTGAGAAATCAACTCAAAAGCTTCCTATCAACTTTAAGTACCTCTTTTTCAAAAATTTCCTGAAGAAATCATCACTAACCGTTCTCAGACGCTCTTCAAATCCACTAAAAAGTCGTTTGTGAAGCGGCAGACCAGACATGGGGGTTGTGGCGGGCGGAAGCAGCATTTCATAGCCAATCACATCGAGTTTCACGTGATTGACCTGAAACAGCTGAAAACTCGAAAAAAGTCCCTTCTAAAAAATGACCTCAAACTCGGCGTACTCGTCCTCGAACCACTCCAGGAACAGATTCTCCGAGTTGACATAAAGAGAAAGTTGATCGACGAGCTGCTTTCGGGCTTTCCCACACAGACTGGTTAAAGAGGAGTGCAACTGGAAGAATTGATCACATAAAAAATCTTGATTGAAGTAGAAAAAAAAAGCATTTTATTTGTGAATTTTCCTCTCGGGCAAAGTTGGAAAGGTGGATAATGGCCGCTAAAAGAAGAGAGGCTCAAAAAAGGCCGCAGAAAGGCAGCAAATGAAGACTTTTTAAGAAAAATTTCTATGGAGCTGTTTTCCACCCTCCCCAACGTTGCCTATGTTTCTAAAAACCAGCTTTGCGAGCAAGTTCTACACCCTTTTTTGTTCATTTATTTTTTCACGACCGTTTTTGAAAAACTCCTGCAACAAGCTTGAATATTCCCTAGGTACTGAGCTTTCAGGAATTTTTTGGAATCAAGTTTTCGAGCTTTCTTTAAAATCACAATGAAAAAAAAACAGCTCATTACGTGCAAATTTTCTCAAATTTTCCCGTTTCCATCTATTTTCCAAGCTCCGATCCATTCAAAAGCTGCACCCCCTTCAGAATTCACCTGCTCATCATCCACGGACAACAAGATCTGGCGAATAACCAAACAGGCAAGTTCCAGGGTGATCGGCCGAACACGATTCTGTTCGTTTCCAACGGCAGCTATGATTGATGACAGAGCCTCGATCAATCGATAATCACAGGATTGAGGCTTAGGCTCCTTTTCAGTGGCTGGAGACGGTTCCAGCTCTTCTGCCGCCGACATGAACCTCGACCGAGGCCCGTCCGACTGAACACATCCTTTTATTACTGGAAGAGTAGAGGAAGTCCATTTATTTGGCATCAAGAAGCCTTTACCGAATAAAGATGTCCTCCACGAAATTTGAAAGATCCTCAGTCATTTAGCAGACACTTAAGTGACGCTTAGGCCGCTTCAGTGTTGACTTTAACACCTCATAATGTTTTTTCCAAAAAAAAGTAAACTACTTCAGAAGCTTGATAAAATATGAAAAAACCGAAAACTGAGCCAGTTCAAAATAATAATAATGAAAAGTGAAGCGTATTTAAAGCGGACTTCCAGATTTTTGAAATAAAAAGTACCTCAGAAGTTTGAGAAGCCGACGGTGGCCTTGGTTCGTCTACCAGCACTTCGTCGTCCATTTCTTCTTGCTTCTAAAGAAAATTACATGACTTTTTTGCAGCCGAAAGACAGCTAAACATTCTAACGGCCTAAAATCCTTGGAAACTCTTTTCAAGCCCTCAAAATGAGCATCGAAAATAGGTGATCCCAGTACAAAATCAGGCATTTCAAGATATATTTGTTTTTGAACGATACCTCGAAATTGCTCACAACTGAAGCACAATATTCATGATAAAAATCTTCAAACCCTTTCAACCATGAATTTTTCTAGTTGATTTCAAGTTTTTTTCTCAAAATTCATGGAAAAATTTGAGCCGTTCATAGAAGTCATCGAAAATATGAGAAATAATTAATATTAACATTTTTTTAATTATGGAAAATATTAAAAAAATTAATTTTTGTCAATTGAGGGATAAAGTTGAATTCTACGGATGAATGACGCAATTTTGAGATCAACAATTTTTCAAGTATCGTCTGAATTCTAGAAATTTCGAAGATTCTCCTATCAATCTAATAACCCCACCAAGTCCTGCAACCGATCCACAACTTCTCGATAACTATCTTCCGTCGCTTCAACGGCGAGTTCAGTCAAAGCCCTGCCCCTCGTGTCTTGACTACTCTGTGGCGGCTGTTGAGTTGAAGAATGCCTCGATCTAAAAGGGAAGTTGACCGTCGCAAGAAGCTCTCCAACGTCACCTGAACACTGAAAATTGGTTTGAACTTTAAAAAAATAGGAAAAGCACAATAAAAAGGAATCAAAGACGTGCAAAGTTCGACATATATTCAGAAAAAACCAAGAAAAGCTACAGTTTTTTTGAAATTCTTAGTGAATTTTTTAAGGAACATAGAAAAAAAATAATTTATTCAAGGTCTTGAAGCAAAGAACCATTAAAATTGCTATTCTTCAGGAGTTGCAGAGGACTTTTTATAACTCCAGCAAAAAAACTTCAGCAAAAAATTTTTTTTTAATTTAACCGAGCATTCAAAAATATGATTATCTTACTGTCTATCCAAATCACGATTTAGAAAAAAATTAAATCGACAACCATGAAAAAAATTGCACGACACAACGGCAAACTTACATTCTGAAGACAGAATTTCATGAAAAATTTATGATTAATAAAAAAAAATGGCTCATCTTTTTAACACAATGATACTTGGATGAAAAACCAACCATTGTTCTGAAACATGGCGTAGATGAGCATCAACCCGTAAAACGACAAATAATCATCCTTTTGGCTGGCGTCAAACGCAGAGAGAAGCGATTCGAAGAAGACTCTTTAAATATTTTTTTATTAGGAAGCTAAATTTATCGAATTTCTTTAGAAAAATATGTCGAAGAGGAACGAGAAAATACGAAAGAGTTAAAAATAATTTGGGCATCTTTTCACAGGATTTTTTTTTCAAATTTCTACGATTAAAAAACTAGATTGCACAAAATTATATGGAAAAGACTGTTAAAATGCCAAAGAATTTTCAAAAACTAAAAAAAATTTAAATAACTCATTAACATCCAAAAAAACCTCTCTTATTCCATTTAATTTCTTTTTTTCCATTCACCTATTTTCCGGAGTTTTCGACGGAGGCTCAATATTCTGTAACCGAAAAGATTCTCCTTGTCGGATCCAGTGAGATCTCAAAATCGAGGGATCATCGAACAAAAAGGCGGAAAGGTAGCCTTGTATCGTTGGTCGGTGGGTGACTACCTTAAAAATTTTAATTTCACTTGAAAAAAATTCAAAAATCAATTTTTTTACAAAACATCTAACATCGAAAATTTAAAAAAATCAACTCTAGTTTTTTTCTCGAATTTTTTTATCTTCTTTTTAAAACTGACCAATAAAAACTGAGCGAAGAAGAAAAGGCTAGAGACGGGAGTCAGCAAAACGGCGTGATTATCTCGACGTGGCGCCAGGCTGTTTAGAAGCAAGGGCATCAGAAACCGCGAGGAGACTGGAAATTGACCTTTTTTTTATTCTTCCAGTTCATTAATTTCAAACCTAAATGGGAAAGCCATTCGGCCATCGCGTCGACGTCCAGAAGTTCACCAATATAATGAACCAAGTCGATCAAATCGTCAACCTCAACATGTTTTTTGTTCATTTTTCGATAGCGATTCAATGAATTTTCACCTTATCCCTCAATCTTTCCCGATTGGCCTGAACATTTTCAGCCGATCTCACAAATACATCCAAATCGATCGCTAAGCCGACTAAAGAATCGACAAGCTCGCTGAGGTAAATCTGAAACTAATATTCTAGGGAAAATCACCTTTCAAGTTGAAAAAAATAAAATTTTAATAGGCTTTCAAACAAGATATTTCAAAAATTACAAGAAAAATTAAATTGATAGAACACAAAGAATAACCTTCGTATGGGTGCGAACAAAATCAATCATCGCCTCGTCTTTAACCCTCACAACATTGAGAACAATGTTCCTTACAGCAATTCTGACCATACTCTCAGTTGAATCGAATAATTTCAACGCTTCTGTGAGCAACGGAAATTCTTTCGTTGCCTGGAAATTAGATGAGAAATTTTCAAGAATCTCAAACCAACCTCGTTAAAGAAAAAATGAACAGTACAGGCGTTCAATTTGAAAGACAGTGTTTTCAAAAAGGAGATATAATACGCCATGATCTCATCGTTATTCAAATCAAATTTGTGCGTTAAAATGGAGTTGACGTGGTTGTTGCTGAGCAAGAAATCTGAAATTTCATTGTTTGATCTTTTTTTTTTCACAAACATATGTCTTGAATTCTTGCTGGGGTTTCAAAGGCGCAGAAGCTTCGAAACACATATTATTTTTTTTTTTAATTGACAGTCAACTTTGTCACTTCGAAATGGCAGTCCCAAAGTTGAAATTCCAAAATGGCAGTCCCAAATTTGAAACTCCAAAATGGCAGTCCCTAAGTTGAATCTCCAAAATGGCAGTCCCAAAGTTGAAACTTAAAATGGCAGTCCCAAAAAGATATTCCATCAATAAACACCCAGTAAGGAATACTCAAAACTCACACAGAGAAGTTTCATGGCGAATATTTTCAAATAGTATATTCAATGTCTGTAGAAGCTGAACGTTTATCGAACTACTGCCTTGGTCCATGATTTTCAGAAAATGCAGCAACATTTGTCGCTCGAGGAAGAAGCTGAAACGATTCGGAATAATTTGAAGTCAGAGTCAAAGCACAAAAGGGATTTCGACCCCGAAAATCATTAAGAAAAAGAACTTTCTACATACTCCTTTTCCAATAACTTTGTACTGCCTTCTTCTTTTCTACGTCATTTTACCTACTACAGTGCGGGACAAAACTATAAGACCCCCCTGGTTTTTCAAGTTTTTGGAAAAGGCAGATGTTCTAGAAAAAAATTGTTAATGTCAATAGATTTTGCATCTTTGAAAACCTACGCTTACCAACTTTGGTCTCTGTCGGTTGCCGTTGAAGCGAATGAGAAAGGAAAAACGAAAAACCAGGCGGGACAAAACTATAAGACCCCCTCTCTTTTTTGATTAAAATCAAACTTTTACCCAGAATCACTTTCACTGTTTCAATAAATTTCTGTTCATAACAACTTTGAGCATCTTTCAGCTGCGGTTGAACTTCTTTTCAATTTGAGAAATCTACGAAATTTGTTTTAAATTTTGAATTTTTGTTCTTTGGAAACTTTGGGCTTTGTGGCTGTTTCGTTTCAGAGAGCAACCAGAAATTATGTTACATTACTGAAGGTTAAACATTTGAGAATGTTTGTATAGCAAAAAAACGCGATCAAAAAGTTTGAAAGACTCGAAAAATATGACTTTTTGATGATCAAAACCGTCATTCTATCGGGTTGAGGCTGAAATTCCAAGTATTACTACATGATACACATGCTAATGAAGCTTCAAATAAGCTGGAAACGTGTTTAAAAACGTTTCAAATAAAACTTTGATGCGAAAAACCGAGAAAAAAATTTTGTTCGCTTCAGCCTCTACCTATTTTGATTGACGTCAATAATGGAAAAAGTTAACCGACCCATAAAACGATTTTTTTAATTTTATATAATTTCCAAATTTTCAAAATTTTTTTGAATTGTGTACATGTTGCTCTATTAATGGTTGGAAACAATTCAGAGCGCAAATAAAAAAATAAAACGAAAAAAAGTTAGTTTCTGAAAAAGACCATCAAAGTGAACCAAAGGACTTTTTAAAAACAGTTGTTAGCAAACTAAATGTGTGCCTTTAGACTTCAAATTGTATCCGATGAGAAGCTGAAGTTTCTTAAGTACATGCCAAGACTAATTCTTGTTCGTCGAGTATCATCTCATGGAGTAATACTTGGAATTTCAGCCTCAACCCGATAGAATGACGGTTTTGATCATCAAAAAGTCATATTTTTCGAGTCTTTCAAACTTTTTGATCGCGTTTTTTTGCTATACAAACATTCTCAAATGTTTAACCTTCAGTAATGTAACATAATTTCTGGTTGCTCTCTGAAACGAAACAGCCACAAAGCCCAAAGTTTCCAAAGAACAAAAATTCAAAATTTAAAACAAATTTCGTAGATTTCTCAAATTGAAAAGAAGTTCAACCGCAGCTGAAAGATGCTCAAAGTTGTTATGAACAGAAATTTATTGAAACAGTGAAAGTGATTCTGGGTAAAAAGTTTGATTTTAATCAAAAAAAGAGGGGGTCTTATAGTTTTTGTCCCGCCTGGTTTTTCGTTTTTCCTTTCTCATTCGCTTCAACGGCAACCGACAGAGACCAAAGTTGGTAAGCGTAGGTTTTCAAAGATGCAAAATCTATTGACATTAACAATTTTTTTCTAGAACATCTGCCTTTTCCAGAAACTTGAAAAACCAGGGGGGTCTTATAGTTTTGTCCCGCACTGTAACAAGAATTGGTCAGACCATAAGTAGTGCATAGAAACTGGGAAAGTCTTTTCAAAAATTAAACAAACTCGAAAACGGATGCGTCGTTTTGGTCGCCCCAAATCAGGATCTCGGCCATCGCCCGCAGCGCTTCCACCAGTATTTTACGATTGCTATCATTCACTTTTTCGTTTTTTACTATCACTCCGTGAAGATATCTGAAAACTTATAATTTTCCACCTTTATTCGGAACACTATTTTTTCTATATTTACCTGAAACTCTTGAGAAAATATACCCAAAAAGCTCACTTCAAATATTCTAAAGAATGGGGATTCTTCGGCTTCCATAGCGTGGCGGAGCCTCCGAGTTTACGAAACATTCCTTCGTCGGTTATAATCGCATATGTAATTTGTTTTTTTCTGAAAGGTGAAGATAACAATAAAAAAATAGCATTTGATTCGATATCTTCATATATTTGCTTTTCAGAACTACATAATATTAGAAATTTTGACTAATTTACGAAGAAAAAAAGTTGAAATTCGCGTCTAAATTTTCAGTCGGTTCAGAATAAAGGCCTGATCCCTAAAGTCATTATTCATCTTTAGAAAACTGAAAGCAATAAGCAATAAAAAAATATATTAAAGTCATAAAGATTTTAATACGGGTCATAAAAGTACTTTGAAATTTTCAAAAGAAGTTTGAAAATTATCCGATTTTAAAATCGTCAAAATCTCTATAAAGGAGCGTTTAGGAGCTCACAACAGCGGGAAAGACCATGTCAATAAACCAAAAAAACTCAATTTTTAATTACATTTATAAATATTAAAATTCGAAAAATGATTTTGAAATGTTTTTCTCGTGTGCGCAAGTTTCGCCCGCATTCACCAAGGCGCAACGAGGTGTCAGAATACTTTAAATTTTCCCATCTTGGTTTCAAGTAAGAGCAGCAGAATACTTTTCTGTCTAATCTTCAAACAACTCAATTTTTCTGCAACCTTCATAGAACAATTTATTATTGAAAAAGATCTGTCAATGTTTGAAAGATGAAAAGGTAAGACAAGACATTAAGAGATCTCAACAAAAAGTCGAGTAACCGAGATTTCGCAATTAAGGAATAACACAGACACATAAAACGGGGGAAACAGATAAAATTATGAGATTATTTTTTTCATTATTGGTCATCTTAGTTGTGACGCTTGACGTAATTTTTTTATGAAGTAGTCGAGAAGAAGCTGAACAATTTATTTTTTTATTTTTTTAAAGTAGGAAAAGAATAACTTCGCCGTAATCTTTACGAAGTCGTTCCACGGAAACGAGTTCAGAGTTATTGGCGTCGCCGCGCCTTCCTTCGTAAATGACCTAAGTTTTTTTAATATTTTTATTTTTAAAAAAAAATTTTTGAAACCTTAGCTACAAGTCCACTGGGAGTATTTCTAATTTCAGCAACTTCCCGCACCTTAGACCCATTCTCAAAACGATACTTTTTAGGAGTTGAAGAAGATGAAGCTGTAAATACGCATATATTGAAATTATGAAATTTCCAATGTTTAACCTCTTTTGTAACTATGAACAGGCGAAACCACGGAGTTGAACGAATCCTTAAATTTTCCTTTTGTTGTAAATTCAAACTTTTCGTACCTCAAGGTTGCTATCAACCATTGAGATCGTGAATCTGTCCTTTTTCTGAGATCGGCTCGAACTTCCAGTTTTCTCGGCAGACTATTAAATTAATTATGAGTTCACTGAATAAAAGAAAATTTTCGGGTCATTATCACTTTTAGGTCTTCACAGAGTCTCTGAGATTGCTAATGAGAATTCAAATTTGGGACCACATTTGAACTCCGAACTTAGGAGAGCCAAACTTCAAAAAAAAACTGTAGAAAACACTTCTTCGCCCTTTTTCTAGGTTTCAAAACATATTTTTAATACTCTATTTGCTGAACTTGAGTCATAAAAAGATTTCAGGCTGTTTTTCTCTTAATTTTTTCCTTGACTTACGGGATTTTTTCCTTGAAATACAACTATTTTTTGATGAAATTTCCACTCACCGCCGCCAACTTCTTTCTGGGAGTGCTGTCGCTGTCAGGAAGGCTTGCGGCACGTTTGGGACGAGAAGAAGACGTCGGCAAATTTTTTATTCTACAAAAAAACATTCATAGAATCTGAAAAAAATAATTTTTTTGTTTATACTAATAGTATCAAATCAACAAACATTTTTCGAAGTGAAAGAGAATCCCTTATAAATTCCTGTAATAAGTATAAAAAGACCTCATTAATCTCTTATTTTTCAGAAGAGAAAAAAAAGTATAGAAAGTTCCGACTTTTCGACAAAAACTCTCAAAGGACGTATCCAAATGAAAAAAAAAACAAAAGTTATAGAGAGAAAGAAACACTTACGCACCAGAGATAATCGCTTTTCTACATTCCCTGCAGGACCCTAAAAATAATATTTTCAATTTATTAAAATCTTCTTCCCAACCAAAGTTTTCTCGAACTCTTCGACCTTCTCTGGACATTCCTGAAACAATTTTAAACTCAAGAGCGTTTTTTTTTTAAATCTCACGCAATCTTGAGCATCGGTCCAAGTATTATCCTCAGGCTTATCGTATCCTTCCCACTTGATCAAATATTGCAATCGTTTTGGATTTCCAATGTAGCGCTTTTTGAGAATCTTCTCCACGTTATATTCTGAACCTTTTAATCGACTAAATTTTTTTTATTATTAGCCAACCATCATCTGCCGCAGCTCTTCGCGACATTTTCGTTTTCTAAAAATCAAACTAAGTTATTATACAAAATGACGAAAAGGTAGAAAAGGAAATTATATGTACCTCCCAAAGTGACAAAATAGTCATGAATAGTGTGAAAAAAATTTCATTCGATGAGATCGTAGCATTAGAGGAACTAAATACCAAGTTAATCAACATGCAGAAAATATACAGAAAAGGAAGAAAAACATTGACCGGGAAAGTAGCTACTCGTAGCATCGGGGTCGTCAAAGACTAAAGAACGGCACATAGAATGTGAAATATATAAAAAATGGGTACAAGAAAACGTGTGAAATTTATTTAAAGGAAACATGTATTAAATTCGAGAAAAATGCACTAAAATATAAAAAATGTCCTTTATTGCGACATTGCTATCTCAAGGATTAAAACATAAGGTCTCAAGCTCCGATTTTTTTTTTGGGTCCTGCAACAAAATAGTTTCCAGAAAACCTCTTAGAACTTTTTCCCGTTGCGTTACCCTTAAGAGTACCTATAAAGCAGGATAACTCCACTAGGCGGAAACTAACTGTATATGATGCGGCAATAACGGAAATAAGAAATAATGAGGCAACAATTATTCTCTATTGAAGACGCCGGATCATCAAATGGGCATCGGCCGGCAGACAGCGGCGATAGTAATTTTTGACGGTTTCAACGAGAACAAAGCCCCGACGTTGGTAGAAGTCGATCGCGATTTGGTTGCTAACCTGAAAATTAATTACCCATCATTACTTTTCCAGTTGTTTTTACTATAAAGATGAACCTGAACATGCAGCATAATCTTGTCAAGTTTATACTCTCTTGTCTTCATCTCTACAAAATGCAGCAATCTGGAGCCGATTCCAGATTCTCTCAGCAATGGGGACACTGTAAGCCTTATTCTAATCAAAAGTTATGAATCGTGCAAAGAAACCTCCCAGACTTCGGACGTACATCACTTTTGCACAGCCCACAATTTCCGGCTTCAAACAGACGATCGCGACCGCTTCGCCGTGTTGAATTATAGTTTGACAGAGGTCATTATCCATACACTAAAATTTCTAATTGTGACAAAAAGTCTTGTTTTTTTTACCTCTTGATAAAAAGTCGGAGAATAGGAAACTGGGAAAATCCCTTGATTTAATGTTTTCACTTTGCCTATATTGAAGTCGTCTATTTGCGTGAGATCAGCGAACATGACGCGCTGATGCTGGAAAAAAACCTTGTGTTTAGAATTAAACTCAGAACTATTAAAAAAAATTAATATTAGTGTTCTTTGAACAAAAAAAATAGCCAGTGGAAGTCCCGAAATGAATCATTTTGAACATGATATAACAAGCGAGAAGTTTTCCACCCATACTTCCCGACGACCGCGTAAAAAAGAGGAAGAAAACTGGGCGAAACATTTTTTATCGCATCGCTTTTGACGAAGCGCGCGAAAACAAAACATTTTGGAGCCCAATTGCGCTATAGCGCCAAAGGGGATCCGCTCTAGAGGTCACTTTCAGGAAAAAAGGGTTTCGACAGAGCGCCTTTGCGGAGACAATATTTACGGTTGAGAGTTTTTATTTTTATATCTCCAAACTCTCGGTTTTTAAACAGTTTTTGCAGACTTTAAAATCATCTGTCAATGATTCGATAGCAGGCAAATGAGCTAGTGATGCCCTCTTACAATCCGGGTCTACACCACAGGCAAGGCAAGATATTATTTGAAAACAGAGTAGCAGTTTATTGGTTTCAGAAAATCGTTGGCTGAATTCATTTCGAGATCCTTTTAGCGTTGGCTTTCTTCTTAAACTAGGCCTCTTTATTTTAATTCTTTTCGTTTTCACTTCTCTTTTCTTATTCATTAATGGTGGCCCTGAACTTGAATTGGCGACGTGGTCTCAGGATGGAAAAAGCAGCCGATTAAAAAAGTTTCCGAATTTCAAATTCTAAGATTATCACAAGATTTTAAAGGAAAATCGAAAATATTGATGACTATGATGCGGGTTGCAGTGGTTTTTCTATGGGTGAAATTATCAGGGAACAGAAGAAGTTGGCGTTTTTTTAATTCAATAAATTATTTGATGAAAGGATACTGGAATCGGTTAGAAGAGAATTGATCGAGTCTCAGTCGAAATTGGATGAATACAGAAAGGTTTACGATGAACTGCAGAGAACGATTCCACAGAGGCGTAAGTTATTGTTTTAAGATTTGAAAAGATTTTTTCTTCAGAACTAGAACTTTCAACGATAGAAGGAGAAATAGAAGCGGCGCATAGAACACTGTTGGAATTTCAAGCGAAAAGAAATGTGAGGGTTTACCTTCCACACGAACCTCTCTTTCCTGCATCTCACAGGTTTTCTCTTTCTTTAATCTCTTTTTTTAAATTCAATTTTTCAGTTACAAAACGCCGTCGAAGGAAGAGTTAACGTTCTCTCTGGAAAATATCTTTGATTTGAGGTTAGATTTGCATAAATCTTCGAAAACCCTCTAAAAGATTTTCAAAAAAACACAAAAACATTTGAAATGAATTAATTTTTTTATAGCCGCTGCTCAATAACTTCTTTTATGCCAATTTTCATCCAAAATTCTGGCGGGAAAGAAGGAAACTGGATTGATTCGTTCAAATCGGCAGGATACATTGAAGCGAAATCACCTGATACAGCTTGTTTTGTGGTTTTTTAAAAGTTATTCTCCTGTTAATAAGTAGTTTTTTTTTCCAGCTATCACTGATAAATGGCTCTTTACCGCCCGATACCGATCCTTTCAACAAGATTTTTCTGAATTATGGCTCACCTATAACTGCTCCTCATAAATCTATACTGGTACAGTCGACGTGTGCTCCTTTCAGAAGGTTTGGAGAGTTTAAATTTAGTCGATTTTTGAGTATTTTCCAAATTTTTAAAGATGTGATGGAACTTTTTGTTATAGAACCATCGATTTCGCGTTGAACCTCGATGTGTCCGAGGTTGACGAAAACTCATGGGAGAGTTTGCCTCAACTTTTGCCGTTTTCTAGAAAGGTTTTTTAACGATTAAAGGGCGAAATAGAGTACTAATCAGGCATTTTCAGAATTACATATCTGTCATAATAGATCGCAATCAAGAAGTCACAAAAAATCTGGACGAAGATTTGAAGTTACTGCAAGAATCTTCGAAAAACGTCGAGGATTCCGTTGAAATCCTCGATTGCCGTACATCGACAGCGTTTTGTGACAAGATTTCAGAAGGCAGAGGTGACTTTCAGTTTGACGGAATATTTTTTCTTTCTTTTTCCGAAAGTTTCGTGGAAAAAAACGGTATAATGAGACAGTTTTTCAAAAGTTTGGAAGTCCATTGCTCCGAAAGGACCGTCGCAAATTTACGAGCTCAAAATGACAGTCCCCAAAAAAAGTGGCAGTCCAAAAATGGCAGTCCAAAAAATGGCAGTCCTAAAAAATTGGCAGTCCAAAAAATGGCAGTCCCAAAAATATTGACAGTCCCGAAAATATTGACAGTCCCAAAAAAATTGGCAATCCCAAAAAAATTGACAGTCCCAAAAAAATTGACAGTCTCGAAAAAATTGCCAGTCCAAAAAAATGGCAGTAGCAAAAAAATTGGCAGTCCCAAAAAAAATAGACAGTACCAAAAAAATTGGCAGTCCCAAAAAAAATGGCAGTCCAATAAAAATTGCCAGTCCAAAAAATTGACAGTCCCAGAAATAGTAGTCCAAAAAGATGGCAGTCCCAAAATTGGCAGTCCCAAAAAATGGCAGTCCAAAAAATGGCAGTCCAAAAATTGGCAGTTCCAGAAAAAATGGCAGTCCTATAAAAATTGCCAGTCCAAAAAATTGACAGTCCCAGAAATAGTAGTCCAAAAAGATGGCAGTCCCAAAATTGGCAGTCCCAAAAAATGGCAGTCCAAAAATTGGCAGTCCAAAAATTGGCAGTCCAAAAATTGGCAGTTCCAGAAAAAATGGCAGACCCAGAGAAATTGGCAGTCCAAAAAAATTGGCAGTCCCAAAAAATGGCAGTCCAAAAATTGGCAGTCCAAAAATTGGCAGTTCCAGAAAAAATGGCAGACCCAGAGAAATTGGCAGTCCCAAAAAATGGCAGTCCAAAAATTGGCAGTCCCAGAAAAAATGGCAGACCCAGAGAAATTGGCAGACCCAGAGAAATTGGCAGTATAGAAAAAATGAAAGTTCCAAAAATTTAGTGAGGGATGCTCTATCGAAATTTGATCACCTGGGCTATAATTTTTCAAATAAAACTTCTCTCATTTTCAGCCCAATCCTTCAAGTCATCAATTTTCTGTGTCATTTTCGACTCGCCTGATTATTTGCGCTACTTCTATGAGGCTCTTCAAAACGGCTGTGTTCCAGCTCTCCTCTCCTTGGATCTCGTTTTGCCTTTTGATGGTCTAATTTTTTGTCATTCATTTTATTCCGAAACTTTTCAGATTTAATTGACTGGCGACAGGCTGCCTACCGTATGCCGGCAGCTAGATTACCTGAACTTCACTTTATTTTGCGATCTTTTGCCGTTGAAGACATACTGGAAATGAGGAGAAAAGGCAGAATGTACTATTCGACGTATCTTGGGGATAGAAATGGTAGGTTGCAGCTTCACGAAAATCGTTTATAGAAAAAGGACCATCACAAGTTTCAATAATTTTGTAGCCGTTGCTCGAACGCTCCTCGCAGCTCTGCGGACTCGACTTCAGATTCCTCCTTTCGAAGCGAAAATAGCATCAAAAGTCTCACTTATTTCAGAAAAATCAGAAAAATGTTGATTTTCAGAACAAAGCCAAGGCCTTTTTCAACGGTTCTTTCACTTCGCCGAATGGATATTCGATAAGTGCGCCTCCGGCTTATGATGATGACTCTATAGGTTTATTTCTCCTTTTTTCATAAATCAAACGAAATGTCATTTATGTTAAGGCCCACTAGAAACGTCATTTCCGTCACCAACGTTTCTTCATAATTTTACGAAACTGCAAATGGTTTTCATTAAAAAAATATTAATTCTCATAGATTTATTTTAGTACTCTTATGATGCTTGGAATGTCGATATGATGCCCTGGAAGTCAGGAGAACATCTCATTGGGGCTTTGGAACTGCCAGCCGAGGCCGAATTTCATGAGGATACCAAAATCGGTGAGGATTAGTAGGAAATTTAGGGAATATTCGAGAAGAAACGTGAAGAAAGAACTGAGAAAATAATTTTTCAATAAAATTCAAAAACATGTAACTTACTAATTTTCTACAAGTCCTCTTCGGAGTTTCTGACGGAATAAAATTGAAAAAAAAAACTTTTTCATTAAAAGATCGTAATTTAGGAAGTAACAAAAAGAAATACAAGTAAAAACAATCAGAACTATCTTTGAGAATGTACATAAAAAAAAAACTTAGATTTTAGGAATTTTCAGAAACCATAGGCTCTCTATAAATTTTTTTTTTCTCGATTTTTTGTTTTATAAGCGTTTTCGGAATCAAGAAAGATATCAAAAAGATATGATCCTCAAGTGAATAGGACATTTTGAGGTTTCCGACCAATCGAACCGGGAAGCGGCGTCGAGTTTAGTCGTGCGTTGGGCGGGAATAGGCAAAGGGAGCAATTTACGAGTTTGTTTTTTGTTCAGAACTTACAAGAAAAAATGGATCTGTTCTGGACAAAAAAAAATGTTTTCAGTCGTCCTTCTGACTTACGAGCGCGATTCTGTACTATCTGACTCGCTGAAGCGTCTCTATCAGATGCCTTATTTGAACAAAGTTAGATTTCTGTTTAAAAACCAACTAAATTCCATGTTTTCAGGTGATTGTTATTTGGAATAGTATAAATAGGGAACCGCCGGACTCCTGGCCAAGACTTCATGTTCCTGTTGAGTAAGTTTCGAGATTATTTCTTTAAAAAAAAGTTTAAAATAAGGAAAAATGATGCCGATTAGTTGAATAAAACATTTTAAAATGCAATTCGAATCATTTTTTTGGTTACAAAACGAAAAATGAGCAGCAACAATGCATTAAACAATCATTTCAGTTCGCCAAATTGATAGTTAATATCTCTGAAAATATAAGTGTGTCCCCTATAGGGGCCTCTAACTATAACCCTTATAGGGACTACTTTTTCAAGCTTCAGTGAACCCTATGGGGGTATGTAAAGCGGTCCTAGAAAGCCCCCCTAAGGTTGTTACTATAGGGACCACTCTGGGGCTCCTAAGTGTAGCTTGAGTTGAATTTTATTACCCTTTTTCAGATTCATAAAGGTCAAGGAGAACAGCCTGAACAACCGTTTCGTGCCATGGGATCGCATCGAAACGGAAGCTGTGCTGTCGCTGGACGACGACATTGACCTCATGCAACAGGAGCTTGTCTTCGCTTTTCGGTAATCAACTGGAAATTATTATTTAAAAAAAATTAGAAAAAAAGGCTGTTTGAATGAGTGTGAGAGGGCAAAATCAAGTTTATTGAAATTAAAAGCTAAGGTGGCATTGAAAAACATGCGCTATCAGCAATTTCGAATTGATATGAAGCTGTTTTTTTTTAGCGATTAAAGACTTTTTCCGTTGGAGATAACTTTCTTTTGCGACAAATTAATCATGCAGCTGATATTTCAGTGTTTGGCGAGAAAACCGCGACCGGATCGTTGGCTTCCCCGCCAGACATCATGCTCGGTTCGGAGATTCCATGTTCTATAACTCGAATCACACCTGCCAGCTTAGCATGATCCTCACCGGGGCCGCTTTCTTACACAAGGTATTTTTGGGCGGAAAAATAGGGAGTTTCAGCGTTGACTTGGCATTCAAAATATGAACAGACTATACCGTAAACCGTTCAAATAGTACCGTAATAGTATGGTGTAGGCTCGATCAAAATGAATTCTCAAAAAAGGTTGTAAAATCAAAAATTCAACAAAAAAAAGTACTTCCAGTCCTGAAAGTAACACACACATATCTTACTCTTACGTCTTTTCTTCCAATATTTTTCCCAATTTTTCCCTACTTTCAACAATTAATTATTTATGTTTCATTTAATCAAACAATTTTGTGGACTTATTGTAAAAACCTTGCTTTCAGTCTTACCTGGAAGCCTACACCTACGTAATGCCAATCGCAATCCGTCGACACGTGGATCGCGTCATGAATTGTGAAGATCTTGCGATGAATTACCTCGTTTCGCATTTGACCCGCAAGCCGCCGATTAAATCCACCAGTCGATGGACTTTGAAGTTGGATTTTTTTTTTTCGGTTTTTCGTAAAGGTTCATATTTTTCCTAGATGCCCAACTTGTACGGAAAGCCTATGGAAATCCGAGAGTCATTTCGATGAGAGACATGAATGTATGCGGCTTTTCACGAAGATCTACGGATATAATCCTTTAAAGTTTGTCTTAATTTGTTTTTATAAGTTCATTTTGAATATTTGATCAGGTACTCGCAATTCCGGGCTGACTCTATCTTGTACAAGACAAAAGTGCCGCCAAATCACCAGAAATGTTTCAAGATTGTATAGTTTGTATATATTTTTTGCTGTATAGCGGTTCAATCGAGAAAAAAAACTGTTATTTTATTTTCATGTATGTACTGATGTTGTTTTCCTGTTATATTTTTGTATAACTAGCATTCCTCTTAACTTATGCTTATAAGCTGTTAAGCTCTGCTCACTCTATTCAACATGAAAAATATCGTTGTCAACCGTGGAAATGATTCTCAAATGCCTTTTTTCCCTGGTGCTCATTTTTTTTTTCACTTGTTCTTTGCATTTCAAGAATTACGCAGCGCCGGATGTTGACGGAATTCACACTATCGCATTAAATGTTTGCTGGTATTTTCTTTAGCTTCATATAATTGTAGTATGTTTCAGAACCTCTAACCAATATCGGAATAAATTGTATTAGCTGAAATTCGAAGAAACAATCAGAAAGGAAAAATACAACCCCTCATCAAATTCATTTGTTGCACAACGATCAAACAAAAATATACAATAAATTAATAGGCGTACTACTCGTTAGCATCAACCTCGAGCGATCTAAGTTAAAAGGTGGGTAAATTAGAACAAATGGAAAATGTTGAAGAAGTGGCAAACGGAGGGAAATCGGTAAAACATGTAACACGGGTAAGTTTTTTTTAAAGATCATCATCATCATCGGGAAGCTCGGCGCTTGCAGCTTCGCCCAGATCCTTCTCGTATTGTGCAATCATCTTAGGATCCATTTCGAACTAAAAAAAATTATAATTATATAATGATGTATTAAAGAGAATTTTTAATTACCTCTGGTGGTGCAAGAGCCGGCATAGCGACAAACTCAAGGTTCGGATCACCTAGAAGCTTCCGTGCAAGCCAAAGGAAGGGCTTTTCGAAGTTGTAATTCGATTTTGCAGAAATGTCATAGTACTGGAGGTTCTTCTTTCGGTGGAAGGTGATAGTCTTGGCTTTGACTTTTCTGTCTTTCACATCGACCTGGAAATTTTTTTCCCGTGAGACTCCGAAAATATTGAATCATTTACCTTGTTACCACAAAGAACGATCGGGATGTTCTCGCAAACGCGAGTTAAATCGCGATGCCAGTTGGGAACATTTTTGTATGTCACACGAGCAGTGACATCAAACATGACAATGGCGCACTGTCCTAAAAACCCCATATCATAATACTAAGAGATCTACGCCAATAAAAAAAATCATTTAAAAATTCAAGGCACTCTTACCTTGGATGTAGTAGCCATCGCGGAGACCTCCAAACTTTTCTTGTCCAGCAGTATCCCAAACATTGAATCTGATCTGCCCTCGGTTTGTGTGGAAAAGAAGTGGATGGACTTCGACGCCAAGAGTGGCTGGAAATAAAAAAAAATTACTTTTTTTATGAATTGAAATAATCAAAACGAAATTCGCCGAAAAAAACAAGAACCATACCGACGTATTTCTTCTCGAACTCTCCGGTAAGATGTCTTTTGACGAAAGTTGTTTTGCCGGTACCACCGTCGCCCACCAGAACGAGCTTGAAAGTCGGGATTCCATCACCGGTAGCCATTCTGAGAATAAAAATGACCTTATCAGTAAACTGGAAAGGATTATCTTTTCGAAAACAAGCGAAACCATTCATGTTATGAAATCAACAAGCACTGTGAAAGATTCAAGCCGGTTTCTAACAATTTTCGGCAATTACTAATCTTAAAACGAGCTTTTTCCATAGCTCTCGAAAATTGAAGAGCATGATTTAGATGAAATTCTAATCGCATCAAGTTTATGAACACTATTAAACACATGAAACAAGCAAAATAATAAGAAAAATGCAGCGAATGACGAATGTTGCAAGAGATCGTTGCGAAAAGTGCCGTCGCGCGCCAAAAAGAGAGCGATTCGAAATACGGGATTCGTAGCTGCCCCGCCCAACGCGTCGCGGTCGCTGGGCAGCTACGCACACGTTATTTCGGCTCCTGGAGACTTGCCAACTGTTTTTTATTTTGTTGATCTACGGAAAAGGGAAAATTCAATAAATTTTTGCTTAATTTTAAATGTTAATTTGCATTATAGTTCATTTAAGAATACTTTGAAACAGTTCTTAACGTATTGTGGATGCGAGAAAAAAGATGCTTCGACATTTTTATAGTGTTTTGTCTCAATCTATCGATAAATGGAGCACACTATCTCTTGCACATCGAAAATTTGTTTGAGAATAAAATTTAAGGTTCAGGGCCGATAAATATGGGGAAGAGTAAGAAAGAAAAGCTGTCGGGAGCCGAACTTGCGGTAACATATTTTATGAAAATTTTAAAAATCTTTAAGCTCTAGGAAGCTCAGCACAAAGGCTCTTTCCAAGTCCCTTCCTCGGACGGTGGAGCCAAACTTGATGCCTCACAGTGGCCACTGCTTCTGAAGGTAAAAACTTGTTTTTCTATTGTTCTATTTTATTATCAGTTTAGAACTATGATAAACTGAACGTTCTGACAAGCCACTACACTCCACACGTTGAAGGATGTTCGCCTTTGAAACGAGATATTAAAACTTACATCTCATCGGGATTTTTCAACCTTGATAAACCTTCCAATCCTTCGTCCCACGAAGTGGTGTCCTGGATCAAGAGGATCCTTCGAGCAGAGAAAACTGGTCACAGTGGAACCCTCGATCCTAAGGTTGAATTTCTTAAGTACCCATTCAAAAAGTAAACAAGTCGATAATCAGGTCTCTGGATGTTTGATTGTCTGCATCGACCGTACCACTCGTCTCGCTAAATCTCAGCAAGGCGCAGGAAAGGAATATATCTGCATTTTCAAACTCCACGAAGCCGTTGATGATGAGAAGAAAGTGCGACAAGCACTCGAAAAGGTGTGAGTGTCCCCACTTTTCCTAAACTATCGAGTATGGTTCAGCTCACTGGAGCTCTTTTCCAACGACCTCCGCTTATTTCGGCAGTGAAACGTCAGCTTCGCATTCGTACAGTTTATGAAAACAAATTCATCGAGTACGATCCTCAACAACAAATGGGAATTTTCAAGTGGGCTGTTTTCTTGAAAATTTTTGCATTTAACATTAATAGCTGCGTCTGCGAATCTGGAACTTATGTTCGTACGATTTGCGTCCATCTCGGTTTGCTTCTTGGTTGTGGAGGACAAATGCAAGAGCTCAGAAGAAACCGGTCAGTTTTTTTCTTGCTTACATGTTTTTTATGGAGAAAATGGCAATGAAGAATTGAAAATTTTTTTGATTATTTCTTATTGAAGTTTGAAAAAAGTTTAAACACAATTTTGGAGGATTTATTTTTTTGAGATCGGGTATTTGCGATGAGCACGAAGGCCTTGTTACTATGCACGATATTATGGACGCTCAATATCTTCTCGACACGCAGAAAGTCTGTTTTCCTCTTTTATTCCACGAAAAAGAAGCTGAAAATAATATTCAGGATGAAACCTACATGCGCCACATTGTCCGGCCTCTTGAAGCTTTGCTGGTTGAACATAAACGAATCGTTGTCAAAGATAGCTCCGTTAGTTTCATTAATTCATTTTAAATTTTTTCCTGACTGTTGTTTTGCAGGTCAATGCCATTTGCTACGGCGCCAAGATTCTGATTCCTGGTGTTCTCCGTTATGAAGATGACATCGAAGTCGGAAAAGAAATCGTGGTCATTACCACGAAAGGAGAAGCTATTTGTATTGGTGGGCTTTTTCTTTCGATATAAGTGAACTTTTCTTTAAATAACTTTTCTCAGCAAACCCAAGAGTCTGATATGCCGTGTTCGAAGCTAATTTGTTGCTCGCAGCAAAAAATTTTTGGTTCAACGGCTAGAGATCAAACGCAGCGAGTTCACATAGAATGATTAGACGTCTCCGCCTTTTTGGCAATTTTCAATACTCAACTTTCAAAAAAAATTTTGTGCCTTTGAACAAGGAAAACTGTTTAGCCACGCGCGTCAAATCAGCATTGAACGCGGCATTAGAACTTTTTTTTTCTCATCTTTGAACTTTCATTTTTTCATGTACGTTTTTTGTTTTCAGCTATCGCTCAGATGAGCACCTCCACCATCGCCTCTGTCGATCATGGAGTAGTTGCCAAGTCGAAGCGAGTTATCATGGAGCGCGACGTTTACGCTAGAAAGTGGGGTCTCGGACCTCACGCTCTCAAAAAAAAGAAGATGATTTCGGTATGTCTTTCAATTTTTTTTTTTGTATGCCTGTTATGAATCTCTTCGCTTCTTCTTTCTAGTTTAGAGTTTTTTTACATTCCCATACTCTGGAGAAGTCTCCATTTACACGGACTCACAAAGTCTCTTATTGCTCTCTGCGAAGTTCAGACGCTTTTTGTTTTCTGTAAAAAGCGTATTGAAATCCATAGGAAATTTGTGGCGTAGATTTCGTTTCTGGCTTTATGAGAAATTAAGGGATCTAGAACAACTTCTCAACATATTATAGAAAACTTGAACAATTTGATAAAACAATATAACTTTTTTCGAAGTTCGTATTTTAGAGACCAATTTGTTTCCCAGTCTTATTTTCTAATTTTTAACATTTCAGGACGGCCTTCTGGACAAATTCGGCAAGCCCAACGACAAGACACCTTCTGCATATGCAACGGAGTACAAGCAAGTAAAAGTGAAGAGCGAGGTTTTTCCTATTTTCCAGTTCTGTTTTCGAATCCATTCGTTTTAGGCAAATGGCGATGAGAAAGTTCCCGAGAAAAAGCCAAAAACCGATAAAAAAGTGAAGAAAGAAGAATCAAGCAGCAGCAGTGACAGCGAATAGGGTGGATTCGAGCGATGGTGAGTTTTTGGATACTAAACAAAACCATATCCGCCCTGTAACTCATCAATAAAATTTTCCACACGTTCTCGATGTTATCTAAATTACAATTTTTTTTTGTTGTCCCATTCATTTTGTTAATTGTTGATCGCCCTTTGTTTTTTGTTGGATAAAGTTATATGTCAATACATTGAACGTTCATTGTTAAATTTAATAAATTAATCGCTTATTGATGATGAGGCCTTGTCAAAAAAATCGACGAGTAATTCAGGGTGCCTAAAAATATAATTTTATGAATGGAAAATATTTTTAAATACTTACTTAAGCACGAGTTGATCACTTGTTACCAACGTTGTCGTATTATTGCTGAAAAGGACACCGAAGAAAATATCTCCACCATCAACAACGACTTTCGTTATACGTTTGACCTGAAATTTATTTTTAAAAAAATGAGAAAAGTTTATACACACACCTCAACTCCAGGTGGCGGACACAAAGGCCCAAGTTTCTCCTTATCAACTCTAAAATATCCTATTTATTCAATTTATATAATTTTTTTTATTCATACCTGGCTTCCACGACTGATTGTGCCCTGTTTTCTTTTTCCGTTGGGAAGATTCTGTTTATTTTTTTCTAAATTTGGAGTAGTTGAAAAAAATAAATAAGATATTAAACTAACGCGCAACTGGTCTTTTTCGAAGATTGCGATGAGATCACTGCATCCAATGTTTTCTTCAGGTTCCCAAGTGGCTTCCTCCAAGCTGAAGTTCTAAAAAACCCATATTTCAATAAATTTGAAAGATTTCCAAACTGTGTGAGTAAAAAATTAAAGAAAAGTTTACCTCCCATTTCAGAAGATACTCGAATTTCCCCTGGGCGTTTTTCCGCTTACTAATTACTCGTTCAACGGTGAATTCGTTATCCTAAATTCGTAAATAAAAATCACAATGAAATATTATGGCATTCCACCCCATCGTCCGAATGGACTTCTTCTTGATCTTCATTTTCAATCTTTAAGTCGGGTTCCATGTGAAAAAGTGTCTGAAAATCAAAACTGCTTGACAATTAATAAAAGTGCGACAAGTACTAAACATCATGAGAAAAAGATATTTTGTGAGTAATCTTTTGCAAAGAGGCCATCAGTATAGCATTAGCGTATATATAGCATTAGCGCTAGTTTGAAAATGTTTAAATAATATATATTGAAAATTGCGAGATGTTTAGTGGTGTACTGAACAGCATAAAAATATAGATTTGGCTTTTTTTTACATTCTCCGCTTTATTCAAATATGAACACCATTTATCCCTCATTTGGAAAGAAAATAATTTAAAAATAAGACAGATTTCTGTGCTATGAGGTACTCGAAAAGGAATAACGCAGATTGTAAAGAGTTTTAGCTAGAACCGAACGAGAATATTTAACTGCATACTAACAAAAACCCGCCAATTCATTTGATTATAGCAACAATATCATTTGTTGAAAAAAAATTTTTTTATAAGAATTTAAATATAAATAAATAAATAAATAGAAAAAAATACGAGCTCGTAAATCCACAGCATGTGGTGCGTAGTGCGTCTTTTTCAGCGAGTGTACAAATTCTGCGCCGCAGTCCTGCGTTTTTCGTCGGTTTGTCCCCCGCCCAGGACATTTTGTATTTTTCTTTTTCCTAATTTTTTTAGTTTAAATTTTTGATCTTTACGTTTGTTTATTAGTGTAAAATATTGTTTTTGTTTTTCTTAAATTAGCTAAAAGGCCATCATGATCGATTACAAACTTCCCGGCACGATTTTTTTCCATAGGAACCTTTCTAAAAAAATTTTCTTATGCTCTTCTGCTTCAAATTTTTTTACAATTATTTTCGTTTATATATAACACTTTTGGTGTTTCATGACGAAAAAATGTTTTTCGAGAAGCAAAAACAGGAAAGGCAAACCTTCAAACTCATAAATCCTCAGTTCAACATTAATATTTAATCAATAAGTTCCACACTTGTTCTAACTTTCAATCAATAAGTTTCAAACTTGTTCCGATTTCTAATCTTTCGTTCTATTTTCGTAAACACCCATACTATCCAAATTCTATCTGAATTTGCGAGGGCTAAGGAAGTTCAAGAAGTATTCTGACGGATAGCAGTTACTAAATTTTTGCAACGTTTCATTTTCATGAAAAAATGTTAATTTTGTTTTTCTCAGCAGTTTCATAACACCAAAGCACTTTGAATTCCGAATAACGTGTGTAAATTTTTTTTTATAACTTTCCTAATATAGGCCATTCCGCGCTAGCTTGACTATACTTGTTCGTCAATTGGCTAAAGAACAGCCGTGAAGCCTATCAACTTCTTTTTAGAAATTTTTTTTAAAAGCAATTTGAAAGAATTCTTCACATAAATCAGCTGTTTCTTTATAATATCTATTTTTTTTTTTTAAATGTTCCCATTCAGTTTTTTTTTTCGGCCCAATAATGTGTTCAAATATAATTAGACGCGGGCTGCTGAACAGCTTTTCTGGACCAAAGTCAGAAATGCAGTGGATACCAACAGCGTGATTGAATGGCTCCGCCTTTTTTGGCTAGTTGTCCAAAAAGGATCTTCTTACCAAATGGGCCAGACCATGCGATCACCCTCTGGGTATTTGCCGCGTTTCCTCCGATTCTACTCGTGCTTTTGATCGAGAAGAACTTTTTTGCTAAACGTGTGGAATAAGCTTTGAATCCGGTATGATATTCAAAGTTACAAAAACAAAAACTTTGACAAAAGACGCGAAAAATATTGTTGCTATTCATCTTCCCGTGAATGTATTGTTTTTGCAGAAAATATGGATTTGTTTCGTCGTCCAAAAAAGCGCGGTGGCGCCCAGCAAGCCGTTAGACAGCGCGACTCAGGTGATTCTGATGAAGACGGAATCGATATCCAAGAGTCTGTAAAAAAGCGTCGCAGAGATAACCCAATGGTTCAATCAGTAAGTATCATTTTTTTGATCACTCTTATCGTTTACAGTTAAGTTCAGACCAAAAAGCGTGTTGAAAACACCGTCGCAAGTTCGTCTTCGGGAAGTGACAATGACTACGATGACAAGATAGCAGTGGCCGAGCATTCGTTTGCATCAAGCGGTACGACAGGCCCTTCCGGTCCACGTGATCAAGGTTTGAATTTTCTTTTTTTTTGCACAAATTACATTCTATTCCGAAGGCTTACTCGAAGAATTTTTTTATAAAACGTAGAACAGAATGTTTTTGTAGGAGCAACTGCAACATTAGAAGTTGACACGGATTATGCAGCCGACGCTCAGGCACAATTCGAACGCGTGCAAAAACAACTTAAAGAAGGATTAGAAAAGGTTTTTGATTTCTCTTTGTTCATTATGTAATCCGTTTTTTGAAGGACGGAAAAGTGCTATATAAGGGCTCGGCTATGTATGGTGCGCGAGAAGCTAAAGATACTGCCAAGGGAAACGCATCAAGCGGTCTTAACCGAGTCGGCCCTATACGTGCTCCACAGTTTTTGAGACAAACAGTGAGATGGGACTTTGCTCCGGATATCTGTAAAGATTACAAAGAGACTGGATATTGTACTTTTGGAGGCAAGTGCTTTGAGTTATTCTAAATGATATTTATTATTTAAGTTTCTAGACTCTTGTAAATTTGTTCACGACCGCTCTGATTACAAGCATGGGTGGGAGATCGAGCAGGATTATCTGGAAGGAAAACATGGCGAAGATGATGAAGTAGATTACGAAATTCACGAAGAAGAAGACCAATATCCAGAAGAATGCTACATCTGTGGACAGGCTTTCAAGGATCCTATCATAACAAAGTAATTTTGGTGTTTCAGCGATATTTTTTTATTTCGTTTTTCAGGTGTAAGCATTATTTCTGCGAGCAGTGTGCTATGAAGTCTTTTCGGAAATCCAAAAAGTGTCCTATTTGTAACGAGAATACTTTAGGCATAATGAACATTGCTAAAGGTATTTTTCGTTAAATTTTGTTTAGTAAGTCAGTTCAATTTTCAGACATGATAGCTCACTTAAAGAAGAAAAAGTTAGAAGAAGAGCAGAAAGATAAAGTTTCTAACGATGATGAAGAGACTGGAACGAGTGGAAAACCTGATGAAGAACCTCTTCAGATGAAATCTGAAGAAGCTGAAGAAGTTGGAGCACGTAAGCTTTTTTTTATTGCGGTTTCGTTGTTTATGACTTTTTTTTTCTTTAGCTTCTGATGATTCACGTGATTCTGATGGAAACGAAGATTTTATTAACGAAGTGACGGAAGAAGAAGAAGAAGTTGAAATTCAAATGGAGAATGTGGAAGAAATTTTCGGAGGGGAAAACGACGACGATTCTGGAAGCGAAGATGAAGAAGAAGACGAAGACGAAGAAGAAACTAAATAATTTGTGAATAATTCTTGTATATGACGGGTGATTGTATCTCATTATTTTTCTTGTGAACTTTATAAAAATTATTATTTATCCTTTATCCCTTATTATATGCTTTTAGAGTTCTGAAGCTCTGATTATTTGAGTTCCATTTTTTTTTTCATTTCTATGATCTTTTTAAGGGTAAATAACGATGAAGATCAAGACTAAAACTATCCGTGGATCCAAGAAGGACGCTCTCTTGAAGACCTTGGAAGAGCAGAAGACCGAGCTCGCCTCGCTCCGTGTCTCAAAGGTTTTTACTATTTTTAGAATCATCTACGTGATTTTTAGGTCACCGGAGGAGCTGCTTCTAAGTTGAGCAAGATCCGTGTTGTGCGCAAAAACATCGCTCGCATCCTCACCGTCATCTCTCAGACCCAAAAGCAGGAGCTCCGCAAGTTCTACGCCGACCAAAAGGTACACATTTTAAAACAGTAGGAAACATTCCTGTTTTTGCAATTGTCTGAAATGAATTATCAAGTTTTTGGTACGAAAATTTAAGCTTTAATTTCAGTACAAGCCGATCGACCTCCGACCCAAGAAGACCCGCGCTATCCGTCGGCAATTGACCTCTCATGAACAATCTCTTCGTACGGCAAAGCAGTCCGCCAAGCTCAGAAAGTTCCCCTTGAGAAAGTTCGCTGTTAAGGCTTAAACGGTCTTGTTGTTGTTCATGTTTATTTGACGATAAATTGTTTTCGATATGAATTAGCGCTTGTTTTTTGTAGCTTCTGAAGTACGAATTTTTCAAGCATTGATGCTACTTGTTCTAAAAAGATCGTAAGCATAACTTGAAAAAAATTCTTTTAGTCGTGATACGGATATTTTACACTTATTCAAACGCCAAAATTAGTTTTTTTAATCCAAGAAGTGTAAGATTCTTCTTTCAAATGTGATTAATTTTTATTCCTATTTCAAATTCAGATATGACACGAAAAATTTTTACAGCAACAAAAAAATAACCACTAATAAATAGAGAGATCGCTGAATTTCGAAATTTTGTCTATTTTATCAATTTTTGAGACGCTTTTTGGGTCGAATAATAACGACTTCGCTCCAAATTTTCGAGGTGCTAAAAAATCGTTTTCATAATCATCACCAACATGTAAGAGTTCAGAAGGTTCAATATTAAAATATTTCCGAGCGATTTCAAAAATTTTAGGATTAGGCTTTTCGATTCCAACTTCTCCAGATAGAATGATCATATCGAACATATCAGCCAGTTCGAATTCTTTCAAAATGTTCTTGAGACGAGAGTCGGCATTAGAGACAACAATAAGGCGTACACCCTTGAGGCGAAGTCTTTGAAGAGTCTGTTTGATCTGAATTTGGACTTTTATGAAATATAGAAGCTTAAATTTCTCACATTTTCATCTATCAGTCGCCAAGGTTGTCTCGTTGAGTAGAGCTCAAAGAGTTTGCTCGTCACCTCGTCGAAATTATTCTCAACGATTTTGTCCCTCGAACTCTGAATTAGAATTTTATAAGTTTTTTTCCAACAAGGTTAGGGCGAAACTCACGTCTTGCAACGACATTTTGATTATTTTGCACCACCATTCACGATGCCCAATCGTTCCATGACCAAAAAACGGGTAGTCTTTTGACAGTTTCTTGTAGTTTTTCAAAAAGGCGTTCGAAACGTCCTCCGGTTCCACTTTGATGTTTGTCAAACGTTCCGCTTCTCTTGAGTAGACCACGCCGGGGTTCTCCGCCAATTGAATGATGGTGCCACGGACATCGAACGAGACAACTTGTAGCACTTTTGGTGGAGAAGAAGAAAGTCGACGTAGAGCGAGCATTCTTGAGTTTTTTCGTACATTTTTCGAACAAAAAAAAACAAAATGTAAAAAACAGACCAAGCGAAAAAAAAAGAATCCAGTTATGAAGCAAAAATTTCTGTCTGTTTCATAATTTTATTGACTGAAAAAAAGTTGAGGATAAGCTTTTCGGCGACCTTTATGATTCTAGAGAATGATAAAAGTATTTTTGGAACCAATAAAGATATAGAAAAAAATGATAGAAACAGTCAAAAAATAATAAACTCACTTTAAAAGACTGGTTAATCGTGTTTTTTTCCAAGACGAGCCTCCCAGCAATTTTTTTGATCTCAGAAAATGAAAAAGAATGTATCAAAAAAAATTTCTACGTGAAGCCCTTTTGTAATTCGTCTGAAGGAAAATGCGCGCCAATGTTTCAGTGAAACAAATTTTTCGCTTTTGAAAACAAAACAAAAAATCCCCAGCAGATGTTTTATAATAGATGTATCTATTATATTTGAACAACTGAGACGATCTTAAATAAGAAAAATTTTATTTTAAGCCTGTATCGGAGAATCCTTAGAACTTTATTTTTTTGTGAACAACCAAGCTCTAACCGTAATTTTTATTGCCATTTGAAAGACATAATTAAAAAACGTAAAGCTCAACAAATATTGAGATTTTTTTCGAATATTGATTATCGCAGTTGAAAGAGAAAATTTTGTACATGAAAACAAAATAATAAATAAAAAAGTTATCGATTTTCCAAACAAAACGATTTCCTCCGCTCATCAATCACAAACATCTCGTCAATTCCAACATGATGATTTCGGCCCAAGTTTTTCACCTCGAAGGCCAACTGAAAAAAAAACAGTGTTCAAAGGAGAGCATTGAAAAAATTAACAATAACTAGCAAATATTCAATTTTTCTTTTTTTTTGCTCAAGTTGTTTTGAATGAACCCCTTTCAGAGAAGGTTTTCGAAGCAAAAAATGAAACTGAGGAAGTTTCTTCGCTTCAATACCTTTAAGGAATATGTTTATGCTTCTGTAAACAGTATGTTCTTGTGAATACACTACAATAAAACTTGAAACTCACATAATCATAGGCTCCAACAGTCAAAGGTACGACTTCGCGGAACCACCTCCGCGATTGTTTCGTTAGTGTAGGAGCCACAAATTCCTCTTTTTCGACTGCTTCTTCCGGCCTTTTCGTTATCAGTTTCAAGGAGCTATTACCGTCGACCTGAAAATATCAATATTTTGTCCAAAAATTAGAAAAGTTAGTGTAGGTTTCTTTGACCAACGTTTTTTCTTTGCACCTTTGTAACTGTCAAAGCTATAGAAGGTCTGAAAAATTCTAACTTTATGGTAAGAAAAGACGAGCAGAACTGGTCGATCCACGATGAAGGATGGCGTTTGTAGGCGCGTTTCGGTCTGAGGGCCCGAAATGAAAGTGTAGTAGCCTTCTGAATATGGAGGATGTTTGGGTAATTGATCACATGAGGATGAATTTTCACTTGGAAAAAATGAACTAATGGTCAGAAAATAGAGCCGGATAGGTTTTTGTTTGTTTGCTCCGTGAGAAACCATATGACTAAACTGAAAAAGAAGAACCTCAAAGAGTAGAAAGTTCGACCGTTTTGAGTCGGTTAAATTTTGCTATACTAAAAAAGAGTATCCAAAATGATGAGCGGATTTTTTCTGATCTCTGAAGCCCATTTATATATCCTAGTTGAGTTAGGAGATTCGTTGAACTAACGATAAAATTGTGTCCATTCCATAATTCTTTGCCACTTCCTCTCACTTCCTATAGTAAGCTTTACGGAATTTTCTCGAAGTTAAAGAAAAGAAAGTTTGAATAAAACATGATTAACCTTTATTATAAGGCAACGCGGAGGCGTCTCCTCGAATCCCTGTCAATGGATTCCCAACCGGTCGATTCGTCAGTTTCCAGTCCGAATGTTCCACCATACTAGTTAATGAATGTTTTATGATTGATTTATTATTGAAAATTCAGGAAAATTGAACCAACTTGGTGCAGATTTCCGATTCGTTGAACGAGCAAACGAGAACGTCGCACATGGAGAAGGAGGTCATCTCCTGAAAATGTCCAGGTAAAATAAAATTCTAATGAATAAAAATCAAAGGTACAGCCGGGTTTGATTGAAAAATGAGAAAAACTATCAAAAAAAGAAGAATTATCAGTTTTCGTAAGTACTAGAGGAAAAATAATTAGGCTTGTATCGAAAATTGCGTGAAAACAGACCGATTCGTCAAAAGCTTGAACAATATTCTTCGAAATGTCTCCAAGCGATTCAACCACAGTTTGACCTGTTAGTGGACCGCGTCGCTTCATTTTCTGAAGAATCAGAAAAAAAAAATAGAGTTAAAGGGACCTTATACAGACCAGGTAGCTGAAGACGGCCGATTTCGGCTCCGATTTCTCTTCAAAATCGTTCTTGCCGTTGTCTTCGTTAGTAGCTGGAGTTACAGCCACACCAAGGGAGAATTTCGGAGATAAAGTCGGGAAATGAGAGGCGATGCTTCTTCGTATTGTTGTTCGCTTTGTGTCATCTGGAGAATCGCCGAGTGGAATCAGTGGGACGACGTCGTTGCTCTGGAAGGAAATGGTTAAATCGAGGCGTCTGGAAATTTCTTGGTTGCATTTAGAATGGCTGATTGCGTCGTGGTCGCGTTGCTGCTTTAGTTATCCCTTTTGAAGCCTTTCCCCCACTAACCACTGTTTAGGTCATCTTCTAATGGGTTTTTGGAGCCTGAGTGAGGTGCACTTTTTCACCCTGATTCCGCATCTGTGCTTGGAACCCTTTTGAAGTCGCAGATTCTTTTTCCCAGTTTCAAACGACTCTAACTGTTTTCACAGACCCGTTTGGCAATGTCCGAAGAAGGATTCGATATCAGCGTCAAAAAGACGGCATCTAATGATCATTTTCTCAATCAAAAGTGCCTCCGGTACTGAATAGTCCCTTTGCCTTGAACTCACCATAGCTGTACCCAACTCTGGCTGTTGGAAAGGTCCCACAGGATTCTGCGACGCTTCCGGCATCGTTTCCGGCATGCTTGCGCACATCCTGGCGAAGTACTCAATGGAGTCGAGGATCGCGAATCCGCCTTGTAGATTGACAGCGTTGAAGACAAAGTTCTCGGCCATGATGTAGATCTGGAACGGTGTGCTACCTTGGTCGGGGATCGTGACGTAGGCTGGACCCGGATCTCCGGCCTCGATTGGTCCGCTGAAAACTCTGCGAGGTTTTGGAGAGGAGAAAGACTCTCTGAGTAAACCTGCAGAAGTCAAAGTCCGGATAGACCTTGGCGGTCTTCTTCACGCACACTTTGATTCGGACGTCTGGCGAGGTCCAATACCTAGATTTTGATTAGAGGCTGTGTCTAGATGGGAAATTTTCACTGAGAAAATCTGGTCACTGCAAAATTTTTCTTCTGGATTAGTCTTGTCCGCGGACTAAAAAAAAATCAGTAGTTAAGGAATAAGCAAGGGTTCATTTTCAAACTCCTAAGAAAGGTTTTATGAGAACAATACGTTATTCCTGAAGTAATCCTAGGTTATATCCTTACCAGAAAAGGAGAAAAAATAAGAATGAAAAATGGTTACATGAACTGGATCTCGCCATCTCCCAATTGACAAGCGATAGGGTCCGAAACTAGGACAGCTTTTGAAGTTGGTGGTTGCACTACGTCTGTGGCGGCGATCGCGTACATTCCGTCTGGAGTTTGAGAATGTTTGAAAAATGTATCCGTGGTCATGAAATTGAAAGAAACTTCGATGTTGGTAACAGTAATCTAATCAAAAAAAGCTGTTAAGAACAGGTAAGGTCGAAATTCGAGAAGCAAAAGGCTTAGTGATATTTGGGGAGCTTGAAGGTCTGCAATATGTTCAACACACTCTGAATAATTTATCGGATCATAACTGGGAAATAATTTTAGAAAAATACACTGAAAAATGAGGTCAGAACCTGGAGCAACATGAGTGGCGGTGGCGACTTGTAAGCGTCCTTGGTCGAGTTGACCAGAGCCCTGATAATTTTAAAAGTTGCATTTTTTCATATTAAAGTTGGGCCAACCTGATACCAGTCCAGTTCATCTACAAACAAGCCCTCAACGTTCCGCCAACGACACTTGCTGTCGAAGTCGAAGCAATTGAGCTCTTGGGCGTCGCGTATTGGAGGTGTCGAGGATGTTCCGAGAGCTGAGAAAATGAGTTTAGGTGACTAGATTGCAGAAAGAATCATATCGTTAAAAAAAACTCACAAACGCTCATGATGTTGGAGTTGGAGCTTGTACCAAGGTGCGTCAGCTCACCACGAGCTCTACTGTTGGACAGAATGTCTCGTGACATTGGTGATGGGCCTCCTTCTGGGTGAAATTATTGGAAGATTCAAATGGAAATATATCGTAGTTGAGTTAGATAGCTTAGGAGATTCGTAGAACTATGGAAAGTTATGGTTTCCGTCTTTTCTCTATTAATTTCTGGTCAAGGTTCAATTTTTCAATCTAAAAATCACCTGAAGAACTAACACCAAGCATTGTACTGGGCAACAAACTCTCTCTGCCGAATGGTGTGCAGCATTCTGTAATTATTCCCTCTTTTACAAAGTTCTGTTTGAACTCACCGAATAGTTGCAGAAGCTCTAGTAGCACTGTAATTTTTAGGCATTTTTCTGTGTGCCGCATCTAGAGTAATGAAATTATCAAGGTGAGAACCCTATCAGAACACGAGAGGAAAAAACGAAAGGAGTGAAAGCTCGGCGAAATGAAATGAAAATTATATGGGAAATGACCCGGATTTCCTAGTATTTGTTGTCGTGAGATCACATATGTTTGTTAGGGATACAGTAATCTGGATCGAGAGATAGCTATGGAAGTGAAGAGGTTTTCCGATGGGAGAAAGAAAAAGGGTTTCGACTTGATTTTGGATAAACTCGGTCATTTTTCAAAAAATTATCGAGGCGAAAAAACGATTCACGAAAATAAGAAAGAAGAACGAAATAACGTTCAGGCCGAAAGACTTCTGAACTCGGAACCTGAAGGAGCCCAGAAGTCGTGGCTGGAGGGCGGGAAGCTCAAACATATTTTTCAAGTGACCTCACGTCTCCATTCTTACTCGAGTACCTCGATGACCATGTACACACACACACACGACCTTTATTCAGTTTTATTGAACCTAAGGTTCTTAAAAACAAGAAGAAAGAAGTAAAGAAGTTGATTTGAACGCGTTCAAAGCGTGGCGGCTGAAACCAAAGGGGATTCAGACCAAAAAACGGCTTATACGCACCGTTTTGAAGCTTTTCTTGATCGTTTTATCGAAAAAGATAAAAAAAATTTGAGAAATTTAACTTTGTAAAAATACTAGTGAACTCTTTGAAGCTCTGAAAGTCTTGAAGGAGAAATTAATTTGAAAAATGGTGCTTGGAAAAATCCAAGCGTGCTTTTTTTGAGCTTTGGTGCTCTATGGGAATGTAGTTTTTTTTTCTTATTTTAACAAAAAGACATCCCTAAATTGGATTTCTACATCATAAGAAAGCCCAAGTACATTATTCATGATTGAAAATTGAACGGGAACCTGACTGAATTTTTTTGAAAACTAGAAATTAAACACCGTTTGAGCCTTCTGAAATGTAGAGAAACCAGAAAAAAATTGGAGATAAATGAAGAAAAAGTGGGCCAAAATGCGTTCTCCCTGCGGATATTTGCTGTTTCCATGCCGAATGCCCGGATTTTCCCGTTTTTCCTTCATTTTTTTCCTTCTCCCGCCCGTTGCCATTGACCATTTGGTAATGTACTGGTTTTTCCAGTGTTTGTTTGCCTTGTTCCTCATATTGTGTCATTCTGAGAGGAAATGGCTCATTAATAAGATATTTTGTACATTTTTGACCATGGAAATAAGAAAAACGCAATGAGAAGTTAGTGGTTCATAGCAATAAATTCAAGAACAAATAAAATGATAAGATTGATTTTTTCAAAGGATTTTTTCCAATATTTTTTTCCAATATTTTTTTCCAATATGCCGACAACAATCGGATATGGATAACTACATCCCCCCCTCCTTTTTTTTCTCTTTTCCTTTTTTCTTCCCCCTTCATTTCTCAATTTCCCCTTTTCAATTTTCCAAACGTTTTTAATTTAAACTGCGCCTAGGTGTAATAGCTAAAAACTTTTTATACTTTTTTGATTTAAAGCAAGAGGGTAAAATGCTGACGATGGGTCACCCTCTAAGCCGTCCATTTTTGGGACCCGAAACGGCTGCGCGATATAAAACATTCTCATCTTTAAACCCTTTCTCCTCTAAGAAATTTCAGAAATCCTAAAACCTTGTCATAGTAATGTCCTCTTCATATGTATTTTCTCACCCTTCATATTGATTAAACACACTGAATTGATACTGATTCTAAAAGCGGTTTTCCATTTTTTTCCTGCCTTTTTTCCCGGTAAATCCGCATTTATTCACAACTGGCAAAAGAACATTATTAACAAAATGGACAATTTAACAAATATAAACAATCATTTTCGGCTGTGAGTTCCATCACAGGCGTAAGTCCTTGAAATGACTGTACTATACATGTAATGAAGACTGTAGTCGCCTAAGCACATCGTTCCCCCGCCTCGAGCCATTTGATGGACCTGAATGAAGAAATTGGAGGCTTTTAGATAAGATATTGCAAAAAATGATTTTTTTAAAAGTTTTTTTTAGCAGGCAAAGTCGGAAAGGATCGAAAAAGGTTCCATAGAAATTTTCCTTTTGGGTGACTTTTTGCGCCATTTCATCGGCTCTTGTGCATCATTTTTGCTGCCTCTCCCTTTTCCACTATTTCTTGAGCCTTAAAGTTTCCAGAAAAATGGAAGGGTCGATAAAGGTCTGCCCTTCTGCTGCCTTTCTGCGACCTTTTTGAGCCCCTTGACTTGGCCCGAGGGTTCACAATTTTTTTTTTTTGGGTAGAACATTCCGTTAAGAATCCAAACGTTTTTTTCCACATTGTCTTCGAACTTTCGATTCGATGAAGTTCTTGCTAATACTGTCTACTAGTTTTCGAACAAACCTGTCGATTAATATCGCCAATACAAACGTATGGCGGTGGATTCGCGTTGTACGATGGGCTGAATGCCACGGCAAACTTGGAATGATCATCGTAATTAGTAAAGTTGACGTTGAACGGCAAAGCAATGTCCTCAGCGTTCAGAACCTAAATTATTTCATAGGTACATTCATTTTCAAATGTTTCAAGGCGTCAACCAACATCTTGGGTATCGCCGACGTTGCACCAGGAAAATAAGTTGGACGAGGCGTTCCCATGTTGCCAAGATTGAACTTTCAACGAGGTGCGAAGTGTTGGAGCGACGAAATCGTAGTAAAGGTCTGAAATATTTTTATATTCATCAATGAATTTCGCACAATTGAACTAGAAGGTTGTAAATTAAAGTTTAAAATAATTTTTGTGGTTTTTAAAGGCGCAGAAGCCTTGCATGAGCTGAATTACCAATGGAAACGGCTCTTCTTCTCGGGACCTCTATAAATTTGATCTCGGCGCCTTTAACAGCCTTTCAGAAATATAAATCGTTCGTTATTATTCTCAAGTAGTAGCTCACTATTTCTCAACAAAAAATAATTAAAAGAACAGGAAAAAGCTGAAAATCTATTGATTTTTGAGACGAGAATTAAAAAAAATTTATTTTGAGATAAATAATCGATATAAAAAAAGTATACCTTCAAGACCTTTATTAGGCAAAAGACCAACCTTTTCCAAAAGCGCCAGCTTTGGCGAAATGCTGAAACGACGACCCTCCAACACTCCTCAACAACTTCAAACTTGTGTAGGGTTGAGTCTTAAAGTTTTTTTTTAGTTGTAGAAGCTTCCTTATTTTTTCTACCTGTTGATATTCCCCATTCTTCACTCGAACTAGCATTGGGAACGTATTAGCAAAAGTGTCGGGTAGATTGATTTGATAGGTGAATGGACGGTAGAAGAAGAGTTGAGTGGCTGGAAACTTCGAAAATGATATCTTTATTGAATTCTAATTTTCTTTTTTGACGGTACAGTAATATCTTTCTTGCATTTGATACATTGGAAATATTATCTAACTAGGAAATGGTCTCTGGACCCAATGGGACTTCTGAACGAGACCAAGTTTGATAGATGTAGGTTTTCACGCTGATTCCCAAAGTTGCCCTATGACTACATATCCTCCAAATATTAGCTCAATCGGAGATATCAAAAATTTCGACTTTTAAGGGTCCATAACTTTTTTTTCAGACGTATTGGGCAACTTTTGAGACCAGATTTGGAATCAGCGTGAAAAACTACATCTAGTAAACTTGGTCTCATTCAGAAGTCCCACTGTGGGCTGAGACCATTCCCTGGTAAGCTTGATATTTTTGAAAACTTTGTTAAGAAGAAGCTGTGCACCATTGAAGCTGTTATGAAAACTTTCAGCTTTCATCCTTCGTTTTTCAAAATTTAAAAGTGGGCTTGAAAGGGACCTTACCAATATCACCAAGCGTAGCCAGAGGAAATGAGACACAAATGCCCATCTGACCGTAGTAGTGGGCGTTTGGCGGAAAATCGTATGTGACATTACTCGGGTATTTCGGAATACTGTGCATCAGCCAGAAGCCACCGCTCTGATTGAATACCGATACTCCTGGAAGCTTAATTTTCCCGTTTGGAGAATTAGTTTAGAAATAGCCCTTTTCATAAGGAAATGAGGATGGGATCGGTTGGAAAAAAAGAAAATACAGAAATTCAAAATTGTTTTTTTTGGAAAACTATATAACGGTTATTCAACGTTTTCTACAGGTAAAAGATAAAATTAAGAAAAGCTCTTTTTCCAATTTTTTTTTCGCACCCATTTTATGTATACTCCATTCACCATGACTTGAAACAGTCTGACTTGTCTGTGCGCTCTTTTCTCTCACCACAAAAAGAGCAAGTGAAAAAAGAGGGATGTAGAGAGAAAAAGGGCAGAGAAATCATTTTGTTCCAAATCGTGAATGGGGGATATTTGGGATCTTTAAAAATGGCAAAAAAAGATCAGAATTTTTTTCAAATCCTGGCGAACTGGTACTATGAAATACATCAAAAGTGTTCCAAAACCTTTGCAATGACCCGAATCGTTGCTCCAAATTGTGCTGTTCGGCCATTCGTCATTGTACATTATCGAGAACGTCTGAAATTAAATTTTTGCATTTATTTGCAAGTTATTCCGATTCATATTTTGACATTAATTTGTTATTCATTACCGATGTTTGATCCATTGTGTAGTATTGCTGTAGGGTGTGGTAGAGAGCCTGGTTTGGCGCGTCGAGACCCATTTCCATTAGTTTCTGAAAACAAAAAGGGCAAATTTAGCAAGTTTTTGGCAAATTAGCTTTTCTGGAGACTAGGAAGTAGAAAAGGTATGGGAAAAGTTCAAACAAAAACCTCGAAAAGAGTAATTTTTTTCAAAAATTGTTTTGGAAAAGGGGAAAAAAGCCACCACTAGTTGTTTTTTTATGGAAGAAAGAAGAACTATCGGCTTTTAAAAACCGATTTTTCGAAACCAAGTTTTGGCTTGTTTTAGTGAAAATTTTCGGTTATCTAGAGATTCAAGTTGGAAAACTTTACAAAACCTGACTTTTTTCTTTTTAAAATCAAGATTTACCATTCCTATGTGTAGGGAAAACAAAATTTCCAGTACAATTTTAAACGAAATATAAAATTCTTCGAAATGACTCACCCACGCCTTGTTGTTGACGTCAAGGTACATGAAAGCCGAACCATTGGAAATTTGCTTGTTGTCCGGGTGATTGTACAGATGTGGCAGCTTGTAGAAAACGAACCTGTAGATGAACTTTTAGGTCAAATTCCAGAAAATCAATGGAGATTTTTTTTTTAAAATTTGTTGGTGTCTGTCTGTCAGCGATTTCTAACGTTCCAAGCCGAATTTCCGATCAAGCGCGAAAAAACTGACCAATCAACCGGGTTTCCATTATTATCACGGCATCCGATCGGCGTTTGGGCCAGGCCCGAGCTTACAAACAAAGCTGCTACCAGTAGAACCACCCTTTTCATGTTTTACCTGTAAAAACTTGGAATAAAACAATTTATTCGGAGAAAATGGAAAGTGATGGGAAAGCGAGAATTTTTGCAGCCACGTGCGTTTTTTTGGTATCATACTTCACTAACCGATGATAAGACTTTATGATATTATCATTAGGTTTATCAGTTTTCCTGGTCAGTTACAGAAGAGTGGAATTTTTCGAGTTGTCACGGAAAAAGCGTTAAACTTTGAGCTTCTTGTAACGGATCGATGCGTTTTCTTTGAAATGATGCGATGAAAATTTTCATTGTTGAAGGATATTGTGAAAAGCTTGTTCGAAACATGATTTGGAAAGGTCAAGGATAGAATAGAAGCCTATATAATGTAAATATTTCAAGTCGGTAAGAAAAAAAGTTTTTTCTACTTTAGAATTATCAGATAGTCATAAAATTATTCATCTCAGAATTATTTTTTTGTAATGAGGTTCTACCATAGTCTCAAAATTGAAAAATTTAAGAGATCTCTCCAAAAAAAGATGATTTTTTGAATTTTTCTGTAAAATTTTGATGGAACTCAAATTAGAATCTATAAACTATTTTTTACAGATAGATTTAAATATTTTTGATGAAAATAACAGTTTTTGAATCTATTTTTGTAGGAACCGATTCGCCTGTCTGTAGTTTGTAGTTAATAGAGTCTCTTTCAACTATTTCATACCGAAATTTTCGGATCTTTAGTCTCATTTTGAGCCAATATATCAATTGTAATGCTCAAAAAACACCACCGAAAATTCAAACGGCGACTTTTCCGATTTTTTCATATCGCTAGAGAACTTTCCGACGACCACTTTTCCGACGGATCCCTTTCCGACTTTTTTCCCTTATGTTTTTCGGTTTATAAAACATCTATAAACATTTTTTTTCCTATTTCTTTGTGCTTTAATCATGAACCAACTACCTACTTTATATAGGAAGATTTAAAACGAAGATTTTATCGAGAAAAAAAGTCGGAAAACAATTCGTCGGAAAGGTGGCCGTCGGAAAGTTCTCTAGCGATATGAAAAAATCGGAAAAGTCGCCGTTTGAATTTTCGCTGGTGTTTTTTTTCATACCACCCATATTTTAGTTTCCATTCTGACTTGTCTGCGCCTCTTTTCCCTCACCGGCGAGGTTGTAGAAACTTGATCATAGCATATAAACTGGTTGCCGAAAAAAAAGAGGGAGCTGAAAAGTCAGACCAATTTTTTCTGAAGATCCTATTTTTCAAGCCTTTTGAATCATGCTTACTTGATTTATGTCTTGAAGAACTTTCCGAAACATTAAACCATCCAAATAATCACTTCGAATCGCGTCAGATTTACGTGATGTTACTTTTTCGAATAAATATTTCACATGACAGGTGATTCCAATGAGCCGTTGACGCACGACGCCTGAAATCAGAAATGTCGTCTCGACATTTTCCCCTCCACTACAGTAACCATCGGCCCTGATGGAGCGACTTTTCACCTGCTTCTCTTTTTCTTCAGGCTCTGAGAAGGTGGCGACTTTCAGTGAAAACAAGGAAATTCGGGGTATTTAAGCGGATTTCTCAGAGGTTTCTCCGATTTTTTTTTCTTTCAATCTTCTAAAGTTTTTGAGTCTACAGACCTTTGTAGCACTGCGATTGAAAATACGTTGTTCGCAAGCGGAATGGCTTGTGGTGTTACGGTTCCGACGCGTAATTTCATTAGCAAATTTTAAAACTGTAACTTGAACCGCAGCGCGACCGCGATTTGTTAAACCATTCTCTATGCGGTCATAACTTTTGAATTGGATTCAATTTTTGGTTGGATTCAAGGAAAGCAAAGATTATTGTGAAAACTGGGATGACTTTCAAGAAAAAATAGAAAGCTTGGAGATTTCGCAATTTTTTACTATTATTACGTTTCTTCCAGAGATTTCAACGATTAGTACTTTGAAATCTTTTTTTCTAGTTTTTTTATTCATTGCATAGTCATTGAAAATGAAGTACTGAACTCAGTGGAATTTTTCAGAGTAGAAAAAAAAAAAAAAGACATCAAGCTTTTTGAGTCGGAAGCATCTGAAAATTTTTCAGTTGAAAAAAATGATCTTTTGAAAAATGATCTTTTTGATTATTTTTTTCTCGAAAATCAAATTTCCTAACCATAGTCTTTCTTTGATAGGTTACTTTTTACATTAAAACTTCCACTTTTTCAGCTTCAAACTAAGAAATAAAAGTCATTGGGCGGAGCTTACAAGTCACGCCCATATTTTTCAGGCTTTCGGGGCTTTTTCAGCCGGCTCATTTTCATATCCTACGAATATTACGTTTTTTAAAAAAAATTCGTTTCTTCGAGATTCTTTTCTATTGACTTTAATATTTATCATAGAGATTTTACAAGCGGTGAATACGCGTAAATTTTTTCAAAACAGAAGTTTTTCGAATTCTCAGGATTATATTCAACCTTTTCTAAATCTCTAGCTTGATAACTTACGCAAAGTGAGGATTAAAATAAAAATCGGTGGTTTATATTTACATTGGTTTTGTGGGACTTCTCGGAAAAAAGTTCCAATTTTAGAATTTCAGCATTTTTCTTTTCAGGTTTTTATGAAATAATGCGGAAAACATTTTTTCTGATAGGAAATTTTTGCTCTTTCCAAAAATACTTTATTTTCAGCGTTCACAAACAAGCAAAAGCCGAAAGAAAAATGCAGTGGTTGGTGGCTTCAGCAGTGGTTTTGGTGGCGTTGGCCGTCGGAAAATCGGAGGAGACAGAACCGCGGCCGGTCGGGTGCACTAACGACGCCTGTCGACTCGCCCAACTCGGCTTCTACTTCCCACAGGTCCGACAAGATTAGAGAAGAAGCTTTCCGGTTAAAAAATGACAAGAATTTGAACCTTCGAGTTGGAATTTAGAAAAAGCCTTTTTAAACTTTCTAAAAGAAAAAAAAAGCTCAGGAATTTTTTGACTTATCTCTACATGTATAAGGGTTTGGGGAAAACAGCTAAAAAAATATCGACTAGCATGTCCCCTGTAGGGGCCACTTTTGCAAGATTTAGTTGCCCCTATAGGTGTTGGTAAAGTGGTTCCTACCCTTCAAGGGCCTTTAAGGTTGCCCCTTGAGGGGCCACTCTGGGTTTCCTGAGTAAGCAATCCTTTTAAATTTTTTTATCATTCGGTATTAGAATTAGAAGATATCCAAACGACGGAATAATGCAAAAAATGTATTGTTAACAATTTTTCCTCCTTTCAAAAACAGGATATTGAGCAAGAAAATTTGAATTTCTCCTTAAGAAAAGCTGTCATTTTTGATGGTTTTTTTTTCTGAATAACGAAAACGTGGCTCTTTACTATTACTCTATTCTCGGATTGGAAAATTTTTCTCCCCAAGTAATTTGTCAACACAACTCCTTTTGTCCTCAGAAATTTTTGGAAAAAAAAATGGGAACGAATAAATTTTGCGCCTCCCTGACGTCATCTTCTTTCAGGAGCTTCTCGAGCCGTCCTCCGCTGATCTGAGCAATACCGAGCAAGTCCCACGCCCACAAATGAACTTGGTCGACTCGGACAGTTCGCAGCAACGTCAACAGCAAGCTGGAACTTTCAAACGTAATTATTTGATTTTTTGAGAGGTGTGGGGAGGGTTGTGAGTTCGGATCCTCTCGGGAAATGGCAAAAAAGGGGTTTTGAAGTGGCTCAATGGTTAAGTTTATAAGTCACTGCCCAAGGGGGTGTAGGTTCGAGTTTCCTCCAAAAATAGTAAATTTTTTTTCCTTGTAATCGGAATTAAGGATGCCACCTTATAATGTTTGAAAAAAAGCCGAATTTTCGGAATTTTCTTTTCATAAGCTTTATTTTCGAGTTCTTCATGGTCCTTTGTCAAACACTATTCTCCTATAGAGAAAAGTAAGAAATTTAATCAAAGTCGGCATAATTATTGCCCATTATCGCGGCCCATTCTAGTACGACATTTTATTTCGTTTTTTTCCACCTATTTTCCGTGTTTTCTTCAACAAATTCTTGTATCAATGATATATTGGATTATTAGTTTGTGGGCTGGTGTTTGAACCGGAAATTTCAAAAGATACATTTATTTTTGGTTAGTATAGTTACATTGTAGAGCCAGACTTTTTCTTGTTTAGGAGAGGTACGTTTAGGAAGTTGTAATTGAATTGGGGATGAGACATGTGATGAATAAATGAGCGGGGAAAGTTATGAGTGTCTTGAGGAGATAATAAAAAATGAGAAGGGAAGGATGGACACTGGAGGCTGTACGAAGTTATTGGGAGATTGAGTAAGAAATCGGTGAAAATCTTTTTTTTTTAATTGTGTCTTGACGGTCGGAAATTTCTATAGTCACACAGAACAACGAGAGAATATTATTAGCTTCGAAAAAAAGGAAAAAAAAACCATAGAAAAGTTGAGAAGTTTGGCTCTGAAACCCCAAAATTTGCAGTACTTAGACGCGAAACGGACGTGTCGGGGCATTTCTAGAGACCACTTTAGTACCGTCAGCCCGCTTAAGTGATCCCTAGGATCGCCCAGAAACGAAATTTCCGAGGTATCTGAACTTAAGAATCGATGAAAAAGCTAGCGGCTCATCCATTGGACAAGAAAATTGTCTCAAAAAGTTTTTTTCGAAATTAAAAATTTAGAACCATTTTGGGAAGCTTACCTGTAGTAAACGATTAGCCGTAGAGAAATAGATTTCTAAAAAATATCTTGCAAAAATCGGCAAATAATAGAGTTTTGAGGCGTTTTTGGAACTTGAGCCGCAGCGCGACCGCAACGCATTTAACGATTCTCCACCCAAATAATGGTTCTTAAAGGAAAACGCGACTACGACTTTGTCCGATTCGGCCGTTCATCGGGACCCAGCAAGAAGGCGTCGTCCTACGACTACATCCGCTTCGGCCGCAAGTAGATATACCGTAATCCCACAGTATCCCCCATTGGAACGCGCTTACTGGGTGTGATGATATCACAGATGTTCATAGACTGACATTTTTCTTTCTTCCTTCGATTTTGGATGAATTTGAAATTATTTTATGTGTGACTACCGTATCGTCTCTTTTTTCGTGAAATGAATTATTTGAAGTTATTTTTTCCATTTGTTTCGCTTCCCACCTGTAAATATGCTGTTACGATGAACTTATTTGTTTTGAGAGAAATCAAATTTGCAGGTTTTCCTGGACGAATCAAGTATCAATATCGAATTTCATGCTGCTTTTTTCACAGGTGCGTTTTTTTTTTGATTATTTGTGGGTGGAGGTTACGGTAGTTGAACAGGTGCCTTTTTTCAAGCCGAAATTGGTGGTTTGGCTTGATTTTTTCACCTGTTTCCTGAAATTCGTGACATTTTCTGAATACCTTCTGCAGTTTGGCTTTTCAGGCGAAAAACAGAACTCAACGAGAAAAAAATTTTCGAGATGCTGTCGTAAATTTAAATGAAGATATTGAATCCACTTGAAATATTCATAAAGTTGAATTTCGAAGTTATTTTTCTGATCGAAGCTTGGTGCTCAGAGATGCTTTGAAGCCTCCAGATTGAAATAAAAAGAAAAAGTTCTCAACTTTTGCCATTTTTTCCAGAGTCATTAGAAGCTTCAAATAAGGCTTTTTCCATATTTTGTGCAATTTTCAATCTTTGGAGCGTCATTACTTGACTATAATGGTAAGATCGAGAATGTTTCGTTTTTAAGGAGATATAATCAGAAGGAGGTCTTAACACCAGCCAAGTTAGATTAAAAAAATCAATCAGAAGCTGGGAAATATTGAAATTTTTTTGTCATTCTCAATGGACCGTAAAAATCGCAAGAAAAAGCTCTACAAATTCAAAAAATCTCAAAAAACTACCTTTTCTGTCCAAAATGTCTACAAGTTCAATGATCAATCTCTCGTTTTTTCCTGCTCGTCCTTTCTGATAGAACATGGTACAAAGTCCCCGCTCGGGGAAAAGTAGTGATAAGCGGCTGTAGTGTTAGGGCTGAGAGCGCAAAAATTTGACCGGAGTGGACGTCGTGACCACTCGATGGAGCGACCTCAGCACTCCAAGCCGACTCCGCCGAGGCTCCCCCCACACAGTTTGATCTGTTTCGCTTGTCACATCCACTTGCGAAACTTGACTCTATCTTGATAATGCAAAGAACGGCATGTTTCGAGAAGCATGTCTGGAATTTTTTCGTTTTCTTGAGCTTCAAAGACGTCAGAAGGGGAAATTTTGGACTGCTGCGCCTTACTGTTGCCTTCAAATTATTAAAAGTAGATTTCAGGGCTTTTGATAGTACTTAGGGATAAAAAAAAAGCGAAAATTGAAGGGCATGCTGGAAAAGTCGGTCGGTTCGGTCACTTAAGTGGTCATTTTTTGAAAAATTCCAATTTTTTTCGATTCTAGATTGATTAAGTGTCCAATAGAGTTTCTTGATCATGGTTTTATATGATATTATTTATTTACAGGCAGAGTGGTTAACTTCGAAAAACTAAATATAGGGGTTAAAAATAGGAGGTTTTGTTTTTTTCTCTATAAATTTCATGTCAGCCTTTATAATTTGACCGAAATAGAAGTAGTGTTCATCAAGATTTAAAAGCATTTTCGGCCAAAATGAAAAAAATCCAGAAATAAAGGGAACTTTTGTAAATATAATGGTTAGAAATCTAGAAGATCGGACTTCTAAACTCGTTATACAATGAACAAATAGGTACTTTAAAGCCGATAACACATTTATGAAGCCCGAAAAACTTTTCAAATTTTGAAAACTTGAAAAGAAAATAGGCGTCATTAAAAACTTTCTCAGCGTTCCAAATTGAAGAAGGAAGAAGTTAGTAATGATTCCATAGCGTCAGAATTAGGAGCTCAAGAGAATTCAAATGGGATTTACTAGTTCACTGGGTTTTAAGGTCACACCCACTTGCGAAACTTGACTCTTGATAATTTTGACTTTTCGGAGAGCGGCATGGTTGAAGAAGCATGCCTGGGATTCTAGGATTTGGATATTTTAGCAAGAAAAGAAAATGTTCTCTAAGGTATTGAGAAGTTGGAACAAAATTTTAAATTTTTTAGCCCCTTTAGAACTATTTTAACGATAAAAATAGCCGCCTCAAAAAGCTCCATCAAACAAATTAAATTTGAAATCAAGCTTGTGCTTTAAAAAATCTTAGACTTAGTTCAGAACTTGCCGTGTCTTTTGTGCTTTTTGGAATACTTTTTTTTTAAATCTCATATTTTGCTGCGCTTTCAAACTCCTGGAGGCTTGGAGAAGAAAAAATTCAAGTAGTCCCTAAAAGTTTCACTGACAAGCAAAACTTTTTGAGGCTGTGGATTTTTTTAGACCATTTTGTCATTTCATAAAAAGTTTCCATAGAATTAAAAAGATCGTCCTTTCTAAGAAGTTCTGGAAAATTTGACTAATGAAAATTGGAAAAATTGGGGTATTTCATATTTTTTTGTCTTATAAATGAACTGTTAACCAGCTCAACTCTGCTGGACGATTTTTCTCTGGACTTTTTTTTTTCTGGACCGTTCTGGACAAATCCCGTGACTCACTCATTTTGCACCGGAAAGACATGCCGCGCCGTGAATCGTTTTTTTTTAGTTTTTTTTCCGGAAGCCTAATGTTTTCCTGGACGATTGGCGGCGGACAGTCCAGTAGTGACTTCAGAAAAAAAAGAAGCTCAGACAATTTTTCCTGGTAGGAACACTAGAAGCCTTTTTTTTCACGAAAGTTTCGCAACTTTTTCCTCTTTGTTCTTCTCAGTCGTGCTTGTGTTACGGGCCAAATTCGGCGAAGGCTTGTTTGCGTCTTGCTCCGAAATTAGCCGATATTATCCTCCTCCGGTGAACGGCGTTCTGTTCTTTGTTTTTGCTCGAGAGTGTTGTGTTTCTTTGAAGTCTCATAAATGTGTCTGGAGCTTGGGAGTTCATGAAGGAGTTGGATTTAATTGAGAATGATAGGTTTAAGGAAAGAAGGAGATTAGGAAAGTTGTGGCTGGTATTTCAATGAGCTAAACCCAATGAAAAAAAAAGAAGGGCTTTTTTCAGCTTCTTGAACTGAATGAGACGGTTTTTTCAAGAAGGTTAAAGTAAAAAAGGTTAAAAAGTTCGGTCTAAAGAATTCAATAACGGAAAAAATATTCTCAGTTAAGTTTTTGTTCGAATGGCTGTGGCTAGCGGTTAGTCTTTCCTCATATTGGTAAACTGGTTTTTCCTTATCTTTGATACGGTAGTAGAACGACTAAAAATGAGATAAAGTGAGATAAGTGATCACTGATATCAAGCCAGAGTTAGTCGAGCAGAACCGCTAGATCAGTGTCCAGAAAAAAAATTGAAAGGCTCCAATGCTCTGATCAAGCTAGAACCATCTCATGCTCAAAAGAAGAAGACCCAAAAATCCACTTTCAAGTATCTCCAATGACAAAGACACTCTAGTCCATCATCCATTTCGAGAATAAATCACATCAGATCAAATTCGGCGGCTACACTTGTTCTTCAAGAGCCGCTGGCCGAACATAAACAGACTCCTGAGCAAAGCGAAATCGCCGCCGCCACTTCTCAAATACGTCAGTAGCGGCAGCATCTTGGTGTTGTCCGGCGCCGAGATTTGTCAAACTTGTCACCTTTTTGCAGAAGTTTGTCAGTTGAGGAAGTTGGAAGAACCACGGGAAGGTCAGGAAATAAGATAATCACTTCGTGTCTCCAATGAGGAAGAGGGCTTTCTGATGAGATCTCAATTTTATGTATTCAGAACACTTAGATGTGCAGGCGTCACGGCATTCGGAGATTTTTGTAAATTTAAAATTGAGAAGAGTGTGGTTTGGATTAAATTTGAATATTAAACATTATGCTGGCCGTGATACAACTTGGAACAGCATGACTTACCGACAAAGCAACAAAAACATGGAAATAGCATGTGAAAAAGAGAGAAAGGAAGGAGAGTTCAGAGAAGTCGGAAATTTTGAATGGAGTATTCATTTTTTGATTTTTGAAAACGCTGAAGGCGGTAGGACCTTTTTTTCAAAATGGAGGTGCTTACCTGATTTTTCAAAATTATAATTGATTATCGACTTGCTCTGCTAGATTCAAGAAGTCACTTGAGGATGTTCCAAGCTGTTTTCGTGAAGAGCTATAAGATTCCAGCCGGCTTCTTGAAAAAATAGACCTGAGACCACATTTAGACCCATCATCTCCAAGAATTCGGGAAATGTTCATCCCCCCGATCTCTCGATTCTTTAGGATCGTGATCGGCAACACTGGCTGACACGCAGATCAACACTTGATATTGCGGATTTGACATCCGCGAAAAGGAAATCTGACAGGACGCGAGCAAATAATCGAAGAGCATCTTGGTCCGCTTCTTTTTTTTCCCTGTCCATTTTGGATGGGAGATCACTGACCGATTGACTTTCTTTTCTTTAGTTTGGTCAAGTGGATTCTGAGTGGATGGATAATTGAGGATTTAAGAATCACCAAGAAGTTGAGAACTGGAAAGAATTTGGAAATTCGGAAGGAAACCAAGTTGACACCGCAACAATTATAGCCATTCAAAATGCGACAACGGTGTTCGCGGAAAATGAACTGTAATGTACTTTTATCACTCGATATGTCTTTTTGTGGTTCAACGAGCGATGAGAAAGAACAAAAAATGATCAGGATGGGTTCTGGCTGGCTCAAGTCCCTTTTTTCGAGACCCCTCAACCAAAAATGTCATCACTCCGATAAGTTACGTCAAGTAAAGGTCTGGGAAATCTGTACGGTACCACGCGACAGTTAGTACAAGCTGTCAAAGAGTGCAAAAGGCGGACAGCCGCAAAAATTTTCCTTCTCTCCTTTTTTCGAGCGAGTTAAGGTGTGGGTACGGTAGCGTACGAGGCGGCTTTCGGGCCTCAGGTTCTTCCTTGATGTGAGCTTTTTGAGTGTGTGCTCCTCCGGCCGGCCGTTCGTCTCGGGCCCCGCGCTTCGTCGTGTCCTCGCACTTGACACCCTCGGCCGGAGGAGGCTTCTTCTTCTTGTACTTATCAGATAAAACACGACGACTCTCTCGCTTTCGCTCTCTCGTTTGTTGTGTCGGTTGTGTCCACCACAGACACCGTGTCAGCCAACACCCTCGTCGCTGTCGGCTTTTTCTGATAGGCAACAGTTTGGTCGGTGTCTTGAGCCGCTGAGTTTGAAGAGAGGATGTATGTTGAAGGTGGTTCTGAACATGGATCGATGGATAGAGAAGTTTGCTCGGATGCTAAGGCTCATGTTCCAGAAGCGTAGCCTTGAAGTCTTCTGGAAACTTTGAAAAATGGCAGCTGATTTCAGCAGAACGGCTCAGATCTCAAGCCTTACAAAAGCTAAAGTTATCACAATTGCCATAGCCAGTTAGACAGTCCGAGATACAGCTTTTCACAAGAGGAGATGATCTAATTTTTACTGTTCTAAAAGTTTGGCCCGAATAGTCTCTGAAGGTTGAGGTGTATAGCCCGTTCACGGCTGTCTTGGGACAGCGAACGGGCGGGTTAACTTGCGCGGCGAAGGTAGATCATGGCGGTCATACATGCGCCTTTAATAAGAGCCTCATTAGATGAATTATTTCTGTTTTTATTGAATTTATTTTTGGTTCACATTCATCTCATTGCTTTCAAGATTTTCTTAGAATCGACGAATTCTAAGAGGAAAATAAATAAGTCATAAAATAGGGCTTTTATGGAAGGCACATGGATATTCGCCATGATCTACCTTCGCTGCGAAAAATAAACCGCCCGTTCGCTGTCCCAAGCCAGCCGTAAACGGGCTATAGAGGTTCTCCTTCGCAAAACTATTGATGAAATCGCTTTTCAAAATTACCAAGCAACTGCAGGTTTACTTTGATGAGCGTAAGATCTAAAAAACTCCTTTGGAATCAAGATATTGCTTCGATTTTCAGACGAAGTGTAGAAAAATACCACTCTTTCCAGTATGATGGTCTTCCATGTAGGGCTTCTTCAATCGAGAACTCAAGACCTTAAAACTGAATTCCTCTAAGAATGCCGAGCTTACTAGTTTGAATCAGCAGGAAGATAAGAGAAGGATAAGTTAGAATGAAAATTTTTAAAAAAAGATTTAAATTTTTCGATGCCGTGGTCAGACTCTCGCCGAGAGCAGTCTATCTGTTTAGAGCACTTTATCTGTTTTCAATTTTTAATCGACTTTAGTAAGTGTTCAAATTTCGCGATATTTTTTTTCAACATGTCTCTGAAAATATATATGTTAAAAAGCTTATTTCCTATATTTTTCTTGAAGGTTGTGAATATTGAAAAAAAGTCTACAAGAAGCATTAGTGAAGACTTGTGAAAACCTTCAACTTTTGCTTTTTTTGTATCCTTCCTAACTTTGAAGTTGGACGTCTTCCAAATTGGCGTGAATTTGAGAAAAAAAAAAGTTTGAAAACAAGTTCCAAAAAGGGCAGTTTTCCTCAACTTTCCAATGAAAACAAAAAACCGGCCGAGATTTCAAAAAGTAGGAAGATTAAACTTTTCCGGTAGTAAAGGATGTTTATACCCATTTTTTTTCAAGATTATTTTTTCAATAAAGCTCTGAAGGCTAGAGCTTTTTTCATGACCTTCGAGAAAATAAATTTAGGCTCAATATTTTTTTTTTTCGTTTCTAAAGTTCATTAAAGAATTTTCACAAGCGATTTCACAACATTAGCACCGCGATTATCTGGGTGTTCTTTTGAGCTTGGAAAAAATGCGAAGACAATGGATAGAGTCGAATTTTTGGGTGCTCTTCGCACACAAATAGGCCGCCGAAACAATCGCCCGCAGAACATAAACATCAAGACACGAAACTATATATATTTTTGGGACTTTTTTGGTCAAAAAATTCTTACTTGGTAAGTCTCATATTTCTTGAAGATCCTTGTGAAACAAAGCTAAAAGGTTCGGTATCTCAAAACTTTGACTATGGCATCGGGAAAATTTTGAAGATCCCAGGCAGGGCATTTTTGCAACTTCCGCAGGTTTCAGTATAGATCGCGTCGAGCAGAAAATTCATCAAACAGCCATTTTTTTTCGAAATCCAGATTTTGAAAGTAAGCTCACAAAAAATTTGTTTAGGATTCAGTTTTGGACTCTCCTTAGCCTAATACAAAGAATGAACTGTAAAAAGGATGTAAAATCCGAAAAATTTCGTTTTAGGTTTTCTTACAAAGGTCTTCACAGTCTCATGAGGCTTATTAAACTTGAATTTTTCCTCTATTTTCTTTAAAAAAAAAGTTTGAGCGGTCTGATTAATAGTTTATCATTTTGAGCCTCTTTGAATTAACTATTTCTTATCAGAATTGAATTGGTCCTTTTTTTTTGGAACGGGTCGAAACGTGATTTCACATGAAGCTTCACGTTTAAAATTTTTTTTTTATGATTATTTTTTACGGATAACGCTGGAAAATTTGACTCAAGCCTAAATGTATAGCTGAGGAAGCATTTCACATTCAAATTGAAAGCGCAACGCGACCGCGACGCCTTGAGCCATTCTCAATGCGGCCTTCTAACTAACTTTTTACTGTTTTTCACATTTTTCGCTTTGTTTTGACTTTTTTTGACTCCTATCACATTAAAATCCACTCAAGTTAAGCCAAAAAAGGAGTCGAACTTTCACGAGAAAGCACTTGAAGTCGGCCCAAAAAGTGGTGAGCAGCAGAAGCCACCTGATAAGAACAATAGAAGGAGCTAAATCGAGGCTCGCCTCGTGGAGACGACAAACAGTTTGCATTTGTTTCCCCTGCGAAGATCGTCGAGGTGCTGCTAGTAGTCCCTATTTTTGGTTCTGAGCTGAGAGATGCCGGCGAGAGAGAAGCAGAGAGTGTTGTGGATGGGAGGTGGAGCTTCGGACCGACGGGGCGTAGCCGACGACGGACCAAGCAGGGAGAAACCAAGAGGCTTTAGACAGACATTCGAGGCCTCTGCGGTGTGACCGCACCACCACCTCAACTTCTGAGCTTTCAAATATTCGCTTCTTTGCTTTCTTATTCCTTATCTGTTATCATATCTTGATTCATTCCATCCTTTATTGTGTCTTTTGTCCTTCTGTCTTCGATCCTCTTCCAAGTGAGGCTTCATCAAGCGGAACGGTTCTTTATGCAGAACCTTCTGAAGCCTTTGAAGAACCTTGTTTAAATTTACCAGCTTTCATTCATTCAGAGACCGCAGATGCTTTGACGAGCTCATTATTCTCACTCAAATCAATTTTTATCCACATTCAGCCTGAGTATAGGACTGTGGTCGAATCTAAAAATCGACCAGTGGTTTCTCTTTTTTTATTGGATCGACTTTCTTTGGTTGAAAATCTTGACTTTCCTGAGAGAGTTTTTGTACCTGCAAGAATTTTGAGAATCTTCTTAGTTTGACCAGCTTCTCGGACATTAGTAACGCAAAACGGACCCCGGTCGTTTCAGGGCATTTCTAGGAATCATTTAAGAATACTGACGCCACTAAAGTGGACCCTAGAAGTGCCCCGACGCGTCTCCGTTTCGCGTTACCAATGTCCAAGTTGTTAAAATTTTTGAAGGCGCAGAGAATTTTTCCGCCTTTTTAGGCCTAAACTCTCTAGATAGCTGGGTCAACCTTCCAGTTGAATTTTAAAATAAAAGAGGATTTTTTCAATATTTGGAGGATCATATACATAGTTATGGCAATACCATAGGTTACTAAATTTTCAAAATATTCTTTATACTGAAATGTGAGTTTTATCCTTCTTCCGATTTTTTGTTTCAGAATTTCGTACCCTTTTTTTCCTTAAAATCATTACTTTCAATCTTGATGCGTCTTAAAGTATATTTCGATTCTCCACATTTTTTGAATCTTCTTTTTTTTCAGACCCTCCGGTGTGTTATTTGACCCTCAAACCGCTGTGGGCGTTGCAGTTGAAGTTCGTCGGTCCACTCTCTGTTATTTTTCTGTGTATTTCCAGCAGCACATGGCCATGCTCCCCTTGGCTCTTATCCTTCTCGGTGAGATTAGGTTGAACTTGAGAAAATCAGGGAAATCGAATTTTTTTTTTAGGAGGAGGTTTAGAAATTGTAGGGAGCTTTTCTGTCTTGAAGTCTTGTCAAAAGGTGTTTTGATCTTTATGTACAAGCCTTGAAAAGTTTTAGGATGTTAAACATTATTTTCAAACTGACAAGGGAGGCATGAATCCACTGGTCAATTGTAGAAGAATTATGAGAACTGAGTTTTTATTTTTCAAGGGAGTTTTCTAGGATTTCCATTGATCAACGCTTTTAAACATTATCTTCCGAGATTTTGATCGATAAATGAGTAATTCAGTCGGGTCGGCGCTGGCACAGACTCCGGTGATCGGAGGCACCTGCAAACTTGGCACCGCCGACGTTCAGATCGGCGGCAAGCAGACCCAGTTCTTCCTCAAGTGTGAGGCTACCGCTGAGTGAGGATTTTCAGTTTTATCTCTTTTGATTTATTGATTTTCGTTTTGTTATTAGGATATTTCGAAACGTTCTTATTTGATATTTATTTTCTGTCTAATGTTCCCAAGAACTTCAATAGTTTACCCTTGGGCAAAATTTTCCCAATTTCGTTAAAATTGTCTCGTTCTTTTCTATAGCTTATCTGTTTCTCGATTTTTTATTTTTCACACTTTTGAGATTTCGAGAGATTTTTGAAGGTAGCAAAGAAGTCGAAGCTGTAATGGGATAAATTGATTTATCATTTTGATTCTGCAGATTTAATATTTATTCGATTGGCTTGTCTTTGTTTTGTTCAAATTCTGATTTTTTTGTGACATCACTGAATACTTGACAAGCTACCAACAGAACCATATAACTAGAAATTCTGGATTTTTTTCATATCTTTTTCATACAATTTTTAAATCTCATTACAGCAGTACGGATGGCGAAGGAGTCTGGGTTGTGAAGTCCCGAGCTGCCGCATCAGCAGCTCCGGCCCAAGCGGCCCAAGTGCCGCTTTCGTCGGCCCAAGTTCCAGCCGAGAACACGCAGCCTCAGCAGCATCCCAAGTCGCGCAAGCAGAGCTCGCCCAACATTTGCGGTATATTTTTTAATGAATTTCTGTTCTTTTTTTCGAAGTTTATTATGGTTTGATTTTTTTTAATCAAGAGTGTGGTAGATGGTATTCATGAGTAGGAACACCAGCTAAGGAATTTTAAAAAGGTCCGAGGCTCAGATTTAAGATTTTTTTAGTACAAGACAGGTTCTATGAGAAGAAATAGCCTCGAAAAGTCGATCAAGGCTTAATTTGTGAACTTGTTGCGCTCTATGGATAATCAAGTTTTTGTAGACGGGAAAATTCAATTTTTTTGTGATCTATTGATTTTTTGGACTTTTCTGAGATTTTTTTAAGATTGTTCCATTTTTCAAACGGTTTCTTATTTACTGAAAAGCTGAAACTGGTCAATTTTACGTTATTTTGTGCTTTATCCATAATCGAGGCTATTTTGGTTTTTTTTTTCTCCAAAAAATGAGCCGAGGCTATTTTTCGCTATTTTTCACAGTTGTCGGGTGAATTTGAACTGTCTTCCATTTTTTTTTCGTATAGTCGCTGAGACGGATGATGATTTCGAACTGATTTTGGGGCTAAGCGACGACAGGCCGACCCTTAATTCTGAGCAAACAGGTGGCCGTTTTCTCAGCGCTTTCCCTCCAACTCGGGGGAGACCTAATCAGCGGCGCTAACTGTCGAGGAGAAGCACACAGGGAGAGAAAGGTCGGCCACAGCCGCCGACAGGCACTCGCCAGTAAACATTCCCGCACGCCCGAACACACACGGAAGCGTCTTGGTCATTTCAGTGCTTAAGCTCGGGGAAGCTGATCAGCAGTTTATCAGTCGATTTAGGGTCTTTTTCCGGGTTTTTTCTAGCGATTTTTGAAGGGAATGGTGAAAAATCACGCCCTATGGGGATTTAGAACGTCCCGACCTTGAAAGTTCGTTTGGAAAAAATGAGAAGAAACAGCCGCGAAAAAGAGGAGTTTGTGCGCTCCATCGACAATTTACCGTCCCTCGGTTCTTATATGGTTTTTTGGGAGACCAGCTTGCCCAGAGAGAGGAAATAGCTTTGAATAAAATCTTAGAACTCCAGAAGAATAATTTTCGGAAAAGGCTGGATTTTCGATATCTTAAGCGCCCCATTGAGAAGCATTTTTTTTGTAACTCGGATTTTTTAAGTTTGAATTTTTCAACAGATCTTTTGACTATTTCGGTTAGGAATTTTTTCAAAAAGTTTTTTTTCTTATAAGAAATTTCTCAAGTTTTCATTTGTCGGAAAAAAAACTGTAGAAGACGAACGGTTTTTCTCTCTCTTTTTCACCTCCAGTTCAAACTTGACTCGTTTTTTCCCCTCCAAGTTTGGTTATGCAGTCTGGCTGCGTAGTGATTTGTTTGCCCACCCTCCGATGAATGGCCTTTTTTTCTTTCATTTTGCAACCGGCTCCCGTTTTGCGCCGCTTTTTCTCAACTATTCTTGCTCGCCTTCATCTCCAAATAAGGAATTTTTCTGAAGGATTTTTTTTGGGGGAGGGTTCGAGGCGATTTTGAAATCTGGGATTTTTTTTTTTTGAGGTTGGAGGTGAGGGTGGTAGAAGAATAGTACTGTATTTTTGAAGTTTACCGCAAGTTTTCGGATTTAAATAATTTTTTGTAGGGTTGGGAACGAAGAAAGGTCTGAAAATTCGTTCCATATTCGATTTTTTTTTCGAAAAGGGGTTCTGTACTTTGGAACTTCAAGAGCTTTTTCTAGAAATAATAGCTTTTTTTCTACTAGATTATGATTGAGAAACAATCTTCAAAAATTACAAGCTTTTTCACTTTATTCCAATGATTTTGAACTTTAGAACACCAAAATTCAGGTTCCAACCAACAAGAAGAAAAAAAAAGCGGTTCATTTTTTTTGTTGCACTGACCAGAGCAGGCTGAAGGCGGAGAAAAGTAAAAATAAACAAAAATTGGTCTTGTTTGCGTTCTCCGGCGCCACCAGCGCGCAACCACCCCGAGAGCCGCCCGCAAAAAGAGCGGTTCCAAAAGAGCCCCCATCGCCTGAGGGCATTGTCTGTGCGTGACCTTCGCCCCACTGACAAACACAAGAAACGAGAGTGCGACTCCTTCTCGTTTTCTTGGGTTTTTCGAGTGCATCCTGAAGGGAATAAAGAAGGAGAGAAGCCTTGGGAACGGCCTTGAGAAAGTTCGAGTGGATTCGCCCTTTTTGGAGTGGTTTCGGGTGAAGCTGAAGCTTTGGGGGAATGGCTTGAAATATCAATTTTTTACCTGATCTTATCAATAACATTGATTTTTCCAGAACAAGACAATGGAGCGCGTGAAAGCGAGACGTGTGCCGTTTCTGCGACCTGTCTTCAGGCTCACAACGAGTTCCCGTCTTCCTACCTTCAATGCGACCAGACGTTCGTTTTTTATGGATCTCCTTTGATTTTCTTTTTTACGGCTTTTTTTTTCGAGAATCTTCTCACCACCAGTTTTTATATTCCTCCAAACTGTGCTGAAACTGAACTCGAGTCAATAATTCAGGACGCTGCGATGGACCCGAAAGTCTTGCCAAGACGGCTTCTTGTTCAACTTCGAGCAGCAGACTTGCATCGTCCCGAAGCGTATGAGCTCCCTCTCTCGTTAGTTTCAAAATGATCCATTCTTGCTCCTATTACTAACTTTTGTGTGTTTCCTTGCACTAACCCCAACTTCTAGGCTCACCCTTACCTTCAACGAAAAGCTGCATGAACTGCCCATTGGGGACGTCTTGCCGGGAAGGCCGCTGCGTTAAGCTTCCTTCTAGCAGTAAGGCTTGGAAAATGAAAAATATTGGATTTTTCTAAAGACAAAAATTATCGATTTTGTTAGACTTTGAGATTACTTCTGATGGAAAAAAATGACTAGGATTTCCAGTGACCCTTAAAATCACAAATTTTGAATAATTATTTAGTTCCTTGACTCTACTCCATTAACATTTCCTCAATCTCCTAACCTTCAACATTTACTAACCAAACAGCTCTCTGCTCCGATGGCTCATCACCATCTGGAAATTGCAACTCGACCACGACGTCTTCATGTCCGAAGGAGCACTTCTGCACGTCCCAAGGCGTCTGCTGCCCGATGACGGCCCTGCAAGCCACGTCGAGCTGTCTTCTGATGTGCAGCGTCACGGCGACCTGCCCCAAAGGGATGATGTGCTACAACAACTGCTGCGAGGAGCGGAAGATCTTCCGACACCCGGAGTCCTGGAAAGACTGGAAAGAGTCGGATTTCAAAGACGTCTTCGCCGCGAAGAACGATGTCTTTGACACGGCTGCCATCGAAGCTTTTCCTACCCTCGGGCCGCTGCCGCTGGATGAGCTGGAGGAGGTGACGACGACTTCTACGACGACAATGAGGCCGACGACTTTGGCCACGACGACGTCTTCAGAAATGCCGAAAGAAAACCTCATCGACAGTCCCTACTTCAGAGGCTCAAACACGCTGAAAAAGGTCGTGATTCAACCTGTGGCCAAGCCTGGCAGTATCGTTCGTGATCCTATTCAAGACACCCCTAGAGACTCCACTTGGCCTATTGAGACCACTACCAAAGAAATGCCTAGGAGTGTCATCAATGAAGTACCTAGAGACACGTCGAAAAAGGTCTTCAGAGACCCGAGTTGGCCAAGGAAAACGGAAACCTCCAAAGCTCCCAGAAAGCTTGGCTCGAACTGGAAAATTCGCAAGCCCAACTTCGATCCTGAACCTGCCACTTGCAACTGTCCAACGACCCCGGCACCGACTTTGACTGGTGAGTGATCATCTTTTTTTGAAACAAGGTCAAACTTATTCATGCCTCTCGGCATCTTTGTGACGATTTGTGACTATATATGAGACGAGACTTCGTATTGTTTGCGATGGTTAAGGAAGTTCTGTGTTTTGTGTGTGCTTGGCCAAATGAGAGAGACTTGCACACTTAATGAGAGTCTCTGTGTGTTTGGTCACGGCCGAATAGCGGCTCAAAAGCTTCCCCCTAGGAGGAGAAAGTGCAAAAGAACTGTCCGCAAAATGCAAAGTCTCACTTTGAAACCGGCAAAATGGATAATCTTTCAGGCACTTGTGGTGGCACCAACGCCGTCTGCAAGATCGACGCCGACTGTCCTCCTACTTTCGCCTGCGAAGGAAACTGCTGCAGACTGGCTGTTTGTCCGAAGACTGGAGCCGTCGCTCGGTTCAGCTGCACCTCCAAGTACAACTGCCGGGCTGGAGAAGTTTGTCTTTTCGGTGGCTGCTGTCCGATCGAAGTTGAAGCCGCTGGAGCCGAACCTTACGATTTCGCCGAGAAAAGGACGACTTCTGTGGAAATCACGACCACACCTGTCCCTCTGAACGGTTGCTCCATTGACGATCGGGTCAAGAACTGCGATTTCGACCATCCTTGTCCCGAAACTAGCGAGTGTGTAGCTGGAACATGCTGCAAAATTGCCGCCAGCGGCAAGATGTGGAAATGGCTTGATGGCCCTAGCCATTCCAAAGAACTGCGACCTCTCGGACGACTGTCCCATCGCCTCGAGGTGTGAGTACGGCCGATGCTGTCCTCTGCTCAGTCAGCCTTCTGTTGAGAATAATGAGGTCGCAGAGCTGTCGGAGGTCGGAAATAAGGTTCTGGAAAAGAAGGAAGAGGAGGAGGACATCTTCAAGAATGTCCCGCTTCCGGAGAATTTTTTTGAGAAGACCGAAAAGAAGAAGAATAAAATGAAGCCTCTGCCGGATATTTTCATGGAAACTACAGAGAAAAAGAATAAAATGAAGCCTCTGCCAGATATTTTCATGGAGAAGAGTTCGAAAAAGCTTCCTGACGTCTTCACAGAGAAGAGCAAGCCCGGTCTCAGCTTTTCCAAAGGGGTGAGCAATTTTTTTTTTCAAGTAGAGCCATATAAGACTTTTGAAAAACGATTTAATCCTGTTCCTCCTCCTCATTTCCTAATTCAGAAGTGCCTGAGCTCCCAGAAGTGCGACCTGCGAACCCTGTGCCCTCCGCAATTCACCTGCTCTCTCGACGGCCGCTGCTGCAAGATGAATGTACTATGTCCTGATGGAACGGTCCCCGAATCGGCCTGCGATGGATCTTTTGACGCCGCCTGTCCTTCCTCGTCTCACGCCTGTCTGACTCTTGAGCACGAGCTCAGCGCTTGCTGCGTCGTTGTCAAAGGTTTGTGGAAAAGAGAAAAGTCGCCCCAATGATAAAAAGGCACTTTCATCATTTCATCGTATACCAAAAATGGCGATGAATACAGCCAAGAAGCTCAAGAGGCTGAGCAAAAAAGCCTCTCCAGATTAAGCTTTTGCGCTCTATCTATAAATCGAAATATTACATTTTTCCTAACCATGAAAAATCATGAATGAACTGGCTTTTTCAGGCTTCGACGTCCGGCACCATGAAGTCTCCCATTGTCCCAGCGGCTCTTCAGAAGTCGCTCCCAAATTTGGCAACTTTTGCCGATATTCCCTCCAATGTCCATCCCCATATTTCTGCAACAATCGCGGACGTTGCTGTCTACCACATCCAGAATAGCTAGGTTTCAAATCGATTCTCAGAATTTTAAATAACTTTTCTCATTTTCAGACCTTCCTACGACTTCAACATTCTACGTGTACTAACCAATCTTTCTATTTATTTTTCGCATGAATAAACTGACTTTTCCTAACATTTTGCATGCCTTCTCTATACTGTTTCTATCTCGATTTCTATAAAAAATTTAAAAAAAACAGGTCAACAAGCGAACGGACTTCTCTGCACCTTCTCCAGCTGCTCCAACTCGAACCCGTGCAACGTCGGAACCTGTAACAATGGATACTGCTGCTCCAGCTCCGGATCTTCCAACCAAAACTCGGCGATTATCCGTGAGTTTGAGCTTCTTTTCATTTTATGACACAGTTCTAACCAATCGCTTGCTTATTCACCATCACTATCACAAAAACCTGGGGGAAGAACAGTTTTAGGCCGATTAGGAGAGAGAAAGTTTGCTCTACTGATAATTTAGAAGAAAGAAGCATCCTACGAAAAGACAGCTTTATGGAAAATTCTAAAAGTTCGACTTATTTTGTGGAATTTTTCATACATTTTGAATCAAATAGCTCAAAAAAAATAAGAAAATGCGCTCCGAGGATAATTTCATATTTAATATTTCAGGCTCAAGGAATCTTTTTAGTTTTTATTTTACCATTTTTTTCATTTACCTGTTCCGCCTTTTTTTTCGCACACTGTCTCACTTTAACTGTAACATCACCTTACAGCCGAAAAAACCACCAAAAGCACTACTAACAAGAAGCGCAAGCACCGCAAACCCAGCAAGAAGGAGAAGAAGATCGACCTGACAGCTCCGCTCGCCGATTTTCCAGTCGGACCGCCAGGCTACGGTTTTCCGGAGCACTTGGCGACTCTGGACGACGTCCTCATCAAGGCGACCGGCGATGGAAGTAACCGTCCGCACTTTCTAACCATCTTGCATGTCCCATTGCAGACTCCTGCGCCGGCGGCTTCAGCTCCTCGTTGGTGTGCTCTCTGGGCGCGGAATGTCCTCCAGGACTCCACTGTGACAGGACTATCGGCCTCTGCTGCCCCCTGCTCCTGCCACTGACGGACCCGGCCAATCCGAAGCCTGAGCGACGTCATCGCAAAGAGCAGCGCAGTGAGGCGGAGGAAGCAGGAGCTGGAGGAGCTCATCTGAGATTCTCGTCCTACGCACCTTGCAACTCACCATGCTGTAAATGACTGGCACGACTTGAGGGATTGTCTTTGGGCGTAGGCCAATGAAATCGGAATCATAATTTTCTAACCGTTCCCAGAAAGATCTCTCAAGTCGCTCCAAATAGATCAATTTTGAGATTTTTTTTAACCAAGCTGCACCGTAACAAATTTTTAGTTCACTTAACATTTTTTTATTTTGGAAACTCTTTTTAAAATGGGGTTTTTCAGTCACCCCATCGTCCAACAACAACTGTGTCGGATGCGGAGCTGCTTCGCCTCAAATTATCACTATTCGTGAGTTTTTATCTGGCTCGAAATCACATATTTTATCAGATGTTCGAAGTTTCAATGACAACGGATGAATTTCAGCGTCGAGCTCCGGATGCCCCGGAGGTGGCTACTCTGTAGGCACCTGCAACTCTGGTTATTGCGCCACCGGATACTCCTGCGTCCAGAACCAGTGCTGCCCATCCTACTCGGCTCCTCAAGTCAGCGTCTGTGAGTCGTCCAGCTCCCAAAAACCGTACTGAAGGTGGACACCTCTTCAGACAGCTGCCCATCTGGAGGAAGCGCCGTCGGAGCCTGCATCTCCGGCCAGTGCGCTACTGGATACTCGTGCTACAACAACGCTTGCTGCCCATCCACCACGACTCAGAATCCTTTCGGTAAGACAGGAAAGATCAATATCCTGAAACCATCTTAAAACTATTCAGTCTGCCCTGACGGAACTCAAGCCGCCGGAGGCTGTGTCAACGGCCAATGCGGAACCGGCTACACCTGCTCGAACGGCCTCTGCTGCGTCGGCACCACCACGACGGTCAGATGCCTGGACGGATCCTCGGCCGTCGGCGCCTGCATCCCCTCGTGCACTGGCAACGCCTGCGGCGGCGTCCAGGTCTCCTACTACTGCGGAACCGGCTACACCTGCACCACCGGCAACATTTGCTGCCCCGTCAACAGCTGCCCTAATGGCGGAACCCTTCTCGGACCCGCTGTCAATGGACTCTGCCCCAATGGATACACCCTCCAAGGAGATGTCTGCTGCTCGTCACTCTGCACTGATGGATCTGCTGGTACTCCTGCTATCAATGGTGAGGAGAAAACATTTAGAAGACTAGCTCTGATCCGACTTTCCTTATATATGTTCAACGTATAACCTTTGAAGGAATTTGCCCTGGCGGCACCACCCTGACCAACGGCGTCTGCTGCGCTTCTACCGTCACCTGCGACGTCTCCATCTCCAACGGACCTTGCACTGGCGTCTTCAACGGCGGTTGCAGCGTTAGTCAAAGGGATCCCATCCGGAAAATCATGAGGTTCTTCAGGCTGGACACGCTTGCGACACCACCCAGAACATTTGCTGCCCGATCGTCGACTTCAACGACGCCAACGACCAGGTCGGCCCATGCTTGGACGGCACCTGCCCGGCTCTCTTCGTCTGCGTCTTGACGCCCAACAACGACTTCATCGACCCCGTCACCGGCGACAACCCAGGAGTCTGCGTCTCCCTTCAGTCTGGTCAGTGAAAGGAGTGGTTACTTGAAACCCGGAAATTTTCAGTGCCTGGAGTCTGCGACGTCGCTGATCAGGTCGGCGTCTGCAACACGGACACGGCCACCGGAACCTGCCCAACCGGCTTCACTTGCTTCACCGCCGCCGGCATCTGCTGTACCGACGGAACCGTCTTCAGCCGACTCCGTGGCGCCAAGAGACCCAACAACCGATTGCCAGCCTATGGACGTCCTCTCAACAGCTACATGCCTCGTGAGTTTTGAGTAGAGCTGTAGGAGCTTCAGTGTTATTGTAGTGAATTCATGGAGATAGTGCATCTTTCATAGTTAGATTTGGTAGCAGATTTAGTGGTTCTTAATAGAAGCCTGAAGTCTGTAGTAGTGATTCTAACGGCTTGGAAGAGTTTAGTGGGAAACTCAACTGTTCATTTTCACAACTTTTCAGTACTGATCAAAGTGACTTTTTGAAGTATCTAGTGCAGTTTCAGCGGTTTTTTATGACGTGATAAGAGATCCGCAGCTTAAATTCGCTTTTCGATTTATCATTTTTTATATTTCTGTAAGGAAGGAAGGTCATTATTGTTGATTGATAAATTTTCGTTCATTTCTAGAAGTTTTGAAACGTATCCGATACTACTTTGAGGCCCTAGGCTAGCTGGCGGCTTTTAGAACGGCTTGAGACGTTGAATTTCGAGTTGTAGTTCCAAAAAGCTTGAGATTCAAGTTTTTAGAAGGACTTTTTTATATCAAGATTGTGAACCTAGGTCGACATTCAGAAGAAAAAAACAAAACAAAGCATGAAAATCCTCACAGTGTGGTGAATGTGCGTGTGTTGCCTGCGTTTTCACGAAATCGTCCACCGTTTTCTCCCTATAACTCCCGGCTTCAGCCCGAATCGGCGGCTCTTCCACCTGTGCCGATGGAAGTCTGAGCGCCGGCGCCTGCATGAACGGCCTCTGCGGCCTGGGACACGTCTGCCAGAACGGCCAGTGCTGCAATCCGTCCTCGTCGTCGTCCAACGGCGGCGGCCCCGACAACAAACTCCAAAGTAATCCAAAGTTCTAGGCTGTGCTTGGGATAGTGGTTGGATGCTCAGAAAAAATGAGGCGTCATGGAAGTTTTTTTTTAGGATTTATCTGACCACCACTATCCAAAGTACGGCTGTAACTCTTTTCGGAAATCGCATCCCTTCCTACGGTCCCTTCTGGTCTTTTAGGCGTCTGTCCGAGCGGAGAGACGGCCGTCAGTGGCTGCTTCATCGACGGAACCTGCGGAGTCGGATTCGAGTGCGTCCGTGGCATGAACCTCTGCTGCCCGCCTGGACAACCGTCTGTCGGACCCTCTCCTAGCAATATTCTGCCGTCGCAACCGCAAAACATCATTTGTGAGTTGTTGAGTGTATGACGGAGTTTCTGAGAAAAGAATAGCCTTTTTGAATGCGCTTTGTGGCTTAGGCTTGAATATACAAAACAAAAAGTATATAAAAGGTCGAAATTTAGACATCACAAGCCATAGAGCGCACAAAATCGATAAGGTAATCTCGGAAACTCTGTCATTGGAAGTCGATTCATGGAACAGCTCATCATTATTAGAAAATGACGAATTTTGAAGACGTTAACTTTCAAAATGCTTAGAAGTCAAAAAAAGGATCATATCTGAGCTGTTCATGGATCAACTACACACTCACTTTTCGAATGTCCTCATTCCTTTGGGCTGAGACGAAACTTTCCAGCGCCGCGACCGATTGGCGCTCGTTGCCAGTTCGACGGCGAGTGCGTCGGTCAGCAGGAAGGCCTCTCGATGTGCCACGCCGGCGTTTGTCAGTGCTCGCCGATCGCCTACTCCCAGGGAATTGCATGCATCCGTCGCAAGTGTAAGAGCACACGAAATCCCCCCTATTGATCTTCGTTGGTGTTTTTTGGTTCCTAACTTCAACTTGGAATAGCATGATTGAATATTGAAGGATTTCTAATAGAATCTTGTGCAGGAGAGAAATTTATGTTTATCATTAACCCTTGGAAGTGAGGAAATCCCGTAATTTCGATCCAATTTGAGACAAGTTCTGCTGTAAATTGAGCTTGAGAGCTCTGTGAGCCCATTTCAAAACTTGGTGTCATATTTAGGGTCATAAAATCTGAAAAACCTTCTGAAAAACAATTTCAACACTTGCAGCCTTCCAAATGAACGATGAGCCGACGATGGACGGCGAGAAGCCGGGTCAGATCGTGAAGAGCGTCTAAACTTTGCCGGAAATCGACAGCTTCCTGTCAAAAAACCTTGAAATTTGCATCGTTTTGCATCAATTTCTTTTTTCGCTCAATTCGTCTTTATTTCGGTCCGCTTTCCTTATATTTCATCTCAATTGTTGCCTTTCTTCGACAAAGAGTCTCGGTTTTCGTTTTTCACTTTCCACCTGACCTTCTGAAGGTCCTGGCCTCGAACCCCTCTAATTTAGTGAAACAGAAAAAAAGTTCTATATATTTATTATAATATTTATGAAAAGTTGTGGAACCCACACCACGTCGCGTAATTCCAGATTGGAATCTTCATATAGCCTTTAATATATTTATTATACTTAATATTTATTTGAAACAACAAAAAAAAAGAAGAAAAAGAGATGAGAATTATCGGTACAACAGTCTTTCTCCAGAAAAGTTTCTTGTTTTATATTTTTCCACTTGTTTGTCCCTCCCCATGTCGCACTCAAAGATTGTTTTTGCGATTGCCGAATTCTTCGAGATAAACTTTATTTTATTTTACAAACGGTATACAAAAAATGAACTTTTTTGCGCCGCGGTGCAAAAATCCGCAATGGTCTCGCGTCTCCCGAGACCAGTTACTAACCTTTTATGTAAACTTTTTCCCATTTCCTCACCGTTTTTGTACTTTTCGCATGGTTTTTGACCCCACACTGCGCATAAATATTTTTCATTCGTTAACTCGTGAACCTGTTTGGTGTGGTTTTAATAATGTTATTAGCAAAAATGAGAGAAGTTAAAGATTTTGAACGACAAAATGGGCTCAATTGACTGATAAGGAATATCATTTAATAGCTGCCATCGAGATGAATCAAAGGATTTAATCAGTTTCTCTGTAAGTTCAAAATGAACGAAGATATGAAGCTTCAAAGTCAATGCGGCTTTTTGGACCTAATTTTCACCCAATTTTTGAGCTTTTCCGCTGAAAATGATGAAATAAATGCACTAAGTAGAGGCTGCTCTATCGATTGATATAGAAAAAACCTCAAAAATACAAAAAAAATTTGAGCTTTTCCCTTTTAGCGAGAAAATTAGACCGGAGTGCAGTGCACCAAATGCATTTTATCTGACGCCTATCGAAGTATTAATGACATACTTCAAACGCTTATATCTCAGCTCCCAGAGCAGCTACAGCTTATCTGATTACATCATTCGATTTGTCTTGATGTCAGCTTTCCAGTGATATAGGCCATCAGTTGTTTGAGCTTGATCTGAAAACTCATTTTCTAACACTTTCCAAATTCATAACTTTATTTCTGGGGGGTTATGGACTTCGAGACCTAGTTTTTCCTGATCTTCTCAATCCCTTCTATCGGTTGATACTAATTTCGAGCAATTTTGATATTTCAGCCGCAAGTTCAATCGTCCCTAACTTCGTTCCTAGTTGACCTACAGAGGTCAAACCTGGTCTCAGGTTATTTTATCGTCGAGATCTATCGAGTGATATAGGTTTCGTCCGGATCGGCTTCCATGACCTCAGAAGCTCGAAAAAAGCTAAGGGGTTAGATTGCAAATTTTTGAATTTTCCTAAAAATTGAAATTATCAATTTTGTTACATCAATCGATAGATAATGGCGCACTGTACCTGAAAATGTAGGTAAAAAACTTCTGAGGCTCATAAAAAAAAAGTTATGATTTTTTAAATTTTGTCTTTTTTGACAAAAGTGCTTGAAACTCTTGAAGTATTAGCCCATTAGAAAGCTCATGTTAAGAAGAATCGACTGATATAATTATTATCTCTTTAATTTCAAAATGAACGAAGATACGATGCTTCAAAAATCAGAAAAAAATACGATTTTTTTGGACCTAATTTTTCTCCTAAATTTTGAGCTTTTTCTCTCGAAACTGATATTACAACAGTATTATATAAAAAAAGCTCTACCGATTGATACGTAAAAAACCTAAAAAATATGAGAAAAATTTTGAGCTTTTCCATTTTCGCGAGAAAATTACACCTTGGTGCAGCCCACCAAATGCATTATATCTGACGCCTATCGAAATATTAATGACCAACTTCAAACGCTCATATTTCGGCTCCCAGAACAGTTGCAGCACATCTGATTACATTGTTAGATTTTTCTTGATGTCGGCTTTCCAGTTATATAGGCTATGAATCGTTTGAGCTTCATCCAAAAGTTTCAGACTTGCCTCAGCTTCTCAATTCGCACCCACAGCAGCACAGCAACACCTGTTTTCAACTTTTTCATGATGTGGATCGAGATTTCAAAATTTTCAAAATCTCATTCGGAATTGCTCAAATTTTCGAACGCTCATCAAAAATCATTGAAAACTTTTAACGGTAAGCATAAAAAAACGCTATAAAAAATTTATACGACAAAAAAAAGACAGGAAGGAAAAAAAAATCGAGTAATGAGAGGATTAGGAGAAAATTAGCCACCGATTTCATCGACCCTATGAAGCTCATTCCAGCAACAGAAATGTATATAATACACAAAAATACAGATATCTAGCAAGTATTAGTTCAATAAATTTCCCGTCTGGAAAAAAAAAGAAATGGACATGGGGGCGGGGGAACTCGAATCCTATTATATTTACACCGTTGACGATTCAATCAAGATTTGAATTAGCTGGAAAGATATTTGACAGACAAAGAAAATTAGAGTACAACAGCGCCTACGAGAGTTTGGAACTACAAATTTCCTAGAAGTAAATGAAACTCATGAAAGAAAAATAATATACACTAGTCTTTCCTGCGCTTGAGAACGCTCGTGAGAAGTGACGCCGCCGAAGAAGACGTCGACGCTCCAGAAGACGAGGCGGAGGCAGATGACGTCGTCTGGTTGACGTCTTCGTAGAAGCAAATGTAGCTGTCGGACAGCAGCCGGCTGACTAATGGATCGATCGCTCCTTTGCCGAACATCGCCTGAAAATTTAAAAAAATGTCTACATATCATATAACCTGCTTAATCAAAAATCGTTGTTGTAAATCCAATTAGAAGTACTTAGGAGTTTTAGATTGGTTCTTATAGGGGTTAGGGGGAAAAACAGCCCATGTGAAGATCGCAAAATTGATCATTATAGGGGTAAAAAAAGAGGTCCCTACAGGGGTCGTTCATTATTATTCAAAGAAAGTTTTTAATTATTCCTCACTTTTCAAACAACTGCTCTTCTTATGGTTAGATATTCCCAACAAAAAGTCCTAAGTAGTAGGAAATTTTGTTTTAGAAATCCCAAAAACATTTCATTAAACCAATGTTTCTCACCTTGACTTGCCCAGTCTCGTCAGCCTCGTTCAGCCTATCCCAGCCACTACTCGACAGCCACGACGACATATTCTCACATTCTTTTACCTTAAAATCATCCATCATCACTGAAAAAACAATAATGATTCACCACAGGAACATTGAAGCCATCGCTGAGGCCTTCTCTATCAGCCATCGAATCGAAGAAAATCCACCGACCACTGTGACTTCGGACGAAAGCAACATAGTGCGACGTTTCGATACACAGAACGGCGGAAAGTATCTGAAACAAATTCATTAATTCTAATAAGAATACTAAAATTGAAAACCATTTTATGTGAAGACGGTTTCTTCACAGGCTTCATCGGCGGGAAAAGTTCCCTAGCCGCATGATCATGCATATCGGGTGAGGCATGTGATCTTCGGAAGCATTCTTGACAATATGAGATCTGACGATTCAACTTTGAATTAACAATAATCATCGGAAATATTAACCTCCGTGAAGAAAACTCTTCGCGTCAAGAAGCACGTTGGGCAGAAAAACTGTGCAGTTGTGGAACAACCTGAGCATGGTGGAACGGCTAAAAAATAAACAATTTATGGAAAATGAAATTTATTCAAACCTCCAGCGACAAGCGGGGTGATGTCAATTTTCTCGAGGGGCAGAATCTTATCAAAGACCTTTTGCTGACCATAACGAGGCAGTTGGAGAATCAAAACGCCTGGTGGTCTGGCGAATTGGAGTTGAGCGGCCCGCATGTGCCTTTCCAGAAGATGTTGAGTCGTGGCGGCGCCACCTTGCCAATCTTCCACCACAACCGGACATAGGTACTGAGAGTCGTGAGAGTTGCCGCTTCCACTAAAAATACGCGGAAGATATTTATGATAAATCGACAGTTTTCTGAGAAAATAGTATTGAATTTAAAAAAATTGCAAAAAGCCGTGTCGAAAACATGATTTCTATTCAGTTCATTCAATTAAAAATTGAAGAATAAAATTAGAAACCATACAGATAAATTTGATCAATGATAACATTCTACTAGTGAAAATAAAGATCTAAACCAAAGTAATTCATAAAAAAAGAGAATAAATCCCAAAAATGCCCAATTTGTGAGCAGTGCGCGCTAACGCAAAATGGTCTCGCAACGACGAGCCACTTTTTTTCATTTTTTTCTTATTTAACTTTATTTTTGTTTATTTTATTCTTTGCTTTTATTTAATTTAAAATTTTCTCAAACCGGATAATATTTTCAAGTTGTTTGATGGTGAAACTAGCCTATTATTTCAGCTTTGTGCCGATTATTTTTTAGAGAAAAAGCTCGCAGCTGTTGGAAAATGAATTATTGTTTTGAAAAGTTGAAAAAAAAAACATCATTATCTTTTTTTTTTGCAACAATTATCCTGAAACTATCATTCACAAAGTTTTTGATAGTTTTCTCGTAAGCAGAATTAAAATATTATTCGAACTAATTTACTTTGGACGATTTTCATTTCATATTTTTACTCGAATACTCACACAAGCTTGATAAAAGGGTCGACGCGGAAAATATTGGCAAAAAGTTGTGCCAAAATCTCTTCAGGATCCTTTTCCTCGCTCGTTAATCCGTTCATCGTCGGCAACATTTCGGCGAGTATTTCCCGAAGTTTCATCGTGTGGTCCGCCCTCACATAGTGGAACCTTCAAAATATTGCAATAAAAAAAGGAAGGGGAGGTTTTTTAATGAACAAAAACCATAGAATCTCTTTTATTTCGTAAAAAAAGTTCATGCCGTGTTCATAGTGATTGGATTCAAAATTTTTGATCAGCAAAAACTTGATCGAGCTTATTTTTTCTCATATTTTCTCCCATAAAAATCCTCACTTTCTCAAGGGATAGACAATTTCGTGGGCCAGGACTTTCTGGAACTGTTCCAAAAGCTTGTGATCGTCCTTTTTCGGTTTCCTTTCGAGCAGGCTGAAAAGTTAGAAAATTAGATTTTTTCGTTTTACCAAGAATTTATTTGCACAGTTATTTTGAAGCATTATCGACTAGCATGAACTGAAACCCCTATAGGGACCACTTTTGCAAGCTTTAGTTGCTCCCATAGGGCTTGGTAAAGTGGTCCCTAGAGGAAGCCCCCTAAGAGCCCCTAAGGTAACCCCTATAGAGACCACTCTGGAGTTCCCAAGCTGGCATATTTAACATTCTTTTTAAACTCCATCTTGCTTGTGGTCTTTCCGTGATTTCAAACAAAAAATTTCGAAAAAATGTTTCAAAACGAACAAATCGAAGAAGGTTGTCTGGGCGAACATGGCGTAGAGGGTGGCGTCCAAATAGCAACTGTTACAGTGGCCCTGGATGCCTCGCTGTCGTCCAATCAGCGCGAGGACGTCTTTCGGCGGTGGACAGCGCGACTTTTCCACACCCGAGTCGATGCTTCCGAACTCTTCGGCGCGTTCTGAAAATTCCGAGCTCAAGGTGAAAAGACCTTCAGTTTTGGGAGTTATTTTCAAAACGAACTATGAAAAGTGGCAGAAGTGCTGCGGGGAGCGGGGTCGTGTGCATAGGGCGGATAGTTGTGCCGTGTCCGTCGGAGCGCAGTTGCTGGAACCAAAGTGCCGCGGAGGACGACGGCCGCGGAAGAGTTGGGGGCGTCGATGCTTGGTCGCCATGCCGGCGGGACATCGTCGTCCTGAATAATAATCATATTTTTTGGGAATAGAAACAAAAATATGAAAAATCTCTCTTGGGGACTGTTCTGAGCTCCCAGTGGGACTCCTAGGTTGACTAGATGTAACATTGATTTTACTGATTCCGAATTTGGTTTCAAAAACTGCCCTGGAGGTCTGTGAGAAAAGTTGTGGGCTCTCAAAATTCGATTTAGTTAGAAATGGCGACAAACCAGTTCAACAACTGCAGACCGTTCGATCCGATCTCCATCCTCGCTCATCGCATCGCCCAACCAATGAACGACGCCCGTTCGTTGAGCTCCCAAATGACACACTGTGACATTCGAACCTGAAAAGAACCGAAATTTTTTTTTCCTCTTATATAGTCAATAGTCTCGTTTCTCCGAGTAAATCGATGAATAAAAAATGAACTATTCTTTCTAAATGAAAATTAACACTCTAAAAAGAAATTTTTAAAAGCGTAGACGTCCCACACGAACTAAAGTATCACTAAGAACAACTCTCCGCCTCAAGACCATGATTTTTTTTTCACCTATGCTCCTTTAAACAAAGCCAAGCAGTCCAAAAAAACCCTCACCGACGTCAAACGAGTCAATGAGGAAGTCTTCCACATGCATCGGAGGTTTCGAAGGTACTGGCGGGGGTCCAGAGCCATTCCGAATGTGATGATGCGAGGCTGCAGAAGAAGAACGCGGCGGCGAAGGTGGCGTGTAGGCCGGAGGAGGATCGGAGAGCGATTCTGAAGAGGCCTGCTTGTTCCGGACCGGAACGCTGACGCTGGATCCAGAAGCCGCTGGAGGGCCTCCGAGATGAGCTCTCGAGGACGACAGACGACGTGGCGGTCGATCCAGAATCTCCAGGGCGCCAAGTTCGACGAAGCCGGCGTGACTATCACGAGCGTAAAACAGCTGTTCTCCGGAAAATGTGCCTGTGCCAGCTCCAATTGGTCGCTCCTGGAAAAAATTTTGATCTTGAAAGAGGCTGGCAAGCAGCATCAGAAGTTTCAATATCACAGAAAAAGTTCTGAAAGAGAGGTGAATCAACGTCGGTCTGAAGAGAGGCCAATCGAGTCAGACTCACTCTACCGTCTCTTCTGACCTGTGCTGTTCTACGTTTTATGATTTATGAACAAAATACCCAGAAAGATTTTTTTTTTTTTCGGAAAAAACTCAACGAATTCAACAACAATGAAAACTTGAGAAATGTTGATCTCAAGAATGAACTCGGTAACCCTGCCAAAAAAGTTTGAACTCCTGATTCAAAAAATACGGATCTCAACGCGTCGACTCATTCCAAATGCGACCAAAATCGTTGAGAAATAGTACAGCCTATTCGTCTCGGTTTGAAACAGTCTGGCCTGTCTGTGTCTCTTTTTTCTCGTCAAGGTGATAATAGAAACGATAAAAAAAGGCGGAAAGTTTTTCGAGAAAGGAGAGAGCGCAGAGAAATCAGACTGTTCAAATGCTGAAGTTGTGATGCTTGAAATTGGCAGTCCCAAACTTTCGGAATCAAAATTGGCAGTCCCAAATTTTCGGAATCAAAATTGGCAGTCCCAAACTTTCGGAATCAAAATTGGCAGTCCCAAACTTTCGGATTAAAAATTGGCAGTCCCAAAATTTTGAGCTCAAAAATTGGCAGACCCAATTCTCTGATCTTAAAAATTGGCAGTCCCAAATTTCAAGCTTAAAAATTGGCAGTCCCAAAATGTTTCAAGCTAAAATTTGGCAGTCCCAAAATGTTTCGAGCTAAAAACTGGCAGTCCCAAATTCCCTCAAGCGAAAAATTGGGAGTCTCAAACTTTCAGAATCAAAATTGGAAATCAATAAAGGAATATAATCAACTCACAAACTCAATTCCAGCATAGATGCCAGAATGATTGGTTAGAAGTCCGAGGAACCGAATGACGCCTTTCTCAGCCTTCCCGTCGTTCACCCAGATGCAGCTATCGCCAACACGGGCGCCATTCGTTCTTTCGTCAGAAACGCTGAACACTCCGCTTTTGGTGATCAACTACAACAAAACGAACTGCTCGTTCTTGAGGGAAAGGACCCGCTTGGAAGCGATCGACTGGGCGCTTTTGCTGCGGCTCGGTGGCGGTGTTCTTGACGATTCTGCCGAGGAGGATGACGCCGGCGACAGTTTCTGATGAGACTTCGAGGCGGTCATGGCTCGATATTCTGGCGGCCGGGATTCGTTCATGTTCTAAAACTTATCAGTTTATAACTCGAAAAGTAGGTGAAAATGAGAACTGAGAATACCTTCAAGATCCCAGAAAACTGATAGAAATGTGTCTTCAAACTTTCATTTAGTTTCACGTAACCGTCATTAATTTTTTTTTTCAAGAACGATAATATTCTGAAGATTTCTTTTGAACCACCCTAATGAGCTCTACTCTCCTAGGTAAAGTTAAATTCATAGCTTGTCCAAAAAAATTCGCGTAAACCCTATCAAATAGTGCTCATTTTCACCTTCAAGGTACCCTGGGGGTAGGGTGAAGGTCCTTCGTTGGAAACTCCAGCCGAAGAAATGAGCCTCGGAGCTGGAGGAGGATTCGAAGCAGAAGAAGAGGAGGAGGTAGCTCGGCTCCGTTCTTCCGCTCGCCGTGGTCTTGGCATCGGTTTCGGCGGCTCTTTTGAAGAATAGTAACTGAAAATTGGTGTTTTGATCTTTTTAGTCCATTCAGAGCTTTCCAAATATTTTTCGTGTTATTTTAGAAATACAGAAGTTTTTTTAGAAGTTTTTAGAAATTAAAAAAGGTGGGAGGATTGTGTTTGATTTCACAATGGAGCGCAGAATAAATCCTACCTCGTTTCGATTTCATCGATATCCCTTCGTTTTATAGGAATTACTCGTTCTCGACTATTTTCCATAGATACAGGTACCCTGGAAAAATGATTTAAAAAAAAAGAACCAAAAAAGCTGAAAACCTTTGAAAATTTGAGGCTCTTTTGACGTTCAAATTTGATGACTCTTTCGAAGAAAAAAATTTGCGACTTTTTTTAATTCAGTTATTTAACAATTGATTTTTTGTCAATCGCTAACTCTGACCGGACACGCCCCGGACGTTTTCGAGAGCTTCTAGGGGTTACTTAAGAGGGTTGTCGCCCCTAAAGTGGTCCTTAGAAATGCCTAGACACGTCCGGTTTGCGTTATCGAGGTTCGAGAACTTCGGATATTGCGAAATTGAGTTATCCTTGCGCAAGAGTCACTGCTTTTTTTCTAAAAATGTGTCCTGCTTCTGAACAAATAACCAACCGATTATCGTACATGGCGACGCCGCCTCCTTTCAAGCTACTCGGCTTGTGAATCTGATGAGGTCCATAGAAAAGTCGTGGCGGATGGGCGGCCGCCGTCGACCCGAAACTTCCGCCGTTCGGCATCGTCCACGAAGAAAGTCCGGGCGGTCCGTATTCGTTGTTGTATTGGGGAAATGTGCTCTGAAACCAAAAGTTATGATTCTAACGACTAAAATATATAGAGAAAGCAAGGTTTTCCGTAAAAAAAAAGGACAAAGATAAAGAAATAGTCAGCACACACACCAAACTAAACGCCTAAAAAAGAAGGAAAATGAGAAAATTGAAACTTTCTCATTGGAGCGTATATAACGCCCAAAATCAGCTTGTTCCAAAGGTTATACGGCCATTATTCCACTTCGGTGTATATCAACCCACACATTCTGGGTTGAAAAAAAAATGAGAAAATTAAAACTTTCTCCTTAGAGCGTACATAACCCCGAAAATCAGCCTCTTCCAAAGGTTTTACAGCCATTATTCCACTTCGTCGCACATCAACCCACACATTCTGGTTGAAAAAAAATGAGAAAATTAAAACTTTCTCATTGGAGCGCAATTAACCCCAAAAAGCAGCCTTTTTCAAAGGTTTTTCGTTCATTATTCCACTTCGGTGCATATCAACCCACACATTCTCGCCGAAAAAACTAATTAAAATACCGTCAGTGGAGCGCACATAAAACTGAACATGACCTTCACAAATGAAAAACAAAATTAATTTTCTCCTTTTCCTCTTCATACTCATCCAATCTTGTGAATCATATCAACCTACACATTATGTTTAATTGAAATAACAGGAAAATGAATAGAAGAAGAAAAAAACCAAGGAAGTAAAGGGGTTCTAGTCGTAAACAAGGTGAGGAAAAATGGACAAAGTGCAAAAAAAGCTCCATCCTCGTGGGAAATCTCATTTGACGGCGGAGAAAGTTTCCGAATATTTATTTACTTTTTCGAAGGGTGAAAGGATTATATTGTTCTAAATTTAGAAAAAATAAGAAAGAAATAATAATGTTTTGTTAGAAAAAAACTATTTCGACATTTTTCTGGTTTTCAAATCTCATAAATACTTTTCTTTTCCGAAACATCACCATTTTGAAAAAAAGGCTCATTCAGAAAAAAAGCCAAAAAGAAAACAAAATCCATTTTTTTCCATTCATTCTAAGAGAAAAAAAGCTTCCGAATGCAAGTTTTTCAGTATTACCAAACAAGAAAAAAATTAATCTCATTTGCAAACGAAAGAAATCGAATTCGTAAGCAATTTTCCTATGGGGTGAATAAGCAAGGGACAAATTTATCAAAGAAAAAAAGAAAAAAATTTGATATGAAAAACGCATTGATAAGAGAGCACAATGGCTCATTCATTATTCCAAAAAGAGCAAAAAAACCGTTGAAAATTTCTTTTTCTTCACAACAAAAAAAGAAAGAAAAAAAGAAGAAAAAAAGGGGCGAGCGGTTGGAATTTTTCAATATTTTTTTGCTTTTTTTAAAAAGAAAAACAGAAAAAAATCTTACATGCTTTTTTTGGTTTGAAATGATATTTCTCAACACTTCTAATATATATACTACCGCTATTTAACAGATTTTTCAGGAAAATCAAAATTATACCTTTATGTTGAAATGTTCATCATGAAAACTTAAAAAAAAGGAAAAAAAGTAGAGAAAATCCGAAAGCAACGGCTTCTCCTTGGGCCTCCCAATAATGCAACATTCGTATAGTTGAAGAAAAGCTCTCTTTTTTTTTCTGGGTCCATAAATAGAAACATGATACAAATGTGTGCACATCTATTCATTATTCCAGTAATCGAGAAAATTTGGTTTCACTTTGAGAACGTTTAATTAAAAGACAAGAAGAGCAAATAATTGGACTTCTTGATGTTTTTTTTCAGATAATCTAAAAGCTTCGAAAAAAAAGGGAAACATATAGTAATTTCAGGCTTAAAATACTGGTGGAATTCGATTTCGACCCGTTTTGTGAAAAATTGTGAATTCTAGACTCAACAGAAACTTTTTTTAAATAAAACCTGCACTAAAAAGTTTTTGAAAATTGAGTTCTGAAGCTTTTTTTCATTTATCGATCACAGGCTGACAGCAATTACGGAGAAACTCATACTTAAGAATGAGTATCTGAAATTTTAGAAACTATTCGAAAAAAAAGTATGTTTGAAATCTATAAAAGGATCAATTTTTTTCACTGAAGACGAACTCAAAACTTGTACATAAAGAAAGCTTCAAATTCAATATAGAAAAGTGACGGAATCTCGCAAACAACTGGGGGCTGCTTCTCACAAATAAAACAATTAAAGTTGTCGTCGCGGTTGGGGTCAGTCGGTCCAAAACAAGAAAATAAAGCGAGACTCGTTCAAATCGCAAAAAAAGGTTCTTTTGACCCGAAATGAGGTCTTAAATCAGTAAATCCATTTCCGAAAGGGGACACTTTATCAAAAAGAAAAAACAACGGTAAAACTTGTCAGAATCCATTTCAAAAAACAACGGTAAAACTTGTCAGAATCCATTTCAAAATCGTTAACTTCCATGAAAATGACCTCTGATTGAAAATAAATTTGGGAATGATTCAAAAAAAAAAAAAAGAAAATCCATCTAAGGACCCCAAAAATCAAAAGAAGCTGCGAAATTCGTCGAAATAGGCAGAATAAACGAGAAAAAGTCGAAAAAAAAAAACACACATAAACACACTCACACATGTGTTTTGCGTCTCGAGGCCCATTACTCGGGTGGTTGGCTTGGAGCCAAAAGCTAAGAACACAGAAAAAGAAAATCTTTTCGACACGAGTGGAGGCGACGAAGAAACGCTTACTCAAAGAGGGTGCCAAAAAAATGAAGGAAAAAAACAAAGTAAATACAAAGATCTCTTCCTTGTTACATTTTTCAGTCTTTTTCACTTTTTTTCTTGTAATTTTGTATTTTTCCTGTGGAAGTTTCCTTACTCAATTTTTCTTGAGTTAAATTTATCGATTTTATTGATAAGAGTACTAGATAAGGCTTGCTGAGCACTACTTTCCAAAGTAAAATGAGAAGAAAACAGAATATAAAAATCATCAAATCAATCAAAAAAAAAACCTTTTCAGGTGCTCTGTCAATTTTGCAGCTCTCAAAATACAGTGAGAAATTTAAAACTTGAAATTGGCAGTCCCAAATTTCGCAGCTCTCAAAATACAGTGAAGAATTCAAAATTTGAAACTGGCAGTCCCAAATTTTTGCAGCTCTCAAAAGTGATTGATCAATCTGTAGCTGAGACTTGTCAGTCCCTACTAAACAGCAAAAATGACTTGACATTCTTTTTTATCGTATGAAAGCGCAAGAGAAAAAAATTATTTATTTTCTTCTTCCAATTCCAAAAAAAAAGTCTTTTCAAACCATCAAAACTTCAAAAAGAGTCCCATCAGATTTGAAAGCTCATGGATACTAAAAACCGTCAAAATCCTCATCAAATAATCCAAAAATGCTCCTATAACGACCCAAAGAAAAGCCTAGGAAGCTGTGCCAACGAAATGGAATCAATTTGAGAAAGGAGCAGGCGCGTGGCCCAAACCAATAGAAACAGAAAAAAAACGACTGGAAGAAAAAAAGGAGACGACCAGGCATGACTTCGGCTCGACAGCTGAGCCCGTCGAACCATGTGTGCTCCGCGGAAAGAAAAACTCACGGCTCAAACTCAGAAATTCACTCACAAGCTTCCTAGCAAGTTTCTTGCCGAACGCCAAACAACAAGAAAAGGAAACGGGATTCACAAAAATCAAAAGTTCAGTACTTTTTTGGCTTCTTCCAAAAATCCATGAGCTTCCTCTTTTCTCCGTCCAAACATTTTTAAATAATAAAATCCGAAATAAATAAAGCAGAAGTAAAGTTTCAGAATTCAAACTGTGAACGATTTCAAAAGTATCAAAAAACGCGAACTCTTACTCATTCTAGAAAAAAAAGAAAGAAAACGAAGTGTGTTAAATCACGTGACAAAATAGAATGAATATACAACGGAGCATAAATATTGACAGCATTTTTTCGCGTTTTGAGGGGCAGTAAACAGAAAAATAATGAAGCGAACTCTCCGATACACACAGAAACCTATAATTAGGCTGATTTTTCTCGAATATTTGCTAAAAAATTGAGTAAATACGCATTTAAAATCAAAATGAGCTTCTACTTCTATGAGAAAATGTGGAAAAATAGGAAAAATAATTTTTTTTTTCTCATAATTAAATGAAAAAACTAACAAGTCTGTTCAAATTCCTAATGGAAAAAGACAAAAAGATGTGCTGGAAATCAATTTTGAGCTTTAAATTCCCAAAATTACATACTACCCAACTAAAATACGAACAAACTAACAGCTTCTGTTCATTTGGACGGAAAAAGAGAATTTCGCAACATTTTCGCATATATCCCATGATTCAGTCAGAGCCCAAACAAAATCTGTGAGAACGGAAAGAAAATAATGATTTCAACATACCAACCAGACTTTTTTTTTAAATTTACTATTTTCGAGATTCGATTAATTTTCCTGAAAAGGGCATACTACATAACAAAAAATTTAAAAGACTGATTTTGAACAAACAAAAACCAAACACGAAACGAAAGAAGCTATATAAATGCCGAGGCCATTGAACAGAAGGGCAGGAATTTCGAGTGGGCAAACGGATGTTCCGTTTTTTCGACATTTTTTTTTCCCATTCTTGTTTCGTTCTCAAAATTGTTTGGAAACGTGGAAGAATTGGGAAAAAACTACTGGAAATGATTCATTATCTACTAAAGAGGTGTAAATTTTATTCAAGGACAACTTTGAACTTAGTCAAGACATTCCACGTGCGACCGTTCACTTCCAGGATAAGGAATTGGCTATGAAAACAAATTTCTTAGTTTTCTGCATCTCTAGGAATGAGAAGGAAGTCGATCGCAACCATTTTTTCCTATTTTCGCAGTATAAAAACCAAAATGCTTTTTTAAAAAATGTTCGAAATAAAAAGGAAAAACAGCTTGCAGGCCATTCAAAAACCCTCCTTCCGCTGAAAAATCCAGTTTCCTCAAACTCAGAACTTCAAAAACAACAAAACAAGGGGCGCCGTTGTTGTTTTTGCGTTTTGCTCCAAACAAACAGCAATATGACGTCATAAAAAAGTCTCTCTTCCTTTTGAGCCTATTTTTGCGTTCAGCTTTTGAAAAAAAGGTACGGAAATTTCAGAACGTTTTCTAGTCGGTGCTTTTCGAGATCAATAAATCAGTTGCTCCAAATTGGTAGTTCCAAAAATTCAGCTATCAAAAACTTCTTTAGCTCTAGATTTGCAGTCTTCCATGTTTGAAACGAACAGAATTCAAAAATCAGCTTCAAAATATGAATAAAGACAAAAATTAGTATAGCCAGAGGGTAGGAGAAAATCAATTTCCAGGGGTTTCGGAAATTTGATATGTTCTTTCCGGTTTGTTTTCCAATAGACATGGCTGAGATAAACAAACCAGAACACCGGAAAAAATGTCGTAGAACAATAAAAGCCAAATTTCAGTCACCAAATACTCTGAAACAATGAACAGAGGAAGACAGATTTTTTATATTTTTTTCTCAAATTTTCCATATGAGCTTCTTATTTTTAACAAATCCTTAAAATTAATCAACCGGGAATTTTTGACTAAGGAGGTTAAAAAAGGACTATTGAAAAAAACTTTCTGGCAACATCAAAACCAAACTGTTTAACAAAAAAGAAAAAGAACGGAGAAAAGACTTTTGCAAGTGGAACTCGCAGTAAAGTAGAAAAGTCAACAGCCAAACGGAAGTGAAAAAAGAGTGGTTTCTTTTTTTCGAATATTCAGAGACCATGAGCAATTTAGAGAGCCCACACCAAAAAAAAAATTTGCATCTCTTCCTTTTTTGCCTACCTTTTTCTTTTAAATGAAAAAAAAAAGAAAAAATTGTTTAAAACCAGTTTATATCATCTTTTTCGAAATTAGTGTCTAATTGGAGTATCCCATGACTTAATAATCTTATTAATTAAAACAATTAGCGAAATGAATCAGCTCGAGTTTTGCGGAATACCTTGGCTAATTGATATTAACATTTCTATGAACTCTTATATGTTTATTTAATTTACGAGGTACGATCAATTGTAGCTATCAAATCTCATTCGCTGCTAATTAAATTAATCCTTTCTGTCTGCGGTCATCGAGCTAAAAATTGGCAGTCCCAAATTTCATCAAGCTAAAATTTGGCAGTCTCAAAATGTTTTAAGCTAAAAATTGGCAGTCCCAAAACGTTTCAAGCTAAAATTTGGCAGTCCCAAACTTCATCGAGCTACAATTTGGCAGTCCCAAAATGTTTCAAGCTAAAATTTGGCAGTCCCAAATTTTTTCGAGCGAAAATTTGGCAGTCCCAAAATGTTTCAAGCTAAAATTTGGCAGTCCCAAATTTTTTCGAGCGAAAATTTGGCAGTCCCAAAATGTTTCAAGCTAAAATTTGGCAGTCCCAAATTTTTTCGAGCGAAAATTTGGCAGTCCCAAAATGTTTCAAGCTAAAATTTGGCAGTCCCAAATTTTTTCGAGCGAAAATTTGGCAGTCCCAAAATGTTTCGAGCGAAAATTTGGCAGCCCTAAATTTTTTCGAGCGAAAATTTGGCAGTCCCAAAATGTTTCAAACTAAAATTCGGCAGTCCCAAATTTTTTCGAGCGAAAATTTGGCAGTCCCAAAATGTTTCAAACTAAAATTCGGCAGTCCCAAATTTTTTCGAGCGAAAATTTGGCAGTCCCAAACTTCATCGAGCTACAATTTGGCAGTCCCAAAATGTTTCAAGCTAAAATTTGGCAGTCCCAAAATGTTTCGAGCGAAAATTTGGCAGTCCCAAATTTTTAGAGCGAAAATTTGGCAGTCCCAAAATGTTTCGAGCGAAAATTTGGCAGTCCCAAATTTTTTCGAGCGAAAATTTGGCAGTCCCAAATTTTTTCGAGCTGTAACTTGGTAGCCCAAAACTTTTTACTCCCTTCATCGAAAACAAAAACTAACATGATTTCTCCGGTCGTTTTCGTTGTCGATGAAATTTACGTTGTACCAAATTCCATCATGGTTGTCTCTCCGACCCATCCAGGAAATTTCCGCCGGCAACATTGGTATCGATGGGTCCTGAAAATGAATCTTATTCACGAAAATTCAATTTAAAAAATTGCAAAAAGAAACATGTATGCATGAAAAAGCCGAAAAATCGAGTATATGCATTGTTTCGACGCCAACATAAGGATGCGTCATTCAAAACAATTATTTCCTTTTCTGAAACAGTTTGGCTTCTTATTTTTTTTTAAATTATAGACTATTTTTTTATCCAGTTTTCTTGCAATAGCAATGTTCGTTTAAAAAAGTGTAAAAAATTGAATCTTGAAGAAAAAAAAACTTCAGTCAGAATAAATTTAAGTTCGTGTCTCACTGACCATCGATAATAGCTAATTGAAATTCATAGAACGCTTTTCAAATCGCTAGTAAAAAAAATCGTTTTTTCTCATCACATGACAGCAAAAAAGAGCACATGAATCACAAAACAGAAAGGTCAAAAGAGGCGAAAAATTGTGAAATTGGAAAAATTTTCACAACAACAACACTGTAACAAAGACAGGAAAAACTGAAGTTTTCAGCTTTTTTTTCATTTGAATTTTTCCAAAACTACAAAGAAATGCAAAAAATTTTCGAGTTTTAGTCTTTTTAAAAATTTTATTCTTTTCCTGATAAAGTTTTTAGGCCTTCAACTAGTTCATTCTTCTCTACGCAAATTTCTAGACCAAACAATTTCTTTCTATAAATCGCAGCAGTCTTTAACCACATTAAAATCCAAGAAAAAGCCATTAACCTTCCAAGAAAACGAGAAATTCCGTCAAGAAATCATTTGTCAAGTAGGAGAATGAGAAAAAAAAGCCCGAAAGAAATGCCAAATAATATATTTCGCGAGACGATGATTATAGCCTTGGAAGGACGAATAACTTAGAAACCGGTCGAAAAATTTCAAAATCATGAAAAAATCTCTACAGATGCGTAAAAATGGGCACAAAACAAAGGAATAAAACATCAAAGAAAGCAGTAAAGGAGAAAAAAATATGACGAAACAGGCAGACTCGCCCTGGTTGTTCGCTAATTCACTCAACTACTGATTTTGGGAAATCAAGGGACAACCAGTTACATTTCGCAAATGATTTGAAACATTTTAGAACTTGCAAAAAATGTCTATATAATAAATAGCGTGCTTTCTCAGCGTTACAATTTTTTAATTTTCTTAAATCTTAGAAACAGGGAAATCAGTTCAGATTTAGGTCCACGAAAATTTGCAGCTCTCAAAAATAAGCACTGAATCTTCAGTTCAATATTGGCTGTCCTGAATTTTCAAATGGCAGTCCCAAGATCAAAGTTTCCTGGTGTCTGCCAGCGATTATATAGTTTCAAAAAAAAAAGAATCTGACTGCTTGGAAAAGCCAATTGCACGAAAGAGGTGTCGGAAAACAACACGAAATCGAATCGAAACAACCATTTTGCGAGTGTCTCTGTGTGTTCACAGTGGTTGACAACCAGTTTGTGGTGGCCAATGCTTCTTTTTTTTTCGCCTTTTTTTCCACCGCCTCCTCAACATTTTTCAAGTTCGTCCGCCACAACAACCACGACGGTGACGCCCATTTAGTGACATAGAACACTAATTGGCGGAAAAATGAATTGTTTTCGAGGTAAAGGACGCTACTCGAGGCATTCAACAAATTCTTGATTTCACGATATTACAAATGCGCACATGTTCACTTCAGTTATCTTGCTTAAATCGGCTCATTTATTTGTAGCAAAAATTATAAATTATCCTTTTCCTACCATCCCCACTTTGCCTATGAAATTTGGAAGTAGCTGGAAAATATTTGCAATTCCAGATTTCCGCAATGAATTCAATAGATTTCTGAACCTATATCTTTGCAAAAAATAACTTTTCGCTCTATTTCTACTTCTTTCCATATTTGATTTTTTATTGTACTGAAAAACACGAGGTCGAGAAAGCAACGTTCGAAAACACAAAGAATCAATGCATGCGTTGTATGAAAATGCAAATATTTGGTGGTGGTGAAAAACATGGCGTTCCGGGAGGCGGTAAATCGCCTGTTCAAACAGCTCGCGACAATTGTCCATGAGATGCGGATGACACTCCCACGAGTTCGACCAGTACTTTCGACCGTTCAGAATTTTTTAAAAATATCAAATTCGAAAAAAAAAAACTAATAAAACTGGAGACCGAATAGCCAAAATTTGCTAAAATTAAAAAATGGAAGAAACTTGAAAAAGTCGATAAACTTTTCTTCTATTTTCTCGAAGAAATGAATCTAGACTTCTTAAAATCCAAAAAACTAACCGCATTAACGAGGACTTCGCTTCCAACGGACAGAGCTTCCAAAAAGCTGACGCGCTCAAAATCCGAATAAAGTTCCAATCGTTCGCTCCGAGGTACCGATAACAATATTCTGCAATGTGAACTATTTAAAAAAAAATTTTAAAGAGTTCGAACTTCTTTTTTCATTACTGTTGCCGCATGTAAGGTTACTGTAAAACTTTCATGGAGATTACTGTAAAACTTTCAGTAGCCCAAAAATGGCAGTCCCAAACTTGCAGCCCTCAAAAAGGAAGACTAAAACCGTCGCTTGAAAATGGCAGTCCCAAACTTGCAGCCCTCAAAAAGAAACACTGAACACGTTGCTTGAAAATGGCAGTCCCAAACTTGCAGCCCTCAAAAAGAAAGACTAAAACCGTCGCTTGAAAATGGCAGTCCCAAACTTGCAGCCCTCAAAAAGAAAGACTAAAATCGTCGCTTGAAAATGGCAGTCCCAAACTTGCAGCCCTCAAAAAGAAAGACTAAAACCGTCGCTTGAAAATGGCAGTCCCAAACTTGCAGCCCTCAAAAAGAAACACTGAACACGTTGCTTGAAAATGGCAGTCCCAAACTTGCAGCCCTCAAAAGGAAATGTACCTAGCCAAGCTTTCGCTGACCAACATGACATCGGCTGGTGACACAGCGGCGCAGAGAGTCGGATCTCGAACATCTCCAATGAAAAGAATCGGCTTCGAAGTGGCTCCTTTAGTTCTTTTCGCTCCAAACTGCCAATCTTCGAGTTCAGCTTTCACCCACTGCGTCCTCTCGCTTTCCAGCGTCATCATCACGTGCCCGGGGTCAATCTGAAAAACTTCAAAGATTCCATTTTTCGCGGTCACCAGTCTGAAGCCGTCAAAAAAATATTTTCCTCTTGTTCAGTAATTTCGCTTTTTTTTTCTCGAAATTAAAACTATTTTATGAAAGTGGCAGTCCTATTCAACTCTTCATTTTTCCCTCAAACCCAGGAAATTCAACTATTAATTAAAGTTTCACCTTGACCGGATGGGGAACCCAACGTTCATCCTCCCAGTCCAATTTCAAACCGCAGACTGTCTTTTGCAGCAGCGTGATGAGCACTTCCTTGGTCGGGGACGATCTGCAATTTTCAAATTTTTTTGGAGGGAAAAAGCTGTATTTCAAAGAAATGCAATTTTCGATAGGAGATTACGTTAAAGTTCATTCAGGTCCCTAAATAGGAATTGTAACTTCTTATTGAAACTTGCAGCTCTCAAAAAACGGTACTTGTGACTTCCATCTGGCAGACTCAGATGTTGAGCTTTCAACTGGCTATACCTTCTAACTGTCTCAGTCCATTTTTTCACAATATATTCACTTTTTGTGATCGTCGTCGACATCAACGAGAACCCCTTCACTGGAAGTTCCAGAGGGGTAATCGAGTAAGATTGGCGGCGAAGGTGTTGATCCGCCTTGGGTGCTTTCGTTGGACCCGATCAACTCGAAGTCGCCGAGCAGATCGCCAGTAGGAGGCGTTTGTCTGCGGTTCTAAATATACAAGTTAGTTCTTTCGAAAACTCCCTAAAACATCGGAAAAATTGACGCTTGCTTTTGAAGTCTGCCATTATTACTAACATCACCTTCCAAAGAAAACTGGTTTCTTACCGAGAAATATCGACTTTCGAAACCAGTTGGCGCCGGAACATCATTGTAGTAACATGGGCTGGGTGTCTGAAAATGAAAAAATAATAAAGGCCCAGAAAGTTTTGAATATAGTGAGATTTAATAAATTTTTGTTAATATTCACGAAAAAAAACCCACATTTACAGACATCTGGAGGCTATCCAGTAATTTTTCCAAATCAATGTCATCATTCTGGTTGAAAGCGGCTGAGGACGACGGTCGTGTCGCTGTCAAAGTGCGACTCGACATCCAATTTTTCAATCAGCAGTCCAATTTTTCGAACGGCTTATTTAATATTCTGAAAAATATTTTTTTGCACTTTTTTGACGCTTCGCTGAACGCCAATGACGGAGGATGAGCAAAAAAGCAACATAATTGAACAAGTTGATTGAAAAATAACAAAAATGCTCAGTACGGCTATGGTAAGCAAACTCTCCGAGGTGAAAAGACTTAGCGACGAAAGAAAAATCAGTATTCGAGAAGGAATTTTATCAATTTTCCAGTGATTCACCATTTAACAAGCTTCTCGAGTCGAAGCGTATCGAAAAACTATAAAAATAACGTATGACCAGTTGTTAAAACGAGTGTTGGGAGGTGATAACCACTTGTTATTACAAATCAGCAGAAAACACGCCTGTTTCATAGTATAGTCCAATAAGAAATGGAAAAAATGACATTGAGCGGTTTTTTGAGCGAGAATAGAGTATTTAAAAAAATAGTTTTGTCACCCCTTGCCTAACTATTTTCGAGCATAATTCAAAATAAACCATAATTTAATTATTTCTTACTTCATAAAATGTTATTCTAACACCGAAACTGACGAATGGAAGAATCTCATTTCGAAAAACTGAACAAAGAAAAATTCTTAATCCTGATGAATCAAAAAGACGACCCTGAAAACCAGGGAAATCAAATCGAAATGTTTTATTTCTCACACAGGTACTAAAATTTACGAGATAGGTGTAGAAAAATGTCAACAAATCTTAAATTCGGCGCGTTTTTGGAACTTTCTCTACGACTATAATGAGAAATTTTTGTCGTTAACAGTTAGGACCTACATTCTTTTCAATGGACAGAACATGGCACTTCAAAAATGAAGACGAAAAATCGATAAGGAAGGGCTCGCGAGAGGCGTTTCGACAGTGCAAATAAGCAAGCAATCCTCAACTTCGTTTCCGCGTTTTGAGCAATCATCGCGGGTTGAAAATTCGTGGAAAAAAAACGATAAAAAAGACTCAACGGTGGACATTTTGTCAACATTGATCTTAATGGGTAAGAAATCGTTCAAAAAAATAAAAAAAGTCCAAGGTATTTTTTTGAAATGAAAAAAACTTTAGCTGTTTCGAAAATTTATATAAAACGTGAAGAGGGACAGTTCAACGCTTTTTTTTTGTTATGGAAGGTTTTTCTGATTCAATTTTAGCCTAATTTACAATAAGAAAGAATGAAAAAAACGACAAAAATCTCAACATTTTTATTATGAAAGTACCTGTTTCTTTTAACCAGGCTTTAATTTCAAGCTCTCTCCACAAGTAGAACTGAGTTCCAACCTACTAAGGCGGTTCAAAAGCAAACTCTTCTCGGTATGATTTTTTCAAAAACCCTCAAAAATACACCAGAAACCTTAAAAGATCAAACTCCACAGTCCGCATTGATAGGTTAAAAAACTCGGGGAAAAAGACGCAGGAAAAGAGAGAGAGAAATAGAAAAAGAGCGAGTGATTCATTACGCTGGAGAAAAAAGAAAAAGTAAGGCTTGACGATGAGCGTCAGCTGAGCGAATTGCAGCCTGCGATGGACGGAAAAAAAAACCGGTTTCAGCAGAGGCCCAATTTTCTCACTCGATAACGTCCGAGGCAAGCCTACTTATTTATTGTATTAGCTCGTTGTATGGGTTTAGTTTAAGAATCTAATGATTTAGGATAGAAAAAAAGAACTCGCTTCTAAGATAGACGAAGCGATAAATTATCGACTTTTGGGCTTGCCAAAAAGAATCTTCATATTTTATTCTTGCTTCAGCTCGAAATTTTTGTAACTTTTCGAAAAAATGAATAAAAACACTTTAATACATTTTTTTGAAGTTAGAAAATCCGGATTTTGAGCTTTTTTGTACTTATAAACTGCGACGGTTTTGCTTGGAAAAGTTTTTCAACTTTTAACAAAAAGAATTGTAATTTTGTTTCAACTTATTTATAGCCCATTATCGGGTGTCTTGAGCTCAAAAAAAATATATGACACTTTTTTTATAAATCCCCTATTCACAAGCCACTCTTCTTGAAATGTTATGCTTTCTGAAATTTGATTTTTTTTTTTAGGACAGCTGGCTTTACAACTTAAAAAAAAGTCGGAAAACAGACTTCACGGTTTTCTGACGTTTTCTTTCGAAAATTTGCTTCGTGAATCGTTTTTTTTAATACCTACCAACACAAAAACGTTGAGTTGGACTGGAAAACCGTCAGATTTTACGCAAATACTTTTATTACAAAAAATTTATTTCACGTAAACGTGAACAGATTGCAACAACAACTTCAACAAAAACAACAACAGTCCGTAGAGAGAAAATGCGCTTTTTTTCGAAAATCAATAAAAAAATAGACATGAAAAAAATTATTTTTTTCAAGAAGCAAGAAAGGGCAATCGAATCGCTCGAAAAATGATGACAAGAAAATTAGTTAAAGCTTATGAAACAAGATGCGGAAATCATAGAAAATGGAAGAAAATTTAGAAATTCCACGCATTTAAAGTCGGCGGGACGATCTTCTAGGGGTGTTTTCCTCCATCTGATGAGAAGCTTGCGATTCTCCAGAAGTCGATGGCATCTTTTCGTCGTTGCTGTATTCGACGACCACTACGCGCTGAAACAAAAACGATTTTTGTTTGATCAAGGGCTTTTCAACTTAAATTATTAAGGTTTCAGTTTTTTGATGCGGTAGAAAGAAAGAGATAACTAAACATTGGAGAGTCAGAAATAATTTTGCATTTTGCAGTAATTACTTTCTGAGAAAAGTTTAGTGGGCCCCTATAGGGGGACAAATGTGGTCCCTTGGGAAGGCCCCCGGTGGGGCCCCTATCTCAACACCTATCGGGGCCCCGAAATGGCCGAACCCCTATAGGGGCCCCCTAAACTTTTCTCAGTAGAACACCGCATGAGCGATAGAGCGCACCTAACTATAAAAAAAAAAAACTACAAACGCTATTTTTTAAAGCTGCCCCTCCCAAGTGGCAGTCCCAAATTTGCAGCCTTCAAAGTTACATTTCTAAATTTTCAGCTCCCAACTGATAGTAACAAAATTGCAGCCTTCAAAATTACATTCCTAAATTTGCAGCTCCCAACTGATAGTAACAAATTTCCAGCCTTCAAAGTTACATTCCTAAATTTGCAGCTCCCAACTGATAGTAACAAATTTGCCGCTCTCAAACCGCAAAAAAATATTCCACGTCGTTTTTGAGGAAAAATGAGCAGAAGAAAAAAGGATTACCGAGTCAGCAGTGTCTTTCAAATAGTCGAGAAACTCTTTCGCATATTCGGCGACCAAAGATTCGTAATCCATGATTTTCATCGCTGAGCTCTCCACTGTCGGATTCGCACTGCTAGAAGAAGAACTGAAATTTAAATTTACAGGAAAGTTATACAGCAAAAATCCAAGACGAACTTGTAGTAATCGAACTTGACGACGTAGTCGAAATCGGAAAAGTTGGCCGCTGGGAGTCTGCGGACAACTTTTGCGTTTTTATCGTTGTCAGCCATTCCCACAATGGTGCACTTGAACCAGAGCTGTAAAAACACAATTATTGAAATGAGATTGAATGGAATAATACCGAGCCGTCAGAGATGTTTTCTTGTGACACCCAGGAAGGCCTGGAAAAATCTGTTGATCTTTTAGAAATAACAGGAAAGCTTTCTTCTTGTAGAAATGGAAAACCAGGGAATTTTTTCTGATTCAAAAACTCACTGCCACTTGACCAAAAACTTTTTGGTGACTTTCTGATTAGCGTTGATAGTCGTTTTCACGTCTAAAACGCGGGTAATAGTCCACTCTGACTCGTTCGATGACATTCTGAAAACCCCAATTAAAGGTAGACATATAAGAAAAAAACTCTTGATACTCGAGGAAATAAAACCTCAAAAATAAAGAGAAAGCCTAAAATAAAGTGGAAAATGAATTTATGATCCACACAACAAGAAAATTACACATGAAAATGATAGTATTACGTGGAAAAAAATGCCAGAAAAAAAAACAACGTGGAAAAGATGAATGAATAGAAAGTTATTGAATTAGTGATGAAAATCTAGGTTCTTGGTTACATAATCATTTTTAATGACGAGTTTTCTATAAAGTTTTTTCCTTGATCTCTTTTTTTCGTTTAATGGAAAACCCGCTCCTTCAGTCACAACATAAATTGGATTAGAAAAAATAAACAAAACATAAAAAGCCGTATAAAGGAATCTTTGGGTCAACAATGATGATAGACAGTTTTGTTGCCGACGCGCTCTTCGGTGATCCTTCGGACGTGCCTGAGGCACGGAATCGCCTTGAGAAGTTGTGGTCGAAGTCGTTCTTGTATCAAAGGCTTGATGTCGGTGTCGAAACAGAAGTATGGACTTCTGGTCTTCATGACTTCCTAGAAAAATGGGAAATCATACAAACTTCGGATTTGGCTTACTAGGGAACGTTTTTACCGAAAAGAAAATTTCTCGCAACAGATTTCGTTTTCGAGTTAGGACACTTCGAAAGCCCGAAATAGCGCTATTTGGCCTAATTTGCGTATTTTGTACACTTTGAAGCTCTATAACTCGAAAATGAGATGTATTTCTTTGGGTTAAATGTTCCCGAATTAGCAGTTTCTATTTTTTTTTTACTGACAATCTGAAAATGCGAACAAACTCTCTCTGAAGCGAAATAAAGCAAACTGCTGTGCCGAAAACTACTCGATAAAGTTATTATCTTACAAAAGAAAAGTTGCCAATAAAAGGTGTGAAAAAGAATATCAGGAAAGTTTTGCGACTCAAAAAAGCTGATACACCACCAGGGTCACCGGCTCTTCTGTGTAATATTTATGGGTGTTAAACCAAGGGACCAAGTGAGAAACAGGTGCGTCTGCCAGAGCAGACCACGCCGAGGGTATCGATCACACATTGGTACAGTACAGCAATGGAAGAATTTCTTCCGTTGAGAGGCTCTCAAGGCTTTTAAAAGCATTAACAAATCGTTAAAAGGGCGAAAAGCGTTGAAAAAAATTTCAAAGCTTTTTCAATGGGTGTAAAAAAAGAGATTTTTCTTTTTTTTTTAAGGCCAAAAGCCAGCAGAAATAAGAAATAATTAGAAACTAACGAGTTCTCGCCACTGGTCTACCAACAATCTTTCATTCTTGGTCAACAGCTTTGGAGGCTTCCTCAACAAAGTCCGCTTTTTCGTGATAAACTCGTCGAATTTCGAAACCATCTGAAGGGAACTTTACTTTAAACTAAGAATTTCATATCTCTTACCTCATTCAAATCATCAATGGTGAACCTGCCTCGCATATACTTTGGTATACTCTCAAAATCTTCCTTTTCTAACAAAGGAACCAGAGTTTTTGGCTGAAAATAAAAATTAAGAAACTTGCAACACATTCAAAAAGACCTTAGCTGGCTGTGCAACAACTTCTTTCTCCTTTTCTTCTTCAACTTGCGCGGTTCCTTTCGACTTTTCTTCTAATATAGAGTCAGAAACGTTTGTAGAAGGCCCAGCTTCTACCTTCCTTTCTTTTACCTCACTCAAATCGATTCCCAAACTCTGAAAAACACTGCATCTATCAATGAATAAATATATGACTTCAAACCTGTGCTAGCGTATCAACAATACTTTCAAACTCAGTTTCTCTCGTTTTATCCACATCTTGAAGCTCTTCGTTTAGCTTCAAATACTTCGAGTTCAACTCGGAAGCTTCATTCAGTAGGTTTTTCAACGGAGCTGACACTGGAAAAAACGATAAAATAGGTAGAACGGTTCTAAATATAACATACACTTTTTCATAGTTGTTTCTGACAAGTAGTCGGAATAGAACTGCCGCGTTTGTTCGAACTTGGCGTGCAACAAATTAACAACGTCATTTTCTGAGGACATGCTCGTCTGAAAAACGTTATTTCCATACTAATATCATTCACAAAGAGAACACACACAAAAATTAGATGCAAGTTGAAACTGAAAAAAAAAACAACCGGAATTGAACGCTCGGCATTCGCGCGTAAAAAGATGCTCCTTAGAGCGCACTTGCACATAAAAAATTTTCCATCTGAGAATCTGTAAATTGGTTGATGAATGGTACTGGAACTTTTTTAAAGTTTTGAATGTTTCTTGTTTGACAACTAGAAAAATGAAGAAGCTTCAAAAATTGTGGTAATCGTAAACAATCCTGCAAAATTCAATTTTTATTTTTCGTCACTGTGAACAAGAAAGTAGCCTACGGACGATGTGTCTAACTTCCCGCGCAAATTTCTTTTCAAATTATTTTTAAATCGCCTAAATCTCTTTTTGCAATAAAAAATTTGTGCATCAATTTTCATTTCTGGTTAAATTTGATTCATCTCCAAGAAAGATTTACTCAACAGTGCAATTCAGGAATATAATCCTCTTGAACGGGTTACACTTTTCATATCGAGAATCGTGATGAGCGAAGAAAAAGAAATTGTTAATGCCAACGGAGACACGGAAGTGGACACAACTTCAACTCAGAGCGATGAGGTTAGAAATAATATTTCGGATTGAAAGTTTTTTCAAAATTTCAGCAGACGTCTTTTAAAGATGAGTTGCGTCGTTTCATGTACGGGGTCACTGAATCGAGTGTTCGAGCTCAGGGAATTTCTTACTCCTCAGTCGCCAAGACGATTGATCGAGCTGATGGTAGAATACAGCGTGTTTTGAGTTATTGATTAAAACGAAATTTTGAAGATTCTGTCAAGGAAATTTTGAAATCGGCGACGAAGCCCGTCGTTAAACTGACTGTTTCTACGGCGCTTCAACGTTATGGTCATGCAAAGTCTTTTCAGGTGATTTTTTTTCAATGAAATTTATCACTGATTATATATTTTAAGAATGTGGCCCGTCTGCTCGATGCTTTGGCCAAACATGACTACGTGTCGACAGTGAGGACCTTGGCTCAAACGATTATTTCAGCCTTTCCCATTTTGCCAAATATAAGGTGCGAAAAGTCAGGAATAACGGTTGACCATGCTTTTTTCAGTTCTCCGCTCTCTTTGATTGCGGTGCCGTCTTCGAAATGGCTGTTGCATTTGCTCCAATCTTCAAGTTCTTCTTCCTTATCTGCTGAGGATAACCTTCTTATTGTATGATTTTTCATTATTCACTTTTATTTTGATTGATTGATTGATAATCTAAGCATTTTATCGGACCAGGAAAGCTCGAAACTCATGAAGAAAAACTCGATTGGTAGAAAAATCAGGGACTTTTTTGTTTTTATCCGTGAAACTCTTGAATACACCCTTAGATTTTATGAAAAGCTGATTAATTTTTCATTTTTCCATGTCGTGTTTTGCGCCTTGAAACTCCTCAGTCAGTTTGAAGTACAAGAAAAACAACAATTTTTTTTAGACTTCTGCTCTCGCGACCTTGGCCTACTACACCTCCGTCTCGAAAAAGGCTTCCGCCATTTTCTCCAAAAAGCTGGAAAGGTCCCTGCGTTCGGATGCTCGGCTTAAACAAGCCATCGAATCGACCATTGCTGAAATCGCCAAGGAAAACGGAGAAAAAGCCGTTTGCCTCATCAGCACGGTCACCGAGGCTTCCAAGGCGTGATCGAGATCAGAAAAAAAATGAATCTCAGAATTTTTAGGAAGCTTTCGCTGTACCTTTGTTCATTGAGACGTTCACCAAGGTGGTTTTGTTGCCCAAAGTTCGGCCTTCGCAAAATGTTGTTGTGAGTTTTTCAATTTTTAGTGAATTTGTTTAGTTTTTAAAATTTTTAAAGTCACGAGCAGAGAAAAATAACGTCATGTTAAAGAAGAATTTTTTTGAAATTATTAGATTATCATATTTTTGAAGAAACTTCCTTAAGGAGAAGTACCAGTCATAAATTTCTTTTTTTTTTTACTTTCTAGTCCTTTTTTCAACAGTTTTAGTGAAAATATTGTTTTTCTAATTCAGTTGACCTGAAGGAAATCATATTTTCCCACTTTTTTAGGCTTCTAGAAAGATTTTTTTTAGTTTTCATCGATAATCAAAAACTTCTGTTTCATCACCTTGGTTATTTTTCTATGAGAAAAATATTTGAAAAGGATTATACAGATTTTTTCTCGCTATTTTCTAACATACAGCACATTTTTCTAGTAACTTTGTGGTTGAATTAAACTAGAATTCCATCAATTCCAACAGCAATTATCGAGTTTTTTGTGAATTCAAAACTTTTCTTCAGGATGCTTGTAAACCGTCGTTGGCTCAGCTTACTGAGAAAGATTTCGCCGATGCGTTCCTTCCCAATATCAAGAAGGCGATGCTCCGTAGTCCTGAAGTTGCGATGCATGGTAAGAATATAAAATTAAAGTTTCATGATGGAGTTTTTGAAATTCTTTACAGAAAAAATTGCGGCTCTTGAAAGAAACGCTAAGAATGCATGTAAACGTCAGACTTTTCAAAAAAGCCGATTTTTGAAATTTTTTGTAGATTGGCGAACTTTCCCTGAAGACCTTTAATTTTTTTTTTTTGAATTATTAAAGGGAACTATTTCTTTAAATTTTCATTTTGCCGCTCTCCAGCCAGCATGAAGTTATCGGCTATTGGTAACCGGACGTTTCTAAGAATTTCTAGGGATCACTTAAGAGTTCTGGCTCTACTAAAATGGTCACTAGAAATGCCCCAAAGGGTCCGGTTTGCAGTACCAAGATACGAGTTGAAAATATATTTATCATTTGATGATGAATTTAAACTTGAAAATAGTTCAGCTAAACTTGAACTGATTTTTCTACTCTCTTGTTTTTTTTTTCGTGAAGGAGGTTCGCATGAAAATTGGCCATTGTCTTGAAGATTTAGAACTTATTTAGATTTGTTCAAAATTTTTCAACTTTGCCGATTAGTTGAAAGCTTGTAAAGGGGTATTTTATAATAATTATCATCATTTTTGCTTATTTTATATGTGGTCGTAAAGTTGAAGGAATTAGATTAAAATCTTTTTCGGAGTTCTTTTTTTCTCTCAATAGAACGGATCTTGATATATTTAGAAAATTTTTTAAAGTCACACTTTTTTGCTATTTATTTTTCTGCTTGATGTATGCTGTTTTTGGGTTTGTAAATTATTATTATTAAAATTTATAATTAATCCAGCAAGGAGCCCAAAATTATGTTATAAGCTCCTTCTGTATTGAATGATTTTTCCGAACTTCACTATACGAAACGTAGTTCTTTAGAAACTTTCTATTTTTGCATCGTAATGAGCCTACAATCACGAGATTATAATTATGAGAAAAGCTCGTTTTTTTTCTAGGAAACTCTGCTATACGAATCGCGTTTTCTATTCTTGTATTGTAGTGCACTTTTAATCACGAGAACCTTTTCTCCAGTGAGTTCTATTTTGGACTGCACTATACAATTGCGTGTCCAGTTTTTTCCTAATTATGAGAAAAGCCTCTTTTCGCTATACGAATCTTATTTTTCCCAATTTAAGATAAGTTTTAGCTAACTGTGGACTTACAAATGACACTAGGTCAACTGAAATTTCATTTTTCTCATAGATTTTCGAAAAAATTCAGAAAGCCTGGAAAAGGGACAGCGAAAATTTAAAAACTATACGAACCAAAAAAGGTCAGCTGCTTATTTCACCCTATGGAATTCGTTTTCTTCAAAATTTCCCACTATGAGTTATTTTCATGCACTTTCAGTAATGAGGTTAGAAGGGTGGGAACGGTTAAACCATTTTGGCTACCATTTTGGCTACCATTTCGACTACCTTTTTGCACGATTTTAGCTAGCTATTTGGCTTCCATTTTGGCTACCATTTTGAGAAAATCTTCTTCAAAGAAGTGTTAAACAAAATTATCATACTATAGTATTGATCTCCAAAGCATGAGGCCGTGATAATGAGGATACCAGGCTCTAATGAGCTCCGCTAACGACACCGTAATTATAAGAGGAGCCTTTCTCTGATCTGTTCGATAATTAAAAGATACGGTAGTGCTAATCTCCCAACCACGAGACCCTGATAAAGAGGATACCTTGCTCTAATGAACTCCGTTGACGACTTTGTATCTATAAGAGCTTTTCTCCGATGATCATTCTTAAAATCACGATACGGTAGTTCTAATCTTCCAATCACGAGGCCTAGATAATGAGGCCGCAATTATGAGCCGAGCTCTAATTTCTAACCAATTAAACGTGACTTTACGACGATTTTCTCCAACAATGCCTATCGATCGTGACTGCAGGAGTGCTGGCCACCGTCGAGGCGTTCCCCTTCTCACTCGACGCCCACGCCGACGAAATTCTGAAGGCGGCGCTCGGTGAGAGCTTATCGATAACTGCCTCCGTTGTCAAGGCGACGCGCCAACGAACTACCTGCCTTTCTAGGTTCGGCACAATCGGCCGACGACTCGCTCCGAGATGCGGCCATCGGCGTCGCTGTCGCCCTCTCCGCCCGTGCCCAGGCTCCCGTCCTCGCCAAAGTCGTTGCAAGGCTTTTCGACCAAGTTTCGGGTGGGTCCGCTCAATCTACTCTATGGCTGCCTGCCGCGCGGAAATTAATCTTGAAATCGTCGCGCAGGTGTATTTTGCAACGAATATACTTTCGTGTAGAAAAAGTGCTAAATCGAGGCGATTTCAACCTTTTTTTGAAAAGTAACGTAGGAAACTAGGAAAGCTATACTCAGGAAAACAGATCAGAAGGTTTAAGATCATTTTACTTTTTTGGGAACTTTCTGAAAATTGGCCAAGATACTTCTTGTGGTACCAAAAAAAAGAGCTTGAAAGTCTCAGCCTGCTCAATTTCCTAGTACTTGAGAATGGAATACCTAGAAGCCGAAGTAAATCCTTAAAATACGTTTAAAATGGCCTAAAAATGATCATTTCTCAAAAACCCGGGAGCTGTACAGTTTGAAATTTTCAGGATTTTTTTCTTTGTTGGCCAAAAAAAATTTTTTTTGGCCAATTTTCGAAAAATTCCCAACCGCATAGTGGAATGACTTCCCTTGTCAGAAAACTCATTTTGGAGTTTCACCCCAACTTTTTTTTTACGAATTTGGAGTGAGGCAAAGAACAGAATTTGATATGATCCATGGCTCAGTAGGCAATGCGAAGCTCGACTTGAAAAATTCTGAATTTTGAACTTTTTTGTTCTTTAGATTTCGAACCGATTTTTTCTCCTCTGATGCAGACAAAAAATGACGAGACTTTCGACTTTCAGGAGCCAAATCCTCAGAACACCGCATCGCCCTTCTCCAAGGCATCGCGAAAATCGCCAAGCTCGCACCGAAAAACTTGGACGTCGCCGCAGTTGACAAAATCGCCGATGATGTCATTTCCAAAACCGCCAAGGGCGATAAAGATAGTATGAAGCTGTGCCAAAAACACGAAAATGACTGAAAATTCAGCTCATGAAGCGACGGTTTCGGCCCAATGGGCCACCGCTGTCGAATGGGCCCAACGGTTGAGCAAAGTCACACCGACGCTTGTCAATGCGTTCAAGGTGAAATCGAAGAAAAAAGCTCGGATTATAACGGAAATCGGGATTGTAGGAAGCTTCGAAACTCGCTCCGACTGTTAGGAACGTCGGCTACAGAACGCTGGTCGAAGTGATGGAGAAAAGTTGGTTTTGAGAAATTCAGTGAATAAAAAGATTAAGAGAGAAGTTGGAAGAGAAGAGAAATAGACTGTACTAGTATTCCAGAAGAATTTAATTTAAAAAAAGACCAGGTCTTCATTTTTGTTCACTAGGAATCTGTAATGCATCGCTAGCCTTGAAAAAAAATATTGTAGAAATCTTCGTATCGCACAATATTTCGCTAGTTGCTTTAAATCCTGTTTTCATGTTTCACAAGAATTTCAGCTACAAGAAGCTTTTGAAAGTTAACCAAACCTTCTTCGAAATTAAGTATCATAGGTAAAGTCGGCAGGATGGAAAAAGGCTCTATAGAAATGTTCCTTTTTTGCGCCATTTCATCGGCTCTTATGTACCATTTTTGCTGCTTCTCCCCTTTTCCAAGCCTTCAAAATCCCAGAAAAATTGGAAGGCTCAATAAAGGGACTCTTTTTGCTCCCTTTCTGCGACCTTTCTTGAGCCTCTCCCGTTTAGCGGCCATTATCCACCATTCCGACTTTGCCCAAGATGTAGTCTTTGAAACTGTCTTCTTTAGAAAACCTGACGGCGCTGCCCGATGGCGTGAATGCTAAGGATTTCTGGGCCGAGGTTGAAACTGGACCAAAAGGTGAGCTGAGCTCAGTCCCCCTGGCTCTCTTGCTTCTCAATGTCGCCAAAGAAGGCTCAGTGGAACATACGAAAGTTTGGAGCCGCGCGGCCCACGCTGAAAGCCTTTTCAAGGTTGAAAATAAACTAGAAGAAAAAAACATCGAGTGATTTTTATAGGAGAAACACCTTTCTTCGGTCCGATGGCAAGACGCTCTGATTTGGTGCAAACTTGTCGAAAATATCATCACCCAGAGGCCGGTTGGTGATAAGGTTCTACATAGGGAAACTCGAAATAAATAAATTGTGAAAATTCAGAACGCTCCGGCCACGTATTCATCGGTTTTCCTGAAATCTTTCTCCTTGTTGCTTTTCTGGCCGAATTGGAAGGTAGGTTTTGGGTAAAATAGCAGCTTAGTTCTCGAATTAGTATGACTTGTAAGCTTAAATTTTGATTTTGAGCCGTTTTTGGAGTGAAAAGATCTGTAGGGGCCACTTGAGCTTACCTTACGGGTCAGACCCTTATAGGGATCACCTAAACTTTACCCCTGTAAGGATCACTTAGGCTTGGCTTAGTAGTCAGTCCCATATAAGGACCGCCTGAATTTTACTCCTGTAGGGGTTACTTAAGCTTGGCTTAGGGGTCAGACCCTTATAGGGACCACTTAAATTTTACCCCTGTAGGGATTACTTAAGCTTGGCTTAGGGGTCGGAACCTTATAAGGACCATCTAAATTCCACCCCTGTAGGTATTACTAAGGCTTGGCTTTAGGGTTCGAACCCTTATAGGGACCACCTGAATTTAATTCCTGTAGGGATTACATGAGCTTGCCTTAGGAGGCAGACCCTTATAGGGACCCCCTAAGCTTAACTCCTGTAGGGGTCACAGAAATTTTACTTTCACAAAAAATATGGTTTTTTTCTAGGTCCGGGAACAAGCTTCCAAGTCCCTGGAGAAGGTTCTCGAAAAAGAAAAAGCGATTTTCGCTGAAGCTCTGGCTGACACCATCTACACGGAGACCGTCAATGGCAACATCGACTCGGTTTTTCAGAAAAATATTGAATTTTCTTACAACTTTCGATTTTCAAGCTTCTTCGGAAAGTCCCGGCGTGTCCAGAGGCCACTGAATGGACGGTGCCTGGAGAGTGGTATGTTAAGGTGAGATCCAAGGAGTCTGAAGAAGAAAATTGATTCAAAATTTGAAGACCCTCCGGCTTCTTCTCACGCCAAATGGACCGGAACTCGACAAGTTGGCGATTCATACGTTGTTGTTGGCGTCTGTACAGAGATTGGGTCAGTTAATTATTAAGAAAAAAAAAATTGACAGAATTTCAAAATCAATCACAATGATATTGAGTACTTCGGCGGATTCTTCCAAGTTACAGAATTAAAAAAATGAACTTTTTATTTTTAGTGGAAGTCGACGGATCGGTTTGGCTCCGGTGGATGCACTCACATCGTGAGGCGAAGACGTGGGAGGATTCAGAATCCTTCCGGGAAAGCGCCATCATGAGGGTCTTGAGGTGTCGGGAGAGGCCCGTAAGGTGAGAGAAAACAGCAAGAAACTTTAGCCAGAAGTTCAAGAAAAAGTCTTTTTTCTCAGTTTTCAAGTACACATTTATCAGAGACACGGCCCTCATCACTCTGGTCGCGCTGAACGTCGAATCGGTCCGGAACCACCTCTGGAAACACGTCGAAGAGAGCATCGCCGACCTCGACGTCAAGACCTACACGAAATTGACCGAGAAGCAAATCGCAGTGTACAAATGTCCCGAAGGGCAGCTCTACAATACGGATGCCTTGGACTTGTCAGTGACTTCTTGGATTGAGTAGTTCATTCATCACTGGCTGGGGGTGACAAATCAAACGTTTTTTTCGTGTTAAAAGTCGATTTTCCTTGAAAATCGGACATTTTTTTTCAGTCTTGAGGGTTTTAGGCTAGAAGAACCGTGTGTTAACCTCAAGCCGGTTTTTGAATCTATTATCACTTTTTCTAAACATAAATTTATTATTTTTATTCCAGTGATGAAGGCGAAGGAATGCACAACATGAAGCGCGAGAACAAGGCATACAGCTATAAGGACCAACTGGCCGAAATTCAGCTGAAGTGGATTTTTTCAAAAGTTTCAATATTTTCGAATAATTTGAAGGCGAGAATTGGCGGAAAAACGGAAGAAAGAGGGAAAATTGACGCCCAAGCAGAAGCAGGTCATGGAGAAGGAGTTGGCCAGTGAAAAGGTTTCGAAAAAGCCTTGAATATAATCCTTGATTGTAAGTTTTAGGTGGTTCGTGATGAGCTGAAGGAGCTCTACAATGTTGCCGAGGAGAAGCTGGACGAACTGAGGGCTCTCGTGGCGGCGGATCATGCTGGAGCTTTTGCGAGGTTGACATAGAGACTATTAACCGTGATATGAAGCTGTAAACTGTCTATCTGCGCCTTCTTTTTTTCCTGAGAGAACTGAATAAGCGCGTAAAAACTGAGAGACGCAGAGAATTATATTGCTTGAAGATGGGGGGGCGAATCTGTTTAGGTTTTTTTGAGTTAAATCAAGTCCCCCTTAGGAGAAAAAAATTAGAACTTCTGACGTTTCGTAGTTTCCTTTTTGTATACTGTATTCTGCAAAAATGAAGTCTCAGTTTATCAAAACTCGTTTTGCTCTAGCTCTGACCACAAACACTGTTTTTGCGCGAGTCATCATCTGCTTCTCTTTTTTCTCTAACAAGTTCGTTTTTAGACCTACACTTCTCTTCGACCACTGCTTGCCCTTGACCAAAAGCCTTCTGATCGCAAAAGAAGCGGCGGCCGTCTTCCTGGCCTACAGACATGCTGCCTTCGAACACACTGACGATTATTTGGGTGCTCCGTAGCTTCTAGCGAAAAAAAAAAATCAATGCGCAAGTTGTAGATGAACTCGTGGCGAGCTGCTGGTTGCGTGTCATCGGCGCTCAGTGGCAGATCGACAGCTGGAAGGACGAGCCCTTGAATACCGCCTTGAAAAGGATGCTGTCGTTACTCAATGAGAGGGCTTTCGTTGTTGATACGGGCGATGATGATGCTGATGTGAGCTTGTTAGAAGTTTTCGAAGGAGCGAAATTGTGTCTTGAAGTTGACGGTCATGTAGTCTGTTCAGATTTTGAATGTCAAGTCATCGCTCAAGCTCCGCCCCTTAATGGCGCGATAAACCAATCAGAGAGCGAGCCATCCACAGAGCGTTTTCGAATGACGTCATTCTACTTTACATTCAAAATCTGAACGGACTATACGTCGAAAAAAAAGAATTTCAGAATACAAATCCAAAAAAAAACTTTCTTGAAGTAGAAACAGTAGCTGGCTAGAGCCCGAGCTTAAGGGAAGATTTTTTTCTTGGAAAGAAAATGACCGAACTTAAAATGCCTCTAGAAAGTTTTCCCATGACTCTCCCTCTTCTTCGAAAGCTTAAAATTTCGTTATATCCTTGAAAAAGAAGATTTTAAGGATCTCATTTTTGATGACGAAATTGTCGGCCCCCCGCAGCTCACTTTGTTGTATCCACTGTGCAAGGTTGTTTTGATATTCTGGCCTTTTCTCATTGACAATCCACTCAGGTCATTTTAACCAGTGATAAGTACGGCGACGCCCCCAAAAACGACGTTCTCCAACTGCTTCAAAACGCTTTGAATCGCAAATTCTTGAAGGTTTTGAAGGAATCGCAAATTCTTGAAGGAAAAAAAAAATGATAAACTCAGGACGGCGCCGTGCTCCATTTGCCCATGGAGCAGTATTCCTCCCTGCTTCTCGGCTATTATTCGGTCACTCTGTCAGCCCCGGCTCTCAAGGTCTACTAATATGTCGAATAAAAATCAAGATCCCTCCCCCTTATTGGCGTGCTCTACGAGCTATGACACTCTTTCGAACATTGCCGATTCAACTTCAGCAATGTCGAGGGTGTCATGGCCCGTTCCAGCCCCTGTTTTCTCCCCTTTTCCATACATTTGTTCTTTCGTTTTTCTAGTTTTTCTCTCGACTCTCGATTTCCAGGCTCTTTCCCAACTTATGGGCTTGGCCAATGACACTGGAGATGTGGGTCCGAGGGTTATCGGAATGCTCCGAGAAACGTTGGCTTTTGTGACGAATGACCGCCATGAAGTTAGAATCGCCGCCCTCCAGGTTGATTTTCCTGAAATTAATTTTCTAAAATTAGTTTTCTATCGAATTTTGTTACTTTTTCCATGTCCGGTAGTATCATTTCATTATTTTGCCCATAGGTTTTGTCTGCGCCTCAACTGCTGACGCGCGTCGTCGTCGAGTCCGACGATCCTGAAATCGTTCGCGATCTCCTCGTCCGCATCTACATCGCCATCTTTGACCCGGTTGAAGCCGTTGCCGAAGCTGCCAATCGCGTCTGGCACGACAACCACTTCCAGCCGAAGATTCTCATGGGCGACATGATCGTCGGTTGGCTCCTGAAGGCCTTTCCAATCTAAAAAAGAGTTTTCAGATGAATGCGTGGCTCACTCTGCCTTAGTTCGAGAATCGGCGGCTCGCGCCTTGTTCGCCTACCTGGAGCATTTCCCAGACGAGATGAGCAAGTCGTTGGAGAAAATTGATAAGGTTTAGAGGGTAGAGAGAACAAAAATTGGTTGAATGGAAAATATGCAGGGGAAAACCTTTAAAAAGTCTCAAGTGCGCCTTTTTTTTTCTAGTCTTTCTGAAAAGGACCTTTCAAGGAGGGCTAGAAAAAAGGAAAAAAAAGGAGATTCCGAGAAAATTTTGACACCTTTTTAGGAGCTCAAAAAGGAGCTTTAGGCTCTTCCTTTCAAGGTCGTTTGGACTTTACCTGTGTTACAGGGGAGATCATTTCATTTTGCCGTTTTTCATCTTCAGAAAATTTAGGACTGCCAATACTTATCTACACAGAATTTTAAAAAAATCACAATTAAAAGTTCCAGCTGTACCAAGATCTGCTGGAAGTGCGTGGAGCGGTGTTCGATGACGTTGGACGTCTTCAGCGTGACGCCGTCGATGAGTTTGAACGACGTTCTGGTGTTCCAGTCGCCTTGAACCATTTGGCGACAATTGTCCGGGCTGATGAGGCCGAGAGATTGATTCATATTGTTAGTGATGAGCTTAAAATCCCAAAAAGCTTATAAGAATACTTCTCATCTTTTTAGGTGGTCCCGAAAGGAATCGTAGATGGGAATTCGGAGTGTCGAAACGGCATGAGAAACGCCGCTGTAGAGGCGATCCGACGTCACGGCGCCGTGAATATGGGAAGTCTTCTGCCCTTCCTTGGTAATTTCTATGAAAAGAAGAAGACTATAAAATGATGTTCTCAGAAAAACTGTCGGACTCGACTCCGAGCGGAGGAGAGCACGACAACATGCGGCAAGGACTTGTCGTCTTGTTGGGAACTTTGGCTCAGTATATCGACCCGACAAATGGAAAGGTGCGTATAGAAAAGGACAAAACCAAGCAAAAGTATTAGAAAACATATCAAAAATCATTTTGTTTCGTTCCAGTAAAGCGAAAATGACTAGACATTCTACTTTGAAGGATTTTAAGTGAAATCTTGTAATTTTCCAGGTCAAATCTATCGTTGCTCGACTTATGGACGCTCTTTCTACACCCAGTCAAACTGTTCAAGAATCGGTCTCGAAATGTCTGTCCCCACTTGTTCCTGCCATCCGCAGCGGTTAGAAACTCGTTCATCTGGAAAAATTTTTAGTAGCCATTATAGAGGCCCGCCAAGGACTACTTGGAGAGGACACTTAAGTAGCCGCTAAACCCACCTCTATAGTGGCCACTTTTTTGCGTTTTTGTGGCCACTTCAGTAGTTTTTTATCCATTATTCCTTCCAGCAACTCTGATAAATTTTAAAAAAACAGATTGGGCCAGTTATGTTGATCCATTGACCCTTAAAGTGGCCACTTAAATTTTCAGTTGTCTACTAGTAGTACTGAGACCTCTACAGTGTCCACTAATTTTTAACCCCTTTAGTGGCCACTAATTTGACTACTATAGTGGCCACTAAAACGTCAAAACCCTATAATGGCTACTAAAAATCTTCCCAGATTGCCATGAAATCAAATGGGATTTTCAGAAGTTCGAAGCTTGATCCTGAATCTGCAGAACGTCCTGTTTGAGGCCGAAACTTATGGAGAACGCCGTGGCGCGGCATACGGTATCGCCGGCCTTGTCAAAGGCCTGGGAATGGCTTCCATCAAGGTCCTTGAACGTGAAGAAAAAAGAGAGAATAAAAGTTTTTAGGACATTGATCTCTTGCCGACGATTCATAAAAACCTGGCCGACAAAAAGAGCGCCAGACATCGGGAAGGCGGCCTCTTGGCCCTCGAGATTTTGTGCACGTCCGTCTTGATTTTTATTGTCATTACTTTTTTTGATTGATCTTTAGTTTTCGCTGAATCGTGATATTGAGCTTCGGTTTACGAAGCTGTTGTTGATCAAAAACGGAGCGTAGAACTTCTAGCCCTTGTTTTGATAGTATATGATTTTTGAGCGTTCCGATGATCATCTGCGTCTTTATAGTCTGTTCAAATTTTGAATGTCAAGTAATCGCTCAAACTCCGCCCTTTTCAAACCAATAAGAGAGCGATCCAGAGTGTTCTTAAGGGGCGGAGTTTGCTACTTCACTTTCAAAATTTGAACAGACTATAAATGAAGACAATACGACGTCAAGCTTGTCTATGGCATGGCTGACGGACGTCAAATCTCAGACGAGAACGGGAACTTTGATTTTTTTTTTACATGACGATAAAGAAATCTTGAAAATATGTTTGAGATGATCGAAATCTCTATTTGAACTGTTCCAGAACGATTGGAAAGTTGTTCGAGCCGTACATTGTCAAGGCGTTGCCAGCCCTTCTCCTCTGCTTTGGAGATAACGACGAGAATGTCCGCAAGTCTGCTGAGGTGATTAAATATTTTTTTAGAAAAACTGAATCTCGAAAATTTCAAAATAAGAGTTTTTTCTCATTCAACGAACTTTTTTCAAAAAATTGGAAATCGAAGCATCCATCAAGTACAGGACTTCTTCAGTCCGGGAGAAGGGCTATTTCGAAAAATCAGGAATATAAGGATGTTTCAAACCCAAGGAGATAGTTTCGGCCAAAATAGTAGACTCAGGAAGGTGGTACTGACTTCAATCTTGGAAAATTTTGAAGGAGGGTCGGCGGCCTTTAAAAATGGTCCACCCATGCATCCACTCAGAACTGAATTGAAACGAAAAAATGGAAAATGATTAAATTTTTAAAATATAGGTTCAATGAATTCTAACTATATTTCTCAAAGAAAAACAAGTATTTTTCAAATTCAAAGGAGTTTGAAAGAAAATTTCATCAAAAATGATTTTTTCCAGGACACGGCCCGAGCCATGATGGCCTCTATGTCCGTATATGGTACCAAGCTGATTTTACCATCACTTTTATCGGCTATCGATGACGAATCTTGGAGGACAAAGTGTGCTGCGGTACTTTGATAAACAAAAAAAAAATTGAGTTGAATAATTCAGACTGAACTTCTCGGCTCAATGGCCTTCTGCGCCCCACGGCAACTCTCCTCTTGCCTCCCAAGCATCGTCCCAAAACTCATCGATGTCCTGGCCGATTCCTCGTCGAAAGTGCAGAAATCGGGCGAGAAAGCCCTTCGGCAAATCGCCCGCGTCGTCAGAAACCCGGAGATTATTGGTGTGACTAACCAATTGATGGCCGGCATGCTCGATCCGGCTAACAAGACCAGTTCGGCTCTTCAGGTTGACTAGAAGAAAAACATCGAACTTGATGGAGAGTTCCAGGCGGTCCTCAACACCAAGTTCATCCACTACATCGACGCGCCGTCATTGGCCTTGATGATGCCAATTGTGAGACGAGCCTTCGAGGACAGGAATAGTGAGACCAGGCGTGTCGCTGCGCAGATCATTGCTAATATCTACTCGCTCACGGAGAATAAGGTTATTTGAGGAAGGAAAAAGGGATGAACTTGGAAATATAATAACTGTATTATGACAAGAAACTCCATACAATTCTTTCGCGAGAAATGGGAAAAATATGAAAATTCGACGCAAGAATTGTCTACTTTTAGCCCTAGGTGAAACTCAGGAAAAAATAAGTTTGAAAGAAACTACTCGTTTTTACTTCTCAATATTATAGTCCATCCGCCGCGACTTGACAGTTTTCGCGTGTCTGCGTCTCTCTGTTCTCTCACAGAGGAAGTCAGAGAAACATGGAAATAGCTCGTAAACATGAGAGAGACGTCGAGAGAAAAGGAGAGCGCAGAGAATTTCGAGTTGAAAAAAATTGACTATACCCTAATAAAGATTTTCAACGTGAAGAATTTAACATACTTCATACAATACACACAGGACATGGAACCGTACCTGCTCAACCTGGTGCCAGGCCTTCAACGCTCTCTTCTCGACCCCGTGCCAGATATTCGTACGGTTTCGGCCCGAGCTCTCGGAGCCATCGTTTCCAAGGCTGGCGAAAAGACCAGCGAGCAACTTCGTAGCGATATCGTGCCCTGGTTGAAGGAGAAGCTGGTCCGAGATTGAATCAATGGAAAAAATATGAAGAAGATGTTAAGGTATCGCCGGTTTCCACTGTCGATCGGTCTGGCGCGGCTCAAGGTCTTTGCGAAGTCCTGGCTGGAGTTGGAACCGACCAATTGGACTATGTCATGCCGGAGATCATCGCTGCTACGGAGAGTACTGAGGTTGGAAATAGAAAGAAAATACTTAAATGGAAAAAAAAATATAAAATTAAAAAAAAATTCTCAAGGTAGAAAAGGGTAAGAGAAAGGTAAAACAAACAGAATCCAAAGAAAAACATTAAAGGTGTCGGCTGAAACGCGTGACGGCTACATCTTGATGTACATCTACCTCCCCATGGTTTTCGGTGATCGATTCATTCCCTACCTTCCTCAAGTCGTTCCGCCGATCCTCAAGGCTCTCGCTGATGAGAATGAGTTCGAAAATACAGAATGATTGATAAAATGATAAATGCTCAAGATATGTCCGAGCGTCGGCTCTCAAGGCTGGCCAACGACTCATCTCTCAGTATTGCTCACACGCCCGCAAACTGCTCTTGCCTCAGCTTCAGGTATTTTTTTTTCAGCTTTTCAACCATACATAGGATGAGCATGACTGGCGAAAGGCAAGTTTTTTACGGTCCCCCCCTTTAATCGTGCCAAGTCCCCTCCTCTTTTTCAGGTCCCACCGAGACTATCCCATGTATGTTTTTAACTGAGAAGCCCTTAATTTTTGAAGGCTTTTCTTTGTTCCAAAGCTTTCTGGAAATTTTTTATTTCTAAATAAGATTTTTCGTAAGATTGCTTTTTGACCAGTGAATGTGAAAGGAGGAAAAAGAAATTTTAGAAGAATTAAGAATTGAATTTTGAAGGAAAATGAGCAGCTTGGAAGCAGGCTATTAGAAACTATGAAGCTTCATTCGAATCTTCAAATAAACTCTGAGAAAAATGAGCATGAACCCCGAAATAAAGTGAACTTTTCGTTGCTTTTTTCAGTGCACCCCTTGGGCGACCGGTCAGAAAGAAATAGTTTTTTAAGCTACCGTAACGACCTAGGATGACACTGTAGAAAATGGTGATATTGGGAAACAAACCACTTCGAAATCGTAATTGGAATAAGTACCGAACCCCCGGTTGAACTGCGGGGTGCACCGGGAGCTCACCTCAGGGTGCACCACAACTTTTGTCAGAGAAGCTTTTCTGAAAATTTTGGCATCCTCATTTTAACAAAAATTAGGGTGTACCCCGCAGTGAACCCCGAAAAAGGTGAACGTTGATTTTTTGGGTGCACCCCGCGTTGCACCTGGATGGCGTGCACCCCTGGGGCAACCATATTTGAGCTACCGTAACGACCTAGGATAAGAATAGCACCAGAATAAGTTACAAACGGCTCTGTACCATCCTCAAAAGGATTTCCATTTTTCTCCAGTTTATATTATTTAATTTTCACAGATCGCTCTGATGGACGAAAACTGGCGCATTCGGTACGCCTCGGTGCAGCTCATCGGAGACTTCCTCTTCAATATTTCTGGTTTCCTTGGATGATTCTGAAAAAGTTGTAAACTCATTTTTCCAGGAATCTCTGGCAAATCGACATCGGCCACCGCTGATGACGATGACACGATGGGACTGGAACAGGCTGGCAAGACGATTGTCAGGGCGCTTGGCCAAAGAGACAGAGATCGTGTCCTGGCTGGATTGTACCTGGCCAGGTCGGATGTCGCCTTGGTCGTCCGGCAGGCGGCTGGTCACGTCTGGAAGATGATCGTCGCCAACACGCCCAGAACCCTGAAGGAAGTCATGAAGATCCTCTTCGAGATGGTGGGTTTCTGCAGAAAATTGAACGTTCTCAAAAGTGATACTTTTTTCTTTCATTTTAAATTGAACTTTTATAGATGACTCATTCTCCGAGTTACATACTTGAGGAGTTTTGAAGGAAAAACCCTTGAAATTTGACCGCTTCGCGACCGCGTTGCATTACTAAATCCAGCATAGCCAGCCATGAAGAAAATTAATATGATCATTCACAAAAATGAATAATCAGGTTGTCGATTCCTTGGCTTCAACTTGCGAGGAACGTCAGCAAATGGGAGCCAGATGCTTGGGAGAGCTCGTCCGAAAAATGGGAGACAAAGTCATCGGCGAGGTAATCATCAGTAGATTATTCCAAGTCAGAAAATGATATCATTCCAGATCCTCCCCGTTCTCGACGCCAACCAGAAGTCGGAAGAAAAACAGCAACGAGTTGGAGTCGCATTGGCGTTACACGAGATTATTGGAAATATGAGCAAGGTTTAGCAACAAAAAAAGGTTCAAACTACGCCTTTTTCAGGAAGTCCTCAACCACTACCTCATCGCGATCGTCGCCCCGATCCGACAGTCGATTTGCGACGAAGACGAGAGCGTCAGAGAGGCCGCCGCCAACACCTTCTCCGTTTTGTATCATGTGAGGATTGAAAAAGATCAAGAAGTGGTCACTTGAGGCTTTTTTTAGTGGCCACTATAGAGGCTCGCCAAGGACTACTTGGTGAGGACACTAAAGTGGCCACTAAACCCACCTTTATAGCGGCCATTTTTTCCCTTTTGGTGGCTACTGTAGAGGTTCTCTCTTCAGTCATCACTTCAGTAGTTTTTCATCCAGTAACTCTGATAATGTTTAAACAAACAGTTTGGCCACTAATTTGACTACTATAGTGACCACTGAAACGTCAAAACCCTATAGTGGTCACTAAAAATTTTCCATGCACTAGGTAATAAATCTCATTCACTTCTAAATAAGACTAGGTTCACTATATATATAATTTCAGCAGAGTTATGATTTTCCGAAAATTTCTCATGATCTTGATATTTTCATTTCAGGTTGTTGGAAACGAAGCCCTGGATGAAATCATCACGCCCCTGCTGGAGAAGCTGACACCGGATCAAGACCATATCCTTCAAGGACTTTGCGAGGTCCTAATTATATCGAAATCGTATAATTTGTTCATTGTTCAGGTCATGAAGCAGAACAGCAGGTCGATGTTGCCGTATCTGTTGCCTAAACTCACGAAACCGCCCGTCAATGTTCATGCTCTCTGCAGTTTGGCCGCTGTCTCTGGTTTCGAAAAATTGCAAAAACGAAAAATCGAGACGAATTACAGGAGATTCGCTGAGCAGACAACTGCCGAAAGTACTGGATGCCCTGTTGGCCTCTTGTGAGACGAATGAGGAGAACGATCCGGTTGGTTTTTGAGGGAATGAATGACAAGAAATATTTAAAAAACGAAAAATGAGCCCAAAAGCCTACAGGAGAGCCTTAAGGACCAAGCTGGAAAAAATTGGGACTTCCAGTTTGAAGCTGGAAAAAAATTGGGACTCTCAACTTGAAGCTGGAAAAAAAAAAATTGGGGCTCCCAATTTGAAGCTGGAAAAAGTTGGAACTCCCAATTTAAAGCTCGAAAGTTGGGACTCGCAATTTGAAGCTGGAAAAAAGTTGGGACTCCCAATTTGAATCTGGAAAAAGTTGGTACTCCCAATTTCAAGCTGGAAAAAAATTGGGACCTTTCTGAAATTAAAGCACAGGTCGGACTTTCTCAAGTCGCGGCGGATTCGTTAAGTGACAGACTTTTCATAGACTTTTAGCGTGTTCAATAAGATTTCTTGATTCCAGATGATTGAATCGTGTGAGATCGTCGTAACTGCGGTCACTGACGAAGAAGGCGTTCCAGTCCTAATCGATTACCTGTTGAAACGAGCCATGAAAGGCAACGTTCCTGCTGTCGTACTCCTCAGGACATTCCTCGAGAAGAGCGCTGTAATATCAATATTTATTAGAAAAATGAGCATTATCCATTGTTAGAATTCTTTGATCGAACTGGCTGATGAGATCTTGCCGGGGCTCCTCAACTTATACTCCTCGGACAGCGAACAAATCGCCAATCATGCGGTCGCTGCCTGCAACGGCATGTTCAAGGCGATCGGACATAAGAACTTGTTGGTGAGTTGATCGGGGGAGCTTTTTGAAACAGCAATCTTTTGTATCCTCACACCAGCTGAAAAGTTGATTTTTCTGTGAATGAATTGAGAACGGAGAGTAGAAAAAAAGCTGAAATTACCTTTATTCCCAGTATCTTCCATTTAAATTAATCAGGAAAGTTTATTTGACTTTTCTATTAGTTTATGAGCCGTTTTTCAGAAACCATGGATGTATAGTGAAATTACCTTCCTTGATAATATAAATGAGATTAAAGAGAGCAATTTGAGTTACAATGAAAAGTCAAAATTCCTCTCTCATCGTGAAAGAAACTGATGTGAACTCTCAGGGCTCCCTGCCAGTTATGAAGAAGGCCTTCAACGCTCTGGCGGCCACCGTCAAGAGAGGAAAGAAGGTTCACGGACTGGAGAACAAGGACGGCGTCATGCCTTTCGCCATGGTAGCTCGAGAAGTCATCATCAATGTCAAAAGTTGATCGACCGGCATTTATCGAGGGGAACGTTGGACTTTCAGCGGAAAGCCTGAGAGAACAAGCCGCGGAAACGTTGAAGATGATCGTCGAAGCCACGAATCCCGAAATCCTCAACATTCACGCTGTCTACCTTCTCGGAGTCTTTGTTCGCGCCGTCGCTGAGAAGTTTGTACTTTTGTTGGAAGATTGCGCTGCGAAAATGCAGGGATTTTGCGCTCGATGGAGAAAAAAGATTGTTTTATAGCATCTGACAAGGGCGGTCATTATTTGTAAAGCTCTCATTCTCCTTTAATTTTGCCCAAACTTCTCTGAAGGTGAAATTACTCAACCCTCGGTAACCAGACCTAAATAGGAAATGACCGGGAATTTCTAGTGACCACTTTAGTACCGTCAGCACTCTTAAGTGATCCCTAGATTTGTTCAAAAACGTTCGGAGCGCGCCCGGTTTCCGTTACCGAAATTTGAGTATGATTCCTCAAAATGAAAAAATTGAAAAAAGCACATTGAAGTTGTAATAGCCATTGTGAACACCGGCAAGGCTTTTTTTATTGAAGTTCTTCATTTTTTTTTTATTCTTTGTAGAATTTGAAATTTCAGTCTAATAATACTTAACCATGATCATATTTATAGAAACGCGCGCCATAAATTCTGCACCTGACCCCTCGAAATTAAAAATTTGTCGTTTTTTCAAAATCAAGAGCTTTTCCAGAACTTCCAATGTGCACATTAGATACTTCTGCCTTGACGCCACTGCGAATTTCGTTTCAAAGGTTTTGTTCAGTGTTCCCAGTTCCTTATAACAGTCTCTTCCAGGTTGGTGACAAATGTCGACTTTTCGTCGCCCAGCTGACCAAAGCCTTCCTCGTCGGACTGCAAGACTTGGAGTCCAGGAATATTCGGATAGTCGCTGGAAGTTGGTCAAAGAAAGAAAATATACTAAAGTTTTGCAGAGCGCTTTTAAGTAGAAAATATGGATGGTAAATAGTGGCCACTTTAGTGTCCTTGAGGAACCTCTTCAGTGGCCACTAAAAATTTTCCCAGTAAAGGGAGAAATAAAATAATGATTTTGTGCAAGTTACCCAGGAAAACAACCGCTTTTTCTTATTTCATTGACTTTAAAAATATATAAGATCTATAGATCCAGTTTTAGAAACTCAAGAAAAAGTTCGAAAATGAGCTTGAAGCTTATAAAACCAATAATTCAGCTGGACTTGCCCACGTCTCCAAGATCGACGTCGGACCGAAGAATGACGTCAACATCGCTGAGCTCACCAGATTCCTCTCGTCGGCAACTGATCCTGCTCTTCTGTAGGCAAAAAAAAAAAACAAAATAGAGTTCTTATTTCATTTCTCCAGTGAAACTGCCTTCCCAGCCATCCGCGCCATGATCTCCTTGGCTTATCCGCTCCTGAAAAAAGAACTCGTCGAAGAGGCGGCTGCCGTTGCGGAGACCTTTTTCTCGGTTACAGAAAATCCAGAATTTTCATCAACGAGCTCATTCAGAAGCCGATTGAAACGCCTTCCGAAATGGACAATAATCTGACGATGGGCAGTGGAGCGTTGCTCGGAGAGATTGTCGTCCGGATGAAGGATTGGAAGAAGGCTCAGCAGATTTTGGCTGGTTCGTTTGAGAACGATAAAATAAGGGACCGCATGTGGAATGGCTCGGAACGACATAAGAAAAAAGAATATTTAGTGGTGTGGTTCTTAGGAATTTTCGAAGTAGTCATTATAGGGTTAGGCGACTGAAAAGTGGTCCCTATAGGGTCTTTCAATTTTATTCAAAAAGTGTCATTTGCTTTGTTTCTCACATGAGAATGCTTCTGCGTCGAGTTCTTAAAAATTATCGACCAACATCTCCCCTATAGGAGCCACTGACTAAAACCCTTATAGGAGTCACTTTTGCAAGCTTTAGTGGCCCTATAGAGATCAGTGAAGGGGTCTCTCCGAGGGCCCCTATACCACTCTAAAGTTTCTAAGTTATAATTTTTAGTTTTCAATTTTAATTCCAAAGGATGAATTCTATTTCTGAAGAGGACAAGACTTTTTTTTGAACATGAACTTTAGGCTTATCGGATTTTTTCTCCCAAGAATCAATTTATATCAAAAAAATTTTTATGTTACCATGAAGAAAAAAATGAACTCAGACGTTGAATCCCCCAAAACGAAGCCAAGGATACGATTCGCCAAGACTGTTGCTCTCCAACAAATGTGCCAGGTCTTGAAATAGGCCAAGAATTTCAAAAAATGTAAAGATTTTTCAGTCTGGTGGCAAGGATCTGTGGGAATCTGAGGCAAATTCAGCGTGCCGAACCGCCTTGTTGTCTGCATTCACGTCGACGGAAGTCGTCGTCGCTTCGGCGGCGGTCCGTGCCGCGGCCTTCTTGATCATGAGGTGAGTTGGAGGGAATGAAGTGTACAGATAATTTCTAATAAGTCATGGACGATTTGGATGTGCCCTATGGATGAATTTTACTGAAAACTAGGGAGGTTGATTTGAGAAGAAAAAAAATTAACGTAAATAATCTGTTTTTGTATAATGGCCGTGAAAGAAGGGGCAGAAATGCTCCGTTGAGAATCTCGACAAAGTGCCTTTTTTGAGATACAGATATCCTCTAATAATTCATGAAAGATAGACGATTTGGGTGTGCTCTATGAATAAATTTATTTTGGAAATTAGGGAGGTTGATCTCATGAGAAAAAAACATTTAACGTGAATAATCTGTATGTTTATAATGGCCGTGAAAGAAATGGCAAGTGTGCTCCATTGAGAAATTTAAAAAAGTGCCATTTTTGTGATCAATCAAAAAATGTTGCATTCAAGTTCAGGATTCTCTCGTTTTTCTGATTTTGAATCCGCTAAAATTTTTTCAAATCAGCTTTTTTTTCAAAATCCTATTCTTCGAATGCATGTTATCTATGATTTTCTCTAGCATGGACTCACCCGACCGCGATCTTCTCGTCGCCTTGGCCAAGACGATGAACCATTCCTCAGTCGACGTCCGAAGATGTGTCGCAGTAGCTCTCGGACACATCGTCGAGCAGAAACCCTTGAAAAACGATTTCCTCAAGGTTTTCTGAATCAGAAGTTATGAAAAAAAAAACGTTCCCCCAGCTCATCGTCCCGCAACTGGTCAACGGGTCCAAGGAAACCAACTCGGCGGTGAGATCGTCGTCAGAATTGGCGCTGGTCCACGCTTTCCGCTACACCGAGGGAACTGAAGGATTTGAGGTCTTGAGTGAAAAAATTACTCGAAGAAAGGAAATTAGCCAAGGAATTTGAAAGTTTGAGCCGATTTTCGGCCTGAATTTAGTTGAACTGAAGTATTTCAGGTAGTGGATAAACAAAATGCGTGGAAATCTATTTTGAAACTTTTTTTCATTGACTATGAAGGAAAAAACTGACCATACATCGAACTGCGGTCAATGTATTTTATCTGACGCTTATCTGAGAATTGTCTTTCTCGTCCTCAGCTTCCTATTTAATTTCTTAGGAATTTTATAGTGATTCCTTTAGTGGTTAGGGGGGAAATCAAGGTGGTCCCTACAGGAGTTCAGGGTCTGTAGGGGGTCACTAACTAAAATCCCCAGAGATACCAATTTTTCAAGTCTGAATGACCCCTATAGGGGTTGCTATAGTGAACACTCTGAAGTTCCTAAGTAGAGTGGACCCTCCAAAGGCCCCCTATATGGGCCACTCTGGAGTTTCTTAGATATGTTGTTTTAAAAACGAAAATGATTAATTTTCATCTATACCATCAATGAGCTGAAAATGAGACGTATTATATTTATAATTTCATATAATTCCAGGCTTATCGATCAACGGTTGAGCCGGTAGTCCAGAAGATCCTCGACGAAATGCAGCCGACTTTCGGCCGAGTCGTCCGAAGCGGCGACCTTGTCCAAGAGCAACTCAACAACTTGCTCACTGTAGCTTGAGCCATTCTCTTTTTGAAATCAGATTGAAAATCTATTTAAAAATGACCCCAGTTTTCTACGGTGATCCCCGCCTTTTTTTTTCTCCAGTGATAACTTTATTGTTTTTTGTTAACTAATTTTATTCTGATTCGATTTTTGAATAGAGATATTGTTGATTGTTTGGGTTGTTACCGTTTCCCGTTGATAAACTCTTCTTTTTTTCAAAGTTTTTTTTGATTATTATTTTATTTGGGTACAAATTGTGTCCAGTATTACTTTGAAAATGAGTGTTAAACCTGAAACCTCTATAGGGACCACTTTTGCAAGCCTTAGTGACCCCTTGAGGGAACCCTCCATGAGCCCCAAAGGTTGTCCCTATAGGGACCACTCTGAAGTTCCTAAGTGACTAGAAATTAACTTACTATACTTTTTTTTCCTCTTTGAAGAATTTTGAATTTTCGCAAATGAGCTTTTGGAGCGAATAACCTATTTTAAGAAACCGGAATGCTCCAAACCAGGATACTTCGGAGAATCTCGGCGATGACGGCGTCGACGTCATCAGCCACACCTTCAACTTCTGAAGGGCACAAGGACAGAAGTCGTTACAGGCCTGTGATTGGCTTGGAAGTTGGGGGAAATTGGATCTTGGAATCTTGAAATAGTTTTTGTAGGTCCATGTACAGCTAAATACCAGAACGAAGTTATTTTCGAGAACTCCCGCGGGTCTGGAAGCCGGTCCCAATCGGCTGGTGTCACCGTTTGATATGGCTTTGCCTGGAACCATGCCAGCTTTGAATAAACAGGCAGTTATGGTAGGGATTTCTTGGTAGTCAAAATTAATTTTTCAGTCTTGAATTGAAGGAGAATACAATAGCCCTATCATGCACTGAAATCAGAAAAAAAACATAATTTTTCAACTTTTCTTATTAGCTGAATTTCAAAACAGGATTTGATTTTAGCAGTTTTCGGGTCCTGCGAGTGCATCTAGAGTAATTTAAGAAAAAAAAGTTTCTAAATAAAAAAAAATCTGTTCAGCCCGTCCGGCTTGGCATACTGTAGGTTTAAATTGTGCATACATTGATCGCGGTGTTTGGGCGACATCTTTGTTTTAGATAAAAACAGACAATTTCGAAGAAAAACTCAATTAAAACGTTCAAAAATAGAAATCTTGTTTTAAAATTCAGTTTCTGCCAACGCCAGCAAGACTTGAAAAATGGCCGAACTTTTAGAAATCCGTCAGTAAAAAAAATCGTATTTTCTGTTATTTTTCATCTTTTAATGTCGAAAATAGCCGTGCTCATTTCAATAAATAGAAAAAATGACAAAAATGGTCAATTAGGTCTAAACGGTTGTGAAAAAAAATGAGATCTTTTCAGCACGCCTTGAAAATGGCAAAGCTTCTGAAATGCACAGTCCCAGAAAAATCCAGATTCGACAGGAAACATTATTTCTACGCGGATATGCCTGCTGGGTGAAAATTGAAGCCCCAAAAAATTAGAATAATTGTGATCTGAAGGTATCAAATAACCCAAACCGATATGCCGATCGCACGCGATGGCTCCTTCGCTTTCCACGTTTTCGATGAGCATGTTGAACCTTATTGGAAAGAGGTTATTCAAATCAAAAATTGAAAATAAGAATCACAATTTTACAGGTTCCCATAATTCAACTACAACTCGAGCAAGACAGCGGAAAGACTATTCATCACGGAAAAAAATGTCATTAATTGATTATAATCGTGCTGGTGTGTTTTAAAAAATTGATCGGAATTTCATGAATTGAAAACTGGGATTTATATTCACAAGCTAAATTTTTAAAAAAATCAACTTAAGCTATTTTTTTCTTATTTTTTTGTAATTCAACATTTGCACCTGCAGCGGACGTAAGTTAACAGATTTCAATTGGAATAAAAAAAATAAGAGAATCGAAATATGGAAAATAAAAAGTAAAAGAACGAAAATTGCGTCTCGTCGTGGCGGAACCCATTCGCATTGGCGCGCCCTTTCCTTTAAGTTAGCATCTGCAGCGGGAATAAAAAATTAATTTTTCATTCTTGTTTGAGTTCCAGCTTCAATTGATTCTGGCTTTTTTTTTGCAAAGAGAGGTATACTATTAATTGTACAATTAGGTTGTTGAACGATATTCTGGAAAAACTTTTGTTTCATGAATTTAATCAAATTATTGAAGGAAAGAAGCTTTCACCTCAAAAATGTAAAAAAGAACCGTTTTTGAATATTTTTTGTTGTTTTAATGTGGTAAGAAAAATTGAATTATTTTGTTCAAGAGCGATTCTTTTTTTTTAGTATTTTTTTATTTTAATCAAAATTTTTGAGGTTGCGCCCTGGTGGAAATTGTAACGACGCCATGTCTCCGAACGGCCCTCGAAGCGACTTGCTTTGTACAGCATCTTCGGCTCATCCTTATGCATTATCAAATTTGTTTAGGAGAACTCCATCGTTAGTTTTTGCTCTGTTATTTTTTTTTTCAAAGTAAAAACTCCAGGAGGGCATTTGCGAGTTGATGCCAATGTTTCGCTTTCCTACGATGGGAAACCTGGAACTCGTATTGAGGTTTTTTATTTTATTCTTCAAAGTTTAAAATTATTTGATTTACAGGTGAAAAATATAAACAGCGTGCGGTGTCTACATACGGCGATCAATTACGAAATCGAACGGCAATTTTCTCTACTTTCTAGAGGCGAAAAGATAGTCAAGGAGACGAGAGCCGCGGATCCTGAAGGGTTCCGCCTTCTGATATGCTTCGCAAAACGGTATTTCCAGCCGGACTGTGTCAATGCGTGAGAAGGAGGACGACACGGATTATCGATTTATCCCCGAGCCGAATCTCCCGTTGTTAAAAGTGAAAACTTGGAAATAGGAATTTTTAAAGACTCGCCTTTGTAGATCCAACCAGAATGGCGGGAAATGAACGATCGATGGGTTGAGACTCAGCCGCCGCCAAGATTTCAGAAATTCAGGGATGAATTTGGCTTTAATCCACGATCTGCGCTCCATTTGGCGGTAAGAATTTCTCAAACTTCATTCCCCTCTAGCTCGGATCCCATAGGGGCCCTTAAAGGGTGGCCTCTAGGGACCCCTTTACCAACCCCTATAGGGACCACTAAATCTCGCAAAAAAGCCCCCTATAAGGGACATGGTAGTCGATTATTTTCATGCGAAGAAACATTTCTTTGCGAAAAAAATAAAAAATATCCTTTTTTGAATAAAATTGAACCACCTCTATAGGACCACTTGCTCTAGGGGGTCACACCTTAAACCCCTATAGAGACCACTTTGACTTTACCCCTATAGGAACCACTTTCGGCCTCTATATGGGCTGTTTTCGCCCTAATTACTCTAGGGACCACTTTTTTGAATTTAATTAGTTTTTGCTTATGAAGTCTCAACACAGCTGTTTTGTTCTATTTTCGGAACTGGATCATTTTGGATTTTTTGAAGATTTAAACGAAGCCTGTTTGAACGATTTTGAAGGAATATATGTCAAGAAGACGTTATCGTGAAATATTTTCTTGTTCGCAAACAGAGTTTTTAAATTGAGAATTCCAGGAAGACGAAACTTTGTCATCTTTCATTGAACGTTGTGCCGAGCACTTTGTTCCCCTGGAAAATCTTACCGCCAACGATATTTTGGTATGGATGAAGGAATTGAAGACGACGATGCAGAGATCAAAAGATGTTTATCCGCCGGCGAGGTTTTTTTTTTTGACATTGAAATTTTGAAACTATCAGACCAAAAACCGTATCCTACAGTTTTGTGAAATTCAAAAATTTTTTCAGCAATCGTTTCGCTGAACAATTCGTCAGAGCCATCGACCTCTACAAGAAGAACCGAATCACGCGTCTGCGGATGCTCGACTTACTGAGAAACTTGTCAGCTGACCAAGAATCACGGACAGTCGATCAGGTTTTTGATCAACTCCAAAATAAGTCCATATTTTCGATTTCAGATCCTTGACGCCGAAGATTTATGGAAAATTGAGAATGCGGATGAAATTGTGTCGGATCTGCTCAAATCTCAGGAAAAGATTTCGGAGAAGGCGCGCCAAGGACACGCCAAAAGCTTTGGACGGCTTCGGAATTTGGCCGTCGAAGGATCCCGAAAGCGAATCGACGTCGATCAAATCGAAGCCTCGTTGAAGCGGCTCCTTGGCTTGAAAACTTGATAGAATTGTATTATATTGCTTTCCGAATAGCTCTTATTGTTGATAAGCTTGTTAATTAGTAGGATTTTTGTCTTTTTTATTGTTGCAAGAGGGTTATAAAGATAACTGGAAAAGAGGCAACTTGAATGATAAAATTGGATGAGCTGTATCTGCTCAAGGAGCCGGCTGCGACGATTTCTTTCAAAACTATGGCTTAGGCGAATGTTAAGCCTTTTTTGGAAAAAAACTCAATGAACTGATAATCTATATCATTAGAAAGTTGACGACAAGGCGAATCGGATAGTATGATCAGATAAGCTGTAGCTGCTCTGAGAGCCTAGATGTAGGCGTTTGAAGTTTGTCATTATTATTTCGATAGACGTCAGATATAATGCATTTGGTGCACTGCACCCCGGTCTAATTTTCTCGCAAAAAAGAAAAAGCTCAAAAATTTTCCCGCATTTTTGAGGGTTTTCCTATATCAATCGATAGAGCAGACTCTATGTAGTACTGTTATCATATCAGTTTCGAGAGAAAAGCTCAAAAATTGGGTGAAAATGAGATCCAAAAACTGTATTTTTCAGAATTCGGAATTTCATATTTCCGTTCATTTTGAACTTATAGAGAAACTGATTTAATTAATCGATTTGTCTTAACATTAGCTTTCTAATGGTCTAGAAGTTCAAAGGTTTCAAGCACTTTCGTTGAGAGGTTTTTTACCTGCATTTTCAGGTACGGCCTGTCACTACCTATCGATTGATGTAATAAAATCGCTAATTTTGATTTTTGGAAAATTGAAATTTTTGCAGTCTAACCCCTTAGCTTTTTTTGAGCTTCTGAGGTCATGGAAGCCGCTTTAGACGAAACCTATATCAATCGATAGATATCGACGAGAAAATAACCTGAGACCAGGTTTGACCTCTGTAGGTCAACTAAGAACCAAGTTATGGACGATCAAACTGAGAGGTCAAAATTTTTAAATCGTTCAAGACCACATCAATCGATAGGGGAAATTAAGGAGATCAGGAAAAACTAGTTCTCAAAGTCCCTAACCTCCTAGGAATGAAGTTATGATTTTTCAAAATGTCGAAAACTAAGCTTTCGATTGAAGAGATTTTGAAATCGATAAAAGAGATTGAGAAAATCAGGAAAAACTAGGTCTCGAAGTCCCTAGCCTCCTAGGAAAAAAGTTATGATTTTTCAAAATATCGAAAATTGAGCTTTTGGATGGAGCTCAATCGACAAATAACCTATATCACTAAAAAGCTGACCGCAAGAAAAATCGAATGATGTAATCAGATTAACTGCAGCTGCTCTGGGAGCCGAGATATGAGCGTTTGAAGTTTGTCAATAATATTTTGATAGGCGTCAGATATAATGCATTTGGTGGGCTGCACCGCGGTGAAATTTTTTGCGAAAAAGGAAAAGCTCAAAAACTTTTCTTGTATTTTTGAGGTTATTTCTACATCAATCGATAGAGCAGGCTCTATATAGTACTGTTATCATATCAGTTTCAAAAGAAAGCCTCAAAAATTGGGTGAAAATTAGGTCCGAAAAGTCGCATTTTTCAGACTTTGAAGCTTCATATCTTCGTTCATTTTAAATTTACATAGAAACTGATTATATCAATCTATTTGTCTCAATATTGGCTTTCTAATGGGCTATGACTTCAAGAGTTTCAAGCACGTTTTCAAAAAATGACGAACTTCAAAAAATCATAACTTTCATTCTAGAAGCTTCAGAACTTTTTGATCTTGATTTTCGTACTTCTGACGTCATTTCCTATCGATTGATGTAGAAATCTCGGAAACTTTGATTTTCGGGAAAATTGTAAAAAGTGCAGTCTAACCCCTTAGCTTTTTTTCGAGCTTCTGAGGTCATGGAAGCCGATCCGGACGAAATCTATATCAATCGATAGATCTCGACGAGAAAATAACCTGAGACCAGGTTTGACCTCTGTAGGTCAACTAGGAACGAAGTTATAGACGATCAAACTGAGAGGTCAAAATTTTTAAATCGTTCAAGACCACATCAATCGATAGGGGAAATTAAGGAGATCAGGAAAAACTAGTTCTCAAAGTCCCTAACCTCCTAGGAATGAAGTTATGATTTTTCAAAATGTCGAAAACTAAGCTTTCGATTGAAGCTCATCCAGCGGATACCTACAATACTGAAAAGCGGACATCAAGACAAATCGAATTATGTAATTGGATAATCTGTAACTGCTCTGGGAGCCGAGATATGAGCCTTTAAAATTTGCCTTAAAAAATAAATTGCGCGTCAGATAAAATGTGTTGTCTGTGGCGCGTTGGGTCAAGTGCTCATCTGAGGCCCGCATCGGTGTGGTTTTTCTGCGAAAAGGAAAAGCTCAAAAAAAAGTTTTTTCAAGTTTTTTCTAGTGTAATCGATAGAGCAGCTTCTATATAATACTGTTCTCATATCAGTTTCGAGATGGAAGCTCAAAAATGGGATGAAAATAGGTTCGAGAAAGTGGCACTTTTCGGACTTTCAAGCTTCATAACTCCGTTCATTTTGAAGTTGCAGAGAAACATATTTTATCAAGCGATTCGTCTCGACGGCAGCTTTTGAATGGCAGTCATTATCAGTTGAGTGAGCTTCATTCAGAAGCTTCAGACCTGCCTTAGTTTATAACTCGACTTTTTGATAAGATATCAGGGATCGATTTATATCATTAGATCCTGCCCAAGACGCTCTATCGGTTGATTGTCATATCATCCTGTTTGAGGGAAAAGCTGAGATGTATGCTGAAAAAGCCGATGACGCCATTCAGGTTGTTCAGAACTCTTGAAGTCCTAAATCTTTGGAAAGCTTATGATAAGAAGAATCGATTGATATAATCAATTCCTCTGTAACTTCAAAATGAACGGAATTATGAAGCTTGAAAGTCCAAAAAATGCTATTTTTTCAAACCTAATTTTTACTCAATTTTCAAGCTTTTCCCTTGAAACTGATATGATAACAGTATTATATAAAAGCTGCTCTATCGTTTACACTAAAAAAACTTGAAAAGGAAAAACTTTCTTTTGAGCTTTTCCTTTTTCGCGAGGAAACCACACCGATAAGGGCCTCAGACGAGCACTTGAACCAACGCGCAACCTCAGACAACACATTTTATCTGACGCGCAAGTTAATTTTTTTTTGGCGAACTTAGAAGGCTTATATCTCGACTCTCAGAGCAGCTACAGCTTATCTGATTATATCAATCGATTCTTCTCGATGTCAGCTTTCTATTAATATAGGTTATCAGTTGTTTGAGCTTCATCCAAAAGCTTAATTTTTGACATTTCCAAAATTCATTACTTTATTTCTAGAAAGGCGTGGCCTGTCTGCGCTTACGATTATAATCAATTTGTGACATTTTTCCATGGTGAGTAATTTCGCAGTTTTGCTCAAGTTGTAGAAGAATTATGAGGACTTTTAAAATCGTGAATTCTGCGAATTTCGCGAAAACTTTTTCAACGAATTTTAACGGCAATTTTTCATCATTTACATATTTTCTTCTTCTTTTTTCTCTTTCACGTATTGAACAATATGACGAAAATTGGTGAATAACTTTTTTTCTTCTTCTTCTTTTTAACAGTGAACTGACAGAGGTTAAAGACACGAGTACATTGAAAAGAAAGGAGGAAAAAACCCGAAATCCATACGTTTCTCCATGATTTCCAATCGATAACTTTTCTTTTCTTCTTAAGATCCAGAAATACTCTCACTTGTTTTGGAAAACCGTGTTTCATGAGAAAGTGATGGTTTTCGGCCACAAAAAGGGAAAAAACATCGAAAAAGAGAACATTTCGAATCGTGAATATGGGAAAAGGCGTCAAATTTGGCATGTTCGGGGAGTAATGAAAAGAAGTTAAGGAAATGTTGAATGAAAACGCCGCGAATATACTTGAAAATTATATATTCGAAATGATTTTTCGGCACCGGCGTTATTTTTTCAAACTTTTTCATTCAAAATTTGGCAGAAGGTTCACTGAATGCACGTTTGGTGATCGGAATCGACAATGAAAAAAAGAATCAAGGTACGGTTTGGAGTATCAAGGACCGGAGAGAGTTGTGTGAAGGAAGTGTTTGAGTGGAATCTTTATATCGTTGAACCAAGAAAGTCAGTAACAGTCAAAGAAAAAAAAAGAAGAGAAGTTCGAAATGTCATAATCGGAAAAGAAACAACATTACAGCAAATAGGTTACAGATATAAATAAACATAGGAACCACGGATGCAATGCCCAAAAAGAGAAGACAAAAATCGTATCAAAGAAGAGAAAAGGGTACTGAGGTAATCGACAAGCTTGAAAATAACTAAAAGAAAAAAAATGAAAGAAGAAATATAGATTGATTTGAAAAATGCATCTGAAGAGGTGATAGGCAGGCGTGAAACAACCAATTTTATTTTTGATTTCATGAAAATTCAGCTGGGGAAATAGTCAAAAAACAGGTGAATATGTGCTCCATCGAAAAAAGTCCAAATTCGTGGTTTCGAATTGAAAATTTCGGGTAGCGCAATCACTTGCTCTACATGCGATCCAAAATTAGCTTCTCCATGGAGCACAAATTCCCACTGCATTATGCTCTATTTTCCAAACTGATTATTCACGCTTCTCATGATTGTTGGGCGCATTGTTGAGTAGATTATTAATATCGCTGATTATTAAAAAATAGATTATTGCTCCCATAAACCATTGAAACGCAAAATTCAAATAGATTCAATTAAAAAACGAGTTGTCAGAGCTGCTTCCCATTGCTGGCAGCACCGTTCGGATGGATGGTTTGGCCGGCGGAGGCGGCGATCGCCGAGGCGACGGCGGCCAGTTGAGGGTTGCTGACCAGTCTCGAGAACATGTTCTGGTTGAGGTATCCCGGGTTGCTGAGCAGCAGCGACAGGACGGCAGGGTCCTGTGTACAGCTCGATTAGATCTTATTCAAATAGGTTCCATTAAAAATCAGTTTAATTCGGATTTAAAACTTGAAATCTTTAAAGGAGAATTTTCTGGAGAAATACAGGAACCCAGGTTTGAATTTTGGACATTTTGAAACGCACAAAGGGAGTAATTCTAGTTGAAATCTCAAAAATGTTTATAAATCGCTCAAAAGTTCTCCTATGTCCATGGTGAAAATCTGAAACTTGCAAAATGCCCTAATTTCCGGAGTATCACGACCTTCCTTGTGAACTGTAAAGTGTCTTCAAGCCTCAGAAAAGAGAAAAAAAAAACCCAACCAACATCTCAGATAGAAAGAGCCAACTTTCAAGGTCTGACAATTTGGAAGTTAACGCACTATTGAGCTCGAGCTTTTCCGAACAAACTCCTTACGTTGAATTGCAACTGATTCCGGTAGACGCTGTTCAGAAGCGGCGAGGCGGCTGTCAACTGGGCCAATCGCTCAGGACTGAGGTTGGCCAGGTCGGCGACCGACGCTATCGACGTGGCTAACGAGGTTGCCGGCGTTGTCGACAGGTTCGGAGTCTGAATCGTAGTCGACGTTGATGGAACCATCGATGCAGCACTGGTCGGTGTCGCTGTTCTGGAATAACAAAGATGTTTGAAACCTTGTTTCTTTTTTTTTTGAGAGAATTGATTGAGTTCTCCTTGAACCACTGAATCCCACAGATTATTGGCCTATCCAAGTTCCTAGTCAAATAATATTAAAGTCTGTCAATCTCCTAGAACATAGTCAAACAAAATTTCGCACTATATTTCTAGCCGATTCGTCCTAGAATCTTATATTCTCGTATGGTACATTCAAAGCGAAAATCGACCTGATTTAAACTATAGATACAAAGAACAGAATCAAAGATGCACCTCTGCTGCTGCGGTGTCGTAAAAGACGTGCTCGAAACGGGTGCTCGGATGGAAGAGATGGGTATCGAGGACTGGCTGGTCATGTGCGAAGCCTGAGCCACGGAAGTCGACGGCGTGGATGCGACCGGAGCCGCCAGAGCAACCACTGGCCTGAGACCATTGCCGATCGTCAGAGACCGCAGTTGATTCATAGAATCATCAGGTTGGGGCATCGAGACGGAGACGTGCGGCGAGTGATGCGGGCTGACGACGGAATGATGCGGAGGGTGTTGCTGGACAACCGCATCGGAAACTCCCGACGTGCTGGCTGTAGACGTCGAATGCACTTGCTGCGGCTGTTGATGGTGCTGCGGTTTGGGGAGGGGAGGACCCAGCGGCTGGGATAACCTCTGGTTCAGCGCCATCAGGTGTTCTCGCCGTTTCGTCAGTAAGACGAGTTGGTCTTCCAGGCGGATGTTCTCCGACTTGAGCTGGTGCAAGCAGGTCAGAAGCTGGGCGACGTCGAAGTGTGCCTGGGACATCAGGAATTGCGATCCTTGCTCCCATTGCCTTTCAAGGAGTTGCTCCATCGAAGAAGGCAGTGTCGCGGTGGCACTTATCCGACTTGATGTTGGTGTTGAAGTAGTCGGGCCTGGAATCAGAAAAAGATTCTATTAGAAGAAATATTCACTAAATATTTCAGAAAAATGGCAGAAGCCTCTAAAACTGATGAATTCTCGCACCATAGCTAAACTACATCGTCTTTTCTGATCCATTCATGTTTTCACGGCTCTTTTTTTCGAAACTCACCATTGATCGAGTTGTTGGACGGCGAGGTGTTGTTATGGGTCAACTGGATGTCCTTGACGTCCTTGATGTCCTGCTGGGCGGCAGCTGAAGACGTCGACGGCGTGGCCATCGACGACGCGGCACGTCGTTCAGCGGCGGCGGTGCGGTCAGCGACGCGATCTCGCTGGAAGTCGGAGACGGTTTCCGAGACGACAGGCGCGACGAGGTTGATCAGTCGCTGCATGCTGTTTCGGTCGGTTTTGGCGTGAGCTGCAGCTGCAGCAGCCGCTGCCGCCGTGCGGTTGTTGATCCGCGACCGCTTCGGCACCTTGTCGTACTCCTTGATCTCGCGGGCTCGTTTGCCTGCAAATAAAAAAAAATGATTGAAGCCAGAATTGTTCAGTTTTCAGCGTTATCCTATGACTTCAGAAGTTTTTCTATATGGAGATTTTTGAACTATAAAATTCAAAAATTCTTATATCCATCAAATTCCATCAGAAAACTCACCCTTATTGCTAACGAGCGGGGCCGTGAGAACCGCCTTGACGGTCTTCTCCTCCAACTCAGCGCCTCCGTTGAGATGAGCAAAATCGGCAGGCAGCAGGCCAGCCATCCCCAGGGGTAACCGATTGTGATTGGTCAATTCCTGGTTGAGGGCCGCCGAGACGATCGAGCTGTAGTTGGTCGTGCCATTGGTGTTGTAGGAGGCCGAGTTCTGGAGCTGGAGCTGCTGCTGAAGATGGGTGCCGACAGAGGTCGTCGAGTCGACGACGTGCGACACGCTCCCGTTGGTCAACGAAGTCGTCACCGACGTCAGGTAGGTCGACGGGATGGGTGCAGTGAAAATTGCCGAAGAGGAGGACGCGACGGCGGCGATGGCTGAAGACGTGCCGAGGGGCGGCGTCGTCTCAAGAACCACCGAAGATCGGCTCGACGTCGTCAGCGGCGGCGAGAAGGTCGTGCCGAAGTTCTGATGGTGTGAAGCCGACGACGTCAAGACGTCTTCTGCGACCGCCGACGACGAAGAAACCGTCCCAGGGGCCGAGAAGCCGTGGACGTTGTTCACTTGCTCCACTCTAAAATTGATCAAGTTTAAAAAGGTTAGGAATAAAAATTTATTTGTCTTTGATCCCCTGGAATGCTTTTATTGGCTTGACCATTATCAACTGAAAAACTTGGAGAAAATATGGGAAAAGGGACTTTCAGAGGCTCTTCATCAATTGCTTCACCTCTAAAAACTTACAATTTATGACAGATTCCTTATTTCCAGGCTGCATTTGGGTTCCAAATAAGTTTAAAAGTGTAGATTATCGAAATTATGCTCTTAAATTTTGAAAATCGCTCGAACGTCTCTTTCAAATTTTGTAAAGGCTTTTAACATTGCCACAAATTGAAATGAAGCTTTGAGGGATTCAGTCAATTTTTAATCTTCAAAGTTTCACGAAATTAAAGAAAAATCAGCTTTTGAACACTTTCTCGGTCCGTTCATAAGACACATTTCAAGGGAAAAAATCAGAAAATGAAAAATTTTAAAAACCTATCAAGAATTAAATTTCTCTCTATTTTTCAGACCTTCCCAGTGATGGCTAACCCAGTAAGGATTCAAATTACTACGAATTAAAAAAGGGACCTTGGCAACGGGTCGACAAGCATGTGTTGCTGGTCTGAGCTCTCGGAGCTGAGCGGCGGTGTTGGCCGATGGACGAGCCGCGTGATCCGAACCGCTGGGATCACCTTTATCGAAGGGTCTTGCTGCTGAAAACAAAGATAAATTGGAAACGTTTGAAAAAAAATTAATCAATGGAACTCTTCGCGTTGATAGGGAGGTACTGAAAAAATTAAGAACGACGTTCAGAAAGATAAGAAATTCAACAGCTTTTCACTCCAAAAAGACTTAAAGATCCAGCCACGAAATCGTAAAAAGAATATTCTTTCGAAAAACATGTGACTTATGAATATGAACAAGCTTTAAATATCAATTACTCAGAGAAAGGATAAATCCAACCAATTTCTTCAGTGGGACCAACTTTTTCGAGTAAATCCGAAAAAAATAACGCCGAAATCGAGCTACCTTTATTCACTATAAATTGAACAAAAAAATAGTATTCAAGCACAAAAATATATGAATATTTCTAATCAATTTCATATCAGGCCATCGAAGTGAGGAGGATAATTTTTTCTTATCATATTTTCTTATCGGTAGTAGCACACGTTTTGGCGTCATTTATCGATTAGTATAAAACGGGTTTCTTACCCATTTTTTTTGGCAATGAAAAGGGTGAAGCTTTTCATCAGATGAATTTTTCGGAAAATGTAAAAAGAGAGCGTCTCAGAGTATTCTAAATAAAGCTTCGAAAGAGTCAGATTTTTGAAAAATGCTCGGACATCGGTAACGCAATGTGGACGCGCTCGGGACGCTTCTGAGCACTTCTAGAAATCATTTAAGGGTGTGAAGCCGCTAAAGGTATCACTAGAAATGCTCAGGAACCTCCAGGGTGCATTACCAAAGTTTGGAGTGGATCAAATTTTCATTTTTTTTAATAGCAACTCACTAAAAAGTTAAAAGCATTGGATCTTTCAAGGCCACGTCCACCATGAATCCTATTCTACTCTTATCACAGCAAACTCTGGAAAAAATTCAATAATTGAAATTCTCTCCAGATGATTGAATATACTCTTTCTTGTCTCCACAAAGCATATATGTCTTTGTAACTGTTTTTATTTCTCTTCATGTACCCGATCCCCACTCCGTTCTCCCTTTCAAACCGTCTCTCCGTCAAACTATAATCGATTTCACTTTCCCAAATCGAAGAGCGAGAGAAAAGGCGAAAATCGTACACACACATACACACAGACACGGGCACAAATTCGCAAAATCGTTTGTGTGTTTGTACAGGCAGTCGGGTCGCGGCCGAGGAAGGGAAAGAGGAGGAGAATCAAGGCGTGAAAACAGTTCCGATCATCGATTACCTTCTTCACACACATAACGTCGATTTTCCCATCATCGGATTTGAAAAAACTCCCTCCTTTCTCTCAATTCGAATCGAGGTGAGAAAAAAGGGAAAGGGAGATTCAAATTTTAGAAAAATTGAAAACATGAAAAATCCAGCTGAAAATACCAGCTAATTCGAACAAAAATGAGCCTCCTTTACTTCTGAATCCAACTTTACGGATCACAGCTACTTTATGAAGCTAAGAAATTGAGAATCCATGAAAAAGAGTCTCAAAAGTCCATTAAATACTTACTAAACTACCAAACCAATTACAAGATTCTCAAACTGCATTCATTTTCAAACGGACACCACTCCAAAGATATCTGGAGTAAAAAACTGGAAGAAAAAACTAAAAAGTCAAGTTCAAGCCAATAAAGTTCATTCTCAAAATTCCAGATTCTTGAATTCAGAACAATGCAGAGAAAAGACGCACAGAGACGAAAAAAGAAAGAAAGAAGAGGAGGAAAAAAGTAGACCACAGATCGCGGCGACCCACATATGTTTCGGAAGGACGCGAAACAAAAAATCGAATCAAGAAAAACCATTAAAATCGGGAAAATCGCTCTCTCTTGCAACGACGACGTCGACGGAGACGACGTACGAATGGAGACGGAGATAAAAAAAATTGGGAAAAAAACGTGTAGGTCCGAGAAAGGTGGAACAAACAGAATCTACAGAGAAAGACCCGAAGAAACGTTTAAAAGTCTTGAAAACCCAAAATGGCCAGGAAATCCAGAAACAAAACTTTCTGCTCAAAGAAATATAGGTGAAAAATCGACCTTGTGCGCTCCATTGCCAACTTCACGCAACGATAACTGATGAAAACGGAGAAAAAAAAAAGAGATTACCAGGTCAGTGAAAAAGTGCAGTAAAAAGAACAAACAGAGAACTTAGCAGAAAGTCAACGACAAAAATAGCCGTCAATACTAAAAACTTGAGCTTTCTCTTGCTAATACTTGTGGAAAACGAGAACAAAGAAAACACGCGAAAATCTCATTCATAAAGTCAACGACAGAAATGACCGGCAAGCCTTGAAACTGATGCGCTTCAATGCTAATCAACCCCAAAAATCGACAAAAAAGCTGTGTAGGTCAAAAAAAAGGCAAAAAGAACCAACAACACAGGTTGGACCTGACGGGGAAAAACCCAAAACCGAAGCCGACGCCACATATATCGGCTGGTGTCGACGGTTGTGGTGACGAGGAGAGACAGAGAGAGCGAGAGGAAAGAGAGAAAACAGAGAGAGACTGGCACTCGGCCAGTCCCTCTTTCCTTTCTTTCCTCCTTCCTTCTCGTTTCGAGTGAATCAGAACTAAAACTCAAAGGGTCACACGACGCGTTTCTATGGAGAGGCGTATTTATGACAGGGTCGAACTCTCTCGAGGGCCGAAAAATACACGTTTTCCAAGTATGATTTGAGAAAAATGGCAACTAGAAGACCAAAAAAAAGGTGAAAAATCTCTCGATAGCCAATGACGCTCGATGGCTAATTCTATAAGGGTTGCCAAAATGGTCAAGTTTTCTACAGAATAACCCAACCCTCGTTTTCAGTTATCATTAGAGCGTAAAATCTCTGAAAATTCAGCCGTCGGACAGTATGTGATTCCATTGTAAATATTTCAACAAGACTACTTTTTGCCACTTACTTCGAATCAAACTCCTATCCTTATTATTAATGGAGCGCGAAAGTTCTCAAAATAAAGCTCTAATTCATCACGGAAGCTACTCTTTTTGTTTTGGAACTACCAATATAGCGTATATGATACTTTTCCTAGTTGTCTTTTGCGTTTTCTTTTCTGATTAGCATTTTTTCCCTTCAGTGTTTTTTATGCTTCAGAATGCGATACAAGCCATATTCCACGGATTTTTCAGACGGTATTTCCTTTTCAAGTTCCGAAGGTCTTCAGCTTTCCTTCTTATTCTCCTTCTAAAGCTTTCAAAATTTGATGAAGCCGCCTCAATCTTCTTCTTTTAGTCCAACAGCTAATTAAAACCGTACTTTCACAGCTTGTCTCTCGATATTTAGGGTTTTTTCCACTAATTTGTCTCAATTTTACTTCCAAGGAAGTCCCGACTCCTGCAAAGTCCCAAACTCGCGCTCTTCTCTGTTCACGACGGAAAGGACGACGGACAAGGCTTGTTGATGACACCTGCCTGTCAACGACTTGGTTTCTCACACGCTCCTCCCCTCATATACACTACACAGAGAAGAGACATACATACGCACACATACGCTGACTGCAGCAGCCTCACAGCCCCACACACACACGGCAGCATCATCGATCGGAACAGAAAAACCCCCCGTCTCTTCGTCCTTCCCACCCTCCAAACGCATTGTTTCCCTCACGCCGTGTGGCGGCGCTTCGTCCTTTCCGTCACGCCCCTCAACATATATACACAGAGAAAGTACAGTAGTTCTCGAGGTTGAATCTTCTCTCAAAGTTCAAAATCGATTCGAAAAGGGCCGTTTCAGAGTTGTAGATGTCACGGCAGCGAAAAGCAAGCAAACCAAAGTACAGTAGTTCTTGAGGTTGGATTTTCTTTTAAAAGCCGAATTCGACCCAAGTGGGCTTTTTATAGCTGCATTACACTTGAAGACAAAAATCACAGTAGTTTTTGAGATTCAATCTTCTTTTTTGGATTCATAGCGATCTTATTTTACAGTTGCAGCTAAAGAAAATAAAAGAAAAAGCAAACTAAACTACATAAAAGTAGTTCTTAAAGTCAAATCTTCTTTTCGAGTTTGAAAAATCCAAATCAAGTTTTTCTAAAGCCTTGTACGCCTAATAATCTACCTTTGTGATTCTTAGAGACGTGTACCACGAAAATTGTTTAATCAAGGTACGAAATATCGTTTAAAAAGGTACGAAATATCGTTTAAAAAGTGAGTTCCTGATTTTTAATTCATGAACGCTTGAAACTTTCTCTTCTTTCAGCTCGGATTACAGTTATTTTCAATACAGACATACTACAGAAAAATTAAATGATTATATGATTCGAAAAATTGAAAAATCCCGTTGAAAGAAGTTTTCCTAGAGCCAAACTCCATTTAAAGCCTTTATAAATCCTCAAAAATCTCATTGCTTCATACAAAAAAGCCTGAAAATCGCAATAAACCTTTCAAAACCCACTCAATTTCGCCTTAATGACCATCCAAAGAAGGAACGCCATGATAATCCTATTCCGCGGAAGGATAACCAATCTCTCAGCTGATAAACGTATAAAACCTCTCAAAACAAATCTTATCAAATCCCTTCTGAAGAAAAAATCGAGAAGAGTCAGAGAAACAGAGCAAACAGCTGTAACAAAAAAAAAGAACGAAAAGTGAATCGGCCGCTTTTTTTCCATTTCCTCCAGTACAATTTTTGTTCCGGAGGTCGACTAGAGATCTTTTCAGCGTAATTTTTCATTAAAAAAATACATTATTATAAATATTCTAAAGCTGCTAAAATCATTTTTAAAGTTCTGAACATTTTTCTAGCTCCACATTACACTCGAAAGTCGTTGATTTTCAGAGAAAAGCATAAAAAGTTTCAAGAACCAACAGAAAATCAACAAAGGCTCATGGTTCACTGATAATCTTACAAAAACGACCTGTAAAGACTTCAGAGAGGCACTAAACACTTCTAAAATGTAAATAATAACTTTTTTTAATTCTTAATTCATTTTAAAAAAATCGCAAGAAAGTGTGCTAAGACTGAAACATTTCGAACCGTTCATATCAAAAACTCGCTGGACCCGTTTTGAAGTTTCAGAAGATTTTTTTGAAAATCATATAAACTAAATGAAAAAAACAGCTAAAAAGCGCAAAAGACTTTCAAAACCGGGTATGAATCTGAACTGAAGACTCGAAAAAAAGCGCGACTTTTTTTTTCAGTAAGCCATGAAATACAACCGAGAAACCTCATCTAATTCAGAATTAACCGTGAAACAGAGTATAAGAAGTACGGCAAAAACTTACTAGATCATAAAATCTCAACTTGAATTCACTTTTTTCAAAGACCAGAGAAAAAGTCTGAGAATCAGGTGAAGTTCAAAGTTGGCCGAAAAAACCAAGATAACGAGCCCCAAAAGCAAGTCTAAGCCCGAGTGAAATCTCACGCCGCAAGTGAGGAGAAAAAAAAAATCAAAAAATCAAGGTGCTAATGGTCAAGAGGACCAAGGAGTGAGAAAAAAAAAGAAAAAAAATTTCTGAATAGCATTCGAGGTGGTGGCTCGGTTCCTCCTCCTCTTTCCTCAGCAGCCGGCGGAGAGAGGGTGTCCGATCGAATAGACCAAGAGACGGGGAGAGAGAGGGTCAGAGAAGCGGAGAAACGTCTCAACAACGACCGACTCTCTTCGTCATGTGGTGTTGCTCTCAATTTCTCTGGGTCTCTCTCTTCTCCTTTCAACAGCTACAATAAGCAAAGCATCAGGAGAGGAGAACAGAAATGGGCGGAGCTTTTTCGGAAAGAAAAAAAAGTTTTGACTGGCCGGTCCATCCATCGCCACGCCACCGCCACACACACACACATTCATCGATTGATTTTCCTTCGTTCGCGAAACGAATGGATCGAATCGATGGAGGCAAAACGATCGGGGTTAATCCTCGTTGGACGGCTAATCCTCAGCGAGATAATAACAGAAAACAAACATTATCATGGATTCAAACAAAGTCTCCTTGGAGCGTACTATTTCTTCAAAAATGAGCTACAGACCTCACTTATTTAATTCAAAAAAATAACTCTATGTTTGCCTCAGAGCGCACTTTCACCCCTTTTTTGAGCCTCCGATAAAATCTTGGCCTTTTTGGGAAGTTTGAAAAGAATTAGGTTTATTTTCCTCAAATATCATAACTACAAAATCATGCTTATGATTAAATCAAAAAAATCCATTCTTTCATTTTTCAGTAGTCTCAATTCGCTTTCCAAAAAGAGCTTCCAATCTGATTTTTTTTTTCAACTAAAAGACACTCTCTCCGCAAACAGCCGACAAAGAAATGAGAAAAAAAAGAGGAGCCAAAGCAGCTGATCGAATTCACATGGGAATGGATGGAAAACGCTTTCAACACGTTGCCACGGGACATTTTTCGACTAAACAAAAGCAAAAAAAAAGAACGAGTACAATTTTGGTGGTTTCTGGCCGTACAGGCCTCTCAGAGAAACATTTAACACAATTTTTTTAGCAAAAAAAAGACTTAATTTTTAGCATTGAGAATATTTTCTCCATCGAAAACCGATTCTTTTTAATTTCGCCTAATTATTATTTTTATCGATTAATGTCAATACTAAACCGAGTAAGTTTCATTAAAATAATTGAACTTGCTTCTGACGTTTTTTTAATCACAAAAATCGCAAGCCTTATCAACAGAGCGTAAATTCGCAAAGAGACTAAAACTTTTAACCATTCTAACCCGAAAAATCCAAATAAATTGGTAGCAAATTTCAATGAAAGAGGCGAAATTGGCGATAAATCACACGCAACGAGAAAGCGCGCGCGCGTGTGTGTGGAGACCTCGGAAGCCTTTTCGTATCCGATTTCAATATATCGAGCCGAATGCAAAGTGCAGTCAACCACCACCACTAGAAGAAGCTTTCGACTTTTGAAAATTTACTCCAAAAAAAAAACCCAAAAATTCTGTACTTTACTTTTTCGTAAGGTTTACTGATAAGTTAAGTAACTTTTTTTGAATTTTCAAATTAGGATATGACTTTTCAGCGCAAATAATTTCACAGTCCTTCATAAACAACTTTTTCCCCATTTATAACTCTAGAAATCTGATATATCTTTCGCTTGAATCTAGTTAAAAAACCTGTGAATCTCAACTTTTCGGTGATGTTTTCAAAAAGTCCTGAATCGTAAACTGTACTTTCATTTTTTTCTTTATTTTCATGATGAGAATTCCGCCATTTTTTTCCATGTGGAGTTTCAGAACGGGTTGATGAAAAAAATTTTTTTCACTAAAATTACCAGTTAAATAAATGTTCCTCTAGCTCTTCTTCTCCTCAAAAAAATTCAAACAAAGATAGGAAGTTGGACCTTTTGGTCCAATTTACGTGTGTGTTTTCAACCTTTTCGTTAAAAATGCCTAGACATTCGCGTCATCGACGGGCCGTCAAAGAGCAACGTGATTTATGGTAGGGCAAAAAAAAAAATGGATGCGGTTTTACGTCGATTCTCTCTGTTGTCTAAATGACTCACACGTGTGTATTTGGTGGATGAACGCCAAAAAAGCTTGTTTTTTTTTTAAATTTATGGTTGACCAAAAATATTCGAAATGTAGGGAAAGCAAAGTTTTAGAAACCTGCCGGTAAATTGTCCTCTTGAACACCTCCTCTTGTCTTATTAACTTTCACAGATTGAAAAAAGGCTTAAAAACTCCGATTCAAAGCTAAAAAACCTCCAATTTTTCTCTTCAGAATTCATAATTTCAGCTCTTTCAAACTTTCAACTCATATTATTTTCTGTTATCGTCCGAAGAGTTATCATACAAGTTATGTTTTTTTCTACTTTCTAACTAAAAATAACAATTTCAAGCCGTACAAACTCGTAGTGCATAAAAAAACTGTAAAACGAGCCTAATCTCCAGCTTTTTCCTTCCATTGTAAGGCCTAAAATCCTCACTTTTTCTGGAAAAAAACCTATTATTTTTACTTTGAGCCATGAGAATCGCCACAGGACCAACGAGAAAAGACCAACGAGAAAGACCAACGAGAAAAAGCAAAAATTAAAAAAACCCCATGATTTTTTTATAAGTTAAAGATTCGTATCCAAATCCATTTCTACCCCGGTTTAACTATATTGAAACACCGTAACCAGTAGATATATCGTTATAACTGCAAATTTAAATCAAAAAGTCCATTCGTAGTAGCTTTGACCACCGAAATCTCCATTCAAAACCCAAAAGCGCGAAGATAGAGAGAAAAAGACCACGAAGACGCAGACAGCCGAAGAAACTCGACAACTTTCTCCTCACTCGACCTGCGTCTCCACGCCTCACACGAATCGAAGCATCAGAAGCTGCTCTGCCTAGGAGTTTCGGGCAACGGGGCCGAAAAAGAAGCGAAAAATCCATCTTTCTCATCGTATTCGCGGTCGTTTCTTCATTCAGAGGCGAAAAAATGGGCGGAGCCTTTGGAGAAGGAGAAGCAGCAACAGAAGCCGCGGAACCCCCGTAAAAGGAGGAGGAGGAGAAAAAAAAAAACAACGACGACGAATCGATTTCGCAGAGGGGATGTTTGTATCATCATCATCATCAGCGTTGCATGGAAAAGGACGTGTGAAAAAACAGACGTGGAAATTCGTCTCCATTTTCAACTTGTTGACTTTTAGGGGAAAAATTTTCACAAAAAAAAATTGTCAGGTGTTGGCTATCGGAAATAAATTTGAAAAACTGCGCATATGAGCATTTTTTCCAAAAAAAAAAATTCTAGAAAATCATTACGTAACTGAATATACTGACAACCGGTTTTTTTAACTTCCAAATTTTTCAGGACTTATTTTAAAACTTCTGGTGGAACACCTCTTTGAATGAACTACACAAGCAACAACAGATACCTGAAACTCGCCGACGTCTCCAATAAAAAACCCTGGACCTCCAAAAAAGGCTCAAAATTCCCGGATAACAACTGAATGGCAAAAAGCTTCTTCATACCCTCAAAAAGCTGAAAATCTTATGAAAAGTCTAAAATATTAAGAAATGGTCCAAAGTAAACCAATTTCTACAGACCTAAAATAATCCCGAGCAACTTTTCCTGTAAACTTACCATCCAAATCCTCGAAACCCTTCAAAAATCACTAATCATCCATCAATTTTTGTCATAGAAGCTCTGACGACCCGAAAAAGTACTCTTCCCCCTCACTACCGTAGGAGTGCAGAAGCAGACAAATTGTCCCAAAAATAGACCGCTCGTCCTTCACATTTCAGAGCCCAGAGGTTAGGAAAAATCATTTTTCGTTCCAAAAATACAACGCGATGAATACATTGGGTCAAAAAAAGTGGAAAATTCGAGAATTTTTTTTGATACTCACCGCTTTCCTGAGGTGATTGTCGCAGTAGCCGCAGTACTTGACGTTTTTGCTGCCGCCGCCTTCCTCGCACAAAAGTCCTTTCAATTGGGCGCATGTTACGTGGAAGCCGCGCTGGAATTATTGTAATGATAACCACAAAAAAATAGACTTTGAATCATATTTCATCAAAAAAAGTTAGAAAATTCTCAAAGTTCATTCAGAGAAAAATTTCGAGGACTTGGAAGGAGTATGAAAACTTCTTTGAAGGCTTGAAGTTTATAAATTGTTCTCTTCCGAGCTTAAAAGTGTAGAAGATCATAAAAGTCACAGAAGTTGTCAAAATGATCAAACTGAGAGCTCTTATTGTTAAAATACACCAAAATATTCCCTCAAAATTGCTTTATGAAGCTTGAACGAAAGGATCCCTACAGTTTTCTTGAAAACAATCAATCTTTAGATAAAATAAGATTTCAAAAAAACTTATTATAAACATTTTTAGCTTCTAAAAAGACTTAAAAACTTTTAAAATGAATGGACACATTCACTGCCTACTCGAAACCTACTAGAATCCTCTCGTAAACATATCTGACGGCTCTTCAAAGCCATTACAAGAGAAAGGACCGCGTAACCATAGCTACCTCCATCTTATATAACATATAAAAGGGAATGAAATTGTTGTCTCTAGGAAAAGGGGAAGGATACAATTCCCGGTCACTGATCCTCACGCTAAGCACACCGCAATAAAGCTCTAGAAGACCTTTTTCCTTTTCAGTTTATTCGAAGCAAACAGGTCATTATTTTCATGAAAGTTTCGCAATGAAGCCAGCTGTTTTCCTCTAGAGACTTTCGAAAAAAGGATTATATATGATCAAAATAGATTTTCCCAAAGTATAAACACCCGAAAACAATCCCAGCTTTCAAAACAACTTTCTGTCCACCTCAAAATTGATTTGAAACATTTTTTATATGTAAAATCGTGCAAAATTGCCTCAAAAATGCTTCTACACGCTTTGGTTTCCGGAGCTGTTCCTCAAAAAACTAGAAATCAAATCTCAAGTAGATAAATTCTCCCTAAATCTCCTAAGAACCTTTTATTTCTGCTCAAAACACCAGAATTTCTACGAAAAAAAAAACATTTTTAGGTCCAAAAACCTTTCTCTAAAGCTAAAAATCATCACATCGTGCCGAGATGCCCATCAAAAAACCTAGCAAAAAAGACGGCCAAAAGCTCAAAACCACTCCGAATTAAAAACATAAATCAATTTTCGTTTCGAAGCAACTGGGAATTAAATTGAAACGAGACGACGAAGGCACACGTGCGTGCCAGCCGTTTGTGGTTTCGGGGTACAAGAAAGGGAGAACGCAAAAAAAAGAAAGAAAGAACCCAAAGGAAAAGACATATGTGGACATCTGTCAGTCCTGTGCCTCGCGTTTCATTTCGTGTTCCTTTACGATTTTCGCCTCATTTTCACTGTTTTACTTGTGAGTTTCTATCTTTTCAGAGTTTACGAAATCTTGCCATTACTGGTTATCCTAATAATATTTTCTGCTAATATTAGAACCTTGAAAAAAACTTACAAGAAAAGATACAAGAAAAAACCGAACATTCAAGGAGGTGGCATTTGTAAGCTAAAAATAACTTTTGAAATCGTAGGCCTCAAGTTTTGCCACACTTCTCACTCTTTTTAGAAAGTTCTAGGCTCTTAAATATGAGTCATCACACAGTTTGGTTCGAAAACTTGTCATTTTTTCAACCATTGTAAAATTGCAAAGCTTCATCATTTTTTAGGCTAGGTTTTGAAAACTGCTCTTTATTGTAAAAAAAAATTTAAATAATTTCGAAATTAAGATATTTGTAATTCTCGACATGCTGCACTATTTTGCCTTTAAATTTCGACATTTTCTGAAAATTCCTTTCAAAAATCACTACTAGCTCCGAAGAGTTTGAACATATTTGAGTAAAGTGAATATAACTTCTTTTTTAAACTTTTTTTTTGTCTTGCAAGCTTCAATTTCACTTTTTATATACACGAAAACCTGAAGGAAGAAAGTTCTAGAAGCTTCTGAGCTCGAAAAATATTACTCATCACCCTTTCGATGTTTTTCATTAACTTCACTATGAAAAGGTCGAAATTATCCTCTTCACCGCATCGCCTCCTAATTAATAATCTCGTGATTCATCCTCATCAGTTTGCCTTCCCAGCGTCTTCATTTTTGGATTTCTACCTTCCCAGCTACCTTGCACAGGACGTGTAGGAATTCAAAATTATCCTTTCCGGACCATTTTTACGAACAAAAATGTTTGACTAGACCTTTTAAATTTCGTCTAAACCAGTGGTGAGTCATTCATACATAAGAATTTTTATGTGGTCCCTATAGGGATAAGGGAGAAAAACAGCACCTATTGAGATCAAAAAAGTGGTCCCTGTAGGGGTAAAATCAAGATACTCAGTTTATCGACTAGCATAACCCCTATAAGGACCGCTTTTTCAAGCTTTATTGGCCCCTAGAGGGGTTGGTAAAGTCGTCCCTAGAGAGGACCCTCCAGGTGCCCTTAATGTTGCCCTATAGGAACCACTCTGAAGTCCCTGAGTAGTTTCGCAATGTTTTCAATCATTTTTGTTTATTCAATGTTGGAAATCTTGTTTTCCAACTGGTTCCCTCCGTTTTTTCAATGATTTTTGTTTATCCAGCGCTCCAAGGGTTGTCAATTTTTGCAATATTTCCTACTTTTTCCGTTCATCCAATTTTTCAATACCTATAGTTTCACTTGCCGTACTTTTGGCAATTTTATTTTTCGAAATTTTATTTTTCAGATTTTCTCTTGTATTCACCTTACACCCGGGCTTGTTGCAGGACATACAAGCTCCCAATTTGGCGTTCTTCCGACTGCCGTTCGCCTCACAGAGGTAGCACAGCTTCTCGAACCTGCAATAACACAAGTTAGTTTCAAATTTTGATCGCTTCATTATTTTCTGATTATTTTCTTCTGTTTTTCGAACATTTCTTGTACTTTTCTGATAGTTTACTTTTTTAAAAAAGTCCTGAACAGGCTATAAAACCTCAAATATTCCATTAAAACCCTTATAAAAACCTTTTTCTACACTTATTTCTGTTGCACGCTATCCTAGGTCTTCTGAAGAAGTTAACTGGTCGAAAATCAACACAAAACAACATTGTTTAGCCTTTAAAGTCAGAAATTAACTATTTTCCATCGAAATTTTCCATTTCAAACCCTGCAAAGCTTCAAAATTTCGAGATTTTAATCCCCTTGGAAAGCCAAATCCCACGTTCCCATGCCTTAGCCTGAGCTGCTCTCCAAGTAGAACCAAACGTGAGAACAGAGAGGAAAAATCGATAGCCAGTCACTTGCCAAAAACCCACGTGCTCAGCCGTTCGTCTGCATCTCTGGACCTCTCTATCTCTACATTTTTCTTTATTTCTCTGCTCTTTTCGTCTCTCTTTTTGATGTGGAGAAGAGAAGCAACAGAACTGATCGATAGAACGTCAGCAAAGCTTCATCGATATTTGGTGGCTTCTTTTCTGTTTTCTTCCTTTTCTTTGCATCAAAGCATCCATTTCGAAGCAACATATTCTAATGGATGATTTCGATGAGAGCTTTCAAGGAGTTGAAAATTTTGGAGCGACTAATAAAGTTATTCTGTTACTTACAGCCACCCCATATAAAATCTTATCAACAGCATCAGCTAATTGGTCCAAAATGTCCCGAAGAGCTTTGAAAATCACTGATTTCCATACTAACTAAGAAAGAAGCTTTCTAGAAAAAAAAATTCTCCTGCACCTTCTGCAACTAACTTTTCGACAAGCCCTATCCCACAGAAAATTCAAACTCTCTTTCACGTTTCCCCGATTCAAAAACGACCAAAAACGTCCATCTCCGGCGCCCGATAAGAATCGATTTTTCTTTTGCAAGGTTGACGATTTTTACGATCCGTTCGCCGCCGAAATGATCGATTGAACTTTTTCTCTTCTTATTCCAACACATTTCCCTTCATTTCCATTTAAAATTACGTGATAAAAAGTGGGATAAAGGCACCTTTCATTGGGTACGTCGGAGAGAATCACCGGATCCATACTGTGAACGTCGCCAAACCGCACTTCTGGAATGTAGAGCGCACAAATCACGTGGGCCCAACCTAAAAATTCATAGTTTATAGAGCTTTTCAATGAGGAACAATGAAATAGAAGCAGAAATTTCAAAAAAATTTAGTTTTTTTCCTGTTGAAAAAGTACAAAATTATGTAAAAGTCTAATCTTGAAAAATTATTATATTTTTAAGATCCTGAGAAACACTTTGAATCATAATTTTTCTTCTCTCGGAAGCAAAGAAAACTTAAGCGAAATCAAATTTTTTGAATAATTCATTATATTTGCCAATTTTTTTTTCATTTGCATCATAAAAACACGCTCAAATCGCCTGAAGAATCCCTCATTTTTTGAAATCGAGACTTTCAAGGTGAAGGTAATGAGAGAAAGAAACCTTACAAACAGCTTCGAATAAAATTCAAAAAAGAGCCACTTTTTTTCGGATCAAGGACAAAAAAATGATTAGATCAAGTTATTTCGTTTTTTTCAAGTCATTAATTAAACTTTACAAAAAAATATGAGAAAAATCACCCCTTAGAGCCCGATTAGTTTGAAAAATTCAAAACTCGAAAATGAACTCTTGAAGCTTTCTGTTACTCAAATTTCATAATCAGGACAGTTAAAAATCGTGAAGTATTGGAATTAAGAACCTTTCTCGTGAGTAGATACTTCCTACACTCCAAAAAAAGAAACTTATAGAACTAACTGTACTGTCCACTAACTATCACTTCTCCAAAGACTCACCATTCTGATCCGTTTTCTTGAAAGCGCCATAGCTGCTGGGACAAAGGACACAGCGAAAGGATCTGCGTCCATTCAAAGTGTCGTCGTCGCCATTGACGTCGCCGTTGACGTTCTCCGTCTCCTGGTGGGAGGTGGAGGAAGAAGCGCTGCAACGGGCGCAGAGCCACTCGCCGTCCGGCACTTCTTGAATCCCGTAGCAGCCTGGGAATGGCTTGAAATGGCGACAACTTTCTTCGATACGAATATCAAGAATTTTGCCTTGTTCAGAGCAATTTTTGTGAAGTTCGAAATTATCTTTGAATCTCTAGAATTCAGTTATTTTTTCTACGATTTGATGGCTATTTACAATCACTTTTAATGCATTATTCAAGGGGATGTTTTTTGGCTACTGGTTGAGATTTTAGATGAAACTTGGCTGAAAGGTACTTGAGTACGAACTTCAGAGACTCGGAAACTAGATCTATTGTGAGAATTTTCTACTTTTTTTGAATCAAGGAAATCCCAAAGCGCATTTCAGCCAAGTTTAATTTCAAAAATCGTCATCTTTTGAGCAAAAAATTGAGAGAAACATGAAGAAAAGATCAAAAAATCAAAGCTAGAACTGAAAATTGATAGTTTTTAGCGCCTCTTTCATTGAAAAAAAATGAAAGCTGGATTTTAATTAAACCAAAATTCCGGGCGCGTACCTTGGTGCACAGCGACCTCACAGTTGGGACCATCACAGTAGATCAAGGGATTGTCCGTCCAGCCGTTCTCATCGGCACAGACGCAGCACCCACCCAACATCTCTTTCATTTTGCACTCTGTAAAATGAGATTTTTGGAAAAATCCCCACAATTTTTTTTTTTCATTTTGTAATTTTCTTTAATATTCCTACTCATTGATTGATAGTTCTTCCAACAGGTTTTCCAGTGTCTATTTCACAGTAATTTCCTCACTGACACTTTTTTCTTGCTTTATTTCAAAGGAAATGACTCCGCTCGACTCAAAGTAACGACAAAAACAGAAAAAGACCAGATTATAATCTTAAAAAATCGGAAAAAGTCAAAATTGCAAAACAAATAGGCATCAGATAAATTCTTTAATCATTATCTAACAGAAATAATTTCAACGGTCTTACAGAAAATAGTGGGCATTATTTTTTGACTTTCAAATCACCTTCTTGATGTGATTCATTTATTTTTCATCCATTATTTTTGACCTAGTTCCCTCCCAACTTAATGAGAACAAAAATAAACTCAAAAACCTGAAAAAATAATGATAAAATTCACTTCTGAGCTTTCCCCTAGCTATAGTTTTCAATTGAAACGTCCTAAATTACCAATAAAATCTCAATAATCCCAATTTAAAATCCTTTATGATCAATCAACAAGAAAACTCCAAACCTTGAACCCCGAAAGACGGGCAAATAGAAAACTCCGGTTCAAATCGATTATTTTTTTGGTTTTCGCTTCTTTCCGATTCGATTACTGTCGTACATCACCAAACTTTCATCACACGCCGGAGAAAATGCAGAAAAACGAGTTTATTTATTTAAAAACCATCCGTCGGCCAATCGATATATTTTTCTGCAACAAAAAAAATTTATTTTCAAATGAAATCGGAAACGAAACGCTTGAGAATGAGAACGGAGCCGAAGTACAAATAAAGAAATTCGGGGGAAAATTCCTAATTTCGTGCCAATCGAGAGCATTTTCCTTTAATGATGGCTATGGAAAGAACGAATCGGGAGCGTGTGTCAAAGCTGATAACGAATATTGATAAAAAGCATTAAACTATTCAGAATCCGGCTCCAAATAGCTCTAAAATTGATCGAGAAGAATAAAATCGATACGAAAAATCGTTTCAATTTAAAAAGTTTATATAAAATAGCCTTTTTGTATTATTTTTTTCTTGAGAGGTTTCTCGTTACAAAAAAATAAATATATTGATTTCTCACCTTCAACTAAAAAAAACCTTCCCGAAACTCATTTTTTAGCAAGCATAGTACTGAAGCTCTAATCAAAAAATTTTAGTCGAAAAAAAGGTTCCTATCCGAACAATTTTTCTCATTTCAGCTCGAAAACCCAAAATTTGCTTAGATTAAAAAAACACACCTTTTTTTCAGTCTTTTCATCAAACTACAGTACTAAAGTCTTGATTTCAGAATTTACATTCAAAATAAAAAGGAACTCGAATGTAAAACGTCTTTTCGAAAAGAAAAAAGACAAAATTCTTCTCTTCTCCGAATTTCGTTACTGTACCCAAAAAATAGCGATCAAATTAACAGCAAAGGGCATGATTGCATGGAACAACAACAGGTATACGTATAAAACTGTCAGTAAATGGCCGAATTGGGCGTCGAGAAAAAGAATCTATCGATCGGCGTGCCCTTAGGCGACATTATTTCCGATTGATAACGTTTCAGAAACCAAACAACTCCCTCTACCATTCAAAATTCAACGATATGATCCACTGAAAAAGTTTCTAAACGCAAAATATACAAAAACAAATCTCTTCGCATTGAAAATTTTCGTTGCTACTCTGAACCATAGAGAAAGAATTTTTAAACAGACGTAGGGAGAAAAAAATTTCGCTTTCATCCCGACTTCTGGCGCTCGATTTCAAATTTCGCGGTCAAACACTAGACAGATCGGAAAAAAGATCGATTTTGATCGTTCGGCGACCAGCCGTCACCCGCCGAAAAATCAAAAAGCTCAAAATATTTTGGTGGCATTTTAAGTCACTTTTTAACGAGACGAGGAAAACCAAGAAGTTGGAAAAATACACTTTTTAAATTCAGAAAACCAAAAAAAACCCTTTTGATTTAAATTGAAACAAAAATTTCTCTACTACAATACTTGTTTCCCAAAAACCTGTAAGACGGAAAAAATACAGGTTTCAACAAAATCATGCCATTTATAAAAAAAAATTCTCGATTTTGATCAAAAAAAAAATGTAGCTAAGCTTGTCTAGAGCATGAAAAGTTACGAAATAGACAGATATAAAGAAAAAAATTCGTTCATTCCTCGAATCAACCAAGGTGCCTCTTCATTTCCTCAAAAAGACCGCTGAAAAACTGAGAAAAAAAGATAAATGGCAAAGGTCGCGCCACAACAAAGCAACAGCTGCCACATGAAATTCATTTCATTTCAAAATGCGATGGATTTTCCTTGATCACTACAGTGAAAACTCCACGAGAAACAAGTCTTCATGACCCATTTCCAAGCCCTCTCATTCATCTTACAAAAAGACGAGTATCGAATCGAAGGCCGCGGATACAAGACAGAAAAAAAAGCGAAAAAAAAGAAAATTCTTCATAAAGTGGCTAGGATAATGGGGACGAATCGATATTTTCGGATGTGGAGAGAAGCCTCCTCCCTGAGGCTATAAAGTAGGAGAGAAGCCTAAAGGTTCCAGCTGTTTGGGGGCATCTCCTGCCGCAATTTATCGCGCCTCTGTCAGCTCTTCCTGACGTATGTATCGATCAAATGCTCCCAGAGAAAAGAGTAAAGTCCTTCAAGGATTGCGAAAACCATGGTTAATATCAAGGAAAACTTATCCCTCTCTGAGTCAAAATATAACTTCAAAACTTTTGAATCCAATCTTTTCAAAACTCATTACTGAGGTTTTGAAAGGCGCAGAAAACTTGACCGGCCTCAAAAAAACTCCTCCTATCAAGACCTATGGACCCTACAAACTAAATATTTCTTTTTTTTTCATTTTGTAGCACTTTTTAAAATAAAAAAGCCGTTAAAACAAAAGAAATCGAAGAAAGAACCAAAAAGAAAAATCCGAAACCTTGAGGACAAAATTCATCCCAATTGCGGACCAACCTCCTTACAGAATGTTGTTAACTACCATAACCTAAATAATTAATTTTTTGGCCTCCTTCGATTTTTCAAGTTTGAAAAATTGTTATAAAGGATCCAAATGTTCAGAAGTGAACCAATATCAAAGTTTTGAATTAATTTACCGTGGGAAAATTTCGCTGGGTGAATTATCGCGGGAAAAATTGGAAAAGGTTCTTTTTATAAGTTTGTGAAATTTTTTTTGATGTACCGTACAAATTGACTTTCTTTGTATGACTAATACTACAAAAAAAAAATAATTGAAGCTTCTTTTTCTGCAGATTACTTGACTTTTATTTCAAAATTACAATATTTAACCAACCGTAAGCTACTTGAAATCTTTAAATTTCGATCATTTTGAAATTTGTTAAAAAAATTTCTATCAAACGGCTGAAAACAAAAAAATAGATCTGATAATCAGTTCTAGCTTAATTAACACCGCTTCAAACATAATTGAAGTCTAATCAAGTGAAAAAAAAATTCAGTATAAGTCATCTAACTACAAAACACATCAAATTAAAGGTGAAAAAACGCGGAAAAGACGAATAAAAAGTCGTTTTCAGTTGGAAAATGATCGAAATCTCTCTAATCAAATGAAAAGGGATGAAAATATATATAAAGGAAGGAGAAAAGAAGTGGAAAGAGGGTTGGACTGGCGGTCGATTTTTGGGGTCCCTTTTCTCTTTTCCTCTCTGTGTGTCTGGTTTGTGTGTGTGTGTGGTAGAGTGATGATGTGGCTGGTTGAAAGAGAAAAGAAAAAGAGAGAAGATGAGAGAGTGTACGGAGAGAATGGCAGAGACATTCTCAGGAGAGGGAGAGAGAGACGGTTTCCAGAGGGAGGCAGAGACGCAGAGGAGTCATCTATTCCCGTCGCTCTCTCACCGTAATTTTCGCTCGGTTTTTCTCAATTTTTCACGGTTTCCTCATATTTTAAAGTTTTGAAAGTTGATAAATTCGTCAATTAAGTTATTTGAAGTTTAGAAACGTGAGAAAAATCCAAAAATCGATAAATTTGGTATACTTCGGCATTTCGACGTTTAAAGTGTATATTTTTTTGGTTCTGAGTTGCACTGTTATTTTTTTATTTTTTTACACTTTCTATTCGTGGCAAAAAAATCTGTATCCATCAAATATCAGTTGAAAAAAAGGTTCCAATGATGTTAAAAAGTGTCAAAATTGAAATAATCACAATTCTTCACACTTTTCTCCTCAAGTTATCGGGAAAAACTACTTTTCGATTCTTACTGTAAGTTTTTGTCCATGGGGCACACTTGATAATGACCTATTTGATTTTTTGACTTTTGAAACTCGAATAAATTGCAGTTGCTCCTCATATCCTGTTTGAAAAATGGCTTTTAGGCACATGGGTTTGAAAAATTGAAAATTATTGAAAAATTTTGAATTTTGAAGCGTTAATTAATCATATGGAAAAATTGAATCATTCAAAAATCGGAATTTCTTTTTTATTTTGGTTTAACTTTGAGTTTCTTGAATCCTACTGTAGCATATTTCTATAATCCTTGCGGGATGTAATATCAAAGAGTGAAGCCTATAAAATATTTAGGCGAAATCCGAAATGTGGGAATATTTTTCTTAGAAAAAAAACTTGTTAAACTTTGATTTTTCATCAATTTTTTTGAATAAAAACGCTTTTTTAAATCTGATGAAACAGCTTTAAATGATTTGAATGAAATTCGATGATTTTAAAAAGTTTCATCAATCTTCTTCAATCAAAAGCTTAGGAAAACGTCTCTTCCAGTTTTCGATCCCATCTTTTTCTTGCTACAGTACCCCATCTCATATCATCCGAGCAACGTTTCCCTTTCTACCGTAGTTGGTGCGGTTTTGGTGGCCGTCGGCGACGGCGAGGTCCTCCGATGGCCCCAATACACACAGAGCGTGTCAGTCTGTTCGCTGCTGCTTACTTTTTTCTCGTTTTCTCTCCCATCCTCTCATTCTCCACTCAAGTTATTTTCAAGAAAAATCGATAATGAGGAGCAGATTCGAAATTTGATAGGAAATATGATAATCGAAGCTTCCATCTATTCCAAATCTTTTCTTTGGTGTTTTAAAGGGTTTCCTCCCTTTTTTACAATCTCTTTAGTGAAATAAATCGATTTTAAAAAAGTTTTTCCGTTTGATATAATTTTTATTTGTGACAAAATTCAAGCGTAAAGTAAAAGCGAAGACGTAAATGAATTTTTGAAATAAAATCGTGTTATTTCCAATCAGTACACCCCTTACAGCTATCCAGATTCAAAAAATGACAATTTCACCTTTTTTAAACTTTTCATGCTCTCAAATTTACGCTACGTGAACGCTAATGCATACGGAAAAGTGAATTATCGTGAAAAACTGTTAAAATTTGATTTTAAGTTTTGAAGTTGAATAAAGAGGTCGTAGTTCATTTTAAACGAATTTCCAAAATCAAAGTTATCTCTGAGTCTCCAAAATTGTGTTGTCTTTTCCACTCTCTGCCCATTTTTGAAACACGGTAATAGTTTCAAACTACAAGCAAATTAATAAAAGGCTTTTTTTGCACTGAAAACTGCTCTTCGTCTCGAAATAGCTGATTCACTTGAGTCATCTAAAAAAGGGTCCTGACACGATAATGCACGAGATAGTGTCTGGCTCGTGGAGAGCGCAGACACGCCCCCTTAGCTTCATGAAATAAGCCAGCAAAAGTTCTTGGTCAGAAAATTTTTTGAAATCGACCAACAAAAAACTACCGTAATGAACAGAACTACGGTAGTTGCTTGAAAGGAGCGCCCGTAAATCAGCAACAAGAGAGAGGCGCGGCCGCTTATCTCTTCTCCTTCATTTTCGTCTTCTTCAATGCAAAAGAGGCCCTAAATCAAACATATCCATGACCGACGGCCGACGCCCGTTTTATCACGCCTATCGATACGATTCATAAACATTTGTTGTAGGTATTGATCCTCGGGGGAACATTGGAAAAGAAACAATTTTTCTCTTTTTCTTAAATTCGAAAAATTCCTTTTCTTTTCTGAACCTATAAACTCATTAAAAATAATTGATGTCGGCCAATTTTCTGAACTAAACCTTGGGATTTTTTGACGATTTTTCCTTGATATTTCCATCTTTCCTTTGATTTTTTCAACTTTTTGACATTGCCAAGCAAGATGTTCTTTTCTACCTCTGAAATTAAAATTGGCCTAGAATTTTCCATTTTTCCCACCACATACATTTTCAAAACACTGAAATCTAAAATATTCCGAGGTGGAAAAGGATAATAAGCCTAAATTTGCGTTCTAATTGATCTGTCAAATTTAAATTTGATTAAATCAACCAATTGCAGTTTTTTAAACGTTATAAACCTTCTAACCCTATTATTTACAGTTACAAAAATAAAGGCTAAAAAAATATATAGAAGGCTTTTTTTGTAAACTTACAAACGGAAAAAGCAGTGATCATCATGGAAAATACTTGAAATGAAAAAAATTTAAAGGACCTGAAAATTGATCGATTGTTCAAATAAACAGCTGAAAAGAGACAAGCCTCTAGAAAACGAAAATTGGAAACAAATTATGAAACTTTATTTTAATACGATTTTGCAACTTTCTCTTTGAAAAAAATATTACTAGAGTTTCGATCCAGTTCAAGAAAATAAACAAATAAAAGATGTACACGCGAAGGTCACTCTCCAATAATCCATGAAAAAGGAGAAAAAAAGAAAGACAAAACATGAAATATATTTTATTCCTACGCGATAGGTTCAGGACTATTCATGGTTCGCTCCGTCGGCTCGGCCGTCATGATGTCGTTCGTCTCGTACAGTACACACTTGGACGGCACGATCTTCACCTGAAAAAAAAAATCAAAAAAGTCTTCGAAAATTCTGCGAAAATTTCTAATGTCCACTTTAGGGTCTTGACGTTTTAGTGGCCACTATAGAGGTTTAAGTGCTACTACTAGACCACTAAAAACTTTAGTGGCCACTTTAGGGGTCAATGGATCAACATAAATGGTCCAATCTGTTTTTTTTTAAAATATTATCAGAGTTACTGGAAGGAATACTGAATGAAAAACTACTGAAGTGGCCACTAAAAAAAGAGCCTCTATAATGGCCACTAAAGGGAAAATATGGACACTATAGAGATGGGTTTAGTGACCACTTTAGTGTCCTCACCAAGTAGTCCTTGGCCCGCCTCTATAGTGGCCACTCAAAATTTTCCCAGTTGACATAAAAAATCAGAATTGAGGGCGGAAATTGATTCACTTGGACGAAAAAAATCTGCACCCCAACTCTTTTTTCTTGCTAAATCGCAGCGCAATTGCAAAATTATAAGAAAAATTCGTGATGGTCAGCGAAATTAAAAATTTCTCTTTTCTCAAAATGACGTCATCATTATGTTTTCAGAAGAAGCTGGTCAAAATTTCAAAAATGAACCACATGAAAACTATGCCAACTATCATTATCAGGGAATCACTAAAGGACCTTATCAACCCCGTTTTCCTAAAACTGAACACAAATAGCTTATTTGAAGCAGGCTTGTGGGTCAAAATGTGCGGCCTGACTCGAGCTTTGGGACTCGTTTTCGAGAAGAAGCCTGCGATGGCTTGGAAGATCGTTTTAGAATCCATTCAGATCATTTCTTCTGTTGGAGCGAATGAAAAAATAACGGAAAGGGTGATTTTTGTCGTAAAAAGGCTGAATATTTGACTTGAAAAGATTTGAACTTTTTGGGCCCGTTGTTTTTGCTTGAGGCCTTGAATTTCTACGAAGCCTTTCCACTTTTTCAAATTTTCTTATGAAACTATGTCAAAAACCGGTTAATCGGGCAAAAACGTGATGGTGGATAATGGCCGCAATAAGAAGAGAGGCTCAAAAAAGGCCCCAAAAAGGGAAAATGACTGCAAAAAAGGGGAGAGGCTGCAAAAAGAGTCCCTTACATTTTTTCTAGAATTTTAAAGGCTCAAGAAATGGTGGAAGAGGGAAGAGGCAGCAAAAATGGTGCATAAAAGCCGATGAAATGGCGCCAAATGACAGCAAAAAAGGAGCTTTTGTAGCCCAAAAAGGAACATTTCTTTGGAATCTTTTTGCCCTTTTCCAACTTTGGCTATGCAAGAAAAGGTATCAGAGCTCATACCTGTCAAAAGCCGGGTATAAAATTCAAAAATGACATCTCGCGCTTGTATACCACGACTTGGAATTTCACCAAACGACATTCCGCTGTGCCGCTGCGCGCCATTGCGAACCTTGGGCGCGCTTTTAATTTTTTTTTTCTTTTATTAAGGTCTACTTTCTCGTGCTCCCACAGCAATAACAATCATTTTAAATCGGGACCTAGATTCGAAAGACGCTTCGCGAACGCACGCAGCGAAACAGCGGAATGTCGTTCGGTGAAATTTCAAGTCGTGGAACACAGAATATAACAAAAGAAAACGGACGTGAACACTTTTGCTTTCATTGCCGGTTTTTTGAGTCTTCTCCTGTGCCGCTAGATCCAGCTCCTTCTTGATTTCACTGGCGTCTACCTGAAGAAAGAACTTTCGAAAATTCACGAAAAGCGTCATCACCGCTTTCTGATCATCTTCGTCAATATTGCAGACATATTTGACCTTCTTGGGGTCCACGATGAAACCTTCCTGATGAGCTTTTTCGGCATGCTCGTTGCAGCCTTCTGAATATATGAATCCGTGGAACCGAATAAAATCTCTTTTGAAACTTGGATAGCTGAACTCCTCTCGACTCTTGGATTTACATATTGACACTCTATAAATAACAAAAATGAGCTTTCAATGCCAAAATCTGAATCGAGTTTACTTCCGGGAAAGGGTTCTGGGCGGTTCCGTCTTTGACTTTGAATCCGGAGGTTTCTAGAATGGATCAAGATTGGTTGTTGAAAAAGAATCTAGTCTTTTCCTCATTGAATAAAAAACCGACATACTTAGGAATTTTAGAGTGGTCCCTATAGGGGTTAGGGGGTAAACAAACTCCTATAAACGCAAAATTAAGGTGGCCCTATAGGGATTTATGGTCTGACCACTTTGTCCCTTAAGCTCAAGTAATCCCTATAGGGGTTTAGGGTCTCACTCTTTAGCCCTTGAAGCTGAAGTGGACCCTGTAGGGGTCTTTCAACTTTATTCGAAAAACGCTTTGTTATTCAGTTTTTTTTGTCTTGGAAATGGTTCTTCGCTTAGAGTTCATAACAATTATCAACTAGCTGGTCCCTATAGGGATCACTAACTAAAACCTCTTAAGGGATCCCTTTTGCAAAATTAGGTGGGGACCCTCCAAGGGCGCCAAAGATTGCCCCTATAGGGACCACTCTGCATTTCCTAGGTAGTGACCCCCTTTCTAATGGAAAAATTTAAAAAAGAAAAACCAACCTGACTCTTTTTGTAACTTTCTGCGAACCGAGGCGGTGTCGCAGGTATCTCAGGTGGTCGACGATCAAGGGACAGCTTCAAAATTAAAAATTCCGGAAGAAAATGCCTTCAAACCCGACCTTTTCCGTCTCATTTTTCCTTTTTCGGCCACACGCGCATTGAGCAACCGCAATGGCCAAGTACAACGACATAAAACATGCTTGTAAATCTGTATAAAAAATATTATTCTTTTTTGAAATGATTTTTCCTATGAATAAGCACAATGTTTCGCCACGAGTTCTTCTCAAAGTTTTCAAAAAAACTAAAATTTTCATATTTTTCATCTCCTTAGTCTATTCCAAGGGACCTATCCAAAGTCTTCCCAAAAATTTGGCGTTTTTCAAGAAATAATTCTTTTTTTAAAATTGGTTTTTCAATTCACTCTTCGATAGTTCAACTTCAAAACTTCCTCTATACTTAAGAATTTCAGAGTGGTCCCTATAGGGGTTTAGGGTCTAACCTCTTAGCCGCCAAAGCTTAGGTGATCCTTATAAGGGCCGTTCAGTTTTATTCAAAAAACGGTTATTTTTTCTTGTTTTTGTATGGAAATGCTTCCCCGTCTAGAGTTTATAAAAATTATAGACTAGCATGTCCCCTATAGGGACCACTTTTCGAGCTTTAGTGGCCCCTCTAAGGGGCCCTAAGGTTCCCCCTATAGGGGCCACTCTGGACTTTATAAGTATACTCTCAAATGAAAAAAAAAGACCAACAAATAAAGAAATACATCATGCAGACCTTCGGCACAAATGAAGAAATGATCAAAACTCCACAGTCATTGAAGAAAAAAGTTTATTTGCGTCATAAATTATTCAAATTGCTCAAGAAAAGGAAGAATCAAAGCTTGTGAAGAATTTGTACAAAAAAGAATGACTGGATTTGGCGATGTATGCAAAAATAAATATTCACAAATATTCAGGGAATCTCAACCTTTTAAGGCACTAAACTGAGCCCTTAAGTTGAAAAGCTTATCGAAAAAAGCGCGATATGATCAAAACAGCAAGACAAATTCAGATGACAAGTGTGCATTGGCGATCGTCGCACTTCTTGATGTCGACCGCCAGTTCTGCCAGCACCTGGAAAAGTATGAAAATTAGGAAGCTTCGAATGGAAAACGATCATCAAAAAAGGCTTACTTTATTTCTTTTTGCATTTATAAATGGCAATAAGTTACGAATTGACCATTTTCATGGATTCGAAGATAAGTTGCTCAACTTGAGAACTCCAAATTGGTCCCTATAGGGGCAACCTTAGGGACCACTTTACCAAACCCTATAGGGACCACTAAAGCTTGCTAAAGTGATCACTATAGGGGTTTTAGTATTACGTTGACCACGTTGACTTTAACCCTATAGGAAACACTTTTTTGGGCACTTTTTTCCCTTTTAATTTCTATAGGGACCACTCTGGAATTCCAGTATAATTGTCCTTATTCTAAAGAGATCCATAGAAGTTAAAAAAAAATCCTTACCAAAAACCATCAGAAGAAATAGGTAATTTTATATATATATTTTTAATTTTGTACTAAAAATCTGACACAATTTGAGTCAAAAATTTAAGCAAAAAATAATCTAAATTTGGTGTTCTTTCTCAGTAAACTTGAAACATATCTTGAGAGCAACCAAAACTTTTTTCTTTCTCAATGTTTTAAACTTTCATGATGAGCCTTGAGGAAGTCTCAATGTTCTTCGCTTTTTCGATTTACCTTGGTCAAAGCCCTCAATCTGTCGGCAGTCGTGTCAAGTCGTTCCGTGATGAACGTGTTCAAAGACGAGAGATCGTAGGTCCCGTCCTGGAGATGGCAAATTAGAAAACTAAAAATAAACGAAATACTGCAAAACCTCAATAACGTTATGATTGACGTCATCTTCCCGAATCGGAGAGTAAATAGACGGACTCGGTGACAATGAGCCGGACTTTGATGAAGTCTGCAAAAAGTTCAATGAAAAATTAAAAAAGCTTCTCAAAATAAATTGAAAAAAAAATCCATACTTCACAATGGCAATCATCGTCGCAATGATCATCCGATATACACGGCGAGCTTCTTTTCAAGTTAACTCTGGAAAAAAGTGATAAAAATGAGAATTTTCTTTTCAAAACTTACCGTTTCCTAGACCTGGTCGACTGGATTTCTTCGCTTCGATCATCTTCACAGTGTCCACAATGTTCCAGGCAATATTGCACGGAAACACATCTGAATTTCGAAAAAAATGTATCACTAGAAAGAAGCTTCCAAAATAAAAACATATTCATAAAAAAATTAAGAATTCTAGTACAAAAAGGAAAAAGAAAGGTTTGTAGATCTTTCTATAATTAAAAACCAACCCATCCAAAGTCTCAACAACGTGGACAAAGGCCGAACAGGTTACTGTATTGCTTTCAACGAATTCTTCACTTAATCTTCTACGTTTCGCTCCGATCGACGGCTTCCTTCGGCACAGTAGGTAGTATTCCTAGAATTCTCAACCGTTACTGAGGATACAAATGAAAAATTCAGAAAACTGCAATTTGAGATGAACCCTGATCAAAAGGCTGATCAAGGAGGATTGATTTATTGAAGCTTCTCTTAATTTGCTCAAGGCGCTGCTAAGGGCGCTGCTAAGGGCGCTGCTTAGGGAGCTGCTTAAGGCGCTGCTTATGGCGCTGCCTAGGGCGCTGCTTAGGGCGCTGCTCAAGGCGCTGCTAAGGAGATGCTAAGGGCGCTGCTTAGGGCGCTGCTTACGGTGCTGCTCAAGGAGCTGCTAAGGGCGCTGCTTAGGGCGCTACTTATGGCGCTGCTTAAGGCGCTGCTCAGGGCGCTGCTTACGGTGCTGCTCATGGTGCTGCTAAGGGCGCTGCTTAGGGCGCTGCTCAAGGCGCTGCTAAGGGAGCTGCTAAGGGCGCTGCTTACGGGGCGCTGCTTACGGTGCTGCTAACGGTGCTGCTTAAGGAGCTGCTAAGGGCGCTGTTTATGGCTCTACTTAGGGCGCTGCCTAAGGCGCTTCTTAGGGCGCTGCTTTTAGTGGTGCTTGCGGCGCTGCTTAGGGCTCTGGTTAAGGAGCAGTTTAGGGACGCTGCTTAAGGAGCTTCTTACAGTGCTGCTTTTAGTGCTGCTTATGGCGCTGCTTATCGAAATATTGACAACTTCGAAAAGAGAAGTTAATGAATTCCTGACCCCTTCGTAAGATGGCCCTTCGTCGCTTCCAATGTAACCGCCATCACTCCTGGTTTCTTCAATAGATGAGAGCCAAATCTGTAAATTAAACATAATTATCTTGATAGAATTCGGGGAAAAAAACCTGGAAATGAACGTAAGAATCGAAGCGGCCGGATCTGACAGCAAGATCGTGGTCGTGAGCTCGTGCCACGTGCTCGCACAGCTCCTCGGGAGTCTCGAGTTCCGTTGAGCCACACATTGGGCAACACAGTTGGATCGACGAGCACATCTCGTCTGCAAAAATGAAAATCTTTCAAGTAAAACGTAAAAAGTTATTTGAACGTTCAAGGAAGTTTTTTTCGCCCAACAAGCTACCTCAAAAAACACCTGTCGAATACAAAAATTCAACTTCCAAACCAAAAGTTCAAGAGAAATCGAAAAAAGGAGCAAAAAAGATAGAAAGAGAGAAAGTTTTGCAAAAAATGCGAGCCGAACAAAGAGAAAAACGCCTGGAAGGGCGTGACTTGTTGATGGATTCAAATAAAAAAGGGCAGAATAGATGGATGATTGAGAAGAAATCACGTTTTGCTCTATGTGAAATGCACAAGAAAAAGTATCAGGTGAAAATAAAGGGAAAATGGATGGAATGTTGGAAACGTCACGCGAGAGGCTACTGTACTTGTTGATGCTGTAGGAAAATATGAAAATTCCAGTTTGGGAAATAAATTCTTTGAAAAAATTGAAGAAAAAGCCTTTTTTTCTATTGAGGCCATTTCTCGAGGTGCCGACTAAACATTGATAAGAATTTTTACTAGGGAACGTTTTTACCCCCCAAACAAGATCCGGGGATCCTAAAGTACATGTCAGCAAAGTTTCAGCAAAAAAATTAAAAAAACCGGGGGGTCCCGGTTATAAAAACTTTTTTCTCAAGTTAGTTTACAAAAGATGCAAAAAGCCTGATCGGTCAACCTACAAAATGTTGCGGAATTCTTTCCTTATCATTTTGCACGACTTTTAGTTTGAAATCGTGGTTTGGTCGTCTAAACATCAAGTCTATCATTTTCCAGAAACAAACAATGAAAAAGGAAAACTTTTTGAAAGTAATAAACCTCCAGAAACTTCAGAATTCCTCAAGAATTGAGCTTCAAATTCGAGCCTCTCACAGCTTCAAAAAAAGAACCTGATCAGTTCCAAACTGCAAAAAAGAGAAAAAAAACATTCTCTGTGTCGCAGACAAGTTGAAAACTGATAAAAGACGTGAGAAACGTGACACGGCGACGGCGGCGGCGGCGGCAGCAAGCAAAGTCGTTAAATTGACACAAACTCGACGTTGCAAAGGAGAAGAAAAAAAGAGTTCGGGTAGAACTGGAACGGTTGCCTCCCCCCATTTTTTATGTGTCAGACGGAACACGAGACTCTTGGAGGTGCCAACAACATTGAACACATTGAAACAAGGAAGTGCATCGTTCCTTCCAAAAAATGACGTTTATCGTTAGACTAAAGGTTCAAAATTGGCCTGTTTCATTGGGCTTGGCCTAGACAGAACATAATGAGAACAAAGATTGCAGAAAATTGGTTCAGACTGTCCAAATAGTTGGAAAAAGAAACAAACAAACAAAAAACCAGTCTTCGACATTCAGAGTTGAAAATAAGGTTTTTTGTATCTTATCATCCACTTTTCTGGTTGGAAATGTTATAAAAAAATTCAGAAAAGTTAAAAAATTTTCAGAACCGGTAAATTTGTGGAAGTTCTATTCAAAAATTGTGATTTCCATTTTTCAATTTTTCAAAATTTTTTCTGAGAGTTGCTTTCTGAAAGTTAGCTGAAAATAGAAGGCAAAGTTTCGAATTTTCAAAAAAGGGAAGGCCTAAAACTCAACCCCAAGTTCGCTCCAATGTAAACCGCCCTATTTAAACGACTCTTCGCTAATTAATGTTTCCGAAGGACAGTAATAAAACTGAAGTTGACAATAAACGGCGCAAAACTTGTACAAAGTTGATTTTCTAATTTATTTTACGATAATTATCCATGAAGTCCCGTGCAACAAGTTCAACAACATTTCAAAAGTTGTCTCTTTTAAATAAAAATTTGAGATCAACTTTTAAAACGTAATCGTTGGAGTTCAGTATCAGCTTACAAGGCGAAAAAAGTTCTGTAAATCAGGCAAAATCTAAAAATTAACCAAAAAAAGCAATCTCAAAATTTGAAAAAAGGCAGCAAAGTTCTACAAAAACGTTTTGAAATCTTTTTTTTGTTTTATCGCTTTTATTTGAACAGGCGGAAAACCGATGACATCGTCAAATTTTTCAAAAAGCGTGGGCCGGGAAATTGATAGAGACAGATAATGGGAATGGGAAAACGAACTTTTTTTTTTCTCTGATGACGAAACGGAAATCGTTCCTGACCCCGCGTGATAATGCCGTCATTGTTGTGGCGGGTGCACTGTGTTGGGGGGAAGGCGCTGATAAATTTGTTTATATAGCGCAAATTACGTGGGAAGAGCATGGGTTATTATTCAGAGTCGGCTTTCGAAACAGCTTCTTCAGTTTTCCTTGTTGGTTCATCGTTTTTTGTTTAATCGAACTTGAAGTTGTTTCCTTTCAAAAGTAAAAATAGCTGGTTTCTCTAACAGCTTCAAAATGAAAACTGCAAATGAACGCAACGCTTTAAATAGCTTCTATTTCGATTTTTAAAACATTTTTCTAGGTAAAACTGAAACGCCAAAATTTTCAACACTACTAGGAAAATTTTTAGTGGCCACTTAAGGGGTTGAAAACTAGTGGCCACTATAGAGGTCTAAGTGCTACTACCAGACCACAAAAAATTTTAGTGGCCACTTTAGGGGTCAATGGATCAACATAACTGGTTCAATATGTTTGTTTTAAAATTATCAGAGTTACTGGACGGAATACTTGATGAAAAACTACTGAAGCGGCCACTAAGTGGAGAACCTCTAGTGGCTACTTTAGTGTCCTCTCCAAGTAGCCCTCCGCAAGCCTCTATAATGACCTCAAAAAATTTTCCCAGTTAAAAAAACAGCCTAGATCAAAGAATATACCCAGTACAGTACACAAAAGTGCCGGCAGATCAATCAAGAGGTTCTCAGGACATTGAAAAAAAAAAGATGGCGATAGGGCGAAAGTCAACAAAACTCGTCTTGCAGAAAATTCAGCTTTTTTTTTTTCAATTCTCAAGTTTTCTTCTATTCTCTGATGCAAAATGAAAGAGAAAAAAGAATGATTGCAAGAAAATTCGTGTTTACCCGCTCCGGCCTCCGTCAAAATAGGCGATTAATTGCAAAGCAGTTGAATGCGGCGAAAAAAAAAAGAAAAATTCCAGTTTATCCGGAAAACAGCCAACAGTTTAGCAATTTTCCGCAAAAATCCAAAGGATTTCAAATGTTTTAAACCCGCTTTTTATATTCAGAACCTCAAAAACCAACTAATCTCGTAGTGGGAAAACAAATATGGATATAAACTTCATTCCCATAAATCTCCGGATATTTTATAGGTACAAACAAGTTTTCTTGGGAATCGTTTGCGTCAAAGCGGTTCCAAGTGTACAATTGAGAATTTTGAGGCAAAACGACCGGTAAAAGTTTTGCAGATCTCAAAAAACCACTCAATAAAAATCCAACAAAAAGGAAGACAAGTCGAACTGAATACGAAAACACGAAGGTCAAGCGAGTGAAAATTTGTTATTTTGTCCTTCAAGTGGAAATATTTGCAGAGGACATCTTTTCCGTTGCAACGAGGCAAAAAAAAGACATCCTAAAACTTGCTAAGGAAAACCTCTTCTTTTATGTCCTTTCACGCTAATCGACTGCGAAAATATAGGACAAAAAAAGCAAAAAAATGTAAATATTTTTCAAAATGTATATAATACCTTCACAGTAACCTGATCGTTTCCTTGGCTCATTTTCAGCAAAAAAAAAATCTATATTTAATTCTGCTGTCTAGATTCAATACTAAAAAACCATGAAAAATCTTTAAAATTGCACTGAAAATCAGTAAATCAAAACATCATTAAACTGGGGAAACCTAACGAAAATTCCTTTAAAAAATGACCTTTCGATCAAAAAAAGTTGTATAAAATATTCACATCCTACTCCCAACTTCCTCATTTGAAAATCTAAACATTTCCCGCCCCCACACAGGTTTCTTATCAGTTCACGTGGGTCAATTGCCATATAAAGATTGAAAAAAGCGTTTCTCATCTAAAATCTAATCACCGTCAACAAATTGAGAACCTTCAAAAATAGCCAGGAACGAGTTTTCCAAAGTATCAAAAATAGACTAAAAACGGCGCTAGAAAGTAATTAATGAGCTGACAAATCGACTTATAAAAGGACCATAGAGAAAATATAGCAAAAAAAAAGAACACATTTCTCGTATTTTCCCCGAGAAATGAACCCAATTAAGACGTCCGCCTCCCATCCGTTCCAAAAAAAAAGATGACGTCTTCAGATTCTTTTAAGAAAAAAAAGGAAAGCAAAATTACTTTGAAAAAATCTCTAGAAAAACCAGGATTTCCTGTTTCAAAACTATATTCACTAATTGAGTGCACTTAAAATGAGAAAGTAAGAACCAGAAATTGAGATTTTCAAAGTTTTTTTCTGGGGACATACAAACCACTACTCCAAAAACTTACGAACTCGAAAAAAAATAATTTAAAAAGTCCAGTTACACGTAAACTTCTCAGTTTTGAAAAATTGTTTAAAGGCGCAGAGGGTGGTTTTGAAAAAAAAGTTTGGCGCGACTTTTACGACATTTTTGTAATTCTAAACTTCTTTTTCAGAATTTTTATGAAATCTGTGATTTATGAAACTCGCTTTCAAGTTGTAAAACTACAAAATATTATATTTTAAAGAAACCAGAAGATTTTTTTGAAGACGCATAGCGTTAACTACTAATGAATAATCTCAAAACGATAAAATATTCTAGTGTTAATGAAGGCCACGCCCCTTTTCAAATGTCCCCTTGGGTCGCTTATGAATAGACTATAGCCGTGGGAGCGTCTAATTTCACGGAAAACTTTTGAAATTTACTCCTCATTCATAATGGATCATTCTAGGAAAGACGAGACACAGTGTGAGAAAATGAAATTATTTTGTTGCCATCATATCATAGCTGATTCATACTTAATAACTAGTTTGGGGGTCTAGTTTTTGAGAAAAAACTCCTGTTTTTCTCTATTTTGTTTGTCTTTTGTTTCTAGGGATTTACGGTATTTTGAGCTTGGACCTGGGAAAAAAGCGATAATCGTGATTTTCTTTATAACTACTTATT